TGAGTCTGAGAACTCAGGGGTAAGTCAGAGGTTAACACCTCACTGACTTTTCAGAAACAAGGAGTAACAAGATGAATGCTTGGAAGCTTGGAAAAGACGTGGAAGTATGTGCTAGTCGATTTACTGTATTGTCTGCTTGCCCTTTCTTAAGGAAAGGGCAATCCTATTTATGCCAAAGGAGTGTAGTTCTCTCATTTTCCATGACTTTCCATGACTAACCAGGCTTGGTAAATGTATTAGAAATCAAGTGCGACCCACAACTAGCTTGCTAATCATGTAGTGAACGTAAGAGAATCCCATAGAACCATCTCTTGGGTTCCTAGCCTATAGGAAGTGAAAAGGAGGTCCAAGGTCAGAGTACCTATAGATAAATTATGTCATAACTTAACCAATCTTGTGGGTAACTAAGGAGCGATGACGTGTAATGAATCATAGAGGGTTGTAGAAGCTTCTAGAGCTATCGTTCATGTTTCTAGGCCTCTAGTTGGTAGAGATATGCCATGTGGTAGTATTGGCCCACCCCCTTAAGGAGGAGATTTTCTTAATAACTTGTTCAATGAGTGTCCAAATGATATGCCGTGATGTATGTAGCATAAACAGATGTAGTAGAAGAGTTTGCAGCAATCGTTGAGTAGTATTGCTTCTGTTGTTGGTGTGATAAGCCAAGATATGTATGGTGACTTGTAGGTTTGAGGAGGAGATTTCTAAGTTTGCTCTTGAGTTTGATAGCAAACTGAGTGCAACGAATGTCAGTATGACACTGTTTCGCACTGTGGGACAAAGCTAGAAGCTCTGCCTCTGTTGTAGAGGTTGACACAGTCTTCTGCTTTGAGCAGCGCCAGTCTATTGCCCCTCCAAATAAGGTAAACAAATAACCCTCTGTGCTCTTTCTTGTTGATTCGCAGTCTGCGTACGAAGTGTCACTAGAGCATTGAAAGTGAGCCTCTTGAATATTAGGTCCAAACTGAAGAGCTAGGGTCTTAGTATCCTTAAGGTAGAGTAGAAGTCTGTTGACTGCAGCCATGTGGTCTGGGCCTGGATTGATGAGAAATTCAGATAGTTTCTGTGTCGTACGGGCTATATCAGGTCTCGTTACGACTGCTGCGTAGTTTGCTGATCCTACTTTCTGTTGGTAAAGATGGATTTGTTGCTTATCTGCCTGGCCATCAAATTGGGTTAGGTTGTCTGTAACCATTGGCGTTCAGGTGGATCGAATAGAGGCTACTCCGTACGTAGTTGTGATCTTGTCGATATAGGAGTCCTGGCACAGCCATAGGGTTTTCTGGGTGCGGTCCCTCACAATTCTTATGCCTAAGAACCATTGAAGTTCTCCTATTTCTCGAAACTCATACGCTTCCATCAGTCTCGTACAGAACTGTGTTGCCTCCATTTTGTGGCTAGGATGGCTAAGGATGCAAATATCGTCAACATAGAAGAAGACAATAATCTTTGAAGATACAAAGAGGCACTGTGCTTCTGGGACCTGTACGAGGCCTAGAGCCTTGAGTGTCTCTGAGAAGTCTCGAAACCAGAGTAAGGGGGACCTTCGAAGTCCATAGAGTGCCCTGTTAAGTTTCCAGCATTTTCCTTGCTCCTGGTAGCCGTCTGCACACCGTACGTAGACCTCCTCGTCAATACGGCTGTTTGTGAATGCGTTTATAGCATCTAATTGTTGTGTATCCAAATCAAAGTAGGCTGTGATTGCCATTAAGGCTCGGAAGGTTTTCGAAGCAAGTGTAGCTGCGTACGTCTCATCATGGATAGAATAGCGTTGTAGGTCGCCTCTTACAACAAGTCTAGCCTTAAATTTAAGAAGGTAGCCATTGTCATTGAATTTGTATGTGAAAACCCACATAAGGGCTATCACAAAGTTCTGTACGGAGCTGTCGTTGACAGATGTGAACGTTCCTTGCTTTTGAAGGTCTCCTATTTCCTTTGCAGCTGCAGCTTGGAATCCTTCTTCTGGTAAGTTGGCTGATTCTTTAAGTGCGCGTGATTGTGTGATTATCGTACGGCCTGACCTCTCTATTCCTCCGTTCGGCTCTGCTGTATAGGGTGGAGAGATGTGGATTTCATATCCTTCGTCCTTAATCCAACCCTCCCATTCATTTCCAAGTGAGGCTTCACCATCTAGGTGGAATATGCGGATTTGGAGCCCCCATCTTCTCCGTACGTAGCTCACAAAGTCCTTAATCATCTGTAGGAGCATTCCTTGTGTTTTATCCTTAATAGTATAGACGTGGTTCATGCGGCAATTATCACATAGGAAGTGTAAGGCTTGTGTGCTGCCATCGTACGCCTCTGGCATTTGGATTAGGTCAAGGTGGACCTTCTCATATGGCACTTTTGAGCGTGGTGTAGATCTTCTAGAAATCCGCCTTGTAGCATGCGTAAGTCGGCATACTTCGCACTGAGTATCGTACGAGTCTAGGTCTGTGACGATAACTCCAGCGGTCTTCTCTTGGAGTTTTCTAATGGCGTTTTGGTTTAGGTGTCCCATGCGGTTATGCCATTCCTTTGCAGTGCCTTTTAGGTCCTTACGAGGTCCGTACGAAGATAGGACAACGTTGTCCTGTTGATCCTGAGTGCTATAAACAGCTCGGGTAGGCTCATTTTTGATGTATTCAAGAACCCATTGTCCATGAAGCATTGGAGTGTTGCAGAACGGTTGATCTCCGTACATAAGTCCTTGTGCAGCGGTATTCCAATAAACTCCCTTTTGGATGAATCGTCTAAAAGAAGCGACTGAAGTGTGGAAGGATGAAACGAGAGCTGTATCTGTAAGGGTGATAGTCCGTAGAGACTTCTTATCCTCCCCGTTTTGGACTGTAATATCTACAGACCCAAATGCTTCAATCTTCACCCTTTGGTCTCCAGCTAAGAGGTAGCTATTATCTTGACATTCTTGGATATTGTAGAACCTCGTACGGTCGTTGCAGACGTGAATTGTAGCTCCAGAGTCGAGAATTATGCTTTTAGAGAGCTTATAGGCTGAGGTTTTCGGCTTTAGTCCTTGGGAGACTTGGAAGACTGTAGTGAAAGACATAGGTGGATCTGTATTCGTACGGGATTGTACTCCATTCGGGTTGTTGAAATTGTTCTGTTCTTCTGCCTTTTGGATAACGTACTGGAATCCTGGTTTGTCACTTATATAGGCCTCTACTTTAGCTTCAATCTCTTTATTTGGGCGCCATTGCCTCGTACGCTTTGACTTCATCACATAGAGGCAGTCCCGCCACTTGTGTGTTGTTCTGCAAGGGCAGTCTAGTCGAGCCTGATTTTTCTGTTTTCTGCCTCTCTGACCTTGCTGACCTTGTTGTAGGTTGTTCGTACGGCCTTGGAGCATTGGCTGTAGGTCGCTATTGTCATCCTTTTGTAGTGCGAAAACTCCATGTTCCCCCCTAGGTTTCTGGGTGAATCTCTCTTGCCTACGGTTGGTTCTATACTGTCGTAGGACCTCCTCAAATTCGTACGACTTTGTCTGCTTCTCTAGCTTGTGTTTCCATGGTCCTCGGAATTCGCAAGGTCCTATTGCATCAAGGAAGGTATAGATAGCGTCGTGAGGGTCGATAACCTCTGTTGCCTGTAGCGTATGGCCTTGAGTGTATAGATTCTCCCAGTTTAGGAGCCAGTCTTCAAGGTCCTTGCCTCTTTGCATTTTTGCAGCCTTTTGCCATTCTAGTCTCCATTCTCCGATTCTAGCTCTTTGAGTAGGTGCGAACCGGTCTCGTAGCTTTCTAAGCATATCGTACGGAGTATCGCAATTGTAGGTATAGGGTAGGAAGTCGCGTTTGATGGTTTCTTGGATCTTAGAGCGAAGCCCCTGAATTGCTTCCTCCTGCTTTTCCCACACCTTGCGCTCATATTGGAAATCAGCTTGTAGGTTTCGAAGCTGTTCCTTCTGATCTTCTGTAAGAGATGCGTACGTAATTGGCGTTAATTGCTGTTGGCCTTCTACTGAAGGTTGGATGGTCTGGCTACCTGAAGCTCTTGTTGACACTCCAGGTCTTGTTTGAGCAGTAACACCACCACCAGCTTGCGTGGCACTCCGTACGAACTCAGGAATAGGTCGAACGGGCTGTAGGAGTGTAGGAGGGTCCTCGATTGATGGATCGATATACCCCCATACTCCTGCCTTCATTGAAGCAGTTTTGATAGTCTCTATCCACTCGTCCCAGTCTCTAGGGCTTGTGAGGACCACCCCCGCCTTCTGTAGGGTCGCCATAATGATGGTTTTTTCGACTCCAGGACACAGGACTTGATTTTGGTCCGTTCGGGTTTCTATAGGCTTCAAAATGCGTCTTGGAGTTGCTCCGGGCTCATAACTGTTGAGTAACCTGTGTATTGTTCTGTCTATCTATTGCTGCCTGAAATTGTGGGGAAGTGGTGCTGAGATCATGTGACATATTACAACAGATAATCCGTACAGAGATCACGTGAGATCATGTGACTATTACAACAGGATTCATATTTATACAGAAAAAATGGCAAAAAAAAAAGGGAATCAAAAACATACAACAGCGGGAGAGAATCAGTGTTCGGCGGATATGTATCCGGGTAGTATACCGTGATTCCCACGGGTAGAGTATATACCCGGCCAATTTCTTATGGGTAGAGTAGGTATATATCCAGATATATGAGGCTAAATGGAGTATATAAAAATGAAGCTTTTGGTAATAGTAATAACCTAACCTAACCTAACCCAACCCCTATTCGTGTGCCCCTATTTGTATGCCTCATCGTCAGCATCATCACCATCACTGTCAGCCTCTTATATCCAACCCTAATTCCGTAAGCAAAGTAAATATCTAATCGTTAGCAGTGATAACCTATTCCCCTTTTTTGTAATAATATCACTACCATTACTAAATACCTGTTCTGATGCTGCGGATGTTGCTGGAATTGCTAAATGGTCATGAGCAATACAGGCAATAACTAGATATTAGTATTGCTTTACGCACTAATATTTGAGGATATTAGTATGCTCACTAGGCCGTGGTTTAAGCATCTACTGTCATACTGACATTCGTTGCACTCAGTTTGCTATCAACTATTCGATGTGGATGAGTTTGGAGTTGATTCCAGAACTTTGGAGCAGCTGGTAGGTCCGTACGGTGTATGCTCTGTCGATTGAACTCCGTTCCTACTAGGAAAGCTTGGTGTAAGCTTAGCTTTGCTTCTGGTATCGCTATTGTAGCTAGGTAGACGTCGTGTCTTCGTACGGTGTCCTCAGGGTGTTCCAGTGTCATTTCAGGCATTTGAAGTTGTTCCTGTAGCTCTGTAGCTCCGTGGTCCTTCTGAGTAGGCGGCTCTTCTTGAGGAGAGGAGGTGTTTGTTGCCTCTGATTCGTACGGAATTGTTGTCCCGTTCTGAGGCTGTTGTTCCCCCTCAAACTCCTCATCTTCTTGATCTTGAATATCTGGTATTTCAATGACCTGAACTGTCTTTTCGAGCTCTGTTTGGACAAGCTGAGCCTCATACGACATGTTATAGAGTGGTGCATGCCCTAGTTTCGAGTTCCCTTCTAACACAATGTGATGGTCTGCATATCTGTTTGGAAGGATCAGTTTTGGGTTGATTTCTTTTATTTCCTCCTTTGCTTGTTCAGCGAGTATATCTTTAAATGATACTGCAAAAACCTTAGCTCCTTTCTGCTTCCGAAGCATATTGAATGGTGCAGCTCCAATCATTGTAACAGTGCATTTGTTCTTGTTCTTATAATGAGGTTGGAGGGCTGGCTTCAGAGCTTCTTTATCTTGTATTTCCTTCTCAGCTTGGGGACTTGTAGTTTTCACTTTTAAAGTGTCTGTTGGTGTAGTGTGCTGGCAGTGACCCTTTGTAAAGATGACTTGGTCGTTTACCATATTGAGTGTGACTCCATGCTGCTTCATCCAAGCTTTCCCAAGAATGATAGAATGTTTCCCAAGAGTAGTAATGAATAGAGGGCATAGACTTTCAACGTGACCTCCAATTTGTAGTCGAGGGTATATAGCATGCGTAACTGTAGGTGCTGCAACTCTCTTTGGTTTTATAAGTTGGATAGGAGAGATATTCTCAATTTCACAAATTCGTTTTGCGTCAACAGCATTCACAAAGCTTCCACCTGTTGCACCGCTATCCATTAAGGCTTGCATGACAATTTGATTCCTTCCTATTCTGCAGGTAGCTAAGAATGGAGTGTCATAGTCGAAATGGGATAATGATGAGGCAGAGGAGGCAATTCTTGCTGTAGAACCTCTAGCGACGTCTTTTCTAGAGGCTATTCTTTTCCCGACTCATACTGGGTAGGATCCTCAGTATCAGAGATCTCATTGAGTCTGCCTTTCTGTTTCTGAGGGCAGTCATGAGCACGATGGCCGCTTTCGTGGCAATGGAAGCATTTGCCAAGCTTCATGAGCGATTCTTTCTCAGGATCTTGGTGGGGAGAGCGGTAGAGCTTCTTCTGTGGTGCCACTATTTCAACAGAAGGGTCATAAGCCTTTGTCTCATCAAAGGTAACGTCTCTTGTAACTATAACCCTTTTAAGTTGCGGAACCCAAATGCGGAATATGTTTGTAGAGTTATAGCCAACTAGGTAGCCTATTTGGGCGTTCCTCTGTATCCTCTCAAGCTTTGGCTTGTTTAGAATAAGGGCATAGGCTCTACAGCCATAAGAGCGAATATGAGAGAGTAATGGCTTAAGTAACTCTGGCTTTTGGCTCTCTGTAGGTAAGGACTGGAGTAGAAGTCCGTACGGGGTCTCATCGTTTATGACTGATGATGGTGCGGTTTATGAGGTACCCTGCTGTTTTGAAAATCTCAGGCCACATTTACTCAAGAGCAAACTTAGAAATCTCCTCCTCAAACCTACAAGTCACTATACATATCTTGGCTTATCACACCAACAACAAGAGCAATACTACTCAACAATTGCTACAACCCTCTATGATTCATTACACGTCATTGCTCCTTAGTTACTGGGCCGATATGACCACATAGCATATCTCTACAACCCTCTATGATTCATTACATGACATCACTCCTTAGTTACTGGGCTAATACTACACATGACATATCTCTATCAACTAGAGGCCTAGGAACATGAACGATAGCTCCAAAAGCTTCTACAACCCTCTATGATTCATTACACGTCATCGCTCCTTAGTTACCCACAAGATTGGTTAAGTTATGACATAATTTGTCTATAGGGGTACTCTGACCTTGGACCTCCTTTCACTTCCTATAGGCTAGGAACCTAGGAGATGGTTCTATGGGATTCTCTTACGTCGACTAAATAGGATTGCCCTTTCCTTAAGAAAGGGCAAGCAGACAATACAGTAAATCGACTATCACATACTTTCACGTCTTTTCCAAGCTTCCAAGCATTGATCTTGTTACTCCTTGTTTCTGAAAAGTCAGTGAGGTGCTAACCTCTGACTTACCCCTGAGTTCTCAGACTCAACATTTGTTATAACTTGTCTAAACCACTCCACTATATCATACACCTGATTGCTGCGTTGTGGAATAGTCTAAGCTACAACCCTTTGGCTCTTTTTCCTAAGACAGTGTGTTGTCTTAGTAAAATCATCCCTTCCTTGGGTGGCTAGATTCTCACATCTGGTGCACCCACCATTACAATCTGCTGCACCCACCATTACATCTACCACCTCCATTCTAGCTCCTGAAATGCTAACCTCTAACGCAAATAGGTCTTCGTTAGAATTAGGTTCTTGCTCTATTGTATTAGTAGCACCTATTGCTTCTGCAAGAGCTGTTTCACGGTCGATACGCTCTGTATCAAGGTGATACTCTCACTTTTGGTACATTCTACAAACGTCTTCGAATTGCACCCTTGCTCATGATCTTCATGTATCATCTATAGTATTTAGATATATCTTTTTAAATTCTGTATGATCCATTTGTAGGTCACAAATTGTAGCAACAGCTAAGTGCTTACACTGCTCATTTGTTGTAAGAGTATAATACTCATTAAGCTTTTAAAGCGCAGCTCTACATGCCAGTCCAATTGCAGAGCTTTTACCAAGATCTTCTTATATCAATATAACTTTATTTATCATCTTTAAGTAAAGAGGGATAGTAAAGTTAAGGGTTGGATATGAATCACTTTGTAGCTGTCTCGATGGCTTTAAGAATACCAAGAATAATCGTTTAAGAGTTTTAATAATAGCCTAATCATTACTTGTTAACACAATATCCTTCATACTAGTATCAAGCTTTTGTGTAGTACACACTGTAGTAATCAGTATTCGAAGCTTTATAGCAGTTTCAAGCATATAGTACGTTGAATTCCAGCGTATAGGCATATCAAGTGCTAATTAGCGTGGCTTTTGGCCTGCGGCTTTATCTGCTTCTGTAAAGCATCTTCTATGCTCGTCAGTTCTGAAACACACAAATGTGTCTTCATAGCTTTTCAAGGGTAGCTAATACTTCTGTAGAAGAGCTATCTATACGCTATGGAATCTAGGCAAGACCTTGCTCACACTAGTATGCTTCTGTTTCTGTATCTAGGCTAGCTTTCAAGCTCTTAAGAGCAGCTTGAACTGTAAGATTAATGATATATGCAATACACTAGACGTCCCCTTATTTAACAGAAAATGTCCAAGGCTGTTGAATAGACATCTAGTGTTTACTAGCTAATTTCTCAAATTCTGAAAGCATTACAGTATTCACCAAGGCATTATCTCGTGTATAAGTAAGATAGCACCTGTGATTTCAAAGCTATCTGTTACTGCTGCTAATTCTTAAGCGAGATATTCGCTGCTATGAATTGGTTCTTGAAGGTGGATTACATAAAGTAATACAACTTCAGCCAGCAGCATAATTTACAGCAGCAGCAGCAGCAGCAGCAGCAGCAAAACGGCATGAGCACCCCATCCTAGTGCTGCCACTTCGCATTAATCTAATGACCTGTAACAGTAGCGTACTCTGTATAGTTTCATGCAGTCCATGCATCTGTTATGATAGATATCCAGCTGCCAAGGTTAATATGAGACTGGAGTTCTATTTGTAATAAGCCTTAGTAATGTGAGAATTGCCGCTATAGCTCTTGGTATAGCGTTCATAACAAGATTGACAAAGTAGTTAGGCTTAAGAATTGTACTAATTGATAAAACGAATAGCTCTTAATAAGTCATAAGGAGAGGTTATTTGATATAACAAATGAGAATAATAACTCTTGGTATTTCACTCTACTATTTAATGCTTGAATAGGCTGGATTTGCTAGTTTCATGGCTTAAAGAACAATGATGCACTACTCGATGGGCTTGACGATGTATTCTTATGAATTTTCATTGTATATGCTACCGTTAGATGCTTCTAGGTATAGTGCTTCTAAAGATTACTAGTCGAAGTTTGACTTAATAGTTGCAGAGTAGGTGAATATCCACAGTTTGGTTGCAAGCAGGTCATCTTAACCATAGGTGGATTACTATCAAGTATCAATCGTGAATATAATAGCTTTGTGAATATTATCGACGTTGTCAGTTGCCAGCATCTGTCCTAGAGGCTAGAGCCAGAGTAGTGTAGGATCAATATCCTGAATAGGGGTAGGCAGTGTTGGCAAACTTGGCTCATTATGAGTATCATTGCTATTATAGCCCTTGAGCTCTGTTGGTATATCTGATAATGACGAGTCACTCATTCTAAGGATAGTTATTACTATATACAGCATCAAGACAGGTCTCACGATGTTTGCAAAAAGAGGTCTTGGCTACCCTTAGCTACTCTTAGCATATATCTGGATATATACTCTAGAGTATCTAGATATGCTAGATACTCTTCAAATATCAAAGGGTAGGTATATACTCAAGATATACCTAGATACTACAGGTATATTAGTATCTGTGCTAAACACTAGAGAGAATAAGGGGGCAGAAATCTTCTATGGTCATGTGGGATTTGAGCGCTATCCTGTTGTCATGGATGGGGGTGAGAGTGGGGAGATCAGACATAAGGTGATTTGCATGGTTTAGAAATCAAGGCAAAGGGTGCATTCATGCCTCTTCAACTACATTAGGAAGGGAACTAGACAGGGAGTTAGAGTGGTGCTAGGCACAAGTGGAGTTTGGCTTTCAGTCTACAGTACAGTATCATCTTGTTAAGTCGATACACAATTAGTCGATTTTCTAGATAACTTAATAACTTTCTTCAGATCTTCCATTCATCATACAAATCATGATACACACGATATTAAGCCCCTTTTCCCAATTATAAACTAATTATTAGACTAGTCTTAGAATACCTTCAAAATGCCTTCGAAAAAGCTCTATTCTATGACTCTCGAACAGCGAAAAGCCCTCTGAACCTAGCATCAATCTCACCCACACAAAAGGCCACTATACAGTGGTTCATTAAGCAATACAATCATCAACTTAGCCAATCTATAGTCTTATAATCCCTTAGCTCTCAATTTTCAGACCTTAACGATACTCCTAATACTCTAGAAACAAACAGCTCTAAAGCTTAGCATCACGACGCTGTCACTAGCCTAAATTAGAAGCTGCTCTTTACGACTAGCAGAGGCTTATTAAAGAGCGTAGCAGCATTACAACTACAGAAATCTTACAATCAAAGGCAAAGATTATCTAGAATCAGCTACTATAATACCGTGGACTACCTATGCTAGAATGTAGCTGCGGATGGATCATAAAGTTTTGACAACAGCATAATATATTATATCAAACTCTACACAGCAAAGCTAGATCTATTAGTGTCACTGTAGAAGAACAAATGAAGGCTATACAAACTATTATTACAGGGGAGTTATTAGAGGACAATATTTACAACATGCATGAGACTAGGCTTTACTAGAGGATGAGCCCTTTAAAGGGCTTTATAACACGATCAATTCTAGGACAGAAGAAGGACAAAGCACTTATATTAGTAGCCATTTGTGTTAATACTGCTAGAACAGATTGACTTCCTCTTTGATTTATTAGAAAGACTAAAAAGCCTCGAGCTTTACAACATGCAAATGTAGGGGTAATAGGTGGGGTTTAGAGGTGGAATAAGAAGACTTAGATGAATCAATTTGTTATAGCAGATTGGCTAAATGCTTTCTATACTCATATTGGTACATCATGTTCTATACTGCTTACAATGGATAACTTCTCAGACTATATCGCTGTAGTGGAATTGACACCTCCTCTAAACATATGAATTTCTAGCTTCCTCTAAATGTGAATAGTTGATATCAACCTCTTAATCAAGGTATTATAGCCTCTTTAAAAAGCTATTATCATCAGTAATGGCTCGAGTTCATGCTCGAATCTTTTAGCAACAACCTAGATCTAATCAAAACAATGACAATACACTTTGCAATTCGCTAGCTTATTTGATCATGACATCATGACATTACAAATACGACTATCTACAATTGCTTTCGAAAAAGCACAATTCTTTTATGCCTAATACAGCTTCCTATACACCTACTTCCTGTTCTAAACAACTTATATACTCAAGTACAACAAGCTGGTCATATATCAGATGCTATGGACCTTTCGAACTTTTTGAATCTAGTGAGGGAATACAAGAGGTGGAGGGAGGCTTAGATGAGGACACAATTCTACAGGAGGCGATGGCTCTATATATATAGGTTTCCGATGCTCAAGATGATGATGATGAGGAGCCCTAGCGTCCTGTGCTTACTACACAGAATGCTATACAAGCCCTCTAAGTTCTGATTAAGATCACAGATCTAGCATCATTTCTGCGCTCTTTAGAGCGCGTGGAGAGGCAATTAGTGGCTAAACAGGCCAATGACTTGGTTCAAGGCACGTTGGATGGATGGATGGTTTAGCTGAGGGGCTACTTCGGGTCTACTTCGGATCACTTTTTAACTCGATATTACTATAACTCGATAAATTTATGCATGACCAATTACATCGACTTAACGAGATAATACTGTAGCCATTCCACCGAAACACGGGGTGTTACGACGGAACGAGAACGCTGGCCAACTACAGGAGGAGAAGAGGGGAGGTTGCATGAGACCGGGGCAGCGGCGAATAGTTGGGGTCAAGTTAGGCGGCTTGGCAAGGCGACACAGGTTGTTGTGCCAGATCTGGCATGTGCACGAGGAGGATGGCTCATGTTGTAGGACCATTGAGATTTGGAACACGGTCCGTAGCCTTCGTGTCTCGTGAGGAAATCTGGAGAGAACTTTGGCTGTCTCGTCACCATCAGTCTCGCAATTCCTGAAACCGGTGGAATATGTGACGGGGATTAGTTTTCGGCAATGGCCAAGCGGAATCCAGGGATTATGTCCCGGCCGTTAGATGTCGGGAATTTAACTGGGCAAGCACCTATACTATGTGAAAGGCAAGTCCGTAGTTTCAGTAGTATGCAATTCAATACCTTACGATTCAACAGCAGTGCCTCGACAAGTACGGAAGGGGCCATAGAAGTATGCAGAGTTGGCCCTTGGCCGGAGTTGTACGGTGATTTCTATGGAATAAATTGGTTCAGTACTCGTATAAGTTATATCTTGCGCCATCATGCAGCAATCTAGTCCACCAACCGATCGATTAGATCAGACCCATTCTTCGATAGGGTTGCTCTAGCCAAAGAACGCAAGGAAGAAGGTGCACATCATTTATGTAGGTGAGGTATTCCAGACGCTCAGACAACGTTCATCAGAGCAGCGCAAAGATACGTCTCTGGTAATAGACCGTTCACACTTCTACATGGCTTCGTTTCCTAGCGGCTTTTGCCCAGACAACGGACCTAATTTCTATTAGCAGTCCCTACTGTGAAGGAAACGCAGAGGCGCATAAGGATCATATACGCACACGTTATAATAGGCGTGCGTACGACGATTACAAAGCCCAGTCTTCATCCAGCCTAGGGACGCCTGGACCTCGGCATACTCCCACTAATAGCAAACACAATCAGCTAGAAGCACAGGAACAAGAACATTTCTGCGACGTACCCCCCATAACTCTCGTCAGGAGAGCCATTGCCCAAACTTCTTTTCCACCACTTTATCGAAACCGGCGCCTACAATATATTCCCTCGCCAAGTCAGCTATGCGGAAAGTCTTTCCAAACTTTTCGCCAGCTTCAACGAAGGTTCTTGACCACACCGAGAAGACGTGGTCGTTAGTGACAGTACCATCGTCAGATTTGAAATCGATAGACATCTCTAACTGCTCAATCCACCCGCCTGGTTTTAAATGCCCATGTTATATTAGAATACGTATGAGAAGGGATAAGACTCAGCATACTTAAAGACTTCTGTGTAGAACGCAGGCCAGTCTGCAGTTCGCGGCGACGAACAAAGGCTGGATATAGAATGCAAGGAAGTTAGCTTTTGCGGTGCCAAAATAAAACGAGCCCTTGTGCAGGAGAAGCAACATCTTACAACTGGGATGTCGGATTCAGGCTCAACTGGCGGCGCAACAGGCAGCTCAACAGGCTCAGCAGGTGGGGCAGACATGTTGTTCAATGAAACAGAGAGGCCACTGAGCCTTCGGTCTTTGCCATGGAAGAACAATAAGAATGATACAGTTTTCTTTTGAGTACGCGCGCGTTTGCATGGGTTTTCCCCACGTTGAAACAGTCACCTACATAGTGTCCAGCCCCAGTGTCGGTTGTTGAGTCAAGGCCTCACGGCATACGGAAGTGAATCCGAGTGGTCGGATACCACAATATATAGAGCCATTGCGGCAAGAACCGCTCGCAGACGGAAATAGTATTTGATAATCGAGTATATGTAGCCCATTGTGCACAGTGGCACAAAGTTCCTTACCTCTGCGCTCCATCACCATAATTGGTTGTGACCTAATCGGCCATCAGTCAATCATGTGGCATAATATCTCTCTAAAGTGGCATATTCCCTCGAGCATTGGATGTGACAGATAAATTTTTTTTTTTTACATCGGACAAACAATGACGGCAAGTAGTCTCTTCTCTAGCATCTCGGCTTGGACCAGCTGCCTCTCCACAGCAGCAATCTGCTGGTTCTTGGGCGTCTTCGTGTACCGACGCTGGTTTCACCCACTTGCCAACATTCCAGGCCCGACACTCGCGGCGGTGACGTATCTCTACGCATTCTTCTTTAGCAATGTTGGCGGCAGCAGATATTATGCACAGATTGAAATGCTACATCGGGAGTATGGTACGGTGTTCCAGTTTTATGATCAGCCTGTGACATTTTTTACCGATTTCTCATGTTTTGAACAGGACCCGTTATCCGAATAACCCCCGACGAGATCCATCTTGCAGACCCGGATAACTATGAGACAATCTATCATGTAGGATCCAAGTACTCAAAGAGCTCTGCTTTCTACCGCGCCTTTGGATCGAACTCGGCCGCTTTTACCACTGCCAGCAACGAATTGCATCGTATCCGTCGAGCAGCTTTGAACCCTCTATTCTCACGCAAGATGGTACTCCAACTCGAAGAAGTCGTCCAATCAAAGGCCCAGAAACTCTGTCGCCGACTGGCGGAAGCTCTGGTGGCCGGCCAACCGCTCGACCTTCATCACGGCTTTCGTGCGGTATCTGTAGACGTAATAACCGACTACGCGTTCGATGATTGTCATAACCTCCTTGACCGTGCAGACTTTGGTGTGGATTTCTTCGCCATGGTGAGGGGCCTTGGCCCTGCGTTCTGGTTCTTTCAACAGTGGCCATTTATTCAGCCACTTGCACTAAAGACTCCAATGTGGTTGGCGAAGATTCTGAGCAAGCCACTCCGGAGCTTCATGCAGATGCAAGAGGTACCGTATATCTAAAGTTTCGCATGAATAGTCGCTCACTGTCCCGTTGTAGGATTGTCGGAAGCAGATAATTAGCGTCAAGGCACATATGGATGCTGGGCAGGACAAATCGAAGTCTAGGACCACAATGTTTTATCATCTCCTCAATCCGGATGCTGCTGAAGGGCACGTTACGCCATCAGTGGATGAGCTAAAGGATGAGGCGTATATTATCATCGCTGCGGCTGCTGATACTACCGGAAATGCTATGACAATTGCATCATATAATATTATCTCAAACGAAGCCATCTATCGCAAGCTTGCCTCTGAATTAAGAGAAGCCTTTCCAGATCCCCATGCTAGTCTGGATTTTGTCCTGCTGGAAAGGCTTCCTTGCCTAGTACGTTCACTACGGGCGAGTATGTCGAGCCTTTACTAATATTTACAGACCGCCGTGATCAAGGAAGCCCTCAGGTTTGCCCATTCTACCGCATCTCCGTTTCACTTTCTGATTAGAATGAACACTAATGTTGTCTAGATTATCCTTTGGTGTTATCGGACGGCTTCCAAGATTAACACCTGAGCCCGGTGCAGTCTTTAATGAGTATGCAGTCCCTGCCGGTGTACGTCTTAGTCGCCAATTTCTATCCCAGGCGAATCCCTTTTTCGAGCTACAGCACCCGCGGTTTGCTGACAATATATATAGACCATTGTTGGAATGAGCTCGTGGACAATGCACCGGAACGAAAATATATTTCCTTCGCCTGACAAATTCGATCCTGAGCGATGGGTCGATCCCGAAGCCGCTAGGTTCCTTGACAAGTATCTTGTTCCATTTGGGAAAGGCTCGAGACAGTGTGTGGGGATGCCGTATGTGTCCCCGTCTCCTCCCTACAGATTAGAACCCTATTGACTTGCTGATCTGATATAGCCTTGCGTATTGTGAACTCTACGTCACCTTGGGAACCGTATTCCGGCGCTTCGAAAGACTCAGCGTCTACGAGACCGGCCCGGAAGATCTGGTGTATGATGATTATTTTTCGTCGTACCATCCAAATGATGCGAGAAGGTTCCATGTTGTTGAAGTATCGAAGGCATGAATGGCTGGTTGATTTCAGTCGTCAGCAACAGATCGAGACTTTCGCCTGCTTTCGCCGTCAACTCATACTTCCTCTTGAATCTCTTCTAGCGTAGTTTCTACACACAAATTCGTGTGGTAATCTCCGATCACCGTAATCCATCTCTTCGGGCAACGGAGCGCTTCACAGTAGAGTACAGTAAAATATAATATAATCAAATTGAATTACTACCTAATCTACGGGCCTACAAACGCTATTTGTAGCCCTGGGAAAACCCCCAAAACCCTGACGAGCTGAGCTTTCCGGGCTCAGCTGAGCCCGAATCACTGGCTCCCAATAGCCTGGTGCCACTGCCTGACTCGTGAGCCAGAAATCCGAACTCCAACTTCCCGTAGCATGGAAGAAACGAGGGCTGTACATTTTTTGAAATGAGAGACAAATGGGGCGATCACTTTGTTGTCACCACTCAATGGGATATCTAGATGTCAGTTCGGCAGTATCGACTGGTGCCAACCTTATCGAACGGTGCCGCCATTCCTTAACTATCTCCAGCCTCTGCTGGCTGCATCGATAGCAAGTTTGTCTCAATGTCGTCGAGTAAATTGATATAAACAAAGCTGCACCCCACCATACTGCACATCTCTAAACGCCCTTGTGCTTGCAAAACCATCTTCCCCTCATCAACTTCCAAACCCAGACTCATTCATCCCATGTCCATCAAAGAATGCACAGGTGATCATCTCCATCCCATCGCGACCCCGCAAAACAGATGCGAGACCCTCATCCAACCTTCTTGGCACTGTGGCAGCCTTTATGCTATCCACTTATTGCTTCTCTTTACGCCCTGCTTGCTCCGAACCTTCTGGGTTGCGTTTCCCTCGATATTTCGCATCAACATCATGTGGCAACATATTTATAGGGGTTGGAAATGAACTCGTCTGACCACTATTTAGTAAATATCTTCAAAATCAGGAGTGAACCTACGATTTCTTTCTTGGATGGTGGAAAACATGGGTTACCACGAGATACGTAAGTGTAATAGCGCTCGGAGGCTCGGTGTCACAATTAGATCAGGCGCTTAACTCCGCAACGAGCCGAAACTGGGGGTCATGACACCCTGTCCATGCTTCGGTGTATTTGTATAGCTCATGGCCTGAATCAGACCTTCTCATCTTACCAGGACTCAGAATCCCCGTACGCCTCTGTTTCTCACAACCAACATGCTCTGACATAGGATTCAACACTATGTTCACTTTCAACAATCTCCCATTCGAGATTCGTGCTCAAATACGGAAGCTTACAGTTGAGCCCCGAACTGTCGAGGTTACCATCCTCTGGGAGGAAAGGCCCTACCGTCTAGCCTCGACAACGCCTATGCCAGCAGCACTAAAAGTCTGTCAGGAAGCCCGTAACATGGAGCTATACAAGCAAGTATTCTCCGAGCTTGGTGATGGGCTGCGCTATGTCTGGCTCAATTTGGATATTGATATGGTTTCTATCAGCAACAGGGTTTCGTTCCCCTTCAAGCCAGTTGCGCACATGATCAAGCGGCTTAAGTTTCAGCGCGGAAACCAGGAGGAATGCTTCTACCATTTTGAATCGAAAGAAATTCGGACATTTGTCAACGCAGAGGAGATTCATGTAATCTGTGAGGATGGATATGAGAATTGGGGTGGGGCTACGTATGAACACTCCTGGCCTTGCGCATTGGAAAACATCACCTTCTTCGACGTGGTAGATGGCCTGGTGATGAGGGGCATTGAATTGGAAGAAAAGTATGAAGCATGGTATGAGGGAGAGAGAGCATGGACGAGTTGTGGAACACGACGAAAAAGAAGCATCACGTGCCAGGCACCACCCACAGCCCCGGGTCACATGACATCACCACCCTCGATTCCAATCACAGAACAAAATCCCTAAGCTCCTGCGACAGCAGCCAATCAGCACCCTTCACTTTGAACCCCCCACTTAATCCACCCCCATCCATGGCGTCGGCGTCATCCCACGTGATCGCATCAATCACAGCCCCGCTTAATTTCTGCTTGGTAAGGCACCCAACCAGCAAATCAAGGCGGATTGCGTGATCGCGCTGGATGGGGGATGGTGTGGATTGCGTGCTTTTCCGAATTTATTTTCACAGCGGGCGCGGGTTTTATGGAGAGTTACTTTGGGGGGCGGCGATTGGAATTATGTACTTTTATCTGAGAGGGTGTATTTTATATGGGATGGGAATGAATACAAATTGAAAGAAGGTGGTGATGAGGGAGAGGGCGTTCTTTATGTAGTGATGGTGGTGGATGTGAGAATGTGAGAATCGTTACAATAAGAGTGAAAGAACGCAATCAGTCTACGCTCAGTCTACTGCGCACTTACCTTTCAATCTAACTAAGGGTACTTCTACCAGTACTTCCCTTCAGGCTCAGTTTCTCATATCTCCTCCGAGTACCTTTCACGCCCCTTCCTCGCCCCTCGCCCCTCTTCCCCACAATACACCATAGCACGTCTTACTTCCCACGATCTCTCTCCCCCCCCTCGGACACCCTCGGAATGGCCCTCGAAGACGCCATCTTGCGTGCCACTTCGCCGTCTTTCCCAGGTCTAGGCCGAGTAACAGTGAGATCATTGTACTTCCTGAGCTATAGAGCAGAGTAGAGTGTACTTCCCCCGGATAGGTAATCTGCTGTGAGAAAAGCCGTTGCCTTCAGCCGTTTATGCGAGTGTGGGTGTGCGTGGTCGAGGTGGTGTGGACTTCATATGTGTGCGCTCCATAGTAGCCACCGCGGTCATTGACATCTGACATATTCCGTCCCAGCTGGCTCCCTTGAAACCGCCCCGCTCTTCCTCTTTCTCTTTCTCTTTCTCTCTCCTCTATTTCCCTCTCCTCCTTCTCTCCTTCTCTCCTTCTCTCCTTCTCTCCTTCTCTCCTTCTCTCCTTCTCTTCTTCTTCATCTTCCATAAACCCGGTTCTGATTATTCTCCCTCCTTCGACTTTGTCATCATCCAACTCTCTGTTGCTGGCATTGTCTACATTATTCATCAGACTCTTGACTGCAGTCTTTTGTTCATGACCGACTTATAAGAAGCACACATACTCACACGACTACTCACCCCTCACATCACCCATTCAACCCCTCGATCTACCACGCACACACTCGAAAAAAACATCATCTCGACTCAACCAAAACCAAACCAGAGATCGAACATCACATACCTGAAAACACACCCACACATACACACAACCCACCGACCAATCTCACGATGGGCTCCTCCAAAGACACCACGAGCGACGCCGAGTCCGGCTACGCCTCCGGCTCCTCCTCCCGCGCAACCCTCCCACAAATCACCTTCACCAAGCCGCAACTAAAGCACATCAACTCCCAACTCTCCCGCATGGAACCCCTCGCCATCCTCCGCTGGGCCAAGACCACCCTCCCCTCCCTCTTCCAAACCACCGCCTTCGGCCTCACCGGCCTCGTCACCATCGACCTCCTCTCCAAGCTACAAGCCGAGGACCCCTCCTCCCCCCCCGTCCCCCTCATCTTCCTCGACACCTTCCACCACTTCCCCGAGACCCTCGACCTGCTCCAGCGCATCCAAGCCCGCTACCCCGACGCGGCCCTCCACACCTTCTCCCCCGCTGGCCTCGCCAACGCAGAGGAGTTTGAGACCCGCTATGGTCCCAAGCTGTGGGAGACGGAACCAGATCTGTACGACTGGGTCGCCAAGGTCGAGCTCGCCGAGCGCGCATACTCCGATCTCAGCGTCGCGGCAGTCCTCACCGGCCGCCGTCGTTCGCAGGGCGACAAGCGCTCCGATCTCGGTATTCTTGAAGTCGACGACGCCGGGCTGGTCAAGTTGAACCCCCTCTTCAACTGGTCATTCGCGCAGGTGAAAGCGTATATCGATGAGAACAACGTGCCGTACAACGTGTTGTTGGACCAGGGATACAAGAGCGTGGGAGACTGGCACAGCACGCAGCCTGTTGCGCAGGGAGAGGATGAGCGCGCTGGAAGGTGGAAGGGACAAGAGAAGACGGAGTGCGGGATTCATAATAAGAGAAGCAAGTACGCGGTGTACCTCGAGGAGATGGAGAGGAAGGCCAAGGCAGAGGCCGAGGCTGCTGCGGCGGTCGCCCCTACGCCTGTGGCGCCTGTGGAGATCGCGATCTGAGCGAGGATCTGAGCGGAGTGGATTTTTTGCTTCATGACGGCGTTTTGGGAGCATAAAGTCACGGCGTTGGCGGATATCTTGGGGTTGGGCATAATATTGGCCGTATTCCGTGGAGAAGCGGGATAGATTTTGGGCGAAAGAGGCATGAATATAGATGAATTCTGATGGCACTAGGGGAGGAGAGAGGTTATACATAGAAAAAGGAAGAAGAGTGCTACTTCAAAATTGTCTTTTTGATGTGTATAAGTGCCTTTTGATGATGAAGTAGGAGAGAAGTGAGGTTTGTGAATTGATCTTGGGAAGGTGAAGGTTGTGATGGATACAGGGCGCCCATCACGTGCGGAAGGGTTAGGGGACCTTATCTACAGCGGGGTCTAGCGGCTCGGCACGCTTCTTATCGGTCCAAGCTCCGCCGCCTTCAACCACAACCGCCCAACGACGTCTGTCAGATATAGAGACAGAAAATATATATCTTCATCCCTGGCCATCCCATCATGCCAGCCCATGAGCACTGCAGAGACAGCCAACTCGATGGAAAGAAACCAAACCCCGAACGAAACCCAACACCCGAATCGTGACGAGTCGACGTGCGATGACAGAGCTGATACCAAACACCATACTACAAAATAACCAAGGAGAACTCCCAATAAACCCCAGTGTAACACCCCACAATTCCCGTAATACACTGCCAGAAAGATTTGCCCCGTGGTCAGCTCCTGCCTCGTTGCCGATCCAACCCTCCCCAATGATCTGTCTCACATCTAAGACAATGAGCCAACGGCTATGGGTTTCTTCGCCGCAAAAAAAGGGGGTAAATGGTATTTGGACTCAACACTACCAAGGCCGAGGCAGATCTATCTAATATCTCTAGCTACCTTCGAGTGCTCATCAATAAAGCTATATAATGGCGCCGGGACGACTTACCCTTCGAGGGTCCTGAGTGAAACAGATGTCTAGCACCAGAGTTATATATCGACCCCCCTTCCTCTCCCTTTCCCAGCAACGCAGATAAAACGCCCTCGCATCACTTTCTCCCGCAGTAAATTTACCACGCTAATATCCATCACATCACAGCTCCAAGCCGCCAGCATTTACACCATGAAGCCCTCCTTCGCCATGTTCCTCCTCTTCGGGCTCTCTGTCGCGAGTCCACTCACGGTCCTCCTCGTGGGTGTCTGTGTCGCCCAGGGTTGGCCCTGTAATGTGGCTTCGGATTGCTGTGGTGATCTTATTGTTCATCGTGACTCTTCTGCGCCCTGTGGTTTGAAGAATGAGGTGGATGCTTGCTAATGCGGGTGTGGGTGTAGTGTGAAGTCTGAATTCGTCCCTCTAGAGGTCTCGGGGAGTGTCATAACTCCGGTTTGAACGATGACAGGCACGCGGCGCCTCGGCCGTGTTAACACCGGAGTTTGCTACACAACAAGTTGGGAACGCCGAGATGTAGATGTCTGTCTGAGCGCGCCAACCTTTATTTGTTTGCGAGATGCGACGAGGTGGAATGGGTAAAATAGTCTCAGATCAAAACGCAACGGCCCGTTCTAGCGCGCTGTTCTAGATGAACTTATCTCAAACGCCATGCGTTGTATGGAGTTTTCTGTTGTAACAGGGTTTAAGCTCGGCCGACGAAAAGGGGGATGGGGATCGATGGAAGCTTACTACAAATGTTTACGAGAAAGTACGGGTAGTGACAAATAAACTTGATATTTATTTAGCGCTGATGCAGAAGGGGAAGCCGAGGCGTTCAGTGATACTGTAACACGGCGCCCTACAGGTTGCATGGTGGTATAAATTGAGCTCTCGTGAATGATCTATTTGTGGGGTGGCGGGGTTTGGATCTCGATACTAACTGTTATATCCATTTCTACCTGTAGCATTACTGCCACTTCCCAGTAGAGCCGTGACGCACAGGGCTGAAATAGTGTTCAGTTTTCAAAGGTTACTCGGCTGATTGTCACGAGAGGTGGGGTATGGCACATGTAACTATCTTCAACTCAAGATGGCGGCGGTACCAGGCAAGCCACGTTTGCTAATGGCATTAGATGTACAGTGTTTCACAACTAAAGCATGGAATCCGACAAATTTCCCAAAAGATAGAATTAAAAATATCTCTCTAGCAGACTAGATTACCGTTTCCAACTAACTTTGCCAACTGTCTCCCCCTGTGCTTACATGAAGCTCTTCCTCGTCCTCCCCACCCATAGCCGTTCCAGTAGCCGCAAGTCCCCATATAGAACCAACAGGACCTCTACGGTCTCGTGGACAAGTGGGCAAGTTCTGTGGCAATGGATACAGGAACTGCTTCTCTTGTTTGTTCTGCCAAATGTACGTTTTTTGCCCCTTGCATTAGTAAAGCATTTTAAGTTTTTCTGGCGTTTGCCCAACTTTAGGTTCTTGATGATCATACATGTTTTTATATTTAGTATATAATAGTAAAGCAAATGGGGAAACTGCTGTATATAATGTAGGAGTTGAGAGATATGGCAAGGTGTCATCGGGAGGGGGGTGGTGTCCTCAGGTCGTCGTATGAAGTTCTCTTAACTGAGTTTAAGCTCGTCCAACAAAAAAGGTGTTGAGGGGTTAGACTAACTTCATCATATCCTTGAATGAATGAAAGGTTTGGATTTTAAATAGGGCAAAAGATATATTTACCCTGTTTGCCCCCTGTAAAGATCTATATGCCCTGTTTCTGAAAAAAATCTATCTACCCTACACGCGACCCTAAAACTCTCTAAACCTTCCTATCGCTACCATGCTATCGCCTCATTTCTACCACCTTACCGTCACGACCTTGCTATTAACCCCCTTCCCATTTCCTCTAATATAGCCTCCTATTTCCTCTATCATAAACCCCCTCCCTTACTACCCCTTACTAATAGAGGTAAGGGCAAAAGATCTATTTACCCTGTTTGCCCCCTTGAAAGATTCATCTACCACGTGCTAACTATTAATAGATATTCTCTACTAATTTGGCTTACCGCCTCTACCCTTACCATTACAGACCTCCTATGTGTCCCCTTCATAACACGGGTTCTATAACGTAACGGAGGTGAAAAAGGAGCGTGTCTAAGGGCGCTCATTAATAGTAGTAAGCTATAACATATGGGCAAAAGTTTTATATACCCGGTAAGTTCATAAATAAGTTTTATATACCATGGTGATTCTTACTAAGCAGGAAACCTGTAACGTGTAAGCCCAGGGTCTCACGGGAGTCCAGGGAACCAGGTCAGAAGGCAGGAAGTGAGATCGTATTGCAAGACAGTAGGTCTATGTATGTACAGCGACTATCAGCTGGAGGCCTCTGTAAGGCGGCCCTCACGTGAGGGCACATGAGGTGCCACGCTCTTACAGTGGACCTGGCAGGCTCAGTAAATTAGGGCCTACGGGTTCCTGTATATAAGGGGCTGGAGGCTCGGAGTGAGGCCTCCAGTCAATAGTCGCTGTATCAGCGTAGACCTATTGTGCTTCACACCAATATAACCCTTACTTCCTGCCTCCTGACCTGGTTCCCTGAACTCCCGTGACACCCTGGGCCCTACGCCTTTACAGCCTCCTTCTGAGGCTTCCAGCTCCTTATATCCTACGTTCCTACATGCCCTAGTTTACCGAGCCCTAGTGGCTCCACTGCCAGGCAGCCCCTGAGTTCAGGGTGGCCTCACATGATGGGCCGCCTTACAATTGCCTCCCCTTCTGCAGGATTGTCCTCTTCCGAGGCGGCAACGAGTATGGCCTTCTGCAGAACATTTCTTCAGCATGAAGGGAAGCTTCTTGGCTGGTGGCTGGCAGGGTCCCATGGTAAAGGACTGCGCGAGCGAGGGAAGTAGGAACGTTGAAGAAGGTGTAGATCCTGGATAGAAGCTCAACCAACTGAAGATCGAAGAGCGAGAGCGAGAGCGAGAAGCAAAGGTCAAACGATCGGGGAGGTGTAGGAAAAAGGTGGACAAGAAGAAGGAAGGTGGGCGCGACCGCCTACGGAGTGGTCACCAACCAACAACAAGGGGGGTCACGGGACCACCCTGCCTAGCAACCACCCCAAGGATTAGGGCGAACAGCCCAAACAAATGCAGATGCTTGGTTCCTCTGACTGCGAGGCGCCCATGATGCCCACTCCCTTTGGTTCTGTCACGCTGAACCAACGTCCTCGATCTGTCGCATCGAGCCAACGCCCTCGCGCTATCTGCCCCTACCACTCTTCTTCTGTGGAGGAGGAGGTGGAGGGGCCTGAGCTACCTGGGTCTTCTTCCTGGACATCTTACTGACCCTTCCCGCAGTTCGAGTGAGGCCCACGCCTCTTGCGCCTTCGCCAGCAGGCCCTATCCTTATGCCTGCACCAGTGGATTGTGATTGCGCCCTTCTTGAGCGGATGTTTGTGGGACTAGAGAAATGGGTGTACAACGCCCGTCCTCCTGTGGTGGTCGGGTCCCCTTCGCTAGTGGGTGGTGGGTCGGTTTCTGTGTTGCCGTCGTCGTCGCCCTCTTCTGAGGGTAGTGGTTCCTCGTTGGACTCTGACACTTTCTTCTTTCCGTAGTATATAGGTTACATACTACTACGTTGTTCTGACTCTGTTCCTCTCTGCTTGCTCCTTGTGATATGCCTCAATTAACGGTAGCCCTACGTCAAACTTTGGAACCCACTGATCATCAGTGGCAGTGTATCCTGCCCACCTAATCAGGTATTCTTCTCGAGTTCCTCTGCCCTTTCACACAGTCCTGTGGTCTAGGACTGTTTCGACCCTGTATTCTTCTTCCCCATCCACGATCTCTGGGTCGGGTGGAGTATCGGCCTTCTCTACGCGTTCCCAGTACCTCTCGAGTAGGGAGACGTGGAACATATCATGAATCGCCTTATATCGTGGTGGAAGCTTCAGCTGGTATGCTTGTTTACCTATCTGCTGGATGATCTCGTATGGCCCAAGCCACCAGTGCCCCAGCTTCCTGCTTGGCTGGGTGATCCTGATATTCTTGGCCGATAGCCACACCTTCTCTCCTACCATATACTGCATTGGTTGTGTAGCTTGTTATAGCCTCATATTTGGGCTTCCTTCGTCTGTTTCCATGCCTCTTCGAGCTCCTGTCACAATTCTAGGATCAGGTTGACGCGATCTTTCGCAACTGGCACTTCCCTTCTGGTGGGGTCGTCCTCGATCCCTTGTCTTAGGTCTATATTGATGCCGTATCGGGCATGGTTTGGCGACATCTGGGTGGAATTGTGGAAGGCATTATTGTAGGTCAATCCGCGAAGTGGAGGAGTTCCACCCAGTTGTCTTGGTGCTGATTACAGTGGATCTGCAAGTAGGCTTCGATATTCTGATTCTGCCTCTCGGTCTGGCCGTCAGATTGAGGTTGGAAAGCAGTGGACAGGTTACGCCGTACTTTGAGGTAGAAACAGAAAGCCGACCAGAAGTGGCATGTGAATACACTTCCCCTATCCGTTATGATCTCAGCTGGGATTCTGAAGTCCTTGCCCCAGAACGCTAGGAAGAGCCGCAGCAGTTCTGAGGCTGTAATGGTTTTGGACACCTTAGTATAACGATCTACTATCATGAGGATGGAGTCTGAAGCCTTGCCTTGGTCTGCCCCTACGCTTGGGGGCAGATCCGTGATAAAGTCCATACTTATGGATTCAAATGGTTTCGAGGGCATTCTCAAGGCCTGCATTTCGCCATACGGCCTGTGTCACACGGGCTTGATGCGCTGGCATCTACCGCAGCCCCGTACGTACTCCCTGGTTTCCTTGCTAAGGTCAGGCCAGTAGTATTTGCGTTGGATCAACTCTTGGGTTTTCATATATCCAAAATGCCTGGCCAGTGGGTCGTTATGGCAAATCTTGAAGATTTCCATCCTCACTGCCTGGTTGGGAGGTATGTATACCACTCCCTGGAAGCGTAGGATGCCTGCATCGTCTACTCTCCATCCTGGAGGGTCCTCTGCTCGCGCTGTCCCTGCATCCTTGGCCCTTTTAACAGCAAGCTCGTTAGCCGCCTGAAGGGTTTTGATCAAGTCTGGCTGATAGAATTGTAATGCGTAAGCCCAGGGTCTCACGGGAGTCCAGGGAACCAGGTCAGAAGGCAGGAAGTGAGATCATATTGGAAGACAGTAGGTCTACGTATGTACAGCGACTATCGGCTGGAGGCCTCCTTCTGAGGCTTCCAGCTCCTTATATCCTACGTTCCTACATACCCTAGTTTACCGAGCCCTAGTGGCTCCACTGCCAGGCAGTGTCATACTGACATTCGTTGCACTCAGTTTGCTATCAAACTCAAGAGCAAACTTGGAAATCTCCTCCTCAAACCTACAAGTCACTATACATATTTCGGCTTATCACACCAACAACAAGAGCAATACTACTCAACGATTGCTACAACCATCTATGATTCATTACACGTCATCGCTCCTTAGTTACTGGGCTGATATTACCACATAGCATATCTCTACAACCCTCTATGATTCATTACATGACATCACTCATACTACCACATGACATATCTCTACCAACTAGAGGCCTAGGAGCATGAACAATAGCTCTAAAAGCTCCTACGAACCTCTATGATTCATTACATGTCATCGCTCTTTAGTTACCCACAAGATTGGTTATGTTATGACATAATTTGTCTATGACATAATTTGTCTATGACATAATTTGTCTATAGGGGTACTCTGACCTTGGACCTCCTTTTACTTCCTATAGGCTACGAACCTAAGAGATGGTTCTATGGGATTCTCTACAGTTACCAAGCCTGGTAAGTCATGGAAAGTCTTGGAAAATGAGAGAACTACATTCCTTTAGCATAAATAGGATTGCCCTTTCCTTAAGAAAGGGCAAGCAGACAATACAGTAAATCGACTATCACATACTTCCACGTCTTTTCCAAGCTTCCAAGCATTCATCTTGTTACTCCTTGTTTCTGAAAAGTCAGTGAGGTGTTAACCTCTGACTTACCCCTGAGTTCCCAGACTCAACATTTGTTGCAACTTGTCTGAACCACTTCACTACATCACACACCTGATTGCTGCGTTGTGGAATAGTCTAAGCTACGACCCTTTGGCTCTGTTTTCTAAGACAGTGTGTTGTCTTAGTAAATTCATCCCTTCCTTGGGTGGCTAGATTCTCACATCTGGTGCACCCACCATTACAGGCAGCCCCTGAGTTCAGGGCGGCCTCACATGATGGGCCGCCTTATAAAACCACTCAACGCGCTGGGCGCGTTGCCTCCCTCCCTCGCGTTGCCTCCCTCGCCGTTGCTACCCCTCGCCGTCGCCCCAGCTGACTCGCTAGCCGCTGCCCTCACTGAAGCACTCGTCGCGAGGCATCGGAAGTCCTGAGCTCGTCTCAGGCCCACGAGGATGGCTTCTCTTGGCGAGCTGACCATTTCTATGAACAGTCAGCTCTACCTCGACCTAGACGCCTGGTCGAGAGCCCTTGACGACTGGGCCGAATGAGGCCGTCGAAAGGAGCGACAGCGAGGGGGTGATGGCGAGGGGGGCTATGGGGGAATTGGGGCATTTTTACTGGTCGCAGGGGGTTTCATATTATGTAGGGTATATAAAACTTATCACGTCAAATGCAGGGTATATAAAACTTTTGCCCATAACATATAGACTTACTATTACCTCTATTAGTAAGGGGTAGTAAGGGAGGGGGTTTATGATAGGAGGAAATAGGAGGCTATATTAGAGGAAATGGGAAGGGGGTTAAGAGCAATGTGGTGATGGTAAGGTGGTAGAAATGAGGCGATAGCAAGGTACTGACGGTAAGGTGGCAGAAATGAGTCACGACGCAAGGAGTCGGGACCAGCGCCGACTCCTTGGGAGAGCTTGGCACTTGTCTACCACAGCAGCCTATAAGTTGACCTTATTTTAAGAAAAACCGGCAACATCCCTTTGGCAAACGGAATTACTATCTCTTAAGCCTACTTAGTTCTTACTGCGATTTCATTGAACATGAGGCTGTTTATAACCTTTACAACCCTACTCCTCGGGTCAGTAGCTGCGAGCCCCCTCATAGATTTATCGGAGCCTTCGCAACCTTGCCTATCTTTAGGCAATCGCTGCGGTAGTGACATCGGCCACTGCTGCACTGGGCAATATTGCTTATATGTAGGGTTTCCGTCCCGTGGACTAGTAGAGGGTCTAATTATCAGCGGCATGCTAATGAATGTTCTCACCCAACTTTAGGAGTTTGACAAGCACGTTTGTGTGTTTGACCGGACTAAAGAAAACAGCTAAATAGAGAAGCTGCTATTTGAGGACAGGGCTACAAAATGGCAGTGTTAAATGGGATAGAAAGCTAAGTGTAGGTCCCTAAGTCGTTGTATGGAGTTCTCTCACAGAGTTTAAGCTCGGCCGACGAAAAGGAAGCAAGGGAGTTACTTTACCATGTACTTGAGTCAAATGGAGCATTAAGATTTTACTTAAGTCATTTATCAGCGCGAAATCCTTTGGAGTGCTCGGTGTTAACAGGTGTTCTCTTCGAAACCGCAGTCTATAAAGTGATCGGACGCTCCGCTGCCCCCTCCTACAACGTAAAAATTCACAAGAAACACCCTTTTAACAGACGAAAAACGGAATTACCTGTTAATCAAGCTCACGGTCCCGCTCCTCGGGTTAGCAAATGCGAGTCCATTTGTAATTACAGCAATATGAGTCTCGAGCCAGCTATCGCCGCGGCGGCGATGGACTCCTACTGTTGCGCTGGGTTTATCTGGTTATCTGTACGTCTTTGGGCCCTGAAATAGTCGAATGTCTGGTTATCGGCCGTATGCAATTTAATTTTCTTGTCTGACTTAGGTAATTCATACTGCTTTTGCATGTATGTTGTGGAGGAAAGAGGGAAACTGCTCTTGGGCAATGCAGGGTCATGGGATTGGATAAGATGTCGAAGGGAGGAGTCGCCATATTTTCTCTTGCAGAGTTTAAGCTCGGCCGATAAAAGGCGGGGAGGAGCTGTCTTTATCACGTCCATAAATAAGTGAAGGATGAGAAGTTTACACCTTTAAAGCTGTTCATCACACGCTATCATCCCAAGCATTGCGCACGTTGCCCAAACATGGAGCATGCGTCGTCCAACAAGTGTAACGCTCAAGCTCGCTTGCAGGTCAAACATGGCACAAGAGGTCGATTATGATCGCGATTGCTCCAACCAATGCTTACCAGTTCTGTTCGTCTTCGACAAGTGCGACGTCGTACCATCTGTCTCGCTGGAAATTTGTGGGACTGGAGAAAATGAGTTTAGTGTAACGGGTGTTCAGTACCACAGTCTATAAAGCGATCGAACCCTCCCTGGAGGCCCTCCCACTAACGCATATAAAGTGCCCTTGCCCCGTTCTCCCGCAGTAAACCTAGCATACACTTGCAGCGATCCAAAAACTGTCCCGCACCACAGCTCCAGCAAGCTGCCGCCATTTCAACGATGAAGCCCTCCCGCTCTATGTCCCTCCTCTTCTCTCTTCTCAGCCAGCCCCATAGTAAACTCAGCAGTTAACGCCTGCCAAGTGTTTGGGCGCTTGTGTTTTCCAGATTTACCTTGTTGTGAAAGGCGCCTGCCAAGTGTTTGAGCGCTTGTGTTTTCCAGATTTACCTTGTTGTGAAGGGCTTCAATGCGAGGTGATTCCCTTCCATACTGGTCATCTAAAGCATTGTGTCGCTAATATAGGTGTGGATTTGTAGAAGAGAAGATGCATTGAGGTAGAAAATTATTAGGATGCTGGAGGCAGCGGGGAGGTTCAGTCGTTTTATGGAGTTCTCTTCGAGAGTTTAACCTCTACCAGTTAAATCAAGGGGAATAGGAGGTTGATTTCTGCTATTATGCCTTTTGGTCAATAAAAATGACAATCTAGCTCTCAGCGGCCTTACTACATGTATGAACACGCCTTCTCACCCCTCTACCGCCCCACTAGCCTATCCATAACAAGGTCGTGTATCTAGGTAGCATAGCAAGACAGACTAGGCCGTTCCATGAATGATCCAACTCACATGAAGCGCCGTCCTTGCTTCCTCGCCCTCCCTTTCCTTGCCTTAACCCCTTGCCCTAACCCCTAGCCACAACACCAAAAAACAACATAATGCGCACGCATTTACAGTAAGGGATCAATGCAGTATAAGTTAGTGTCTTATAAATAACTAGGTCATGTAGTTGTGATCTCGATCCAAGAGCTGATTTGCGTTGTAGTTACACCAATTGTGACGCGTAGTGTATCACTCTTAAGACACAGGGACGGGGACAATTGGGCCTTTGGGTAGTACAGATAACGACCTTCAGAGTCAACGCAGCTGCTCTAGGCACTCTGAAACCGTAGGTGCTTCGCGCCAGGGTATATAAACCCCCCCAAGCCCCCTAAATGTAAACCAGTAGCACCTCTCATATTTTATCAAGTACTCATCTATCTACCTCTAATTTAGTCAACATACACCTAGCCCCTTCGCCGACATGAAACTATCAATCGCCCTTCCAGCCCTCTTTGCTGCTCTAGCAACAGCGACCCCTCTCAATAATATAGCAGTGATGGAAGACACGCTAGAAACTTGCCTGCCAAAATACGCTCAATGCACTGCTAAGCTTCACGCCCCTTGCTGCGCCGGGCTTAAATGCACATGGGTATGTTCCTTCCCTATAAACTAATACTACTTTTAATTATCGATTGACACACAATAATTGACGTTCTTTTTCCGACTTAGGATTGGAGTTCACGTGCTTGTGTCTAAGGGGTATGGAAGGCTGGTTGAGGGTCCTTGAGTCGTCGTATGGAGTTCTCTGACTAGAGTTTAAGCTCGGCCGGCGAAAGGAGAGGGTCCGGTCTCTAATTACTATGCCATTTGCTTATATGGGGATCAATCTCCATTGAATAGAGACCTGTTAGATCCATTGCCATCATTTCCAAGACTAAAATACGTATTACCACATCACCTATCTATTTCACACTTCCCAATATCAAATCCCCATCAGCCTTTGGTTTCTTCAATACCCTCTTCATACACCCAAAATACGTCGAGCTGGCCGGCATCAGCATCGCGCCCGCCTGCGCGATAAACAGCCACACTGGAATCCAATCCGTGTCCGACTCAATCTTATTCCTCGCCACAATCAGCTCCGTCCAAAGAATCAATGGCCATCCAACCAACAGCGCTGCCGCCGCGCCCACTGTGATCAAGGGGAATTTCCCCAAGTACCACGGCACCTTGTCCATCTCTTCCTTGGTGTACTTGGCCATCTTTACCGGCAGGTAAATGGACAAATAGAGACAGTTCAAGGCAAAGAGCGAGTCCGAGATCTGCCACACGAGGATGAACTTATGCCACCCCGGGCTCAGTGTCCTCCACCCGAAGAAAAAGAACTGGTACACCCCATACCCCTCCTGCTGGTTCGTCGCCCAACTAATCCACGCCGCCACCGTATTCAGAATAATCACACCCCCAGTACCAAGACCCAGCAGGATGCCCATGGCCAAGTTCCCCGAGGTCACGCCGCCGAGGTAGGTGAAGACGAAGAGGAGGTTAAAGTGTACGGGCAGCAGGGAGAGGGCGTGCAGCTGATGGCCCTGAATGGCATTCAGCCACATGATCTGGGTATACCAGTTGTAGGCGAGGAAACCAAAGTTGCTGGGACAGTTGTTGCCGAGGCCAGAGAAGAATTGGGCGGGGGCGAGCATGAAGCTGGTGTAGAGGAGCCAGCGGTTGAGGGGGCTGAAGCCGTTGACGATGGTGACGGTTGACATCGTTGCTGGTGATTGCAGCGGAAATAGAGATGATGCCAAAATATCCCAACAGCGACTCGACCTCAGTAACTGAAGCCTATTTGGGGCGGAGTTGGCGCTATATACTCAAACTGAAGAGACAGTGTAGCAAGGCTGGCAGATTAAGCGACGACGAATATTGGAGCCATGCAGGGAGGGGATGAAAAACAATAGCGCATCACGTCCTACTTTTTGCTGCTGAACAAGGCTTCAGCCTCGAATGGCGTCGGCCATATGAGTCTTTATTATCCTCGAATGGCGTCGGTCATATGAGTCTTTATTATCGACGGCTGGGGTACTGTAGAATTCGAGTATCCGCGCGCCAAGCCTCTCCTCCCTCCTCGTGTTAACCGCCAGACATAACCAAACCGCTTGCGTAATGGTGTAGATTGTCGTGCATATCGTCGTACTCTAGTGTTGGCTGTTTCCGGATTTTATTTAGATTTAGATTTTACAATCCGTCAATTCCGTCAATTCCGGCAATTCCGTCAGTAGAGTAATGCGAGTCCCGAGTACTACGGGATAGTCGTACCTTGGTACTCTAGTAACTTATCTAGTTGACGCGCGGGAGTCGGCAGGCGGCAGAGGGGAAGGACGGAGTCCGTAAGTTGCGGTGTGTACTCCATATATCTATCCTCCAGTACTTCGCCCACTACTTCACTACTTGACCACTTCATTCGCTCTTCGTTGGTCCTTTGCAAGGCGGCTGGCCGCCCAGTTGTTCTTCGCCCAGCCTTCTCCCCCATCCCCGCAACCGCCGCCCATCCCCCCCAACCGCCCGCTTGATTCGCTCCCGTCGACCCTGACACACCACTAACTTAGGCCACTACGCCAGTGATGTGGATGCCCGATCTGAAGCTAAGCCAAGTCACACCTACAACGACGACTCCAACTCAACTTCATCCTTCCTCCATCAACACACAAACAACACTACCACCACTGCTACACAGAAACATACAATCACGACAAACCAGCTACAGCTTCACCGACCGCTCATCCACCACCTCGCCAGCTCCATCACCGCCCACCAAACAGCCCATGCGCACCACAACTGCCCCAACCCGCTCCGCCTAAGCGCCTACCCGTCCCTCCACACCCGGCCTCTCGACCGATGCCACACCCCCCACCAACATAATGCCATCATCCCTCGCCGCCGACGCCGCCACCGAGCCCAGCGAGCGTCCCTCTGAGCGCCGCGCCCGCGAAAAACGCGAACGCGACCCCAACAAGCCCAAGAAACCTCGCTCCTCCAAGCCCCGACGTATCGATCCGGAGACGGGACTGCCGGTGCGTCGACGCAAGCGCGAGAAGGAGAAGGAGAAGGAGAGGGAGGGCGAGATGAATGTTGGGTCCGAGCCCAGTGCGTCGATGGCGGATCTGGTGCCCGAGCTGTCGAGGACGGCGTTGGCGCCGGGGGCGAGCAGGGAGACCTTGCCGCCGTATCCGAGTTTGAGTAAGGCGCATAGCAAGGATGCGGTGTATAGCAGGGTTGATCTGAATAAACCGGATGTGTATACGCCTGAGCCGACGGATATTGAGGCGCACAAGGCCAGGGGCTCGCAGGAGAGTTTGAAGGCGAAGGGCGCGAGAGGGTCGCAGGAGAGTCTGAAGAGGCAGGGGCCGCTTACACCGCCAGATACGGAGTTATCGGCGCAGAGGAAGAGTAGTACGTCGACGCCCGCAAGGGCAGCGAAGATCAGAGAGGAAGAGGCAAAAGGGTCGAGGCCCAGCTCACGAGGGTCGGAGAGGTCGTGGTTTGGACGCCCGAAGGTTATGAGGGATGATCGGTCGAAGGTATCTACGAAGTCGAAGGACTCGAGAGGCACGGCGAGGAAGTCGTCGAGGCCTAGGGTTGATGTCGTGGAGGCCGTGGAAGATGAATATCTCAGCGACGAGGGACAGTCAAGGTCGGGATTCGATTCCAACGCAACGTCTATTGCTCCGAAACGCACACAACCTCAGCAAGTCGCAGCGGGATTCGGACGACGACCACCAGGTCTAGATACCGACTCAGGACAGAGCAACCGCGAGTCTGCATCCCCACGCACACCCACAGCAACACCCAAATTCGACGCCCACGACCCCAAGAACTTCGCACGCGACTTCAGACCCACACCCTCGCCATTCGTGAATTTCGACGTGCCCGGCGGGGGACAACAACAATCCAACTTCAACTCACCCCTCCCCCCACCCCCGCCCCCACCACCCGTCGTCCCCATCAACATCCCCCGCGTCGACTACTTGATGCAAAACGGCGGCCTCTCCCGCCCCGTCCCCAAAGTCCTCCTCGCCGTAACCCCCTCCTACAACACCACCCCTTACCTTGGCCGCGCCTCCGCCCCCGCCCCTCCCGACATCGAAAAGGTCTTCGGCCCTTTCTACAGCCTCCTCGACCAGTACGAGACAGTGCTCGACAAAAACGGCTCTGTGGCTGTCGCAACAGGCTACCGCTCCATCGCGCGCAAACTCCTCGATCGCCTCGAAAACGTCTTCGCGCGCGAACTCTCCGCCGAGGGATGCACGTGCATAATGTGCAGCTCCGACCCCGACGCGCGCCTCTACCACGCCCGCGCCCTAGGCTGGGGCGACGTGCTCGAATGGGTCAGCGGCCGGCGCAGTCTCCCCCCCTACCCCGCCTTCGATTTCGGCGCCACGACAACCGGGCTGGGTCTCCCCTCCCCCCTAACAGACGATGGTCGTCCTTCCTCACCCCAGAAAATCGACCCCGACATCGCCGAGGAGTTCCGCGAACACTATCTGCGACAGAGCAAGAAAACCAAAGCAGTAGTGGATAAATGGCTCTCCGCCACCCCGGGCACCGCCGCCCCTCCACCCCCAGACATCGACGACGACACGCTCTCCTTCACCGTCCTGACCCACCTCCCCACTCCCTCCCGCCCCATCTTTTCCGCCCTCCTCGCTGGCTCCGCCACCGCAACCACGACTCGCGCCCCCACCCCAGCGCCAAAAGTCCGCTCCGAATTCATCGCCAAGACAACCCTCGCAATCCAGCGCCTCTACCGCCTCCCCACCGCACCGCGCGATCCAGAAGCTGCGATTTACCTCCTCCATAACCCTTCCTTACACCACCTCCTCACCACGCTGTCGCTCATCAATATTGCGGAGTGGGAAATTCTGATTTCGGGGCGCTTTGACGGGTTTCTCTGGTCCGGCGCGGATCTAGACGCCGCTGCGACGTCCTCTCCTTTTTCTGATCCAAATTTCCCCTCCCCGCCCTCCCGCGGCCCGACACCCTCCTCTGCTGCCCCGCCATCCCGCGGTCCCACGCCAGCGGGGCGGTACCCATTCTCCCCCCCTCCTCTCAGGAACGCATTCGACACCTCCCCCCCGTCTTCCCGCAACCCAACACCATCAGCCTTCCCACCACCAAGTATCCCCGGTACCCCCTTCCAAGGCGGTAGACACCCCGTCTCAAGCGACGAAGACGCCGAGATCGCCGTGCTGGCTGAGATAGAACGCGATATCTACGCTGGCATGGAAGCCCTGGAAGACGCATTCGAAGCTCTCCACCGCAAGGCGGAGGTAGTGCGACAAGCGCTCCGTCAGCGCGGTGCTGGTTTAGCAATGGCTGCGCAATCTCGTCGCGGCGGGGCCGGGATAGGAGTCCGCGCCGCTACGCCGGGAGGAGAGAGTGCGGCTGGTGGTTGGGGTGGGGCAAATGGAGGAGGGGGGTGGCAGGAGGAGGAAAGCGAGAGTGGGAGCGAGTGGGCGGAGGAGGAGATCGCGCCGGATGATAGTGCGAGTAATATCTCGAGTTCGAGGCATAGGAGGCCGAAGAGGAGGAATGAGAGGAGGACGCCGGCTTTGGTGGAGGAGGAGGACGAGGGTTGAGATGTGCACGACACGACGCGGTCTGGGTTGTTGGGGATTGATTGTGGGTTGGCTTATACTCGCTCCTCAGTTTTGCGCTTACTTTTGCTTTTGCTGAGTATACGAATTTGCACGACGCGGTGTCAGGGTGTTTTTGCTTTTGCTCGGAAATTTGCTTTGCTTTGCCTTTACTCACAGCCATCTTCAGGCTATTTTGCTGGTCTATCATTGTCTTTTGAGCATTTTACGATGTGGTATATGTCGATCTGGATAGGCTGGAAAGATGCATTAGGAGGGGATTACAATACAGTGTGAGGGATGGAGTTACAGTATTTACGAGTACCAAGATGGATGTATGATGATGGCTGATGGATGGGGGGATGGATGGATGGCGGGATGGTGGGATGAAGAGGTGTGACTGTACTCTAGTATACGAGAATCAGATCGATGATTGATAGAGGAATGCACCTACCTTTGCACTTTCCCTGCTCCCCACTCCCCCAGTGATCCCGTGACCTGTTCTATCAATCTCTTCGCTCCCTTCCACTCCTGGAACGGCCGGAATAAAGAACAGTCGCCAGCACCGCCTACTACCACAACGGAAATCCCACACGAATATCCCACACACCAATAACGCGTACCTGCGTAAACAAACAAACAAACCCTAGCCCTCACACACACACACAATTACCCACACTCACCTAAATTCACCAAAACCCCCCAAATCTCACAAAACACGGTAAAAATCCACACCCCAGAAATTCGGATCACGTGAAACTGAGTTTACCCCTATTCATACATATGACATCTCTCCCCTTGTCAGGCAAACAAAGGACACAGAAGCAATTTCACGGGTTATGGTATTATATAGATCACATCACAAAGAAGGAAGAATGAGATACCAATTTAAAGTTTTCAATTGCTGAACTATGCCTGGTGCGCCTGTATGCTCCTCCCGTTAATTATCCCATGGCTTTATCGAAAATGGAAGAGAAAGTCGAATGAATGGTGCGTCGGTATCGTCGAGTGGTACTGTTGTTTGTAATATGCTCCTGTATGCCGTAGAATGTGTATTATGGCCAGGATTGTTGAAAGGAAATGAAATCAAGTGAAGTCACAAAGGAAATCGAATGAATGGTGCGTCGGTATCGTCGAGTGGCACTGTTTGTAATATGTTCCTGGTGGAAATGGAATTCGTGGTTTCGTGATGGTGTTCTGGATGCTGCTTTGATGCATGATGCGCAGGATGTTGGATCAGATCTGAAAGCCGACGAAAATTGAATATTGCAGTATCGTGGCATCAAAGAGTCGTATTCTCGTGAGTCGTGATCACAATGCTCCTATATCTTGAAATCGTGCCAGAATCCCAGCCGTGCTGTAGATGCGTCATGAAAGCTTCAGAAGAAATCTCATGCAACTATCCACAAAATTAGCCCAAATCCGAACACCACACAATCACACAAAAAACTCACCTCAATCCAAGTTTCCCGGCGTCCACGCGCGCCTGTTCCTGGCGGATCTGCCACCACCATTGCAGCAGCCCGGGCCACAGTCGCAGTACCAGCATCCCCAGGCAAAGCAAGCCGGCTCGGCACCAGCCTCAAAGCCATGATCAAAGTAGCGGAAGTTGGGATCGCCACCACCACCACCCCACACAACTGGTAACCACCAGCGATTCTCCCTGGACCAATCCGCCCACGACTGTTCGGACTCCTCGGGCTCTCCAGTGGCGAGTGCGACCAGGCCCGCGATGCGCAGGGGGCCTCCGTCGCGGGTCACGGGGCGTCCATCGGGCCAGGCGAGTGTGTTTCCTTCGAGCATGGAGAGGGCGAGCTCGCGGTGGAAGGCCTTCTCGGCTTCGGTGGCTTCTTCTTCGGCTGCGGCCGGGTCGGGAGCCGATGCGATGGTGTGAGCGGAGAAGGCCGATGCGGCGGCGTCGGATGCATCAGCGGCCTCGCGGTTGGACGCGAACCGATTCAAGACGTGGAGAGCCGCCATTTGGCGGGCGACATCGGCGGCGTTCGTGCGGCGGGTGGAGGCGGACGGGCGGGGGTGAGCCGGGCTCGGGGTTCGGGGAGGTGGTGGAGGATAAGGGGTGCAAGGGGCGGCGGAGGGAGAAGGGGTGCAGGCAGTTGGGGGAGTTGGTGCTGGTGGAGTTGGTGCTGGGGGAGTTGGTGCTGGGGGAGTTGGTGCTGGGCGCTGGGGGACTGGGACCGTGGCTGGGGGTGGTGCTGAGAACGGGTTGAAGGAGAGGCGGCGGATGATGTCCCAGGAGGACGGTGCCTCCCACCCAGATGGCGGAGGGGGTGCTGGGGTGGCGGCGGCGGCGGCGAGAGGCCGGAGGGGAATGCCGGTGTTGGCGTGAGGAGGGTATGGAGGGTTGTAGGCCGGCATGTCTGGGAGAGGTGTTAGCTGGTGGAAACTGGAGGGAGACGGAAAGAGAGGGGACTGTTGTGACGAACAACGGAGTAGAAAAGGATTGGTGATAGTAACGGTGCGGTGTTGTGAACCGCACCGTGATGGTGGAGGAGGAGAGGGAGGTGAGGAACGGTGAGGGGGAAGAGGAAAAGCGACGGAGTAGAAAAAGTTTGGTGAGAGGAACGATGGAGTTGGGAAGAGAGCAAGGGAGGAAGAGGAAGTTGTTGACAGTAGCGGTGCGGTGCGGTGTTGAGCACCGCACAGCAACGGAGGCAGGAAAAAGGGCTGTGAGTAACGGTGTTCTCACCGTTCCTGAGAACTGAAATTTCATTCTCCGTCACGGTGGCAGCGATAACACTGCACCGTGACGGAGAATCCCACAATGCAAGGACAGGAACGGGGAAGGGGGAAAACAAGAAGAGTACCGGTGAATGGGCAGCGACAGGACAGAACAAGAACTGTGAGGCAGGGGTGCTTGGTATATAGAAAGGGGTCAAAGAAAGATGGAACAATAAAAAATAAAACGTACCGGTAATGCTCAGATAGCCTTGGACATCGATGATGATATCCTCTTCGTCGGCCATGGCGGGCAGTCGCTGTCGGTCTTTCGAAATGTGGCCGTCGGTGTTTGTGGGCGGTCATCGCCGGGCGGGCGACTAAGCAGTCGTTATATACTAAACGTACAAAGGTACATGACTTCCCGATTAGGCAATATCGAGGCCCAAATCCTCTGAGAACGTCTTAGCGCCTAGCGCCTAGCGAAGCGAATATAGAGATACTAAGATTCTCCTCCTCCTAGCCAATGAGCGTCAAGAATCAGGACTCGGACTCGGGCGAATGCTTCATCTCATAGGTGAAAGGGGCCCCTAGCGTTGATTTGGCTAAGCGCACTGTTATTGTATATCAGTTCACCTTAAGAGGGAGACTTCTTGTTTTCTTTCTCTCTCCTCTCTTCCTTCTTTCTTCCTCATTTTTCTCTCCATATCTTCAACGCCTTCAAGGGGTCGTCATTCTGTGACTTTGAAAGCGTTACTTTCTTCATATCCTCCTTCTGATTGAGGAGGTTTGCTATTCCACTATCAAAAGGTTTGTTGCCATTCTCATATGAAGCCATCTCGATCTTGACGAAAAGTATAAACACGCGTTCCATAACATGATGGACACACAGAAGACATCCTCGAGGTGGATACGCTATTGACAGTATGAGATTTGGCTTTGTACTTACTTCCTTTGATCATAGACCTCCAACAAACCTGTGGAAACCTGACCTACAGTGTATGTATTCCAATCTTTGTTTTGCTGCCATTATTCACGTTTCAATCTACCATCCTCACCTTTTCATTCCTATCTCCAACTTCACAGATCGATGACCTGGTGGATAATTGGTTCCGCCAGGTCCCATCAGCTGGGTCTCTACAAAGAGCCCACCACAATGTTTCCCTCCCACCACCTTCTCACCACCCCACCATCTCACCTTTTCATCCTCTCTCCACATTCATCAACCCACCAAACTGACATCCCCTGAGCAGACACAATCCGCAACAATGTCTGCAGACGTTGCTGCTGCCGTCCTGCCTAACGGCAAGGAAAAGGGCAACGAGGAGGAGGTTCGTAGCCCCTTCGACCCCAACCTCCCAGAGGATCCCCGCCACTCCCAGTGGATCAAGCAGAGCGGCCATGCCACCCGTGTCGCATACAACTATGCGGCTTACAACATGACTGAGGCTGAGCGTCGCGCCGCTGAAGGCGAAGGCCCTATTCTCGCTCCTGGCGATGTTCTCCAGGATGAGGGCTGGGCCAACAACGCCACCGTGTATGAGTGGTGTGATGAGTATGGTGATGTCGGCCCAGCTCACCCTGTTCTTGAGAAGCAACTATTCGGATCTGACGTTCATGTTACTACTGGCATCGATTTCTCAGGGTATGTTTCTTGCTCCTCCATTACCATTCCATTCTAATCTTTCGCAGTGTTACCTCCATCAACGTTGTCCAGGAGGGAACCGTTCGTATCAAGCCTGTTCTCAGCTTCGATGATGCCGGACTCCACCCCGTCATGCTTGCCAATGTTCGTCTGGCTGGCTATACCGTTCCCACACCGGTTCAGTGCTACACATTGCCCGCCATCTTCCAGGGTCATGATATTGTCGCCTGTGCCCAAACTGGTAAGTCTTCCCCCATTCCTACAACCATCACACACAATCTAACAATCTCTCCCAGGCTCCGGCAAGACTGGTGCCTTCTTGATCCCCACCCTGTCCAAACTCATGGGCAAAGCCAAGAAGTTGTGTGCACCACGCCCCAACCCGGCGACTTTCGTCCCAGATCCCCGAAACTTTACTCGTGCCGAGCCACTCATGCTCATCGTTTGTCCCAACCGTGAGCTTGCCGTGCAGATCTTCAACGAGGCTCGTCGTTTCTGCTACCGCTCGATGCTTCGTCCATGTGTTGTGTATGGTGGTGGCCCCCGCCGCGACCAGCTCAACCAGATCGCCAAGGGCTGCGATGTTCTCATTGGAACTCCAGGTCGTCTCGTTGATTTCATCACCAATGAGCCAGAGCGTCTCTCTCTGTGCCGCCTCAAGTACATGATCGTCGATGAGGCCGACGAGATGCTCAGCTCCGACTGGGAAGATGAGTTCAAGGTCATCATGAACGGCGGTGGTAAGTCCTTCTCCAGTCCCCAGATCGATCTCTAGATCCATCCCCCAACTAACACCTTCTCAGACCAGGAGGATGGCAACATCACCTACATGATGTTCTCCGCGACCTTCCCCAAGGCTGCCCGCGACCTTGCAAAGGAGCACCTTGCCAACGACTTTGTCCGCATCCGCGTCGGCCGTGCTGGATCCACATCCACCAACATCGAGCAAAACGTCATCTACGTCGAGCCATCCGCCAAGCGCCAGGCTCTCCTCGACTTGTTGTACTCGCGTCCCCCCGCCCGTACCATCGTGTTCGTCAACAGCAAGCGTAGCGCTGACGAGCTCGACGACTACCTGTACAACATCGGTATGCCCTCCACGTCAATCCACTCTGATCGCACCCAGCGCGAGCGTGAGGATGCCATTCGTTCTTTCCGCATCGGTGCCGTTGGCATCCTCGTCGCGACCGGAGTCTCCGCTCGTGGTCTCGATATCAAGAACGTGATGCACGTCATCAACTTCGATCTTCCCAACGCCAACTTTGGCGGTATTGAGGAGTACACCCACCGTATTGGTAAGCTCCCTCCCCTCCCCCATTCCTCTCAACCCCAAACTAACCCCACCTCCCAGGTCGCACCGCTCGCATCGGCAACCGCGGCCTCGCCACCTCCTTCTACTGCGACCGCAACGAGGACCTGGCTCTCGACCTCGTCAAGACACTCAGCGAGACCAACCAGCCCATCCCGGACTTCCTGCAGGCCTTCGTCCCCGAGGGCGGCGCCGCCGAGCTGCAGTTCGAGGTTGACTCCGACTTTGGCGGCGACGATGCTGAGGAGGCTGCCGCCCCCGTGGCTGATAAGATCATTGACGTCCTCGCCGACAACGTCAGCAAGAACCTTGTCATGAACACCCCCACCGTGCCGCGCTTCCTTCCAGGCATGAAGCCACGTAACCCTAACGCTCAGCCAGAGCAGAAGGTCGTTGCTCCTGCGGCCCTCGCCGTCCTCGAGCCAGTCAACCCCAATGTGCCGCGCGTTAGCGGTAGTGACATCAAGGGTAAGGGTAAGGAGATCGAGGTCCCCATCCCAACCGTCACCGTGACTGCCCCCAGCGTCGCCGCCGATAAGGATGACGGCTGGTAAGCACCTCGCCTCGCCCTCCGCCCACCAGCACTCAATTCCTCAATCTGCTCGTCGGCCGCCGCGAATGAAACTTGTACGATACCAATGATGCACCTTGCGATTGGGGGTTTAGATGAGATATATGATGGCTGGTGCCCCGACTTGTTCTTTCTTCCTTGTCTTTCTCGCTCTCTTCCTCGTTTTCCTCCTGTGGGGGCAGTCAGGCTTCTTGCTCGGATAGTTTCGCTGGATAGGTCACCGCCGCGCAGGGAAGGTGTTATCTGGGAATGCCCACTTCTCGGATGGTCTGGATAGACGGGAGATCGGGAGGGTGTATGCTTTGTGGTGCTGTTTCTTTGTGGGTGGGGAGGGGGGAGAGGGTGGGTTTAGCTAGGTTGGTATGAGGGGGAATTAAAGAGCTGTTCTGCAATAATACCCGTTGCATTTATTTGTGGTTGTGATTCATATGCTTTTGTGACTTGCTCGTTTGATATTGAGATGTATTATGGTGGATGTGACGGCGTCTCGCCGTCCATCGTGGGGTTGTTCTTGCCTTTCTTGTTGTTGCTCGGTTGTTGGGCCATCCGCATACAGACCAGACCTCTCACTCGACCCTATACTACTCGGTGTTCCACTCGCTTCGCTCGTAGGTGGTGACAGCAAGTTGTGCGTACGATAGCAAGATGTGCGTACACCGCTACTTTGATATATAGAGAAAATAATAGTATTATTCATAACGTAGTATCTACAATGCCTCGCAATAACGATCCTAGTAGGACTGCTCGCCTTAATGAGGCCTAACAGTTCTTCTTAAAACAACCAAGTACATATACAGCCAACTTGAGCGTGGGGTCCTTGCCAACCGATCTATGATACTACGGGCATCGGAAGCAAGCACAAAAGAAAGAGGTGTTTGAGGAATTCTTTCTCACATATAACGTTGATGAGACTGGCTATATGATTGGGTGTTATAAGTCTACGGCTGTTATTGTACCAATCGGTGTAAAGCAGTGAACTGCTGATAATCTTAAGAATCGGCTCTCTGTTACTGTAATTGGGACATCATTATCCCTAGCAAACTTCATATAGATTCATGGTATAATGATGACCTTGAGTCAAATGCCCTCATTATTGTAAATGAGAGCGGGTATTCAAACGACGACATTGCAATCTAATGCCTTATGCATTTTATCCAACTATCTGCGGAGCATATGGGACCAGATGATACTCGCCTTTATTACTCGACGGCTATGACTCTCATAAAACAGAGCGCTTTCTTACATTAGCAGAAGAGCATAACATTGTTATTTGCTGCCTTCCTCTCATACAACACATCTATTACAACCTCTTGATGTAGCGGTTTTTAAGCAGTGCAAAACTTTCATCAAAAGGCACTTGATCAAGCAGCGTAGCTACGACTATGAGTCGTACGTTCCTTTCAGACCTCCCGTAAATCCGACGGCAATCTCTAACTGTCCGCACAATTCAATCTAGTTAGAGAAATGCAGGACTATATATAATCCTCCACTTGTAATTGACAAGATACAAGAGACTCGGAATTAGACACCTGATTATGAGCCATTTGCTTCGTACAATATTATCTCAACACCGAAAACAACTATGCGAAGTGTGCAAGCAGCGGTTGAACATTGGCAGAAGAGAGTAGAGGAAGCTTTCTCATCGCCTTTAAGAGAAGGGTTTTGATCATTTGCACGTGGAACTACAGTTGTTCTACACTAGGCAGAGCTCTATAAGACTAAGCTAAATATTATTACTTTACGTGTAGTAGAGCAGAAGGCAGCAAGGGCAAGGGCACGGAAATCACTACTGAAAGGAGGGCAGTTATATGCATCAGATGCACGAAAAATGAAGGAAGCAAAGTTGCAAGCAAAAGCAGACGCAAGAGCAGCAAGGGAATCGGACCAAGTAGTAAAGCAGCTACAAGCGCAAGCACGTAAAATTGAAATTAAAAAGCGTAAGGTTGAGAAGAAGCGGGTAGCAGAGCGGAAGAAGGAAGGGTAGAAATCAAAAGTGATAATTTTACGGTATAGTAAGGATCAAAGTGATAGTAGTAGCGATAGTGGCAGTAGCGATAGTGATAGTAGTTCTATTGATTTTATGTTTTAATTATATAGTTATATAGTTGCTATATAAGGCGTCTTTTTCTTCGTTTTATGTGTCGCACATCTTGCTGTCGCCACTTACGAGCGAAGCGGGTGGGTGGAGCATCGAGCACTCTCCATCCACAACACCTTCCATACCATCTCCCGTCGCCGTCAGTTGCAACAGGTTTACAAAATACTACTCGGCAACTTTCGAGTTACTCATCAGCCCGACTACAAACATAAATTCTGAAAGTCTGAATTTAGCGACGTACAACATGAGACGTATCATCATAAGCAAGAAATACCACATATAATTTAAGCTTATAACATCCCTATCGACCCGCCCCTGATTCGAGCCATAGCTTTATCCAGCTAGGCAGGGATTAGGCAACGATACCCTAAAACCATTCGTGGGTCTATATAATCTAACAGATACGTGCATAGATCAGCTTCTACGAACAGCAGTATGAGTGAATACTCCAGTCCCGGAGAATTAATCGTTGGTTCTTGCTCAGAAAACCACGCCTGGGATTCAACTTCGGAGGTCCTTCCGCCAAATAAACATCGACACCGACAGACTCCGCAAGCTCACAGCTATTCTCAGCGGTGCAACAGACGATCGTCGCATCCGTTCAATACGGGTCCTGGAATTTCGCTATATTACTGATCGGATGGCTCCTGCACAGCATAGTGAGCTGAGAGAGCAGGAACAGCTGGCAAATGAGTCACTTTCCGGGAGTATGCGTGTTCTATTTGGTCTACTCAATCTTACTCTCCTTTCTTAAGTTATAAGGATAGGGTTGCATTTTTGATAACGCTAGAGTTATAGTATAAGTCACAGGTCTGATTCATAGGTGCGCTAATGATTAACATGAAAGCCTAACAAAGCTTGTTTACATATATATTCTACCTAACCTATTTTACTCCTCCTCGACTCCTCAACTCTCTAACACACCCCAACTGTCCACCACCACCACCACGATGTCGAGCCCACGAAAAACTTGGACTGATCTGTTTCCTAATCTCAACCTTACCTCATCAATCTCTCGACAATGAATTTGTCAAAATCACTTCGGGGTACATTGCGAAAACGGTTCCCTCACTGGGGTAGCGTCTCAAACAAAGCAATTCGGGCCAACTTCACTATCAGAATGGACTCAACATACGACTACTACAGCCTGAGTAAAATTGATGAAGACCCTGACGACTTGTTTAAGCAAACCCACGGCCTCTTCGAGGAGGTTCAGGAGGTGATGGAGAATCTCACCCCAGCTCAAGCAGACGCCTACGAAAAGGACAGCGTCGATTCTATGGTTTCGATGATCTTTGGATCGAATTTCATCGAAAAGGCAGGATCTGAGCACAATATTACCTTGAAAATATGCGAGAAGATCTTTTTTGGGCTTTCTGTGCCATCTGAAATCCCAGATCGCGACCCAGAGTACCTCGCAACACGCAACCACCTCATCCAGCAAGGACTCGATGCGAGTTATAGTGCTGTTATCCGCAGTAGGAGAGAGACCATCCAGCATGCCAAGGCGTCAAGTACATCGTCATCCACATGGTCGGTTTCAATGAACCACTTACCGAAAACACACATGGCATTCTCTGCGACGGCGTCGATTTGGAAGAAGGTGACAAGTCCTCGACATACGCTGGCATGTACCGTAAGGTAATGGTATCCGCTGGTTTCAACGGCTTTGTCTCGCCAGCGAGCATCCCCTCAGCAATGCGCAATCTCGTGCAAGATTTCAACCGTGATATCACCAAGGCTGAGCAGGAAGGAGCCCTCGACCCATTCTCACTCGCTGCAAAATACTGCCATAAGTTCGTTAACATCCACCCTTTCGTCGATGGCAATGGCCGTATGTGCCGACTTCTCCTGAATGCGGTCCTACTCAAATATGCCGGCATCGTCATTCCTCTTGGCGAAGAAGAACCTAGCCGCACTGCATACCTTGAGGTTGCGACTAGGGCGTCAGAGATGGAAAGTTTAGGAGTGGATGACGATGAGCAAAGTGTAAAGCCAGCATGGTCAGGGCTGTCATCACTGCTTATCAAGGAAGCATGCACTCGCTTCAAGACGTTCAGAGAAAGACTCCGCGCAGCAGCTTGAGTGTGAGGAGGAGAAAAACGGTTATACTTGGTTTAGAATCGAGCTAATGAAGGCTAAAGTTGCTCGGAAGGTCCCTTTTTGCAGAATGGACCCGGTCGACTTCGAGATGCGGAGTTGCTTGGAAGGTCCCTTTTTGTACAGAGGCTCGGTGAATCGATCTGGCGTTTACTAGCGGGGATTTTACAAGGACAGAAGCTGGAGTTATAGTTGCTCGGAAAGCACCTAGGCTCCTCGTCATCTCGCCCTCAAAGGCCTCCTAAATAGAAAGTAATATATCGAACTATAAATTCATATACTATTTTGACTAGGAGCGAAAGAGGAATATGATAGCCTTGGAGAGCAGCATTCCCTCTGGGTTTAGTGAGGAAGTCGCTGAGACTTGGGGATTTAGTTTGGATGCAGTGAATTCGTTTGAGGGGGGAAATATAACATTCAATGAGGGGAATATGACTGTCAATGAGTTATAGTAACGTAGCGTATGGGATAACCATGCACTTACGAACTCGATATGACGCTAGGAAATAGTAAGGGCACCAATAGAAGAATGGCATAAAAAACAGGCCGTATCCCACATTTCCACAACGATTTTCGGGTGGGGATAAAACGACACAACCGTCGCTGTCGTAAGGGGCACTGAGAAAAGTACGGGACAGGATAGGAACTTCCTACTGTCTATCAGAAAGGGGGGCAAGAACAATTACTGAATGGGATAAGATAGGTTCCAGTGGCTGGCATGCTTTCACACAAGAGTTGGGTAATAACGCCCGAAAATAGGTAGGGGGATAATAGAACGACAATAGGATGAAACTTCTACCTACCAAAAGACAAGACATTAAATAGGGACCAAGAAGAGGTACGGGATAAGATAGGGTCTTGCACACTTACACACGGGAGTTATATAATAACACACCGGGAAATATGTAAGTGCGATAATGGAATGAAAATCCTACCCAACCAAAAGACAAAATATTGCATAAGGGCCAATAACCCCAGCGCCTGTCCCATCCCACTCTCAAACAACCAAACCAGATAGAATGTATACGGAACGGATCAGTGAACAGTTATTAAGTATGTAGTATTCGCATGTATCAAGCACTACCTTCTCCCCACCCAATCCATCTCTCTATGGTATTTGATCCCGTCTTCTCGCTGTTATACAGTACCGCACAAAAAAATGCTCTCTCTGCTCTACGAGAAAAGGTATCTAACACATTATCCGCCCACTCATTCATACATGCTGTTGCTGTGGTCCACTAGTTCTTTCTCTGCGCCGGATTAAGGAAAATGGAAGGAAGGAAATTGTGGAGACGTCGTGTCGTTGTGTTGTTTGGGGAGATGGCTAGCCAGCTACCAGGACCCATAATCTGTTTATTGTTATTAGTCTTTGCTCGTTTGCGAGGGTTGTCGAAGCAGCCAGCACCACAAGAGCTGTCTGGGCGAAGGTATGTGAGGAAAAGGAGAAAGGGGTAAGAGAAACTCACAAAAAGAAAACCATCAACACCCCAAACATCTGCGCCACCAACCACCGATTCCCACTCACCCTCCCCCAATACTTCAACAGCTCCCTCTGCGCCCCCTCCACATTATCCACCACATCCTCCGTATTCGCATCGATCCTCTGAATCATCTCGCTCTGCTCACTCACCATCCCCGCCAACTGTCCAAATATCCCTCCCAGCTCCGAAATCGTCCGCTCGATCGCCTCAATCGCTTCCCCGCGCTGCTGGATGTACGCGTGCTGAGGCTGCGCTTCTTCCATCATGAGGAGCTGTTGGTCGCCGACGGGGTTGAGGGTTAGGAGGTCTTGCGACGCGCCGCCGGCGGTGGCGGGGTTGTAGGATGGTGCGGGGGAGCCGCGCGCCGGTGTGGAGTAGAGGGGGGACGCGGATTGCCCCTCCGTCGGTAGCGCATGTGAGGATACCGCTGACACGAAATTCTCGGTCCTCGATCGCGAGGCGCGGATATTCTGGGTGCGGAGTTCCAGGACGTCTTTGAAGTTCGCCGAGACGTCGGTTAGTTTCCCTTGTAGGAGGAATACGACGTTTTTGGCGTGCTCGGTTTGTTGGGGCGCGGCGGACGGGTTCTGGACGCGGGTGAGGGTTTGGAGGGAGGAGATTTGGGTGTTCAGCGAGGAGAGGTCTTGTTTGATTATGTAGGTTAGCTCGTTGATTTCGAGGGGGCGGTCGTCGAAGAGGGTTTTGCGCTTTGCGACTGCAGGGTGTTAATTGGGGGTTCTTTTCTCTTGCGTCTTGGACGGGGGGAAGGGGGGGGACGCACGCTGCGCGAGTTTCTCAAGCTTCGCCATCGTCCCCGAGATCCCACGCCCGATCTCCGCCGCACGCCGCGCAAACTCCGACCGCCTTGGTTTTTCAGCGGTGGCAGACGCATTATCTGCTTTCTGGGCGTTGCTGAGCAGCGACTGCCGCTGCGCGCCTATCTTGTTCGAGCGCCGCTGCTTCTGGACCTGAGTGAGGACCGAGTGGAATTCCGACGTGCGGTCTTGGATGGAGGTGGAGACGGCCATGGTGAGGTGAGGTGAGGTGAGGTGAGGTGAGGTGAGGTGAGGTGAGGTGAGGTGAGGTGAGGTGAGGTGAGGTGAGGTGAGGTGAGGTGAGGTGAGGTGAGGTGAGGTGAGGTGAGGTGAGGTGAGGTGAGGTGAGGTGAGGTGGAGGAGGGAGGCGTGTGGAGTGTGGTGGCCGAGGCGAGGTTAGGATCGTGGCCTCAATGGCGTCGTGGCCTCTGGCCGCCCGGCGAGTGATTGGCCGGTAATGTGTGACGGCAGCGCGGAGGGATGGTTGATAGCTGCTACTAGGACTTTTGGTGTTCTTTGTCGATCCTCAGTAATGTGCGTGATTTGCCCCTTCTTTTCCTTCTTTTCTTGCGATTATGGCGATAGCTCTCCCGTATCTCTTTGAAGGCGGGTGTAAATTTGGCCTGTGGCGATCTCTCCACCTTATCCCCCTAACGTAGGTCATGGCGTAAGTCGTCTAATGGCGTAAATCGCGTAGTTCACCCCACCACCACCTAGTTGATCTCGTATACCCAACCATAACTCAACAATGGTCCGTCAAAAAAGTGTACGTGCTGCGGAACTTGAAGTTCTAGTCGCCAAGGCAGTTTTAGGCATCTAGTCCAAGAAGTACAAGTCCCTATACGCAGCTGCAAAAGCTCTTGGAATTTGTAGGGACACTGTGAAGAAACGACTGAACGGAGACAAAAGAAGTGATAGTAGGATGGTTTAATGCGTACAAGGACCTTGTGACCCGTCTCGAAATCAAAGAACACAACGTGTATAACATAGATAAGACACCGGCTTTTCAATTAGAACTATAGGATGTACTCGAATCATTGTTAATTCCACGCTCTATACACGCCATCAAGCACACCAAGGCCGTTAAGAATGGGTGTCTGTAGTTAAATGCATCTATATAGACGGCACAGCCATCAACCCTCTTATTATATTCAAAGGTCTTGACGTTCTGTAAAGCTAGATTCTACAGGATGTTATTGATAAATGGCACTTCTCTATAAACAAGAAAGGATGGACAAGCAATCTACATAGAGTTGAATGGTTAAAACGCGTATTCAAGCTAGCAACACGTACAAAGGCAGATAGAGGACAACGCCTTCTTATTTGTAATGGCTATAATAGCCATATAAGTGGAAACTTTATATCACACTACATACAGAATCGCATCTTGCTCCTTATACTGCTACTACACACTTTGCATGTGTTATAGCCACTTGATGTTGCAGTCTTTAGACCATTGAAAAAACACCTTATAACCATATGTCATACTGACATTTGTTGCACTCAGTTTGCTATCAAACTCAATAGCAAACTTAGAAATCTCCTCCTCAAAACTACAAGTCACTATACATATTTCGGCTTATCACACCAACAACAAGAGCAATACTACTCAATGATTGCTACAGACCTCTATGATTAATTACACGTCATCGCTCCTTAGTTACTGGGCCGATATTACCACATAGCATATCTCTACAACCCTCTATGATTCATTACATGACATCACTCATACTACCACATGACATATCTCTACCAACTAGAGGCCTAGGAGCATGAACGATAGCTCTAAAAGCTCCTACGAACCTCTATGATTCATTACATGTCATCGCTCTTTAGTTACCCACAAGATTGGTTATGTTATGACATAATTTGTCTATGACATAATTTGTCTATAGGGGTACTCTGACCTTGGACCTCCTTTTACTTCCTATAGGCTACGAACCTAAGAGATGGTTCTATGGGATTCTCTTACGTCGACTACAGTTACCAAGCCTGGTAAGTCATGGAAAGTCTTGGAAAATGAGAGAACTACATTCCTTTAGCATAAATAGGATTGCCCTTTCCTTAAGAAAGGGCAAGCAGACAATACAGTAAATCGACTATCACATACTTCCACGTCTTTTCCAAGCTTCCAAGCATTGATCTTGTTACTCCTTGTTTCTGAAAAGTCAGTGAGGTGCTAACCTCTGACTTATCCCTGAGTTCTCAGACTCAACATTTGTTACAACTTGTCTAAACCACTCCACTACATCATACACTTGATTGCTGCATTGTGGAATAGTTGTCATACTGACATTCGTTGCACTCAGTTTGCTATCAAACTCAAGAGCAAACTTAGAAATCTCCTCCTCAAACCTACAAGTCACCATACATATCTTGGCTTATTGTAATGGTGGGTGCACCAGATGTGAGAATCTAGCCACCCAAGGAAGGGATGATTTTACTAAGACAACACACTGTCTTAGGAAACAGAGCCAAAGGGTTGTAGCTTAGACTATTCCACAACGCAGCAATCAGGTGTGTGATGTAGTGAAGTGGTTCAGACAAGTTGCAACAAATGTTGAGTCTGGGAACTCAGGGGTAAGTCAGAGGTTAACACCTCACTGACTTTTCAGAAACAAGGAGTAACAAGATCAATGCTTGGAAGCTTGGAAAAGACGTGGAAGTATGTGATAGTCGATTTACTGTATTGTCTGCTTGCCCTTTCTTAAGGAAAGGGCAATCCTATTTATGCTAAAGGAGTGTAGTTCTCTCATTTTCCAAGACTTTCCATGACTTACCAGGCTTGGTAACTGTAGTCGACGTAAGAGAATCCCATAGAACCATCTCTTAGGTTCGTAGCCTATAGGAAGTAAAAGGAGGTCCAAGGTCAGAGTACCCCTATAGACAAATTATGTCATAGACAAATTATGTCATAGACAAATTATGTCATAACTTAACCAATCTTGTGGGTAACTAAAGAGCGATGACATGTAATGAATCATAGAGGTTCGTAGGAGCTTTTAGAGCTATCGTTCATGCTCCTAGGCCTCTAGTTGGTAGAGATATGTCATGTGGTAGTATGAGTGATGTCATGTAATGAATCATAGAGGGTTGTAGAGATATGCTATGTGGTAATATCGGCCCAGTAACTAAGGAGCGATGACGTGTAATGAATCATAGATGGTTGTAGCAATCGTTGAGTAGTATTGCTCTTGTTGTTGGTGTGATAAGCCAAAATATGTATAGTGACTTGTAGGTTTGAGGAGGAGATTTCCAAGTTTGCTTCTTGAGTTTGATAGCAAACTGAGTGCAACGAATGTCAGTATGACACTTATCACACCAACAACAGAAGCAATACTACTCAATGATTGCTGCAAACTCTTCTACTACATCTGTTTATGCTACATACATCACGGCATATCATTTGGACACTCATTGAACAAGTTATTAAGAAAATCTCCTCCTTAAGGGGGTGGGCCAATACTACCACATGGCATATCTCTACCAACTAGAGGCCTAGGAACATGAACGATAGCTCTAGAAGCTTCTACAACCCTCTATGATTCATTACACGTCATCGCTCCTTAGTTACCCACAAGATTGGTTAAGTTATGACATAATTTGTCTATAGGTACTCTGACCTTGGACCTCCTTTTCACTTCCTATAGGCTAGGAACCCAAGAGATGGTTCTATGGGATTCTCTTACGTTCACTACATGATTAGCAAGCTAGTTGTGGGTCGCACTTGATTTCTAATACATTTACCAAGCCTGGTTAGTCATGGAAAGTCATGGAAAATGAGAGAACTACACTCCTTTGGCATAAATAGGATTGCCCTTTCCTTAAGAAAGGGCAAGCAGACAATACAGTAAATCGACTAGCACATACTTCTACGTCTTTTCCAAGCTTCCAAGCATTGATCTTGTTATTCTCTGTTTTTGAAAAGTCAGTGAGGTGCTAACCTCTGACTTACCCCTGAGTTCTCAGACTCAACATTTGTTGCAACTTGTCTAAACCACTTCACCACATCATACACCTGATTGCTGCGTTGTGGAATAGTCTAAGCTACAACCCTTTGGCTCTGTTTCCTAAGACAGTGTGTTGTCTTAGTAAATTCATCCCTTCCTTGGGTGGCTAGATTCTCATATCTGGTGCACCCACCATTACAATAGTCTAGGCTACAACCCTTTGGCTCTGTTTCCTAAGACAGTGTGTTGTCTTAGTAAAATCATCCCTTTCCTTGGGTGGCTAGATTCTCACATCTGGTGCACCCACCATTACAATACTCAAGATGATGAAGACGGAGAGCAACCTGAACAGCCAATATACTCTATAGAAGCTGCTCAACAGGCTCTGCAAGTTCTGATTAGGTATACTGAGTCTAAAGATGGGGTAGATACAGCATATTTACGCTATAGCTTGGCAAATTTGATATCTCAGTTTTCCTGATAAGTCTATATATTTTAGCTGCCTACAATGTATCATAGCGCGACTCGACTGTCTAGCCGTAACCAGCTTTTGGCACTCAATTGCCAAAAGCGGACGATTCTTCGTCGTTCAGAACAGGGGGGGTGGTAGAGGGGCGGCACTTACGCCATGACCTACGTTATGTACCTCCGTACCTCTGCTGTTCGCAAAAAACGGCCGTGTCCTTTTGTGGCTTAGCACGAGAAGCTCCATGTAGTGCAGAAGAGGTACGTACCGGTAGCCGTAGATTAGGAAATGGCCACGTGAAAGGCCAGGCAAAACAAGAAGACTAAAAATTGTAATTTAGGGGTACAAGTGTGTCTAGTAGTAATTTGCGGGGGATGAAAAGTATCTCGAATAATAAATTGACCGCCAATACCAGCATGATGCATCTCTCCTTGTTCTCCTTGTTCTCCTTGTTCTCGTTATAGAAAAGGTACTTCCTAGCCACACTCTACCCACATACAAAATCTATGTACTTTCCCACTAGCTCCAGCTTTTAACGATGCGGCCACTTCTCCTCCCCCTTCCCCACGTGAAATCCTGGTGTATGTTGTAAATATACAGTACTTTCTTCCATACTAGAATACTGTAATTCTATTTATTCCATTATTCCTTCTATTCTTTTAATTCTATACAATCTACAATTTATATTCCCCCATATTCCTCCATATTCCTCCATATTCATCATCTTTATTCCTACCTCATCATCTCTTCTCAAATCTCCACATTTACCATCCCCACTATCCACCAACCACCCTCCCCCAACCCCCCAACTGACCCTCATTAGCCTACTAACTGCTGTACCCTGGAAATACCTGGACTAGTTTTCAGCCCGTATCGCGTTCCTTCGAACCTGACCTTATTGCGTGGCCTTCGATCACCATTTCTCATCAAAAAACACCTCGTTGGGATTGTCAACTTTCGCTCTTTCGTCCTCGTGAATCGCATACATGACGGAACTGGCACTCTGAGGGCCGTAACAGTTTACACTGGCCGCAAGGCAGACACAGTTATGTCGAAGCCATACCCTGATACTTTTGACTCGCCGTTGTAGGTCTCCCCCCCGGACAGCCCGGATGCTCCAGGAACTGACGAAAAGACAGAGCTTCTCGCGCGGCTGCAGCTCCGGCTCCCGTCTCGTACCAGGCGAACGTCAACAGGCAGAAGACGAAGAAGTGGGTGGACGCGAAGCCCGGTAATTATGGTGGAGACGACTGGGGCGACGACTACGATGACGGCTACAACGACGCTCCCCCTCCTCCTCCGGTGCCCAAAGTAACGGGTTTACGGCAGCCGGTACAGGGTGTGCGGCACGACGTCGGCATTAAGAAGACATATGGCGACCTCCCGCATCTGCCAAAGGACGCGCAAGACAGGAGCTCCACAAACCCTCCCTTGCTTCGCCAGAGCTCCTTCTCAAGGGATGACGAGCGCCGAGCATTCTCGAGCGGACCGTCGCAACAGGACGCTCTGCCGAGCAATCTAGCGACCGCTGCTGCTGCGACTCCCAGTCCTCCATTGCGCCTCGCCAGTCAGCGCAAGCAACTCCCACCTCCAGGCACCGAGAGTTCAGCAAGGTCATCATATTCCGAGTCGAGCCGCTCGTCTGCTCATACTGCATCGGACGCGCGATCCGCGTCTGGCGATGCGCATAACAATTATCCCGCACACGACGTTACCTCGCCCTTGAGGTCCGCCGCGTTATCCCCTCAGGCGAGAGCTGCGTCACATTTGAGTCGGTCAGACTCACCACCTGTGAATGTAGCCTCTCCACCCGCTCAATTCTCTCCACGAAACACCACTTTAAACCAAACGATTGTGCCGGATTCCTCCGCAAATTCTGCAGCTCCGGCTCCAGCTTCTGCTACCTCGGTTGCGAAGGCTCTACCTTTCATCCGACCTGCGGACATCTACAAACGCCTTGAGGAGGAGCGACAAAGAAAGGCTTCCGGTGATTCTAGTATGGACTCAGCAGCGGCTACAATCCCTGATACACAGTCTTCACCAGCGTTGCCGTCCCACGCTACTGCACCCGTCGTTGCTGCGCCGGTGGTTGCTACGCCTGTGGCTCTAGCACCCGCTGAACCTGCCAATTATAACAGGGGCGGATACGATACATATGAAGAAGAAGTACCTGATTACGGAAGGCAAGCCGAAACATACCAAGCGGATACATATCAAGAAGAAGTACCTGACTATGGGCGAAGGCAGGCGCCAATGCTTGAGTCTGTGCAAGAAAGGAGAAGCGAATATGGGTTCGACGATATGGCTGCAAAGTCACCGGAGGCCGCTCAGAAGCTTCAGCAAGTGGTGCAGAAGCAAGAGGCCCCGGTTCAGCAATTTCTGCCACAAGTCCAGGAGCATGTCCAACAGGCCCAGCCTGAAGCTGCATCTGACGCGGATGCAAACCGACGCTATTCTATTAGCCCGAAGTTACCAGACTTACACAGGATGTCTGGTTTTGGCTTTGATATGTGGTCCCAGTCAGCGCCTGACGGAAATGTTGCAAACTCTCCTGTTGCCGAGCGACAGATGCCAAAAGCAGCGGAACAAACTCTACAAAGGCAAGAATCGCAAGGATTCACGTCAGTTGTACACCAGGCGTTCGATAGGACTGATTCGATACCCGAAACTCCAACTTCGCAGGGCACAAGCAACGTTCGACGCACTGATAGCGACAGCACTGGCACTGCCGGTATTAGCCCCATAATGAGCCGAGTGTCCAGCGGCGCAAACCCAGACTCTCGCGGCCGAACGCAGGAGCCGAAAGACAACTTGACTCCGGCAATTGCCGGGGAGAAGGAACCGGATTCTCGGAGAGCTTCCGCCATTGTGGCAGAGGAGCCTAACCAGACGCCGTTCCACATGGGCCACCGTCGGGACCTGAGCGCACCGAGCAATGGCAACAGTCCTGCTAGATCACCGCACTTGGAAACTGCCACCTTGGCTCCTCAGTCAGGGGAAGTGGCACAAGTGGCTGAGGTGACTCGTCAGATACTTCCGACAGCCGGTGCTTGGGACTCGTACTCCATAACCGCCGAGTCAGCTGCTGGTGAAGTTGCACAAAAGGAGGCTATTGGCGAAGACCCAACTCCTGTCGAACCATCACAGTCCCCCGAAGCGACTACATCGCCGCAGCCTCTTGCGACCTTCAGTGCAGCACCATCTCCACCGCTTAAAGATGATGTGACTCTGCCACCGCTTACAACTAGTAAGGCTGAGGATCTAAATGGTGCTGCTCCAAAGGATGATTCAGAGACTCAGAACCCTCTAATGAAGCTTCCAACGCTGAGCCCAACAGACGACGAAACTGATAGGCTACACAAGGAGATCGTGAGGAGCTTGAGTCCGCGCGGTTCAACTTCTATCGCAGCTCAAGACTGGGTTCCGCCACCAAACGCTGCAGCAAGGCAGTCGACTCTGGGTCTTCCAGCGCTGAGTGCGACTCGTGAAAGCATGTACTTGCCGAGCGAGTATGACAACTACTGGGCAGAGACAGAGGAAGATACGCAGGTAGAGCCTCAGACCCAAGAGCAGACCGCGCCAGTTGCAGATGCAGCGACTTCGACGGCTTCCACTGGGCTCCACAAAGTCGAAGAGTCTAAGGATATCCCCGCGATTGCCCCATTGAGCCCAAAATGTGCGTCGATGCTTCCTGCTGAGCCAATCCAGCCTACTCTGGAGCGTAAATTCTCCTGGGAGGCGCTGCCAGAGCAAGTGACAACCGCGGCTGATGATAGCCAGTCACCGCCTGCGATTGTGTCTCCTCAGCCAATCGTTGCCGAAAGAGAGCTCGAGCAGGGTTCGGTCCCGGGGGCTACTATAGCTCGTTCGGATTCTGCGTCTCCGGCGCCGTTGTCTCTTCGTAGTCCTCATGCGTCTGCTGCTCAGCCAGAGGACCACAAGGGTAGTGTCGGTTCGGAAGGAATCGTTACCGAAGCTGTCGCGGCTACTGCAGTTGTTGCACCTGCTGTTAGTACCATTCGACCTGTGTCTGCTGATTCAGAGGATCCTGGTTCTTCTTCCCAGGCGGCACCTCCGTATAGCAAGGCTATGTCTACAGAGGGAACCGACACCGTGTCTCCCATGTCTGCCAAGGTTGACCCTGTGCGATCTCAGTCGCAGCAGATCAACTCAATGCTAGACATCGGCGCGCCTCAAACATCTCCATCTCCGCATGATGGACCGCCACAGTCGTTCCAACAGAACGATGTACCTCGTCCCCAAACCCCCGTGGACCCCACAATGCCTAAGCCATTCAAGGAGATCATGTCTCTGTCCAGCCCACAGCAGCGCATCAACGCATACAACGAGAGCCGCCAACAGTTCGCAACCATGGACTCAGGGCTAGCAAACTGGATGCACGCCACCACCGCCCAACCCCATCTCCAAAACCCACTCGCCTCTCCTGGTGCCGGAGCAGGTGCCCAATCCTCCCAACGTCCAAAGTCCGGTAACATCCTCACGCCCAAACCGCAACCATACTACCAACAATACCTCAACGCCAGCACACCCACTGCATCCCCTCCACCCCAAGCGCGCTACAGCGGCGGCACACCCACCACGGGCACGCAGGGCTTCGGGTCCACGAGCAGCAAGACGACACAGCAGGTGCAGGCGAAGTCGAAGGAGCTGCTCCATACGGCGGGCATCTTTGGGGGGAGGGCGAGCAAGGCGGGGAAGGGACTGCTGGCCAAGGGGAAGAGCAGGTTCAAGGGTTCGGGAGATAAGGTAGACTGATCTCTCCTTGACTTCACACACACACAGATTCGCAGAATAAGCCGGAAACCGCAACTGGGCGAGGGCGGCGCAAGGCTTTTTTTGAAACTTGTTTTTGTTGCGTTTCTTTTCTTCACTGCTTTTATAAACATTTTTCTGTGGGCACATAACGTTATTATGTTGTATCACGAACATCTGGGAGGATTTTATTGTATGAAAGAGGACTGTTTCGGGTTACTTGTTGGGGCCGTATAAATTTATCCAGGCCCCGCGCTAATCGGGGCCATTTTTCTAATTTTTAATGCCTTTGTTGGGCGATGAAGAGATGATTTATTACTTGATGGAAGCGGAAGATAAAAAGGAACCCGTTTTACCTGCTTAGCGGGAGGGGAAGGGGAGACTTTTTGTATGATTATGGAATGGAGAACCAACTTTTTCCTGACACACAAAGAGATGACAAATCTCTGGCTGCTTCCCCCAAAACTTCACGTGTTTCCTTAACTTGTCCTACCTCCTCACAAACAAACACAAACAAACACAAACAACTTGTAGAAAGAACCCTCTCTAACGTGCCCCTCTCTCCACAGGACGCCGCCAAGGCAAGCAGCCCCACCATCGACACCAAACCCGGCAAATCCTCCCGCCGCGCCTCATGGGCCTTCTCCCTCTCCTCCAGCCCCTCCACCGCGCGCCCTGCAACCTTCAGCGGCACGGACCCAGCGCCATTCGGACGCACCTCTGAATCGAGTGGTTCCCAGACCGCTGCTGGTGCGGGACGGAGGAGGTCGACGAGTAGTGAGCAGGCGCCTACTATGAAGGCGCAGGCTCAGAAGTTCCTCGAAGTCAACCCCCCCACCTCCTCAACGCTTCGAGACGCACGATGGGGCTCCGAAACTGCGCTATCTACCGACGACGGAAGCGCACGTAACCGCGAGGGAAGCGTCGCTGACCCCGCCGCTGGGGGAAAGGATGACATCGCACCCCCCGTCCCAATCGGCAAGTACCAACCTAGCTGGGACCCTTATAACGCAACCCCTATTGTGGAGGAGGAGGGGTTTGGGTGGGAGAGTCCTGTGAAGGGATCTGCGGTGCCTGTCCCGGCTAGGGGCTGGGGGGGGGTTGATGAGACGCCGGAGACGCCGGTAGAGCGTGAGGTCCCTGGGGAAGGAGAGATCCCTAGTGAGGGAGAGGGCTGGGTGATGGTGGAGGAGAGTGTGAGGAGGATTATGGGGGTGGCGGCGAATGGGGCGAGGCCGGTGCATGAGAGGGGTGATAGTGAGGTTTCGGCGTTGACTGTTGTGCCGGCTAATGAGGGGCTGGTGCCGCTGGAGAGCTTGGACGAGCAGAGTGAGGTGCCTGTTGTTGAGCGTGATGTTCAGCCTGAGCCAGTGGTTGAGCCTGTCGCCGAGCCTGTCGCCGAGCCTGTCGATGAGCAAGTCATAGAGTCAGTCGAAGAGCCAGCCGTCGAAGAGCAAGCCGTTGAAGAGCCAATCGTTGAAGAGCCAGTCGTCGAAGAGCCAGTCGAAGAAGAATTAGTCGTCGAGGAGCCAGTCGTCGAGGAGCCTGTCGAGGAGCCTACCCCCGAAGAAGCTCTCGTTGCGGAACCGATCATGGCAGAGCCTATCATTACGTCCGTGCTACCGGACATCGCTACCAACGGCCACACACAGCCCGACTCCGAAGTCCGAGCTATCAACAACCCCGAGGTCTCCCCAGAACAAACCTACCTATCCCCCATCGACAGTTCAAACACAGACAACAAGCGCCAAGCCGGCCTCTGGAGCCCCGGCGCAATCGTCGAGACACCCACCTCCCTAACCCCCGAAACCCCAAGTGGCTTAACCCCTTCAGCCGGCCAACCCTCCTATGCAGCAGCGTTCTCCGCTTTACCCCCAATCCGCCGCTCTAGCACATTTGGCAACAACTCCGTCACTCGCCTCGCCCAAACACTTAGCAACGATGCGGTCGAGCAAGATGATGTACGTAGCTCCGGCGCCGTGTCCCCGGTCTCAATCACAGAAGAGCCGCGGGAGATGATCCCCGAGCATCCAGTCGAGGCAATCAACACTGCGCCGCCCGCAGCGCCAACTACCCGCGATAGGGGCCCAGATGAGACAGTGCACAAGGAGACGCAGCGATACTCGTTCCAAGATGACTTTTACGAGCCTCAGCCTGAGATTCTGAGCCGTCCTTCGACAATGACCACCCCGCGTAACGGCGACGTGTTACACGTGGCCCCGACACCATTACGCTCCGTCTCTCCAGGATCAAGGCCGCTCGTGCCGCTGTTTATTACGAATCAGTTGCCGACGGAACCGCAGGTTCGGCCGGGGTTTGTGGGACATATGCTGGAGGCGCCGGGGGCGCAGCAGTTTCCTCCGGTGCAGCAGCAGATGGAGCAGGAGGAGCTCTCTCCTGTGCAGCAGCAGCAACAGCAGCAGCAACAGCAGCAGTATGTTCCGGTGCAACAGGGGCTGTATCCTCCTGGTGCGCAAGGGCAGTTTTCGCCTGTGCAGCAGAGGCAGTTCTCACCGGTACCCCAGGGGCAGATGGTGCCGGGACAGCAGGGACAGTATCTTCCTATGCACCAGGGACAGTATCCCCCTATGCAGCAGGGGCAGTATCCTCCTGGGCAGCAAGGACAGTTTGCTCCAGCACCGCAAGGGCAACATGGACAATATCCTCAGCAAGGACAGTATCCTCACCCACAACAGGGGCAGATGCATCTAGGACAGCAAGGACAATATCCTCCTCAACAGGGTCAGTATCCTCCGATGCAGCAGGGCCAGTTTGCGCCTGGACAACAGGGGCACCCGCAAGGTCATATGCTTGTAGCGCCAATAGGGAAAATGCTTCCAGTGCAGCAGGGGCAGCTATCTCAAATGCCTCCTCAGATGCTTTCTCAACAACAAGGAGCTCCTCGATTGCCACTGGAACGGATGCCTCCGATGCAGCAAGGCCAGATCCCTCAAGCGCCGCAGCAAGGACCAAGACAATCCATGCCACCATCTGCACACCAGCGACGATCATCGTCAGATGCTCAGCCTCGAATGCGCCCAGCTTCAAACTCAAGCCAAGGAGTGCCAATGAGCGCCGGCGGTTTCCTGCAGCAATCTACCACGCCGCAATTCCCGCCAGGCCAGCAACAGCGAACCTCCATTGAAGCTATGCGCAACCGTCTACCTTCTATGAGTGGTGTGAGCCAGCCTCCTAAGATTACGCCGCAATACACTGAGAACCGTCAGTCGATGTTACGCGGCAGCGCTGCTAAGATACCTCCTTCGTCGTCAGAGAGATACCCCGAGCTCTTCCAGCCACAGCAGGATAAGGCTCTTCCGAACGACGCAGACCGCGATGTTCCGCCAGATTATCCTTCTGTTGGGAGAGGACAGTTGCCAAGACAGCAGGTTACCGAATACGAAATTGCCGGTGTTGGTCCACCAATGGATGATGCACGAAATGGCTCGGTGAGGCATTCACGAAAGCCCAGCATCCTGAAAGAAATCGGAGGTCGACTTTCGCGAGGCTCAAGCCTTGAGAGGAATCTGCCGGCACTAGAAGACGATGGTACTCGTGAGATGAGGACTCAACTTGATTCGAGAAGAGATTCAGTGGCAAGCTCTGATGATATGTCTCTTAATGACCCAGAAAAACCACCTGAGAGGAGAAGAAGTCGCATAATCGCAGCACTGAGTCCATCGACTAGAGGCCCAACACCAGATATTCCACCCCAGAGCCGCGAGAGCATGGTTACTCATCGACCCTCGCAAGCTACCTTGCTTGCCAACACCCCTGCTCCAGGTAGCCCATTGCCGCCGCCTGAAAAGAGGAGGACCTTCTTTGGCAGGGGCGACACTGGAGGACTGGAGAAGAAAGAGGACAAGCAAAAGATGTTCAGCGGGCAGTCTACGCAGGTGACCATGGACTCAACACAGCCTGGTAAAGAGAAGAAGAACAGATTCTTGGCGATAAGTAGCATGTTTACGGGTAAGAAGGGGGATGCTGATCGAGGCAGGGGTTCCTCGAGACATGGAACTTATGTCCCGAGCATTTTGCCTGGGATCATGATTTTGGTCAAGAATGAGAATGAAAGGCAGATCCTGGAGCAACAGGGACTCGTGGAAAGGGCTCCTCCGCAAGTGCAGGATCAGCCCCCTGGTGGCCCACAACCGCAGCCGCAGCAGCATGTCCTGGTTAACCCAGCGGCTCTCCAGCGCATCAATACAGGTGAGGCGCAAGGCCAGAATGTACAGGGTCATCCGGTGCAGCAGCAAATGACCCCCGTTGCACAGCAGCCACCACCACAGCATCAGCAGTTTCAAACAATTGCCCCATTGCGCATCCGACAAGACTCTAACCTTACTATTGGGACCATTGGAGAGCCGCTAGAGAAGCAACACACGCAGCCAACTGGCACGCCGCAGCAACAGATGGTTCCGCCCGTTGTAGCACATGGCCAAGCTCGTGGGACCCCACCGCAAGTGAACCCCAACGCGCAACAACCGCCGCAAGGACATAACAAACCCATGCCTCCTCCATCGTTCGGCTCAGCCCGCATTTCTGAAGAGCCAATTGATTTGCATCAGCGAAATCTAAACGGTGCGCTACATCAGCAAATCCAGCCAATGGGAACCCCTGGAGGTCAACCTACACTGCCTCGTATGCCGAACTCACAGCAGCAGGCTCCAGTTGCTTCTACGACCTCTAGAGAGTCAACTCCAAGGCCAACTGCCGATGCAGACCGCCGTGCAAGTGTGATCTTGGGTCCCGACCCTGAAGATCGTCTACGTCGCCGCACTACTCAGCCAATTGAGACCCTGCCTGGACAGCACCCGGAGGATAAGTCACTCATCGTAAACCGCCCAGTAGTAGCACAGGCGCAGGGCCAGGAACGATCTATGGTCCAGCAGAAAGTGACACCTCCTAGCCAGATCGCGTATCTACCAGAGGATATACACCAGCTGCCGTTTCAACGCCAACCGCCTCCCATTCAAAGGCAGCCGACTTTTAATACGGTGCCAGGTCAACAGCACCAGGGAGTGTACCAGACGCCTCCCATCCAGCATCTGCAGAACTCTCAGGCGCAGCAGCAGCAGATGTATATGAACCAACAGCAACAGCAACAAATGTACACGCCTCCCCCAATGCATTCTCAAGGATTCCAGCAGGTGCATCGGGTCCAGTCTCCAGCCATGTCGCAGCAGACCTCGTCACCACCCCCCACTGCTTCAGCAGTCGCACCCGCGCCAGCCAAAGCCAAGAAGGGCCTCTTCAGCTCACTCCTCGGTGGGCGCCGAAGCTCCGCCATGGCAGACAACTCATCAAACAACAACCAGCAAGCCCCTCCCGCGCAGCAAACCCCCCCACCACAAAACTACAACATTGCACCCATGGGCCAACAACCACTGCAACAGCAATACTACGCCACCCCTCCCATCCCCGGCGCCTACGCCCTCGTCCGCGGCGAAGGCACCCTCGCCCCACCGGGTACGACCCCCGGGGCCTCAACCAGCCCCAACCCGGCCCCGCGCGCGCGCGCCTCCCCCTCACATGATCGAAGAGTACCCTGGCCGTCCCAACGCGCCCGCCATGAACTACTCCTCCAAATGGGCCGCTCAAGACGCCGCCGTCCAAGCCGCGCTCCAAGCCAAAAAGGACGAGGAGTGGAACCCCCCCGCCTCCGTCCCATTCCTCAGCCCCGAGAAAACAGCTCGCCGCCGTCTAAGCAGCGAGGATCTACTCGCGCGCTCCCCGGCAAGAGGACAGTTCGGACAGCAGGCCCCGTATCAGTTGCGCTTGCCGGGTGAGGAGGAGATGAAGCGCGAGAGGGGCAGGCAGGCGGCTGAGGCGCTTAGAGAGGCGGAGGATGCGAGGATTGCGGCGGAGGTAGTGATGCGTGCTGAGGCGGTGATGCGTGCTGAGGCGGCGGGGGTGGTTATGCCGCCGACGAGGGAGAATACATTTATTGCCCCTGCGCCGCCGTCGAAGAGCGTGCCCCCCGCTAGCGCGGAGAGTAGGGTGAAATCCCAGGCGCAGAGTCAGTCGCCTAGTCCGATGCCGAAGGCTACAGATAATGGGCGTATGAATGCAGGTACACCGCCGGTGGTGGCGGGGCCGCAGAAGCCGTTGGAGAGGAGTGATACGATTACGAGTGCGGTTAGTAAGATGTCGAGTAGTGACCGTGGAAGCCCGGCTGTTGGCGCGCCCGGTGCGGCTGCGGCGGCCGCGGCGGCGGCGGCGACGGAGAGGAGGGTGTCGAGGATTATGCCTGATCATGAGGAGAAGATCTATGATGACTCGCGTGAGGGGATGATAGTAGTTGAGGACGCGACGGTGAGGAGGGTAAATGGCACGATGGTTGGGGGTGTTCTTCAGGAGGAGGAGGAGGAGGGACCGAAGGTGAAGATGAGCGCTACGAGTTTCCCGGGGGATGAGTGGAGGCCGTGGATCGAGGAGGGCCTATAAAAATCGCCGCTGTGTAGCTTTGTTTTCATAGTTTTGTTTTTTTTGGGTCTTTTTTGGGGGGGTTCTACTTTAGCCATTCGGGTTCTTTGCTCCTTTGCGACAGAGCGGATGTATATACCCTGTAGATTTGTAATACAGCGCGCGAGGGCGTGAAGCGATACCCATTTTTCATACGTTCATACATAATTAGAGAGGCCTGGAAGCCAAGAAATGGATGAGATTGTTCTATATTACATATGACCCTAACTTGTGAATACGAAGGCCGGTGATACTTGCAGCAACGTCTACGTAGCCTGTAAATGTTAGTATTCCTCTTCAAGGCAACTAAAACCAGTTAGCCACAAGAAAACTCCTATTAACTCTCATTTTTAGATTCGAGGTTAATATCCCAATAAGGATGCCCCAACACATCAGGGGCGATCGGCCTTCTCCATATCTACTACGATCAGCGACTCGATAAAATCGATTAGTGCCGGCGGAACCACTGGAGCTCGAAGCCTTTCAAGCTCCTCGCGCAGAGGCCGCACATCAATCACCTTCCCCCTCCCCGGCAGCGGCATATCCATATCCCTCAACAAATCCGCCATCCTAAACTCCTCCCCGGCAGCGGCATATCCATATCCCTCAACAAATCCGCCATCCTAAACTCCTCCCTAGCCTCAGCCGATAAACCCCCCGGCAGAGCCCCGAGGGGTCCAACAAGGCGCTCTAGTTTGGCAATGCAATATACTTCTGTGAGACCTTCAACCCGCTTATCTCGCGCTCCGAAGATCGACTTTCCATTAGCCAGTGCACAAGCTGGTGAAGGGGGGGTTAGCTGGTTAATGCTACTAGTATGTGGTAAGGAAACGTACTGTAACACCGAGAGACCAGATGTCTGAGGCATGGTGGACGCCCTGGTTCATCCAGACCTCTGGGGCGCGACATGGGAGCGACTGTAGGCGCTGTCCATTAAATCCCTCTGGATTCACTAAACGCACCCAGTAGCCCCGTCCCGTCCCCAACCCAAACCCGCCGCTTCCCATCAAGTCCAGAAACCAAGATATTATTCGGATTCACATCTACCTTCAATAAAGGCACGCGATGGGATGAGGCGGAGCTCAGTGTCCATCTACTCAGGGTCACACCGACGACAGGAGCGGCGCTGAGACTTTCCATGTCCCCCACCCCCTCGTGCAGGGAGCGGATAAAGGGGCTTTTAGCCACGAACTCAGGGCGGACCGTTCGAGGGGGGCGGTTGCGGTTTTCACGACGGCCCTGATACGTAGATACTATGTTAGATTGGATTTAAACGGTAGGATGGGATAAGGGACGGACCATCGCTGAGCGAGATTATGGGGGGGGGTAGGATCTCGGCTTTGAAAATGGTGCTGCCTTTTAGGGGGTGCAGGAGGCGGTAGGAGGCGAGGGCGCCTTTGATTATTTGGTTGGGGGAGAGAGGCATGACTGGCACGCATCAAGTACAAGGTGCTGCCCTCGAATTTAGAATATAACCGTACGCTCGGCGACAAGCGCGTAAGTGACCAGCGCGGATGTGTAGACGCTGCTTCTATATCACAGGTGTGAGACAGGTACGACAAGGGTCATAGAACACTTCCTACTATGAACCATCGTCGGCGATGGATGCAGAGAGGGTAGAGTATTGTACATTCTATCTACATATCTACAATCTATCCAACCGAGTGAGCGGGAACACCTTCAAACGCCAAACCCCACGCTATATGCATCCACACTCCAATCTACTCCAATCCAACACACCTCATCTCCTATCCCTTACCCACCAAAAATCCCCCCCTCAACCTCCCCAACCTCAACCCCCAACGCATCCCCCGCCACCCCCCTCATCCCCCTCTCCAGCTCCTCCTCCATCCCCCCACCCCCCCACACCAGCTGCCGTCCCCTCGAAACCCACCACGCGAGATCACTCCCCGCCACCCCAAGTCTAAACCTCAGATGCCCCCACCACCCCCGCCCTCCCCCTCCTCCGCAACCGCCTCACTGGCCCACATCCCCATAATCCGTACGCGATTGACTGGAGAACCGAGGAACTGGTTGTTCCCCTGCACGATGCGCATGTTTCTGGCTAGGAAGACGAGTTCGCGCGGCCATTTCGTCTCGTCGGAGAGCACCGCGCGGATGCCGGCGCGCATCCGGTTTTGCGCCGCGTAGTGCCGTTCCCCTGGCGTAGCGCCCTCGAGGGATTTCGTCAGCGCGCGAGCGGTGGACTGATCACCACCTGTGTATGGCTTCATAAGCGTAGCGGACGCAAAAAGATCCGGTTGCTTCACGCCCCATTCAGCCGTAATCTCTTTAAGGGTATCATTATCGAACGCCAGCAACGCGCGCCAGAACTTCGCATACTGCAGCCTAAACCCCGGCTCGAGCGCGACGTACAGGCCGTGATCGAGGAGGACGAGCTGTGCGTTCCCCGAGGGCAGGCGGCGGAGGAGGATGTTGCCGGGGTGCGGGTCGCAGTGGATGAGGCCCCAGAGGAAGGTTTGGGCGGAGAAGAGGTCGAGCATTATGGTCATTACTTCTTTGAGGGAGAGGCCGAGGCCGGAGGTGGAGCGGGGTCCCAGAAGCTGGGTTGTGCGGTCGGGTTTTAGGGAGGGGATTGGCGAGGAGGAGGAGCGGGGGGGGGAGTTGGAATTGGGTGGGGTGGTTGTGGGGGAGGAGGATAGGGGAGTGGTGACGCCGGGGGAGCCGGTGGAGGGGCCGCGCCAGGGGGAGGTTATGGCGGGTTTGTCCCAGAGTCGGACGCCTTCGATCCATTCGGCTGTCATGACGCGTTTGGAGGATAGTTCCGGGTAGACGGTGGGGATGTAGACGCGGTTGCGGAGGCGGGGCTCGGCGGCGATGAGGGCGGTCATTTGTTGGGCGTTGGCGGCTTCGACTTGGAAGTCGCATTCGAGGAGGAGGCGGGAGGAGATGTAGGGGACGAGGGAGTACATGGGGAGGTCGAACCAGTAGGTGTAGGTTTTCATCATGACCCTGCGGGGTTAGCTGGGGTTGGAAAAGGGGGGGGGGGGGTGGGTTGGACTTACTTGAATGCCCATAAGTCCCAGCCGACTTGCTGTGCAATCTCACGCTTCTGGACTTTGATGGCTACCTCACGTCCATCTGGCAACCTAGCCCAATGTACCTGCGCCACGGACGCAGACGCACGCGCTACCTTCTCCATAACGCCCTTGCCCTCCTCGCCTCTGAAGCTAACACCAAACACCTCCTCGGGGCTCTTCCCAAAATCCTCACGGATCACACGCTTCACATCCTCCCAATCATTCTGCGGCGCGTCGTCGAACATGCGCGCAAACATCTTCTGGAACTCCGGCGGCATAATGGCGCTCTGCATAGCGATTGCCTGGCCAATCTTGAGGTACAGCCCGCCATTGGAGCGGAGAAGGTCGAAGAGCCGCTCTGCGCTGCGACGGTGTAGGTCTGCGATTGTGCCGCCAAAGAGGGGCGAGGCGCGGAAATTGAGTTTATAGTCTATTGCCACGAGAAGGCCGAGGCTGAATGTGCGGAGGGACCGGGTGAGCGAGGAGGCGTACAGGTTGACGTCGACGAGGTAGAGGGTGCCGAGGGCTGCGGAGGTGCAGAGCAGGCGGCGGACCCAGCGGGAGGTGCGGGGATAGTGTTTTGCGGGGCGGGCGCGGCCGAGGGAGGCGGGGGAGGGGGGAACGAAGGGCTGAAATTGGGAGGAGTGGGCGGAGCGGTGGGGGATGAGGGAGCGTGGTGGGAGGAGCGAGTGTGGGTTGGTGGTGGACCGCGGAAGGATCGGAGAGCGGAGCGCAGGCCGGGCTGATGAGCTCAGACATCGTGGGCTCCGAGAAGCAGGGTGCCGAAGCATGGCCGCTGCGAAAACCCCCAGGGGAAGAGAGAGAGAAACGATATTGGTATTTGTAAGGCAGGGTGCAAGGTGGGTTTGGGAAAGTTTGTTTATCTCGGCGAGGCTTAACGTTATGCCGTGATATGGGTTAAGCGCCTAAACTTTAAGCGCCAAAACTTTTAAGCGTGTTGGCGCGCAATGTCTCTTGGCAACAGATTGCGATTTGCAGGGCGACGTGTCTCGGCCAACGGGGCCAAGTACCTCTGGGCAGAAATTGCCGCATAGTGACATATCTCAACCATCCCCCCCACATCCCCCTCCCCTTCCTAATCTCCCAATGATTAATCGCGAATCCATCCACATTCTTCCAATTGACCCCATCCCCGAAATCCCCCCAATAACGACCAACTACGAGCTATTTTCTATTCGCATTCCACCCTCACTTCTCGACCCCTCGACCCCTCGACCCCTCGACCCCTCGACCCCTCGACCCCTCCACCCATTCACTACCACCCCATCCATCGCCTTTCATGCACGCCTCATAGCCTCCGCCTCCCGCCGCCGCCGCCGCCGCCTCTCCCAAGTCACCACCACCCCGACGGTGCTCTGCTTGCCGTCAGTCCTCACATCTCCCCGCGCAGCGACGCGCCCTCGAAGCACCGCCGTCGCTACCGCCCATACCGCAGCAGCGCGTCGCACACCATGATGTTGCGCCCCGCGACGCCGCTGACCATCCTCCTCTTCGCGGCCTTCGTGCTGCTCCTCATCTCCGTCATCTCGGTGCCGCTTGTGAAGCCGATTGTGTTGGGCGAGTTTGACGGTATTAGCTATGGCGTTTTTGGGTACTGCAAGGCGGGTGGAGGATGTAGTAAGATGGAGGTGGGATATAATCCTTGTGCGTATACCTTTCTGTCCTGGTTCTGGTCGCAGAGTAGAGGAGTCTATGGTGGGCTCGCTGCGACGCTCTCTTCATACCCAATTCTCTCCAGCGATAACCACACCTCTTCATTTCAACCCCCCCCCCAGACTCCCCCGATACCTACAATTCCCCCCTTCCCTCCACACAACACTAACTAACACAACCACCCCCCCCCCAGCCGTCCTCCCCAACGCCAAAGGCAACTTCAACCTCGACCCCGCCACCCGCTCCACCCTCTCCTCCATCCTCATCGTCCACCCCATCGCCGCCTTCTTCACCCTAATCATGTTCATCCTCGCCATAGTCTCGCACTTCCACTCCCCCTCCCACTCCCCCCGCTACCTCCTCGGCATCTTCATCCTCTCCATCCTCACCCTCATCATCGCCCTCCTCTCCTTCCTCATCGACGTCCTCCTCTTCGTACCGCACATTGCTTGGGGGTCGTACATCGTGCTGGCTGCTACGATACTCATCGCTGCTTCGGGGATTGTGTCGTGCGCTATGCGACGTACCCTCGTCTCAAGGAAGGCAAGAAAGCGCCGTATTGCGGAGAATGCGGAGATGAATGGGGAGAACTTTTATAATCGCCAGGCTGCGACAGGACCCCTACCAGCTCCCATCACAGCACCAACTATCGCATCCTCCTCCGTCACGGGGGAGAACGGGGATAAGCTCCCTTCATTCGCAACCTTCGAGTCCGCCCAGGCCAACGCAGATGCTCGCGCCGCAGCTCAAGCAGACGATGATCGCGTACCACTCACCTCGCTCACGCCTAACCGCTCCCCGGAGACTATGCCATCTTCCATCTCCGGACGCCCTGAAGACAGATACGGACCCCCACCACCTATGCCTGGGAACCACGGCTACGGAGGACCACTGCAACGGGATCAGTATGGGAATATCATCCCACCACAAGCCGGGATGCGTAATCCCGACCCGAGAAACCAATTCGGTCCCGGCGGCTACCGCGGACGCGGCGGTCCACAAGGTTCATTCCGCGGCCGTGGAGGTGGTCCAGGGTACGGTCGTGGTGGATATGGCGGAGGTCCTGGTGGTGGTCCCGGTTACGGCCCAGGACCAGGCGGAATGCGCGGTGGTCGCGGCCCTCCCCCCAACTACCCCGGCGGATACAACAACCGCGGCGGCGGCGGCGGCGGTCCCCAGCGTTCCGTCTCCCCACCCAACAACGGGTATGGATTTGATCAATCCCAACAGTCCCTGAATTCCTCTGGATACGGCGGACCAGGCAGAGGACGACCAGAGAGTCTCGCGCGCGCGGAGAGTCCACCGCCTATGGATGGAATGGGTATGGGCCCGGTGGGACAAGCAATCGAGATGGACGCCACAACCGGCAGCCGCAGTCCCGGCCTCCACCCGCCCGGTGGCTATGGATGGGGCCTACGCGACAGCGACGGAGATGTAGCGGGGATGGTTGGGTTACAGCAGCAAAGGGGTGTCATCAGCGACGGTAGCAAGTACAGCGTTGATGAGTAAGTTCTTTCCCCTTCTTTTTCTCCCCCCTTTCCCAAGGTGGGTGGGAGTGTTGCACAAAGAAAGGGGTCTAACAGAAGGCAGATACATCCCCCCCCGCCAAAACTGGCCCTCAGGCGGGCCCCGCGCTTCCTCCCCTCTAACCGCGGGAACCACGGGACTCCACCCCGTTCCGCGCGCGCATCTGTTGCAGCAGTCTGAGAGGAGTTATTATGAGGATGTTGATCCACGCTTCTCGCCGCCGTCACCGCATACTGTTGGGTTGGCTAGCAGCCATGGAGGGGGTGGTGGAGGAGCTGGTGCAGGTGGGCCAGGACCGGGAATGGTACCAGCGCCGTTGATGCCCGGGGGGGGGAGGATGGGTGCTGGTAGCCCCGCCGGAGGAGGTATGGGAGGAGGACCTGGGGGGAGGATGGGAAGTCCGGTTGGGAGTGAACGCAGCGAGGGACAACGGCGGGGTGGTGGTAACAGTGGGGGGCAGCAGCAGGGGAGGAGGAATGTGTTGGATTCCAACGCCGACTTCGCCGTTCCTGGCGGACGGATGTGAAACCCGATGCCGCTGTTTGTTCAAGGTGGTAGTTTGAGTGGGTGTTGAGAGGGGTGGATGTTGAGTTCTGCGTGTTGTGTTGTGTTGGGTACGCTGCCTAATTGGGTGTGTGTTCGTGCTGGCTGGCTCTACGTCCCCTCATTTCTTTACCTCTTACCTTTCTTTTGTCCTTTTCTTTTTGAGAGAGAGAGATGCTTCTGGACCGGTTCTTGTTTTCGCTTCTCTTGTATCCCTTTGTTTTCTTGTGTTGGGTGCGAATTGTGTGGGCTGTGTTGAGTTTGGAAGGCAAGTTGTGTGTGTATGAAGGATGGCAGGGTGGTTTTTTGTATATATAATACTTCCATCAGTATAATTCCTTGTGGAGTGTTGTAGGTTGTTGGAAAGAAAGGAAGGGCAGATGGGCCGGTTGTACGACCAAGAGGGGAGAGAGAGAGAACAGAGAGAGAAAGAGCAGAGAGAGAGAGAGCAGAGAGAGAGAGAGCAGAGAGAGAGAGAGCAGAGAGAGAAAGAGCAGAGAGAGAGAGAGCAGAGAGAGAGAGAGCAGAGAGAGAGAGAGCAGAGAGAGAGAGAGCAGAGAGAGAGGTCTGCGGTGTGGTGCTGTAGTAGAAGTACGGCGAATAAGATGGGATGTCCGTGTTGGATGTAAACAAACACATACATACACCCACACAGTCCCAATACATATGAACCGGTACAAGCGCGTTTAAAAGTGCATACGAATGGGTGTTACGGCTTGGGGAAGTTTGTAGGCATGGCTCGATCACGTAGAATAGTAGTAGAATGCGTGACGATATATTATATGGTTGTACACTTCCATTTCTACCTCCCCTTCTCCCCATCCATCCAACCCCCCACCCCCATCCATCCAATCCAAAAAGACCAGCCGAAAAAAAGGCAAGAAGTACAAACATTGTACAAAAAAAACGACCACAACAGAAGTAAAAAGGTAAACGTAAAGGAAAATCCATGGCGTCGAGCCAGTCCCGTCTCATCTATAGTTAGTCAGGGTATCAACTTCCCCCTCCCCCCCCCCATTTCCCCCATTCCTCATCCCCATCCGTCCCAAAAAAACCGCACTCCCAAAACCGAACCCAACAACAACACTCAAGAAAAATTTAAACCCCCCCCAGCACCCATCCCCCTCATCTCCATCATCTCCCCTTTCCCTCCCCCAACCCTCCCCTCAACAAACCCCTTCTCACCCAACCACACCCCTCCCACGCGTTTAAACCCCAAATACCCACCTCCCCTAGGCCTCCCCAACACCGCGATCCAGTTTTTCACCACTGAGCCGAGGGTGAAAGGTCGATGGCGTTCTCCTCTCCTGAATTTACGTCCATTGAGGAGTTCGCGTGTCGTTTCGCCGCGGCCGGAGAGGAAGATGTGGTACATCAACAACGCCGCCGGGTAAGGGAGGGCAAGAGCTGCGTAGATCAACAGCGCGAACACCCCCCGTTCTCTGGTGATGGCGGAGGAGAAGCCGGAACCAATGTCGCGCCCCACAGTATTCAACTGCACAACAGCAGTGACGGTACAAAACACCGCCATCCCCGTCCCGGCAGCAACGAAGGTGAAGAAATACCTATAATTCCTCCTCCCCACACAATTATTCAACCACACACAATGATGATCGTGCGTCTCGATGCAATTATTGCAGATCCTGCAATGATGCCCGCGCGGCGGCCTCCAAATATGGCAAGTCTTGCAGTATTTCACCGGTACCTCCATTGCCGTGCTGGCTGGGAGATGCGATTTGACGATCAACCACGCCGTCGTCGGCGGCGCCAGCGTCAACGGATCCTCCATCGCGGGGGGAGGTGGGAATTTGTGCAGGTCGCGGGGGAGGATGCCGGGGTCGGAGACGGAGGCGTGGATGAAGGAGGAGAAGCATATGAATGATAGGTATGCAAACACCACCGGCACAGCGGGGGAAACGCGATGCCAGAGCCAACTCGCTTGGAAGACGAAAAACAGTACCGCTGGTACGATTACCAGGATCCCCGTGGCGATATTAACCGGTCTATCCCTCGCGTTCTGGAAGCGCCCGCCGAGGAAGAATCGCGTGTTTCCGGGGAAGTGCACGTAATTCTTGACTCCCCCTCTCGCTTCCCCGCCGGCCCCTTTCTCGCCCGAGGCAGCGCCGGGAGCGATGCTGGAGGAGGGGAGGGGCGTAGCGTCTGAAGGGCGCGGAGCGGGTGATGTTGCGCCGGAGGAGAGCTTGGAGTGGCCGTGGTTACTCCTGTTCGGGCTGTGTGGGACCATATCCCCTCCCCTCGAGGGGAGGAGGAAGGAGGAGCGAAAGGAGTGGGGGGATTTCGAGGGCGTGGGGAGGCCTGCGTTGCGGAAGGTTGTGAGGCCGGTGTTGACTGTAGGTCCATTGGGGTTGGATGAGTTGTAGTTGTTGACTTGGAGAGGTTGAACAGAGGAACTAAGGCTGGTCGTCTGATAATGCCCATGCGTCGGGCTCGTATTCGCCGTCGTAGTCTGCACATTCTCCTGCAAACTCATCTCCGTCCCCCTCGACGGCGGCGGCGGTCCACTCTCATCCCTACTCTGGATCGGATTCCCCGTATACCCCGATGCAATAGTCGGCGCCGCCGGCGCGTCCCCCCCAAAGTCTCCACTCCCCCTCTGATTCTGACCCGCAACCGGCACCCTCGGCCCCCCCCTCTGCGCCTGCAACCTTTGTGAACTCATCGGTCTAAAAAATGCATGCGAAGTGAGGCTAGGAACATGCGTCCGGCTCGTTGAACTGGGCGGCCTCGCCCCTCCCCCTCCTGCTAGGCTCGACGGCGTCCCGGATGACTTGGGACCCCGTCGCGAGGAGGGGGGTGCGGACCAGGGGCTTCGTGTGGACATGGCAGCGCTCCCCGTGCCGGGGCGCGAGGACTGGATGCTCTGCCTGTTTGTGGATGTGTGGTGAGCGGGGGTGGCATAGGAGGTGCCGTCGTGGCCGTCGTCGGAGGCGATGTCGGTCATGCGGGAGGAGATTATGCTGGGTGGTCCGCCTTGGGAGGGGGTCGTGGGGTCGTGGGGTAGTGAGGACATGGCGGGTGGTTTGTGTGTGTGTGTGATTGTGGTTTGGCGGGTTCGTGGGATGCGCCCAGCTGGTGGTGAGGGCGGTTGTTTTATCTCATTGTTTGCTGGCGCGTGGATGGTTGAGGTTCGCGGTGGGTTCGCGCTGGTGGTGATTATGGATGGGTATAAGGGAAGCGTGAGACGTCGCTCTGTCTGTCTGTCTTTCTGTCTTTCGCTGGGTTGGGTATTAAGTATGGCGATAGCTTTTGATGTAGCTGAGTCGCCGAGTCGCCGAGTCGCCGAGTCGCAGGAGTATCTCAATACTCCTGCCTGCGATAAGAGTTGCTGTTTTTTTAAAAAGAAAACGAGTCCGTCCTCCTTGGTAGTCGAAGATATGTATGATGCGTTGTATGAGGATAGTGTCTCCGAAGAAATGATGCGTGTCTCTCCGTCGCTGACTCTCGTCAGTCAGTCAAGGGAGAAACAGATGAAGAGTGAAGGCACAGGGGGCAGGCAGTACAAGGGTACAACCACAAAAAGGGTGTAGTGCTAAGCTACTCGTGCGGCGGCCCAAAAGGCTGTACAGGGTCTGTGCTTTTCTCATACTAAAAACCCTCGTTTACGGCAATTTGATGATCTATATAGCTATGTTTCCTACTGTGTCTACTGCTCAACTAAAGCTATTTCTGTACGTATAGCGAGACCTGATAAGTAGCCACAGTCATGATCATTAAGTAGCTGCTATAGCCTTCTTAATTACAGGATTAGATGTAGCCTATAGCTATGGTAACGTGACGTTAGTTATAGGGCTAGTAGGGCTAGTGTAATGGTGGGTGCACCAGATGTGAGAATCTAGCCACCCAAGGAAGGGATGAATTTACTAAGACAACACACTGTCTTAGGAAACAGAGCCAAAGGGTTGTAGCTTAGACTATTCCACAACGCAGCAATCAGGTGTGTGATGTAGTGAAGTGGTTCAGACAAGTTGCAACAAATGTTGAGTCTGGGAACTCAGGGGTAAGTCAGAGGTTAACACCTCACTGACTTTTCAGAAACAAGGAGTAACAAGATGAATGCTTGGAAGCTTGGAAAAGACATGGAAATATGTGATAGTCGATTTACTGTATTGTCTGCTTGCCCTTTCTTAAGGAAAGGGCAATCCTATTTATGCTAAAGGAGTGTAGTTCTCTCATTTTCCAAGACTTTCCATGACTAACCAGGCTTGGTAACTGTAGTCGACGTAAGAGAATCCCATAGAACCATCTCCTAGGTTCCTAGCCTATAGGAAGTGAAAGGAGGTCCAAGGTCAGAGTACCCCTATAGACAAATTATGTCATAACTTAACCAATCTTGTGGGTAACTAAGGAGCGATGACGTGTAATGAATCATAGAGGGTTGTAGAAGCTTTTGGAGCTATCGTTCATGTTCCTAGGCCTCTAGTTGATAGAGATATGTCATGTGTAGTATTAGCCCAGTAACTAAGGAGTGATGTCATGTAATGAATCATAGAGGGTTGTAGAGATATGCTATGTGGTCATATCAGCCCAGTAACTAAGGAGCAATGACGTGTAATGAATCATAGAGGGTTGTAGCAATCGTTGAGTAGTATTGCTCTTGTTGTTGGTGTGATAAGCCAAAATATGTATAGTGACTTGTAGGTTTGAGGAGGAGATTTCCAAGTTTGCCTTGTTGTTGGTGTGACAAGCCAAAATATGTATAGTGACTTGTAGGTTTGAGGAGGGGATTTCTAAGTTTGCTCTTGAGTTTGATAGCAAACTGAGTGCAACGAATGTCAGTATGACACTGGTGACTAGGCGCATGAGTATTTGTGCTAACCCTGTCTATAACAGTGATCTAATTATTTTGCAAAGATCATTCTATTATAACACTTTGCATGCCTCTACACTCATCGCACTTATTACAACCATTAGATGTTAGCTGTTTTGCACCTTTAAAGCAGTCATATAGACAACAAGTTAAAAGGGTAAGTTATATGTAGCAAGGTGCTCACATCGTGGTGGAATTGATGAGGGGGGCTTCTAAGCTCGGAAAATTAAAAATGGGGAATATTGGCAACTCTGAGCTAACCCCAGCCCTGCCTCACGTGTATCCTCGTGCATATGATGTCAGGGATATGATGTCAGGGGGGATGATGTCATCAGGGGTATGATATCAGGGATACTGTAGCCAGTAAAACATCAAAACATCACAGACATCCCTCACAACCACACCCCAATCACCATTTACAAAATCGCTGCATTCACAACCCCATCAGCACCACCAGCAGAAAAAACACACATATCTCAAATTCCCACTCCAGCTCCAGTCTCAGTACTTCCCAACTATCCCGGTTCAGTTGCCTAATTCTAATTCTTACAAGCTTGCTCATCCGTATCTATGCATCACATCCCTTCCTCTGCCTCATCACCTTCCTCACCATCTTCCCCGGCTCCTATCCACACCACACCACCACCTTCCCACCATGGCTTTCGGATTCATGCGTACCCCCCCTTCCTCACCCAGGTGGTGGTGTGGTGTGGATAGGAGCCGGGGAAGATGGTGAGGAAGGTGATGAGAACCATCCACCACCGACAAAACAAAAAAGACCTCGCGCGTATGGAGACGATCGACCATGTAAAGCAAAAAAAAAATTGGCGAAAAAATGGCGAGACTCCGAAAACTCCAGGGCTAATGTTGTTGAACCTGATAATGTGTGCGTCTTAAACAATTCCAATGAATAAAATGCCTCTGACTTGACGGCATGCTTCACTGCGCCGCCTCTGTATCCATAACCGCAGCAGCAGCCGCTTTCTTCGCCGCAATAGTCTTCTTCCCCTCCCCCCTAACCCCCTTCTTCATCACAACCTTCGTCCCGCGTCTCTTAACCACCACCACCCCACTCTTCTTAGCCTTCACTGCCTTCACCGGCGTCTCTTTCTTCGCCTTCTTAGGGGAACTCGCGCTCGCATCAGCCACGACAGTCAATTGCTGGTTCCCAAACGATAGTTTCGCTTGCTTCAGGCCCTTGATGGGTTTGGCAGGTTTGGGAGATTTAGCCGTCTTTGGTGATTTCTTAGACGTAGTGGTTGCAGCGTCACGGCGGGCTCCCAGCTTCTTGGCGGCTTTCTTAGCCTTGGCCATTGCCTTTGCTGGTTTCGATTTCGCAGACTTGGCGGGCTTCACCTTCCACTTTCCGACGGGGACGAGGATCTTCCTCTTCTTAATCACCTTCTCCTCCACCTCAGCATCCCCACCCATCAACTCCTTCAACTTCCTCTTCCCCCTCTTCACCACCCCCTTCACCTTCTTCACCACCCCCTCGGCCTTCTTTACCTCCTTCGGTCTCGGCCCCAGCACGCCCCTGCAGCTCTCCGCTCCACATCGGCATTCCTGCACGTTTCGCGTAGAGATCGGGTCGAATTTATAATCATACGTGAGTTCCTCCCCAGTCATGATCGGGTTCTTCCCAGCGAAGAGGGCCATGTGCGGTTTACCCCCTACGATCCATTTTACCATCTCGCAGTTTGGTTCACAGGAGTGGTTGACGAAGCGGGCGATTGAGCCGCGGGTGGCGTCGATGATCATGTTTTGGTCGAAGAGCATGAGGTAGTAGCACTGGTGTAGTATTAGCTTGGGGATCCGCAGGGGCCAGTATGGCAGCGGGGAGTTTGAGCTCAAGGGGGGGTGAGAAAGTTGCTGAGCTTACCTCGTTATTCTTATAATCCTCCCTCATCCTCCTCTGACACTCCGGCTCCGTAATAATCTCCCCCGTATACTCCACAATAATCTGGCCCTCCTGAAAACACCTATTCGCCCTAACTCCATACCCACAATCCTCTGTCTTGATCACCTCCACACCAACGCGGTACTTCCCCCCCTTCGCGCGACGCTCATGCAAGTCCGCAAATGCGCGATTCCCGCAGAGTTCAGCGCCGAGGGGACAGTTGCCGTCGTCGCACTCATACAGCATCATGCGGTTGTAGCAGTCCTCCCCGCAGCCGGTGGAGGGGGAGCAGATACAGCGCGAGTCCGAATCGCTGAAGTGTTTAGTTTTCTTCCAGAGAGCGGCGGCGTCGCCAATGAAGCGGTCTAAAACGGGATTGTTAGCTTTAAGTCCGTATACGTAGTGGATTGTTTGCTTACTCTTTGTTGTCTTTCTCCACTCATCTGGCTTTGGCTGTCCGGGCGGGAGGGGCGAGCACACGTCAAATGGGAGCTTGAAATCGCGGCCGTTGAGGAGGAGGCGCTGGCCTGCCCAGAGGGGGAGGGGGAGGATGCTGCGTCTCTTGACTTCGGCGTTGGCTTTTGCCATTGCCTTTCTCTCCTTGGCCGTGTAGGAGTGTGAAAGGTCTACGATGGCTTCTTGTCCGGCGTAGAGACCTCTGTTAAGCCATTTCTTGACTTTCTTGACTTTGGGTGCCTCCTCGACGGGCTCGGGTTCGGGTTCCTTAACCTTCTCGATCTTGGCCATCTTCGTTGGTGGTTCATTGCCGGTGACGAGTTTGCCGCAGCTCCAGACTTCGTGGATGATAATTGGCTCCTCGGCTTTCTTCTTTGGCTGTACCTCAGTGAGAAGCTTGCCGCGGCTCCATACCTGGTTCACGACGACAGCTTCCTCGGCCTTCTTCTCCTTCTTCTTCTTGGGCGGCTCATTGCCAGGAACGAGCTTCCCGCAGCTCCACACCTCGTGTACAACAGGCTTTGTCTCGATCTTCGCAAACTCATTGGTATCGGCCAACCTCCTCAGCTCGCGCTTAATCTTGAACGAGGCCTCGTCAATTGCGTCGCGGCCTCTCTTCCCGAGCACGCTCAGTTTTTTGGTAAGACTCTCAGTCGGTTCGTTCGTGAAGCGCGCAGACTTGCGTCTCCCCGCCTCCTCTTTCATAAAGCGACTCTTCTTGCCCAGGATGCTCTCTCCTCCAAGGCTCATTGTGCTCCGGGACTTTTGTAACTTTCTGGCTGGCAATTGCAATTCAATGCCATCCTCCACAACTTGGCGTGTCTCTTCCCCATTCGTCTCCATAGAGAAATCAACACCATCTTCATGCGGACTAACCAACGTCTTGCCCGAAACCGTGCGGCGTCGCGTCCCAGATCCTCCCCTCTCACTACGCGCCTTCTTCGCCGACGACGTGATGCTCTCCACCCAATCCACCGCCTTCACCGTGATCTTCCTAGCACGTCTCGGTCGGCCACTGCCACCCTCCTGTTCATCGTCCTCATCCTGCTCTTCGTCAATGGGGTACTCATCGTCAATGGGGTACTCATCGTCAATGGGGTACTCATTGTCAATGTGGGCATCGAAGATCGACAACAACGGCCCATCGCGCTTCGATCTCGGGGACGCCACGCTCGTCGAGTCAGCGACGCTGGTTGGCGGCGTCGAGGACGAGGATTGCGCGTTGGATGAGGCGATGGTGTGGCCCAGGGTTGACTCGGGGGTGTCGCAACGCGTCGCGGTTGGGACCATGCAGAGCAGAGTTGCGGCCATGCTGGGTAGAGGCGAGGCTATCTATGTAAGGGCTATCATGCAATGTTGCAATGGCGAGAGATGGAGAGCAAGACGCGTAATTGTTCGTGGATGTGGACGCGGTTACCTCGAGCTCAGACGAGGGAATTTCGTCTGGAGGTGGGAGGTGCGCGGGTCGTGTGGATGGGGAGGTGTTGGGGGTTTTGTTTGGTTATCCCCGATAAGATGGGCCGTATTATATCAGCCTCGTCCTAGTGAGCGCGACCCCCTGTAATGGAAAACACTCCGTTTGCAAAGCCGGATGGTAGACAATGAGTAGTTGATGAGTTGATGGTTTGCAGGATGTGTGTATGAAGTGAAGTGAAGGTTGAGAGAAAGCTAAGTGTGATGTGTTGCTTGTCAGGAGAGAAAGGCCGGGACGGCTCATCTCGTCTCTTGGGAAGTGGTTCACCCCTGTGGTAAACAACATGGCGTCTCTAGCGAATAGGAACATGCATGATATAAGCAAGTACGAGCTGTACGCATTCTCCTTCCTAATTTATCTCCCTGGCCAGAGTATTCTCCTCGTCAGGATCGCGTCAGTGCTGGCGACATTGTTCTTTCACGGTACCTGACTTATTCCCTAGGTAATGGCACAGATGGTACCGCTGTTGAACAGAGAATTTCCCCTTGGTATACCCTTAATTGCTCCCTTGTATATTGTCAGATGAGACAATGAATTCGGTTTTGTAAATGCTCACTTTGAGACAATGAATTCGGTTTTGCCAATGCTCACTTTGGCCAAGCTGCTTTCAAAGGACGTCCGAACAACGGCACAACTTGTATTTCTAAAACTTGTATTTCTAAAACTTGTATTTCTAAACTCTCCAAATCCAGCTTCTATAGCTTTGGTCTCCTAAATAATAATTAGATACTTGCTTGATATTGGAGGGTATCTCAACTTCAAACCTAGCCTTGCGACGTGTGATTTTCACAGTGCCAGCACATTGTTGTCGTCCTAGATCAAGACAAAACCTAAAGGTCAAATCTGTATAATAGACCATTGATAAGCCTTTGATTCCTCTGATTATATATTGGGATCCATAAGTGATAAATAACACATAATAATAAAGCATGTAGTTCGTTTTCTGATCGTGGAGTTGTGTTGAATATTTAAGAAGCGTTTATATTTCTCACATTTGCACCGAATTTAATTCCAACAACACCCACCCCCCGTGACACAAAACTAGAACGACTAAGCAAAAATTAACCTACTTAACGTGAACCACACATATATTTTAATTATAAAATATCCCTAAACTCCCAAACCCCATCGCAGCGTAAACCACCCTCTTACTCATCCTCCTGAGGAGATACGTCCCCATCCAGCACGACGGACATGACGTGCCATCCTCCCGAACCAATCACCGCCCCCCAACCACCCATTCCCACGTGACCCATGACCGCAACCCAACTTTTGCCGAAGCGGGCCAGGAAATAACGGAATACTTCAACTCGACCTACCACCACCCACCGCAACCAATTGCCCGCCCCATACCACCCCGCCTCTCTTTCCAACGATAGCAAACATGTCTGCCCCATTCGCCCGCGGATTCGCGACCGCCGCCCGCATGGCGTCGAAGTCGGAGGGCGCCCTTCTTAGCAAGGGCGCGAAGAAGGACCCCGAGCTTTATGTTGGTGCTTCCCTTTCCCGTTCGCAGCTTGTTGGAGGCCGGACACGGGGGATGTTGGCCGTCGACGCGCTGGGGAGTGTCAATTGGATAGAAAAGAAGCTGATGCGCGTGTTTGTTTAGATCCTGATGGCCGCTACCTGCGCTGCCGTTGGCGGTGCCGGTTACTACCTTGGTAAGCTCCCCTGCCGGCGAACGAATTCAATCGAACCTCGAAAATGGACAGAGAGGAAGGAGAAACAGGGCTAACGTGGGATTGTTGTAGGCGCCCACCCAACCTCTGGAACCTCTGAGGCCCAGATTTCCACCTCCCCCAACAGCAAGCCGTGGGAGCAGCCTGCGCCGTCCGACTCCAAGGGCGACTTCAAGTACCAATACCACCCTGGTGGAAACCCGGCCAATGCGCCGAGGGATGCGCCGAGTGCGCTGCACAGCGTCATTGTTCCCAATGTCAACTTGCCAAAGGTATGTGAATGAATTTTCTGGTGGCTCTGAGGGAGGGGGTTGCAGTGCAGAGGCATGTGAAGGCCTGCCGTGGAGAGGGAATCTATGCTGGAGGGTGGTTGATTGAGGGGTGATATTGCATTGGATAGACTTGCTAACGTATTGTCAAAGGAACTCCACGAGAAGTACAACAAGTGGGGCAAGGACGGTTACTAGAGACCGCTTTTACACTTCTTGGAGATCTGTATTGTATAAAGGTGTAGATAGAAGGTCGTGCAGTCTGGCGATTTCATAAATAAATAATGGTCTGACCTGCACATGCATCAACTGTTCCTGTGCTATTTATTCTTGATTTTTTGATCTCTTTATTCCCGCCTTTTATACACGTGATATTGATCGCTCCCCCAGTCAAAAACGACCCCTAACTTCTGTAACCAAAGCCCTCTTGAAGTGGAACATACTCCCATGGTTTTACAAATTATGCTTTAACGCCCACGCCTCGGATACCAACCCCTCCCCCGCCCATATCTAGCCCCCCCTACTTCCTCTCCGCAAACTTCAAATGAATATTCCGAATCTGCTCATCCACATTGACATTCTGCATCCCCGCCGCCATCCTCCCAGCATCCTTACCCTCCGGATTCCCATCATAACTAATCGCAGCCTTCTTCCTCCTCGCCTCCTCCTCCTCACTCAGCGCCTGCCCCGTCACGCTATCAAACATGTCCGGCCGCTGCGACGCCAGCCGCTTGAGGTTGTTCGCCGCGTCGTTGTTCCACAGGTTCGTGGTCGCGTAGCGCGCGTCGGATTTCGACTTCTGCTCTTTCCAGCGGGGGTCGAGGAGCTCGACTGTTGTGGTGTTAGTATGTGTTCAGGCTGGGGGAAAAGGTGGGGGCGTACTTCTCATGTGCTCATCGAGTTCGCTATATGGAATCTGATGCTTGCAGTTAGGACACAGCGCCATCTGTGCGTTCTTATTCGCTGCTCGCTGCGCCGCGCGGGGGATGTAGTTCTCCTTGATCTTCATCGGTGCAGCGGCGCCGCCCTTGGCTTGGGCTTGTGCGGCCTGTACACGCTCGCGAGCTTCGGTGCGCTCGCGGATGCGTGTCTCTTCTTCATCCTCCTGTTCCGTTGATTTGGTGCGGAAGGCCGGGGCCTGTGGAGGATACTGCTGTGGTACTGGGGCGGGAGGTGGTGCCATTTGGTGGACCTGTGGTGACTGTTGGGCTTGGTAGGCGTTATAGTACGAGTCCTCTTCTGATGGGAAGGATTCCTCGATGCGTAGGTTGTGGTTTATGGACATGTGTGCCTTCTGGTCTAGAGATGCGAATTGGAGCTCTGATAGCGAGGTTGGAGGTGGGAGGACGGCTTGGTCGTCGGCTTCGGTGAAGACGACGGTCTCGACGACAACGAAATCGTGCCAGTCAATTTGTGCGTAGCTGAGCTTCTCCTTCTCGGCCTCCTCCTCCTTCTTCACCTTCTGCTCGTCCTGGAACTTAAACCATTCCGCGCGTTGCTTTGCCCGTCCAAGGACGTTGAATTTGTCCTTTACGTTGCGCTCCAACTCTTGTATCCGCTCCTGTTGGAGTTTGCCTCCATCCCCATCCATTCCACCTGCCCGTAATAACGCCGTATATTGGTCCACCAGCCGTTGGAAGAAATTGTGTAAACTGTGATTTGGGCGAAGGAAGTCGAACTGGTAATTTCCCGCCTCCCTCTGCGATAATGTGGTCACAAACTGCCTCCCATTCTTCGAGACAAAAAGCGCCGTCAACTTCACGACCTCGAGATCCTGCGCGCTGATATTGGGCATCTTTGCGGAAAAGTTGAACTCAGGAGGCTCCGGAGGCCCTTTCGGCTTCTCTGCCTCGGCGGCCACCTCTCCAGCGCGACCCGCTGCTACAACATTGCCTCTCCCTTCTCTGATCTCACTCAATCTCCATAGGTAGTAGGCGTTGTATGCGTCGTTTGCGCTTAGGAAGGAAAATTTCGGGTTGTGCTTCTCTTTCTCGCGGATGCGATCTGTGACATTGACATCAGCACATGCCGCGCTGGCAAGTGGGGCTGGGGATACACACCTTCAAAGACTGCGCCGTTTCGCGAGACGTAGCCTGCGGTCTTCTCTAGGATGGCTGGATGAAGGTTAGCAAATTGTTTCCAATGGTGTGGTACGGGCGGAGGAGGGAGGGCGCTGACCTTTGATTTCTTTTGGAGGTAACACAACTCCTGCCGGCGCTTTAATCTCATCAAGTGCAGCCAGTGCATCGGGAGCAGTGGCTGAGGGAGCCATCAGTCGGATTATGAGGGGAGTTGTCGCAAGTCGCGAGTTTTTTGGTCTATATATCTCGAGTTGAGGCGAGGCGGCGAGGCGGCGAGGCGGCGACATATTAGCGGCTCTGTGAGTTGACAGCCTTGTTGATTCGGTCGTAATCCTCGATAACTGTTAAAACACACACAGTTCACTGTTACCCATGTGATATTGTTTGAATAACTTATAGATAATAAAAACCCATATATTATGAATTGGCTATTGGAAAGTTGCATGAACTGTTGTTTACAAACCAATTAAAATTGTTCGTAACCCGTACCCATGTGCGTTCAGCTCCATATGGCTGGTTCTGGACACGGTGCCTTCACAATCCACACATAGCTTGGCCCCAACTCCTTTCTTCACACAACACCTGGGCCTTCTGCTCAGCGAGACGATTTACTACTCTACCTGCCTTTTGATCTCCTTCAGATGGAGTCTTTTTAATTCTAGCACTTCTTCTTCTTTACATTACTTTCGTTAACTACAATTGGGAGTGTCAGTTTGCGGATCCAGGGGCCACTGTAGAGCCTTCCGCCGTGGAAGCGTGTCTAGCCTGGTTCTATTTCAGGGATCATCATATTCTTCTTCCTCATCGCATCGGTGCTTTCACAGCTGCACAATCAGAATGGCGAGATCGAAGAATGCTCGCTCGTCGCCGAGCGCTGTGTCTAGCAGCAAAGGTGCAACTCTCGTTCCGGTGCCTACGCAAGTCCCAGTCTCGGTCCCTGCCGTCGTGACCGTGAAGAAAGGCGCCATCAAGCGCAATGACTACACGTCGGATGGAGTCAAGGACAATGATGTCTTCAACCTGCCGGGCTCTGACTACAGAGTCATGATCTTCGTGACAGTGATTGCTGCCATTGTCAGGCTGTTCCGGATATACCAGCCAAGCAGCGTTGTGTTCGACGAAGTCCAGTTCGTATTCTCCAGCCGCCCCAGGTATCGCTGTAGCTAATCATACCCCTTTCTAGCTTCGGCGGCTTCGCATCGAAATATATGAAGGGCAAATTCTTCATGGACGTCCACCCTCCCCTCGCCAAACTTCTATTGACGCTGGCCGGATTCATGGCCGGCTTCGATGGCAACTTCGACTTCAAAGAGATCGGCAAGGATTATATTGAGCCTGGGGTACCATATGTGGCCATGAGAATGCTGCCGGCAATCTGCGGTATTCTGCTTGTGCCAGTCATGTTCCTGACACTGAAGGCTGCTGGCTGCCGCACTATGACTGCTGGCTTGGGCGCCGGTCTTATTATTTTTGGTAAGGAGATCAGATCGCGGTTGTTTTATGGACAATACTAACGATAACCAGAGAACGGACTACTCACCCAAGCACGTCTTATCCTTCTCGACTCTCCTCTTATGATCATGACTGCCATCACTGCGTTGGCATTCACTTCTTTCACAAATCAGCAAGAACAAGGCCCCGCAAAGGCTTTCCAGCCAAGCTGGTGGTTCTGGCTTGCCATGACCGGTCTAGGCCTTGGTGCAACTGCCAGTGTGAAGTGGGTAGGCCTTTTCACAATTGCCTGGGTTGGCAGCTTGACTGTTGTTCAACTCTGGGTTGTGCTTGGTGACTATAAGAACGTCACGCCAAGACTACTCTTCAAGCACATCCTCGCCAGAGTGTTTTGCCTGATCTTGATCCCGGTAACATTCTACATGGCAATGTTTGCTATTCACTTTCAGATCCTCCAGAACCCTGGTGAGGGTGATGGATTCATGAGCTCCGAGTTCCAGGCCACCTTGAACTCGAAAGCCATGAAGGACGTTCCCGTCGATGTTGCCTTGGGCAGCCGAGTCAGCATCAGACACCACAACACCCAGGGAGGGTACCTTCATTCCCACAACCTGATGTACCCCGGTGGCAGCAAGCAGCAGCAGATTACTCTTTACCCCCACAAGGACGAGAACAATGTCTGGCTTCTGGAGAACACTACGCAGCCACTCGATGTCAACGGCGAGGCTGTTAACGGCTCTTACGCTTGGGATACTATTTCGCCCCCTGCCTTCCTGAAGAATAACGATGTTATCAAGCTGTTCCACATCCCTACCAACAGACGCCTCCACTCCCACGATGTTCGCCCACCTGTGACGGAAGCTGATTGGCAAAACGAAGTCTCCGCCTACGGCTACGAAGGATTTGAAGGCGATGCGAATGATTTCTTCCGTGTTGAGATTGTCAAGACCAAGTCCGAAGGAGAGTTAGCAAAAGAACGCGTCCGCACTATCCAGACAAAGTTCCGCCTAATTCATGTCATGACTGGCTGCGCCCTCTTCTCTCACAAAGTCAAGTTGCCTGATTGGGCTTCCGAACAGCAGGAGGTTACCTGCGCAAAGCAGGGTACTCTACCAAACAGCATCTGGTTCATCGAGCAGAACGAGCATCCTCAGCTAGGAGCTGACGCAGAAAAGGTCAACTACAAGAAGCCAGGTTTCCTTGGCAAGTTCTGGGAGCTACAAAAGGTTATGTGGCAGACCAATGCCGGCCTTGTCGAGTCTCACGCCTGGGACTCCCGCCCAATGTCGTGGCCCATCCTGGAACGCGGTATCAACTTCTGGGGCAAAGACCATCGCCAAATTTATCTCATTGGAAACCCCGTCATTTGGTGGTCATCTACGCTGGCTGTTGCAATCTTCGCCGTTTTCCAGGGCATTGCCGTTTTAAGGTGGCAGCGTGGCTACAAAGATTTCAACAACTCGACCTTCAAGCGATTCAGCTATGAAATCGGCACCTCCATCCTCGGCTGGGCTTTCCACTACTTCCCCTTCTACCTCATGCAGCGCCAGCTGTTTTTGCACCACTACTTCCCAGCCTTGTACTTCGCTGTTATGGCGCTTTGCCAGACATATGATTTCATTACCAGCCGCATCCCAGGGATTGGTCTCCGTGAGAACCCAATAATTGGCAAGCTCGGTGCAGTTGTTTTCTTGGGCCTCAGCATGGTTGCCTTTGGACTGTACTCGCCTCTGGCATATGGTAACCCGTGGACCCAATCCGCATGCAAGCAGGTGAAGCTGTTCAGCAAGTGGGATTGGGACTGCAACATTTTCCACACCACTGTAAGTATTACCAATTCACCACTGCGGGCATCCACAAACCGCGGTGTCAACCTTTAAAAGTCCCGAAATGCTAACACTATATAGTATGATCAATACGATGTCAAGCAGGTGCAATCCCCAGTTGCCAACGTTGCGGCAACGTCTGCGCCGGCACTCCCAGCAGCAATCCCAGAAGCCAAGGTCAAGGAACAAGCTCAACAGCCAATCGTAAAGAAGGAGCAACCCGTGATGTCTGTCGCCCCTGTCTACAGCGAGGCACCAGTCCATGCAGGCAGCCAGAGCGTGGTTTCTCGCGAGGAGAGAGTCGAGTACCGCGACCAAGACGGCAACCTCCTTGACGCGGAGCAGGTCAAGGCTCTTTCAGGCAAAGTCAGCTTCCAGACCCGTTACGAGACACGCACCCGCATTGTCGATGCGTCTGGGGTTGTGATCGAGCAAGGCGAGGCTTCTGTTGCGCCGCCACACCCTGATGTCCATAATGTCGACCCCGAGACCGTTGCCGTCCCGAAGAAGGAAGCTGAGGCTGCGCCAGCGTCGCAGAGCAAGGCGGACGAGGACCTGGTGAAGGAGGCGGCTGTTGAGAATGCGAAGAAGGGGGAGGCTAAGCCTGCGAGCGATGTGCAGGAGGCTACGGTATAAAATATTTCTTTTGTTAAGTGGAGTGGGTAACGATGAGGGCTTGGCGGTGATAGGTTCTACTTGTATATCAGATCAGTAATATTTATGTGATTTATGTGAACATCAGCGGAAAGAATTCGTAATTTTCTGGTGCTCGTGCCTCTTATGGCTGAGGAATCATACTAGCAACTTAAGTTGATGGGACTTCTTTTAACTGGCTATCAATTGTAGCCCTAAGTGATTGAACGCCTCTAATTGAATTACAGTTGCTGTAGACATTGCTGTTATAGACAGGCCCTCACTAGGCTTTTAGATGGCACGAGGAATTGATCCTGTACTAGCTGTGGATTATTGCCATAAAGGAGTTTTATATAAGTTACTGGTATAGTTGTCCTGGACTAAATTGGGCAGGAACATGGACCGAAAGTGCTTGTCACCAAATGACGGCTAGTTCCGTTCATTTTTCGCTATCCGGGTCACAAAATTTATATGTCCTCTAGCAAGTCAGGGAGAGCGATAAATAATTTCCAAACCCAACATATTTTACCACCCTCATTTTTTGTACTACCCCTTTTCTTTAATCTTCTTTGATTTATATTTCATGATAATCTAAAAACTATTTTAATTTACGGCGTGCCCTGAGTCGAATTCCGGCCCGGGTTTGCAGCCATCCATCCCCGTTCATGTCCTCGTTCACCTCCCCTCGTCAGGGCGCGTCTCCCTCACCATCGGTACCTGCGCAACTGGTCGAGTCGCGGGAAAATGGCGATGTTCTACCCTTTAACCAAGTCGCCGCGAAGCCAATAAATGGAAAGCCCCTCCCGGTGGCGAAGTCATGGGCGCATCTTGTCGCTGGAGGGTCCGTCTCCCCATCCCTTATACCCCAATTTTCTCCCCGTCCCCCTTGCTCCTTCCCAGCCTACCTTAGGCTCCTACTAAGTACCCAAAAACTAACATATCCCAGCATCGGAGGCATGACAGCAGCCGCCCTAACCGCCCCCCTGGACGTCCTCAAAACCCGCCTGCAATCCGACTTCTACCAATCCCAACTGCAATCCAACCGAGCCCGCCTGGGCATCTCGCCCCACGCGCACCTCTCCCCAGCACGCTCCGCGGTTCTCCACTTCCGCGAAACATTCCAGATCCTGTTCAGCGTGCATAAAGTGGAAGGGTGGCGCGCGCTCTTCAAGGGGCTGGGTCCGAACCTAGTCGGCGTGGTGCCGGCGAGGAGTATCAACTTCTACACGTACGGGAATGGGAAGAGGATTATTGCGGATAACTTCAACCATGGGGAGGAGAACTCGTGGGTTGTTTTGCTGGCGGCGGCGACGGCGGGGGTGGTGACGAGCACGGCGACGAATCCGATTTGGATGGTTAAGACGAGGCTGCAGCTTGATAAGAATGTTGCGGAGAGAGCGGGGGAGGCGGCGGTGAGGAGGTATAAGAATAGTTGGGACTGTGTAAAACAGATAATAAGGAATGAGGGGATTAGGGGCATGTACAAAGGGATGAGTGCGAGCTATCTTGGGGTTTCCGAGAGCACTCTCCAGTGGGTGTTGTATGAACAGATGAAGGGATACCTGAGGAGGAGGGAGGAAAAGATCGTCACAAGTGGACGAGAGAAGAATATTTGGGATCGTACTGTTGAGTGGACAGGGAAAGTGGGCGCGGCCGGAGGCGCAAAGCTTGTTGCGGCTATCATCACCTACCCCCACGAGGTATGTCTTCCCCAAATTTTCAAACCTATCCAAGATTTAGCAGAGACATGTTAACTAACATAACCACAGGTTGTCCGCACACGTCTTCGCCAAGCTCCCACAATTGCTGGCGGAAAGCCAAAGTACACCGGTCTGATCCAATGCTTCAAGCTCGTCTGGAAAGAAGAGGGCATGGCGTCCATGTATGGCGGCCTAACACCGCATCTCCTGCGCACAGTGCCCAGCGCAGCAATCATGTTCGGCATGTACGAAGTTATCCTCAGGTTTCTGGACACGCCGGCGTGAGTATATCCGAGGATATAGTATCATATTGTATATATAGATCAGAAACGTGGGGCCTTTCATGCTGAGCATGAGGGTCCTGGACAGCGGAGAGAGGATATCTCCTCTCTTGATCTCCTATTCAAGATAGATGAGGAATGAGGTGCATTGTACTATTATAGAAGGTCGTGATGGGGCAAACGGCGTTATGCTTTACGGCTGGTGTAGGATATTGGATATATTTGTAAGAATTAATTACGAGGTGTATAACAATAGCTGGAGATCAGAACCCTGATGCAGATATGGTGTGAGTGTTTCATGTCGTTGATATCATCAAGTCCTCTTATTCCCAGTGAGGGTTCCAACCAATAGACCGTATTACTGCCACAAAGCAATGCTCCATGAAGCAACACACACATTCTCAGAAACATGAATCATTCATGCGCAAAGAGTGAACTAGAGTTAAAGTAAACGGGAAAAAGTCCACCCTGAGCACGCGTGCATAAACGCCCTCCCAGCAACCAGTCGCTATGAAATGGATATCACCCTTCAATCGCTTTCCCACAGTTGTGCGCTACGAAATGCCCTCCTGGTCCCGAATCGAAATGTGTCCGCCTTTGCATCACTTTCCCTCTGTCATTCTGCCCTCATATCCGTCGTGATTGCTGGATCACTCCCACTCCGTCTCGGACGTCGTCTCTTCTTCAGTTTCCCAGGCTTGTCATTACACTATCGCCCATCAACTTTCACCAAGCATTGCGATCCCAATTCGGGTCTATCTCCGTCAGTCTCAGCCCCCACAGCAACCCCCGGAATGAACTCACCCTGCACAAACCCCGCCAGCACCTTACTCCCCGTCTGCAGCAGCGGGTGTCCCACCACAATCTGCAAGAATCGCTGCAACCCCTCCCTACGGTGCTCAATCACATCATCACTAAAGCGATTTGTAAACACCTTCCCCGGCAGCGGTGGAATCGTCACGCGCGCGCTCTCGCGCTCCAGGATATCGCGGAAGTACTCAAAGTCCGAGTAGCGCCGTCGCACCGTCGACTGGCGCAGCTTGAAGGCCGGGATGTTGGTGCGGCACAGGATCTCATAGTCGGTGTACATGGCGCGGCCGACGCCGTGGGTGCGGGGGTTCTTGACCTGTAGGGGTTGGGGGGTCAGTATAGGGGTCTTGCGAGTGATGGTAAGTTGTGGGTGGGCCCACCTCTATCTCGAGGAAGTTCTCGGGGGGGCCGTAGATCTCCTCGAAGGACTGCTGGCGCGCATCTGGCATGGCCTGCATGATCAAAACGTCTTCGCGCCTACCGCGCTACAAAACCAGAGGACAAATAAAAAGAGTCCCTCTTGGCGTCCTCACTGGACCGTTGGAGTGGTAAGCTGGCTAATAAGGCTGTCGTGTAGGCGAGGAAACCGTTCTAGGACGGGCAGAGTATGGAAGAGTTGATAGAAAGAGTAAGATCTTGGTATGATCGTGTTTGATGTCGATTTCACGCTGCGGCTCTGTAAAGGGCGTTTGTGTGGCCTTTTGTCCAGGAGGTGCGCCTATCTTGGCTTTGTAGTCCAGCCTCATGCGGGGTTATCGGCGGCCGGCAATCACGTGCTGGAATACGATGACCACCACACTTACTCAACTCGACCATAGATGCTCTTGTAGTATAGCTTGGCATCATAATGCAATACCAGAGTGCAATATAGTTCGTGACAAAAGCCTGCTGAAGTTTGCCGGAACTAGTAGGGAATGGGTAGCCAGAGATATTGTGTTTGTTCATGATGTGCTTTGTAAATTATTCATGGCTGTACACTACAGGACAGCCCGTCTATCTAATAGGAGGCTTCTATTCCCTTTCACACAGTGATTTCCCAGTTCATAAATGCCACGGACCCATTCAATGCTGCCCATTACCCCATCAAGGCGGCGCCTTGATGTTATGGTAGATAATGCACAACAGATTGCCCTTCATGGTCTTGTCCCTAGGTCAAGGTGTGCATTATCCCTTGACAATTGGTCTAGCCCTAGGTAGACTTTCCATGGGGGACATGGAAAGTCTCAGCGCCGCTCCTGTCGTCGGTGTGACCCTGCCTTGTTTGGTGTTAGAGTGGATGGACACTGAGCTCCGCCTCATCCCATCGCGTGCCTTCCGCAGCGGGGAACTGCCTAAGCACATCGCGAGATCGGTATTGAAGGCGCTGTGGGTGCTGACGCCAACCAAAACCCATGCGCCTTATATGACTATTTGAGGCTCTCATATTATTGAAGAGCCCAGTTCCCGAATCTCTAACTTATTCCGGCCGTGGAATAGTGATAGAGAGCCTCTTCTCCTCTTTACTTCCCGTCTCGGATACCGCAAGCGATTGCGATGAGGCACGGTTTGATTTGTCGCTTTCTTCTGTCGCCGGCGCCTCGTCTGAAACTTGTTTCGCTTCAGGAGACGTAGCAGCTACGTCGCTTTCCTTAAAAGGAGGCTCCATAGCATCCTCCTGAGCAGCCTTCCATAATCCTTCGGCTGTGTCGTTTATTAGATTCTTACTCGCTCTCTTTTTCGCTGCGGTTAACGAAGCTTCATCTTCATTAAGATCGATCCGCGAGGCTGTGATATCATCAGGAAGTGGTGTAATGTCCTTGGGTACTATCTTTCCAGTCTCTTCCAGCTCTTTCAGCATTTCAACTTCCTCGCTAGCTCTTGGAGTCACTTCGGGAAGCTGATTATGGGCAGCGCCAACCGGTATAACACCTCCACCCATTCGAGCCCAGAACATCTGTTCTCGTAATCTTACGCTCTCCTCCCAAGCATGCTTCTCCGCTTCTTCATCTTCGCACCTCCAGTGACCATCTTTGAGCATCCGCAAAAATCCAAGGAAGTCACAGCTACTTCTAACTCTCCCGAGACAGTATTTACACAGAGGGTATCTCTGTGCCGTATCACTCTCGCTTGTTCGAAAGCGATGTGTTCGTGCTTGCTTTGGATCTTTGCGTGATTCTCCACAAAGCGAACAAGCAAATACATAAAATTTCTGGACCGCTGTGGTAGGTGTTGGCATCGGATCTACTACGAGCGTTCCCTCACACATGGCATTGAGAACACTTCTTCTAGCCAGCCACGAGAGTCCAGGAGCAGTATCAAGGCGAAGCGTTGGCTCAATATCTTCAGCCAATGCACGTTTGTAAAAGCGGGTTTCTTTGAGTGGAGTTGCAGGGCCTGCTGGTGTGGTGCTGGCACTAACTGCGGACGCAGGCATGATAGGTGTGACTGGAGTTGAAGCAACTGTGGCAGAAGTTGCTATTGATGAAGTCGAGCCATTGGAGGGTGTGTGCCGCAGAACTGGTGATGGCTGACTTGAAGCCCCTCCAAGTCCCAGCCCTAACGAAAACCCTCCATACGACCCACTCGTCACTCTGCTCCCTGGCCCATTCTTGGATGATCGCACCAAGATTACAAAGTCGCCATAGGCAGCCAAATCTGTTCTAAGGACAGGCTGCAACAGATGCGTGAAGCTGGTGGGATAAGAGGGCGTAACCTCTAAATCCCCCCTGGCTGCATGTACGGGCCGCACAATACTGTCGTCCTTGTCATAAAACTGCTTCAAACCAGGTGTTGGCGGCGCTGAGGGATTGGACTGGTCTTCTTTCTTCTCCTGCATTTGCGCCATAACTCGTTTCAGTTCCGCTAGCTGTTCTTCATGTGATTTGAGTAGCGTCTTTGTATCTGCTAGTCGAGCTTTGAGCATCTCGTTTTTCTTTTCCATGACTTCGTGATCTCGCTGAGAATTCTCTCGAGCAATAGTGACCATCTATACAGGGTCAGCAAACACTATCAAACGACGTGAACCACAAACCTTATTGGCCTCTTCGAAGAGAGCCGTGGTTAGGTTCTCCAGCTCCAACTCAATGGCTGCTTTCTCTTTCTCAGCAGCGCCACGCTTCTTTGCCTCCTCGGTCAAACTTGCCAAAAGCTTAGTCCTTTCTGCCTTCACGACGCCGAAATCCACCAGGGAGCCATTCATGATTTGACTAGCATGACTCTCAGCCTCAGCTTCAAGCTGTCGAATACGTTCCCGAGAAGCATCCAGCTCCGAACGTGTCTGATTCAGCATGTCCCCCATATTGGTTTGATGGTTGATTGCATTGATAAGCTTCTTACTTAGTGTCGCGACTTCGTTATTGAGATCCGGGTGGTGTGAGGCGCTTGGTGGCTGTGAGCCGTCGGGAGGAGACATAGTGCGGCTTCTTGGATCCGGAATGGTGCTCATACTCTCGTCCTCGTCGTTGTAGGAGCTCGAGCGCTGGGAGCTTCCCACTGACGCAGCGCTGACGCTCAAGTTGGTGGAGCTGTTGTTCAGCGCGGATGTAGATATGGCTCTCGCCGTGCGATTCGAAGACAAGTCTGGGGGCGCTTTAGGACCTGCCGAATACGATCTGACGTGACTGCTGGGGCTGGCGCTGCGCGATAATGGTGACGGTGAGTGAAGGACCCATCCTGCAATCATGGCTTTATCCAGCGATGTACGATTAGAATAAAGCATTTAGTATCATGGGGCAAGTCAGAACTCACTCGGTCAGATTATATATACAATTCTCGGCCCAGTAAATGAATACTAAAGCACGTTAGATAATGGTGGAGGAGGTGAGGAGCGTAGCAGAGGCGGGAAGGTGGCGGAGGATCACTTGAGGTGACCTGGGCAAGGTCTGGTTGTCGACATCCCACGGTCACTGTCATGAGCGGCAAGATCAAGGTGGAGCAAGGACCCGGCTGAAAAGTGGACACTTGTGACTAACGTAAGTCGTGGCGTAACGCGGGGGATGGCGTAACGCGGTGGAATTTCGAAGAGAACATAACAAATCTATAAATTAACTACAATCAACGATAATACATGATCCACCGTCGCTCTCAGATTGTTCCCCTGCTTCTTCCTCAATATACTCGTCAATTTAAATGTCTGAGGAGGCGTGCTTATCCTTTGATTTGCACTTTTTCTTACTTGGGTTATGTGTCGCCTTTTCCGCCTCCATTACCGTCACACAATTCTTGCGTAGAAACATGAAAGTGACCCTTCAGAATAACCCTTTTCCCCTTCCTACGTACCGTACGTCGCTTTATAACTGATCGCAGGTTGTTGGCATCGAGTTGGTGGACAATGCTACGTGCTCGAAGTTGCTCTGACGCAACTGAGAGTTTTTGGATGTACGTCCGCACAGGTGTTGACAGCACCCCACCACCATTAATCATAGTTGTAAGGAGCGTATTTGCAGAGCGTAAGGTCATCCCATCTGGGGGGGAGCTGTTGATAAAGACTCGGTCAAAAATATCATACTGATGTGGTGTTTTTGGTCGGTCAGCCTCGACTGATGGTTCATCATTGAGCAGTGTACGCAATGCTCGCTAGGGATTAAAAGGAAACAAGACAGCGCCATGGTATGCTGACTCAATGTTCTGATGGTTGCATATATCAACCTCCATCCATTCATACTTCTGTATGCGCGCAATTTGCGCTTAGTTGAGTGGGGAGAGCGTGTCATACTGACATTCGTTGCACTCGGTTTACTATCAAACTCAAGAGCAAACTTCGAAATCTCCTCCTCAAACCTACAAGTCACTATACATATCTTGGCTTATCACACCAACAACAAGAACAATACTACTCAACGATTGCTGCAAACTCTTCTACTACATCTGTTTATGCTACATATATCATGGCATATCATTTGGACACTCATTGAACAAGTTATTAAGAAAATCTCCTTAAGGGGGTGGGCCAATACTACCACATGGCATATCTCTACAAACTAAAGGGGCCTAGGAACATGAACGTTAGCTCTAGAAGCTTCTACAACCCTCTATGATTCATTACACGTCATCACTCCTTAGTTACCCACAAGATTGGTTAAGTTATGACATAATTTGTCTATAGGGGTACTCTGACCTTGGACCTCCTTTCACTTCCTATAGGCTAGGAACCCAAGAGATGGTTCTATGGGATTCTCTTATGTTAACTACATGATTAGCAAGCTAGTTGTGGGTCGCACTTGATTTCTAATACAGTTACCAAGCCTGGTTAGTCATGGAAAGTCTTGGAAAATGAGAGAACTATACAGTAAATTGACTATCACATACTTCCACGTCTTTTCCAAGCTTCCAAGCATTGATCTTGTTATTCTTTGTTTCTGAAAAGTCAGTGAGGTGCTAACTGTTACGATATCAAGTGCGCCTTGCAGCTCGAGTGGGGGTTAAGGGGTGTGGGGAGCTTTCCGGGGTTGGAGCGAAGTTTTCAGTTGTGGAGTGAATTCTCAGAACTGGTCTCGCTAAAGAGAATTCACTCCACAACAACATAGCTGTATATAGATCGAGCCACTGCCCGAGTGCTCCTCTTCTCTTTCCTTTCTTCTCTAGATTGAGTTTAATTCATAATACCCAACTGGCACCCTATGCCTTGGTGAACCGTGACATAAAACCCAATCTCTCTTATACCTCTTTTTCTGCTCTTCGAGCTGAACCCTCTTCTGAAATTGAAATTGAAATCCATTCTTTGAAAACCCCAGAACCAGAAACCTTATCCTGAAGTCGATTCCAGGACGATCTCGAGGCAACCCCTCAAAGTTGGCTCTTGACAGTCAGCTCGACACACACCACCTTCGCAAGTCAGACCTTTTACAACACTCCCTCGACAAGGATATAACTGTGAGGGAAGTGCGCTCCTCTCGAGTGGCTCCTACAGCCGACAACTGCACAATAGGGCCTTTGGCAATATGTGTCTGACTTGACGATATGAACTGAAATCCCTGGCAGAAGGAGCATCAATTCCAAGTTCTGCATCTGTTGGTTGACTTTGAAGCGCAAGTCATCTAGCAAAGTTTCTTCAGAGTAATCAAGCTCTGTCATGAGCCTTTGGAACTCGGCCCAGAACACTGCAAAGGTGTTGTTTCTCTGATACAGCTTCCGATACTCAGTTTGAGCTGTGTGCCTTTGATCGGGATCACTGAAGACTTTTTCCAAAAGTTTGAGAATTTCTTCTGCTGTCTGCAGTTTGTTTGTAGAGTTTGGTCGAAGCCTTGGATTGACATGTCAAACTGCCAGTCCTCCCAGTCGACTCTGAATGTAGCTCATTTGTAAAGTCTGTGTTGGAAAATGATCAATGTTGGCTTCGAGCTTGAGGCGAATTTTCACAACCCAGTCTTCAAATGCTGGCTCTATCCCATCTGTGAGGATTGGAGGGTCTGGAATCCGAGCTGACAGTTGACTGTGAGAGTGGTGTCCTGGTTCATTCTTCAGAGCTTGTTGGGTTTGCTTTTCAAAATAAGTACTAGAGACTAAAGCGAATCGAAGGGTCGTGACACAAATATCGAAGGAGTGTCATGACACTGGTGACAGACCAGAAGGCAATGATGAGGATGATTGACAAAAGCAACAGCTTCAGGTGTTGCTACCACCTTCGAGGCTACATCCAGACATTCAGAAACTCGAAGAACAGGGCCAAACAGCTCAGCTAGCTCCAGTTGAGACTCATATCAGAGAAATGACAATTCTTGAGAAAATCCAAAAGTCTCAACTGGAAGACAAATTCTGCAAGGCTACACTACAGAAGTTTGAGAATGGTGATCGAACAAGCAAAGAGGTTGCATTGGCTTATTGCGAACTCAAAACGGCATGCTAGAATATCAAAATCAAGTTTGGGTGCCAGAAACCATTCAGGTGGATGTAATGGTGGGTGCACCAGATGCGAGAATCTAGCCACCCAAGGAAGGGATGAATTTACTAAGACAACACACTGTCTTAGGAAACAGAGCCAAAGGGTTGTAGCTTAGACTATTCCACAACGCAGCAATCAGGTGTGTGATGTAGTGAAGTGGTTCAGACAAGTTGCAACAAATGTTGAGTCTGGGAACTCAGGGGTAAGTCAGAGGTTAACACCTCACTGACTTTTCAGAAACAAGGAGTAACAAGATCAATGCTTGGAAGCTTGGAAAAGACGTGGAAATATGTGATAGTCGATTTACTGTATTGTCTGCTTGCCCTTTCTTAAGGAAAGGGCAATCCTATTTATGCTAAAGGAGTGTAGTTCTCTCATTTTCCAAGACTTTCCATGACTAACCAGGCTTGGTAACTGTAGTCGATGTAAGAGAATTCCATAGAACCATCTCCTAGGTTCCTAGCCTATAGGAAGTGAAAGGAGGTCCAAGGTCAGAGTACCCCTATAGACAGATTATGTCATAACTTAACCAATCTTGTAGGTAACTAAGGACCGATGACATGTAATGAATCATAGAGGGTTGTAGAAGCTTTTGGAGCTATCATTCATGTTCCTAGGCCTCTAGTTGATAGAGATATGTCATGTGTAGTATTAGCCCAGGAACTAAGGAGTGATGTCATGTAATGAGTCATAGAGGGTTGTAGAGATATGCTATGTGGTCATATCGGCCCAGTAACTAAGGAGCAATGACGTGTAATGAATCATAGAGGGTTGTAGCAATTGTTGAGTAGTATTGCTCTTGTTGTTGGTGTGACAAGCCAAAATATGTATAGTGACTTGTAGGTTTGAGGAGGAGATTTCTAAGTTTGCTCTTGAGTTTGATAGCAAACTGAGTGCAACGAATGTCAGTATGACACCCGAGTGGTGCGTGCCTCCTCGTAGAGGTCACGCTCCGCCTCAGAGCGGAACTTTGGCATGCTCTGGGCGGCCAGGAGGGCCACCCGATTTGCCTCGGTGGCGGCGACGTCGGCGGGAATGAGGGGGGTGGCCTCTTCGGCGGCGCGGAGGGCTGCAAACTCTTCCCCAAGGAACCACGGCAGCTTCCACCAAAGTCAGCAATGGCCAACCAAACCAAACACTGAACCCCACAAGAAAACCTACTGGGACGCAAGGCGAGTGCTGCGACGTGCAGTACCCACACTTCGAACTGGTCGGGGACCAGACGCAGTCATGGGACTGGATCCCACGGGCTTTGGCCTGAAGGCAGCACAGACAGAGTACGCGGAAGGCAACCGTAAGGGCCCCGGAGGGGGTGGGAACCGGCATCTTCAAATTCAGAATCTGCGATTCCGTCAGCCCAGCACAAGTTATCAACACCGCGCCAACGCGCTCTCATCACCTACTCGTTCATGTGGATTGGATGTATACTATCCAATCTATCAGTATCACATAAGAAATGGACGGGGAGGGGCCACTTACTGGTCTCGGGCGGGAGGGTCGCTGGCATTGTTGTTGTAAGGAAAAAAACAAGAGGAAGTGGGCGAAGCGGAATACTCAAATGTTGGCTTACAACAATAAACTCCGAATCGGGCTAGCGCGGCCGCTTCTTCTTTCACGTTCACGAAAATTCTACTCAAACGTGTAGCGGACACCTTCCGGTACTGATTCAGACCTCACGAACGAACCTGAAATCAAACAAAAAGCGAGCTCCAGTTTCGCATACCAAATGGACCCTAACGCGATACCACCTCGGGATGACTGCTGTGGCAAACAAAGCATCTTCCCGATGCGCACGACAAACGGAGTTATTCCGGACGCAATTACCAGCCAACATTCTGATAACAAAGAACGCTCCGCTCACGGATACCATTAGGAGATGTTGCGGACATGATACTAGCTGCGTGCTTTGCAAACAAAGCACTTTCTCAGGAGGGGGGTAGTGTAAGGATGCCTCTCCCTCAGCGACGGAAGGTATCTGAGTCAGACAAGTTACGGTCACGTGGTGAGAGTGAAGGCAGGTTAGCCGAGTCGGACCCGTTTTGGGTACTTAAGGAGATTGACCCAACGGGGGTTCCTCTCTTTACCTTTTTTGTATCCTTCGTAGTAGACCTATAGGATAGCATCCGTTTAGCCTCCGACTTGCACTCTCATATGCTATTACTGTGAGCTGGGTGCCCTGTGTCCTTACATCCGAAACGTCACCGAGTTGCGGTCGATATCGTAATGGTAGTTCTCCTGAGTCGTTCCAGTGTGGGATATTATTGAAGTACAGCCGTCCCCGGCAGGCGTGATCTTTTTTGTATAATGTAAGGACACAGGGCATCCAGCTCACAGTAATAGCATATGAGAGTGCGAGTCGGAGGCTAAACGGATGCTATCCTATAGGTCTACTATGAAGGATACAAAAAAGATCAATCGACTTTTTGGTGCCCCCTTCCTTGTAGTCCTCCTTTTCATCCATGGCCAACACGGCTCGATGACATTTAAATCTGGAGAGTTGGCGCACCAGAAGAGGCGATTAATGTCATGTAATTGAAATACTCGCCGCTGAATGTAATGATTGTGTGATGGAGCGTTGTCTTCTTGTACAATAGTATCCGGACGGTCTACCATGCATTCCCTTGCGAATGGGAACATCTTTGGTATCAGAATCTTTTTCTGATACCGGTACCAATCTATCCCCCCTCCTCCTTTCTCACAGCTTAACTTCCCATTCTTTTTATTCCATCTCCATAGCGGCTTTATACCAGGAAGATTGCGTAGAGACATTCGGCGTATCCCATTTGATAATTCCCATTCTTCACGTAAAATTGGTTCCAACTCTCATTTATTCCATGTATTTCAACTTCTGCAGCGTCTCGTTCTTTTTTTGTCTCTGGGATCCAACAATGACATGGCCCTTTCTTGTCATAAGTAAAACATCCCCAAAACATAAATTCTGAGTATCCTTTCCACCGTTCCCTAATGCAACTCCGTAAAAATGCCTCGTCTGCCTTTCTCCATATCCGATAACCTCCCTGTCTATGGTTTAGTACCACAGATGTCTCATCTGACCATATTACATTTTTCCAATCCTCGAGTGTCCAGTGCTGATGGTCGAGGCACCATTTTAATCTCTCCACCCTCATCTTCTTCATCAACCCAGGCTTCTGTAAGGATGCCTTCCCATTCTAGGGAGTAGACTCTGGGTAGCTGCGGGGTCACGTGTGATCATTTGGGTGGGCTAACTGAGTCGGAACTGAGTCGGATGGTTTTCGGGTACTTGAGACAATCGACTCACGGGGTTCCTCCTTCATCTTTTTTGTATCCTTCATAGTAGACCTATAGGATAGCATCCGTTTAGCCTCCGACTCGCACTCTGATATGCTATTACTGTGAGCTGGGTGCCCTGTGACCTTACAGCTTCCTCGTCGGTTTCGTTTTCCGGAAGCCAGCAGTCCTTAAAACCCTCCATATTGTCGTGGAGGAGATGTCGATACCTTGCAAGCTAAGTTCCCCCGCGATATCAGCACAAGTTTTTTCCCTTCCGTAATGGTCGGTTCGCACCTTTGCTCCCTCTGTCGCTTCAGCTGTTTGTTTTGTCAGGCGGCTAGACCGGGGAGCGTCCTGTAACTACTCATCTCGTAAGGTGAGTGGCATATGATTGGGGTCAAACCCACACTGAATTGCGCGAGTATATATCCGGTTGACCTGTCAGGTGGAAGGATGCCTCTGCCCTCAGTGATGGAAGGGATCGGAGTCGGACAGGTTACGGTCACGTGGGGAGAGTTAGGGCCGGTTAGTGTTGGAACATGGGATGTTCCTGATAGTACGCTGCACAGCGTAGATTGTATACTGAATGTATATAAGGGCTCCGCCTGCCCGTAGTTACTCAATCAAGTCGTCAAACTCCAATTATGTGTTCAACAGTTAGCCGAGTCGGACCCGTTTTGGGTACTTAAGGAGATTGACCCAACAGGGGTTCCTCTCACCAGACGCGATACGAGCTTGGGAGGCCTGTTGGGAAGACCTCCCTCAGTCGCAAATCCAAGCCTGGGTCGAGAGGATTCCTCGACATATCCAGAAAGTCATCGAGCTAGAAGGCGGAAATGAGTACAAGGAGGGGTGAGAAGAACACTGATTTCATAACTATGTACATAACTAAATTGTTTGAACTGTGGCGTTTCCTAGCGTGGGACAAAACTTTTGAACGCTTCCTCCGTAACGATGTGATATTTGAATAAGGCGAGAGAGAGGGGCTTAACTTTCCAGCTTGTAATTAGGAGGAGAACGCAGGTACATACGGGAGATCCAGCCTAAGAGCGGAGCTTGGGGTGGGCATGTGCTTATGGCTAAGCGCCTTACAAACAAAGGCGCGAGTATAGTCAATACAAATTGATGTTAAAATTCTGTGATAGACTTCTCTCTCGAATTTAATTTCTAAGTAGCTGCCATCTACAGTTTTTCCTAGGGACTTTAACTACATGAGCAACTCTGTGTGTACCAACGTGTTGTTCTTGGATAGCGGCCTCCGAATAAGGGCCACAAATGTGTCGACGTTGTAACCGGGGCTAAGATGTGCTCGCTCACTAGTGCCTCAAGCCAACATACATCAGATGCCAACGAGACTCCATTTAGACTGCGAATTGTTCATAAAATAGCAATACATGTACGGGTACTCTGTATGTACACTGCTTAGTTCTAGGAATGTCTATATGTAGTAAAGCACTCGAAGGTCTTGCAAGTTATAAAACGTTATAAAACAATATAGTTGAAGTACTGATCAGAACAAGGTCTTCGTTTGGTGTCGAGGGACTACTATGAAAGGCACTTTAAAGCACTTTAAACCGTTCGAGATGAACTTACAACGGCTGGCATGAGTTTCTTATGGGAAAGGCCACGGCCTTAAAAACGACCTCGTGATGAATTAGAGAAATTGGACAAGACCTCAAAATGACCAGGGCAAGTTGGCTGTTTGTGAGCACCCGCAACAAGCTAACTAACTGCTACTTCGTTCCCAAGAATACCACAGCCCGGAAATTACAGTAAACAAGAAGGGGAAAACAATCGCAAGCTATAGAAAGCAGCCCTTTATTTATACAGATGATACTTCGGCGTTAGAAGAACCAGATGGATTTTACCATGGCGTGGTTGAAGGGCTTGGGAACGGCGCTATGGGGATATGCAAGTGGTCAACCAAGTCATTCGAATGTAAGTTACAATAAACTGTTTATGAATATATTTTGCTGGTTATGTTTCAATTAGGCATGGATATCAAGTAAGTTGAGAAGTTAAGATATGTCGACTTTCCTAACACATTTACAGTCCTTATAATTTTGAAGCACCATGGAGCGCTTGGGAGTTTCCGTATCACATTTTATAGCGGCGAGCTCACATTGATATTATCGCCATTGCCTGAGTGACATGAGAGAAGGCTATGTTGTATACGCTGGTACTAGTGGTGTTCTTGGGATCCAGAGTGGCGAGGTAAAATATATGTGTCCTTAACCGTAGAGAACGCGAGCTTCCTGTTGTCGATACTTCTAAGAGGCCACAGACAAAGCTTGTGAGCGATCCCTCCATCACAGCACGCAGCAGGGGGCAAGCTAGGCCACTAGGTGGAGGAACCAGTCTGCTTCGTGAATACCGGAACGAGTCCTGCGACTCACGTGAGTCCAAAGGCATTCGGAGCCCCTTCGTTCCACTGATAGAGCCCGAGGACATCAGCCCAGCATTGATGAATCTCATCAGTGAGCAGAAAGAGGTTCGACTGGCGACATTGGTATTTCAATGTCGCCAGTCGAACCTCTTTCTGCTCACGTTTTCTCCGGCTCCTACCCAAACCAGAAGATAGACAGCCATTGAAATCGACAACAGCAACAAATGTGCTAGATGGGTCACAAACCCTGAAGCCGAGTAAAGATGAGACGTACCAGGCCCTGAAATCCGCTGTGAGCGGCATACACCGCAAATATAGCTAGGCACCTTCCCCTGAAGCAGGTGGTTTTGAACGCTGCCCTTCGAGCCCAAAATCACTCAATGCGAGTAGAACACGGTAGGCAGTGCATCAAGAGCAATCGCTATACACGCATAACCTTGTAGGCGTGGAACTACAGGGACGGGATGGGAGGCGTCGAAATTGCCAGAGGGCCTGTCCCTGAGCAGGTACTCAATTCTTCGAGCCAAGCTATGGATATCATTTCAGGCAGTGACCATGAAGGCACGGAAAGTTTGATTCCTCCCGTAGCATCGGAGATGGGCCTACGGCTGAAGAGTACTGGGTGGTGATATTGGTTATTTACGACATAGCGGAATGTCATTTGCTTGATACTAACCTTTTACAGGACGATCCTCTAGCGATGAGTTTGGAGCAGAGTATTCGTTTGGTACACGCTAAATAGCACAATATGGTAAGGGTATACAGGGGCTGCATTGAGATGGTCTTTGATCTCATACGGGCTGGGAAAGGGTAACATGGAATTTATCACTACAAGGAGGATATTTTCGTAATTGATTTCCAAGCAATATCTGCTCTAGAGGTATTGTTTTGTGGTGGAGAGTGGAACGTATGAATAGTAGAACGAGACAGGCTTCCCTGCCTTAGGAGTCTCCTGTAGCCGTCCAGGAATCCATGATGCATCACTTTCATCCTCGCATGTTTTAACTTTTTTATTGAATGATCTCACATACGCATGTCACGCAACATAGTTCTGTGCCTCAAGTAACCGGGCTCTTATTCCTTTATGGTATGGCTCAGTCATTTCGTCCCATGCAATACCACAGACCCCAAGCAAAACCCAAGTATAACCGAGTCAACGACGCAACTAAATAAACGTCTCGTAGGCACTGGAAATAGTTAGACATTTGAAGTAACAAGTACCAAAAGAGATTGACATACACTGGGACGACAGTTTCTGGGATGTTGTCTTTGCATGAAATCGTCCTTGCCTCACGGGGCATCGCCGGCTGCCTCTTCAAGTGGACGTGGGTGCCGTCGGCCTTTGACTTCTTCTTGAGCTCGGCGTTGGCCTTGACGCGGCGGACGAACTCTTCTCTTGAACGGGAAAGAGACACATGCTCGATGCGCAGGTTGACGCGCTTCTCGATGTAACGGTGCTTGACCTTCTTGTAGATGATAACTCCGACGGCGCTCTTGGTAACGTTGTACACAACACCGGTCTTTCCGTGGTAAACCTTGTGTGGCATACTATTTGCGAGTTAGAAATATATTCTCGCCCTCTACGGTCCCTCTGGACCATATTGTTCCCCCGAATGCCAATGCCACTCACCCCTTTTGAACAGCACCGTTGGCCTTGATATCCACGATGTCTCCGACTTTGTATTGTCTCAAGTATGTGGACAGCTTGATCATTCCCTGGCCAGAATATTAGTATGGCATCCTTCTATATTTATCGAGCTGTTGAATCGCACCTTCTTCTTGAAGTCACGGCTGAACGCATAGCGCGTGCCAGCTCTAAGACCAGCTGGATGACCCATTTTGACGGCGTTACTGAAGGGGTTGTCGTGGGTTTGGTCGGAATTGTCGCTGTCGCTGGAACCGTTGGTGATGCTGTTTCTCGAATTCACAAGACTCTTTGGGTGGGCGAAAACCCTGGGTCTTAGCCCGAACGGGTTAGGGCCACTAAAATCGCACACTCGATTAAGCGAGGATCCACCAATTTCTACGAACGTTCAACAATCCCAGACCGAACGTGAATTGAGACTGTCAACCAACTTTTTCTTCGACAAACAGCAAAATGGCGCCGTAAGTTCTCTTGTTTGCCTCAATCATTCCCAGACTGCCACGAAGATCTGAAGCTGACATGGAACAATAGACGCTCGTACTCGAAGACCTACAAGGTCCCAAGGCGTCCTTTCGAGTCTGCTCGTCTGTATGTACACTCCGGCCACTGAACACGAGCGTGCTCTGTTCATGTCGTTTGTCAATCGACTGACCCCGTTTCAGTGACTCCGAATTGAAGACCGTTGGAGAGTATGGTCTGCGCAACAAGCGCGAGGTGTGGCGCGTGCTGCTCACCCTCTCGAAGATCCGTCGTGCTGCCCGGTACGTCAATACTACCACGATAATTATACTGGAAGCTAATTCATCGCGATAGTCAACTTTTGACCTTGGACGAGAAGGACCCAAAGCGCCTTTTCGAGGGTAACGCTCTGATTCGCCGTCTCGTTCGCGTCGGTGTCCTCGACGAGTCCCGCATGAAGCTCGATTACGTTTTGGCCCTTAAGGTCGAGGATTTCCTGGAGCGCCGTCTTCAGACTTGCGTCTACAAGCTTGGCCTTGCCAAGTCCATTCACCACGCTCGTGTTCTCATCCGCCAAAGACACATCCGTGTCGGCAAGCAAATCGTCAATGTTCCATCTTTCGTTGTCCGCCTCGACTCCCAGAAGCACATCGATTTCGCTTTGAACTCGCCATTCGGCGGTGGCCGCCCAGGCCGTGTCCGTCGCAAGAAGGCGAAGGCTGCGGAGGAGAAGAACGGTGGTGATGATGCTGAGGAGGATGAGGAGTAAATTAAGACTCATGTTATATGTGGGTTTTAGCCATTGCGCGGAACTTTAGGCACTGCTCATCTGGAATCGACTGTAATATCAGTTCGACGAGTTAGCAAAATATCCAACGAAGGCTTCACAAAATTACACGTTTTCCATGGTCGGCTTAAATAGCTTCGGACCTTTCATATTTCAAGTATTTGCCATATAGCGCCAGTAGACCACCAGGCAGCCTAGACCAATAGGGCGGGTGATCATGATCAACTTTATCACGGAATTGTTCTCGTGTAAACGTACAGATTCATTGCTGCATTTGCAGGCCACATATTTTTTGCGGCCATCATATGTTTTTTCTATTTACTAATCCCAATCACCAGCCGCCCCAACAGTTCCTGCTTCATACAACTGTGATATGGTTCACAAATAGAGCGAAACAATTGCCTAATATACACTAGTATAGAGCGCCTTTCAGATTGCATTTTATTCATGGTTTGGCTTCATAAACTCCGAACAGCTCACCTGGCACATTTAAATTACAAAAGCTTATCCTTGCCTAGTAGGTGAGCCATGGGGTCATTTGGAGCTTGCCGTTTCCGCCGATACTCGTCCATATCCTCTTCTGTCAAATCGCCTTTCATCTCTTCCAATGTGCGCTTCTTCGCAGCATCTTGGCTTGCTGAGCCCTTGTTGGCTGATGCTTCCGCTTCCGACTCAGCGCGTCCCTGCCGGCTGGTTATTTGCAAGGGCGCATCTTCTCTTTGAAGAGCCCCGCCAGTACGAAGATGGTCTGCTTCGTTGAACGCCGCCTTCCCTGCTTCGCCTGTGCAGTAACTATTCTTGACTATTGAATGACAGCAAGCATAACCCCATTTGAAATTTGTCCACCAGCTACCCCATACAGCAGCGTGGTTATTAATTAAAACATCTTCCGCATATTTTGATTTTGCCACTGCTTTCGGTGCCCCTTTGAGCGCGCCGGTTTCGTCATACTCAACAAATCTTTCGGACTCGATAATAGCAGTGTCGCGAAGGCCTTCGGGTACAGTGCTTCCTGAAGCACCGTACTTTTCCTCCAGCATCTTCTTTTGCAGTAATCGCTTCTTCTCAGCCTCTTCACGCTCCTTTCTCCTATAATATTCGCCAGAGGTGGGGTTTGCTTGGAGATGCTGATTTGTATCGCCAGCCTTTTCTTGAGACTCCCACGCGTATTTCTGTGCCTTCTCAAACTCCGCAGCGTCGCCGGATGATCTCATAAACCCTTCCTCTGCCACCAGTGCAGCGGCAGTATCTGCTGTTGCTCCACTATCCACCATGGACCTTGTCTTAGGGTCATATTTCGCTGAGTCTAAGTCGAGGTTCAATAAATATTTTGCGGTATCCTCTCGAATGCGTAACTGTCTCGTCGATGTGCTTTGATGCCTTCCCATGTCGGATTCCTCCGCGTACTTTGCGCCGCCATCAGCTCCAGTTTCTCCTTCGTCTGCTGCTTCATTTGCCGCGGACTTCGTCCTCAACTCTTCCAACTGGGCATATTCCTCGATAACCGTCTTATACTCCTTCGAGTCATATCCATTCCAACGATCTCGCTTTGCATCCCAACCCAGATTGACATCTTGTATAACTTCATCGGCTTGGATGTCGAGCCCTGTCCACTTTGCGCCTTTCGCCCTTGGCCGACTGAGGCACTCCTTCGTTTTATGTGTTATAGACCCGCAGTTCTCGCATGCACCCTTTCTGAACTTCGTCGCCGCAGGGCCTAGCTTCTTGCCTCTATCATACCACTTTGACTGGTCGGATTGCGCCTTCTGTAGCCGCTGGTGTTCGAGATAATCGTTCTGGTCATCTTCCCCAATGTAGAATGGCTTTTTGGAGATGAAAGACGGGATATATTCGTTGGCTTCTTTCGAAGCAGCGGATGGCGCCGGAGGCTTAAGTGGCTGAGTTCCAGCAGGTGGCATTTTTAAGGAGATATATCTGAGTCTGGGTTCAAACTGTCTCGTCGTGTATTTGCTTCCTCAAAGATCATATGGGCGGGATATAATGGTCCTTATCAGCACGTGATTTCGAGTTTCAATTGATAAGGACGAACGCGTCGCGCCACACAAGCGCATTCAACACTACAGACTCCAGTTCAACTATGGACTGATAACCTCGTTGCGAGGTTCTCGGGATGGATCTGTTCAGGGTGCGGCTGAACTGTATTGACCATTACCAAGCGTTCCCAACTCGATTTGACCCCCAACTCCGCCGTGATGTGGCCCCTTCTGAAATCAACAACGAACCAAAAGTGCCTGTCGTCAGAGTCTTTGGGACTACTGAAACAGGCCAAAAAGTTTGTGCCCATATACATGGCGCATTCCCATATATCTATATTGACTATAATGGCCAGGTCACATCTGATGAAGGTAAGTCCTCAGCCGCCCTGGAGAAGCTAGGATAAAGTCTTATATTGTGATATTAGTCGGTGCCTACATCCATAGGCTCCACCTTTCGATTGACCACGCACTTGCTGTGAGTTATCGCAGGGGCGTGTATGACCGCAGAACAAGGTTTATTGCTCGTATAACGCTGGTAAAAGGTGTTCCGTTTTACGGTTATCATGTTGGATATCAGTATTACCTCAAAATCTATGCCTTAGACCCAGTGGTTATGACTCGTCTTGCCGACCTCCTCAGGCAAGGTGCCATTATGAAACGAGTGTTCCAACCCTACGAAGCGCATTTGCAATTTATTATGCAATGGATGACTGACTACAACCTATATGGTTGCGGCTATATCGACAGCCGACAGGTATACTTTAGAGGGCCAGTTCCAAAGTATGAGGAGCTAGATAGGCTATCACACCTCTGGCACGATCGTTCTATTCCTGCCGAGTTTGTCATAAGCGAAGCCAAACTCCCGAGGGTAAGCCATTGCTCTCTCGAGGTGGATATCATGGTACAAGACATTCTTAATAGGCTGGAAATTGTCCAGAGACCGCTCCATCATGATTTCATTGAGCGGTCAAATCCGCTTCCACCGGATCAAAAGCTGGTCCATAGCATGTCGGAATTGTGGAGAGATGAAACCAAGCGTCGCAAAGCCAAAATGAAAGCTGTGGAACCTGGAAGCAACGCATCCCCCCCCGAAGTTTTAATTTCAATGTCTGCTGGTCCCCGAAGCTCTCAGAAAGGCCGGTGGGTGCATGAGGAAGAGTACATGGAGCTTGTACATAGCAGGATACAGGAAGAACGAGCCAAGAGCGATGGATCCAATATATCCTTTGACACATACATTAAGCCGAAGCCGGACGAGGATGATATTAATACTACTTTCCAATCTGTGGAAGACCTCTACCCCGAAAATCTTGGTCCAATTCTTGGCATGAAGCCCGAGGAAAATCCAGTACTTCCAAAGGAAGAGTTCATAGCTGGGAATATCGAAGTCGACGAGAACCGCATCTTTAATATCTCTGATGAGAATGAGTTCCCATATGATTCAGATGACGACCTCCTATGTGACATTGAACAGTCGGAGGAGAAAAAGGATCCACCACCTATCATGGCGACTAGCAGCTTCAAAGCCGAGCATACAGTTGACCACAACTCTGTGCCACTAAACAATGTGCCAAGGGTGCACGAAGCTGAGGATCCATGTTCGCTTATAGAACTGGGCGACAGAGAGCACCACCCTACAAAAGCACGGATTTATGAACCTAGAAGAGATGCAACCCCTACTTCTGCTCTAGAGCTTGCTTCTTCGAACTCTACGGCCGAAGGGCTGCTCCGAGATATAAAGGTGGCAACGCCACTGGGGGGAAGCAAGACAACAAGTCTTAAGCGATCAATAACTCTGATCCCCTCTGATGAAGGGTACAGCAAACGTTCTAAACTTGACTTTGCTATTGCGCCAATCCAATCGACGTTCTCGGCTGCTGAGTCGCGCCCCCACCAAGCACTTCCAGGATATGGAAGCATGGCAGAAAACGGAAGCTGCAATATCAGAAATCGGGGTAACATACTTTCGGAAAGAGATCATCATAACTTACTAATGTTGCCAACTGTCAATGGCCTTTCTCATACTCTGAACTTGGGCAAAAGGCTGCCGCGCCACAATGTCGACAGTGGTAAACTGGACCCCCAGCCTCTTCCCAATCCAGATCCCATACATCTACAAGAAATAGACACGGTGTTTAGGCATTCGCAGTACGGCTCTTCACAAGACCAAGGAGAGACTTCTTTTAACGAAAACAAAAATCTGTTCGGTGTTACATCCCGTTCGATACAGACCCAACTTGAATCAGAAGCACATCGCATTGCATCCCCTAGCGAGCAACAAAAGCTGGTCTCAAGTATAACTTGGGACTTAAGGAACACAAACTGGGTCGCTCGAAGTAAATCTGTCGCGGCTTTCGCCAAATCACCGCCTTTGAAAGAAACAGTCACCCCTACCCTCCATCCACCTGTCATATATCAAGGTCCTTACTATGGCAATGAGCTAGATGTGCCCGAGCGACCTACAGAATGGGCGGGCAAAGAGTTTAAGCTTGAGAGTTTGACTGTCCCGTTTCTTCCGGATTTTGACGAAACAGGTAGCTCGGCTGCTAGTTTAGGGGAAAAGCCTGCGATTGTACATAACAAACCAAGTGAAAAGCATATATATGAACATCGACAGCAACGGTGCAGATTACGAGTTTGGGAAATTGGAAAGCCAGCGCCAGCATTTAACGATGTAGCGGACTGGGAACGTAAGGAGGTCTTGGCGAAAGCAAAGTCAGGAACCCTGAAGTCAAGCAGACAACCTAGTCTGCAACCTGAAAACAGTGCCCATTCACAAATTGAGGGCCCGACACAGACGAATAAGCACGGTTTTCAATATACCCAGCCACATAATACATCAACCTTGCAAAACAATGCGCAGTATATGAGTGTAATGAGCCTCGAAGTTCATATCAATACCCGAGGCAATTTAGCCCCGAATCCACAAGAAGATGAAATACAGTGCGTGTTTTGGAATCTTCAGTTGGGTGAAGACCATCCTGATAACCTCGGAACTGGCGGAGTTAGCCATGGAGGAATTGTTGCTTTGTCAGAGAATGGCCAAACGGCGAGGAACATAGCAAAACAAACTCCCATCCACGTCTTCGAAGAGTCCTCGGAGCTTGACCTCCTCGTTCGAATCGTCGAATTTGTAAGAGCAAATGACCCGGATATTCTAACGGGCTATGAAGTTCACAATTGCTCATGGGGCTACTTGGTTGAACGAGCAAAGTTGAAGTATGAGTATGATCTCTGTGAGGAGCTCTCCCGCATGCACACACACTCTCGTGGACATTCTGAAAAAGACAGCGATAAATGGGGATCTAGACATACCTCAGCGATCTCAGTGACTGGACGTCACATGATAAACATATGGCGAGCCATGCGGAACGAACTCAACCTGCTGCAATACACGATGGAGAATGTGGTATTCCACCTGCTACATCGCCGAATTCCCCACTATGCCTGGCGAGATTTAACTATGTGGTATACCAGTGGAAAATTCGCAGACCTAGCAAAGGTCATTGAGTATTATTTGTGTCGGGTGCAGCTTAACCTCGCAATATTGGACCAGAGTGAGCTTATTACAAGGACCAGTGAGCAAGCACGTTTGCTGGGCGTGGATTTTTTTTCTGTGCTTTCAAGAGGCTCGCAATTCAAGGTGGAATCTCTTATGTTCCGAATTGCTAAACCAGAAAATTTCGTATTAGTGTCTCCCAGTCGAAAACAAGTTGGTGCACAAAATGCATTGGAGTGTCTTCCACTAGTTATGGAGCCTCAGAGCGCCTTTTATACCAGCCCGTTGCTGGTGTTGGACTTCCAGAGTTTGTATCCAAGTGTGATGATCGCCTACAATTATTGCTATTCGACATTCATGGGGCGAATTGTGAACTGGCGAGGCGGGACTGGTAAAATGGGCTTCACCGAATATCAGCGACAGGATCGATTGCTGGAGCTGTTGAAGGACTTCATCAATATCTCTCCAAATGGGATGATGTACACCAAACCCGAAATTCGGAAATCTCTGCTTGCAAAGATGCTGGGAGAAATCTTGGAGACACGAGTAATGGTAAAGAGTGGGATGAAATTTGACGTAAACGACAAAACCACCCAGAAACTTTTAAACAATAGGCAGCTAGCCCTGAAATTAATAGCCAACGTTACTTACGGCTACACATCGGCGTCTTTTTCAGGCCGCATGCCTTGTGTGGAAATTGCAGATAGTATTGTCCAGACTGCACGCGAGACACTGGAGAAGGCGATTGCCCTCGTACACTCAGTCAAGCGTTGGGGCGCAGAAGTCGTCTATGGAGATACTGATAGCATCTTCATCTATCTCAAAGGAAGAACCAAGGACCAAGCATTTGACATTGGGAATGAGATTGCGGAAAGGGTTACAAATATGAACCCTCGACCAGTGAAGCTGAAATTTGAGAAAGTCTATCTTCCCTGTGTGCTTCTGGCAAAGAAGCGATACGTCGGCTTCCAATATGAGAAAAAGGACCAACAAGAACCGAAATTCGATGCCAAAGGAATTGAAACTGTTAGACGGGATGGCACTCCAGCTGAACAAAAAATCGAAGAGAAGGCGTTGAAGATTCTTTTCCGATCTGCAGATCTCAGTCAAGTTAAAGACTACTTTCAAGCACAGTGCGAGAAGATAATGACAGGCTCAGTGTCAATCCAGGATTTTTGCTTCGCGAAAGAAGTGAGACTTGGAAGCTACAGCGATAAAGGGCCTCCGCCGCCTGGTGCACTCATCAGCATAAAGCGCATGTTAGAAGATCACAGAGTTGAGCCCCAGCACGGTGAGCGAGTTCCATACGTAGTCATTACTGGAGAGCCAGGTGCAAGACTAATTGATCGATGCGTCGCTCCCGAGACGTTACTACAAAGCGACCACAATGAGCTTGACTCCGAGTATTACATTTCAAAAAACTTGATTCCTCCATTGGAGCGAATATTCAGCCTTGTGGGTGCGAACGTTCGTAGTTGGTACGACGAAATGCCCAAGGTCCAACGGGTTCGGCGCGTAGATGTCGGCCCGCAACTGGCTGGCCAGCCAGCAGATGTTCCATTCAACAAAAAGACATTAGAATCATACATGAAGTCATCGTCGTGTCTCGTTTGTCAAGACAAGCTCGAATCCAACGCTGCTATCTGCCCAACATGCCTTGGAAATCGCCCATCATCTATGTTAGCTTTACAGACCAGGCTAACCGCTATGGAAAGGAAGTATCAGGAACTGGAAAGTGTCTGCCGAAGCTGCTCCAATATATCCTGGACTGATGAAGTCAGGTGCGACAGCAAAGATTGTCCGGTGTTTTATTCGCGAGTGAAAGAAAAGGCGAGACTTACGACGGAGCGGAAAGTCGCTGGGCGTCTGATGGAGAGATTGCAAGGAGATAGTAGCGGCCATGAAGACCTGGAATGGTAACTGGATACACACACGTGCAAGGCCCTCAAGCCAAATGTGCACTCACAGTTTATCTTTCCATAAACAACCCCGCCAACATTTCTGAGACTTCAGGGCCAGTAATAATAGTACTGCGCAGTCATGCCTGGCTGTAATATATGTAGGGCACCTTTCGAGTTAAATTATAACTTGGGATACTTCTTGTAATTTAATACATAATAATACAGACAACCTCCAACTTGGCGCGCGTTTAAACTTTTGAGAAAGCTGGACTAGCTCACTCGAAGCCTACCCCGCTACCCAGGTCGTTCTGAAAAATGTCGCTAAACTTTATTGGTTAGCGTCTCCACCTCCACGTAATCTCCAGGCACAGTTAGCAATAAGCCAAGAAAAATGTCGCAACCACCAATAATGGATTTATGAAACTCCAAGGATAATCTTAGTACTGGAGTAGGCTTTATTGTCATTTCACTGTTATTGTATTCACTTTTAGGGTATATATTTTTTACGAAACCTCCAAACATCTCTTGCCGGAGTAACTTTTACTACCGCTCACTATAAGGTAATTAATGATAATGAAGCCAGAGGAGATAAACACAAGCAGTACAGTCAGTTTTGTCTGTGTGGGGGTCGCTTCCCATCTAGCCTCACCCATTGCATCTGTAGTGTAGACTCCTTGCAAGTGATACTCCGGTAAATATAAATGGAACTTGCCAAGGGGCCTGATGGTGGGAATATCTGGACGAGTATTTGCGAAAGTCATTAATTTCCCTAGTGGCCAAAGTCAAGCCGAGACAAGCTGGTTGACATGACGATGACAAAGAAGTAGCAACATCGTCGCAAGAGGGGTGCGAGAATTCCGTTTGAATTATTTCTCCAGGCACAGGTTGATAATAAGATCACATTGCCGCGTATCGCGGGAGTAAAGGGCCAAGGCTTCGTCGCGCAATGCAGGGTGTACTTTGGAATTTCCTGGAGGTCGATCAGAATGTAGAACTGACATATACAATTTCTACGACCTTGAAATTCTGGTGCTGCCATTCCCGCTGGATGGGTTGTGCAGGCTCTCGGTATCTTCTAGTACATTTGCGGGCAAGAGGGGACCTTCCTTTGTTGGTGTGCCAGAGTGGTTTTTTTCGTGATCCGGCACCGCGACGTCGGCTTCGTCATCATTATCGCCGCCTTTCCAACGAGAGATAGCAGTATTTTCGGAGTCGTCTGTGGGGGACACCGGCTCAGAGTCTGGCGCTGCGACGACAAGTACACCTTCTTGCGAGACAGCATAGTCATTGCGAGAATGCCGCTTAGGTAGTGGCGGGGCTTGATGGGGCGTGCTGGAAGATGTGGAGCTTCGAGCCTTGACCTCAGACGGTTGTCGGGCCAGATGCAGAGGGGGGAGTGGACTGCGTTTTGGAACTGGGATATGCGCAGTTTTGGTCCTTCTGTCTGGCAGAGGTAAAGGTGTGCCAGGGGGCGGTAATGGTTTCCCGCGGCCCATTGGCTGCGTCAAATCGGGTGTTTCACTTCCGAGTTCAGAAGCCATGGAGAGCTTTGTTTGGTCTCGGCTTATTTGTAGCGCGTTTAATCCCCATTTCCGAGCACTTTCAGCTGCGTTGGCAACTGCGCTAAGAGTATTCCGTTTTGGTGTTGATCCTCTGCCAACACTAGCTCCGGCTTCTGAATCCACCACCTTCAGCGAACCATTTGTTTCTTGGCTGATAAGGCCCAGGTGAGAAGGGCGTATTGACTCAGCGTGGGAACTATCAGATAGGCTGCTGGGGCTTTCTGGAAATGATTCTTCGCCTTTGTGCCGGTTTAGTTTGAGGCTCTCTCCACCTGCTGTTCTCAATCCATTGCAAATCGTAGAGTCGAGCCCCGCACGTTCGATATTATCTGTTTCTCGTGAGGACAACGACGACATACTGCCAGATTTGGTTTTCACTATACTTGAAGGCTTAGATGGAGACCCAACAGGGCTGGCCGTTGCTGAAGGTGGAGGTGACCTTGCTGATAGAGCAGCCATGGTAGAAGCCGCTGAACTATGGTCTGAGGGGCTTTCGAGCTTGAGCGCGTCGATGTTGGTATTATCGGTGCTTACAACAGCACTCGCGAATGAGTGCTTTCTGATCGATTTTGGTTTACTAGAAGGTACTGATGACATTGTTTCGACACTAGTAGACGAAGCATTCTTTTTGGAGGGCCCCAGGTTGAAGACCGACTTGGCTGTTTTCCGAGCGAAAGACTCTACATCAGGGCTGGATTCCAGCGTTGGGGTACTTATGCTCTTCTCCATCGGCGGAAGAGACGGAGAAGAAGTTTGATTTTCTACTTGCTCCAGCTCGTCTACATCTCCATCCTCGGCAATTATTGTTTCAAGGGATTGTGATGGTCGAGAAAGTTCGCTGTCTGTCCAGATACCGCCCCGCCACTTCTTTCCATCCGTATTGAAAAACGCAAGGTCGTCCCAAAATGGCATAACAATGGACTCGGCAATGACCTCCTTGATCCTGTTCTCTATCTGGCGGAGAATCAGAGTGTAGGTAATTTGTCTGGAGCTGACAATTGGCTCGATAGACATATCTATTCGTGGAGCGGTTTCGAAGGTCATCCAAAGACGATTGCTTGGTGGCGGCTTAATTCTAAGAAGCATGTGCCCCTCAACGCGACGAACGGTAGCTGCCAAGACTAAGTCTACCTCCCTGGCTTTGAACCTTGAACCGAGTTCTATCCTTGCAGTTGCGGCTATTTCAACGCGGAAATTACCTGTGTAAAGTATGTCGCCTTCAATCGTACAGTCGCCGTCGACGGTAAGGTCTTTTAAACGCGGATTGGTGATGTATGGGGCCCCCTCACCCATATCAATGTTCCGAATAATAATCTTGGACAGAAATGCAGGCTTCTTCACTCTCGATATCTTTTTGGTAATCTTGGCTCTGATAAAGGCCTCAACATCCGGCGTTTTGTAAATGCCGAGGAATATTCTTCCGAGAATAGCGTTGAACCACCGTATCTGCATATTCTCTTCGGATGAATGTAGCCGTTGAACCAATTCAATAATGTGCTTGACATCGAACTGTAGAGGCTTGGGGACATTGTTTGAATCTTCAGGTCGTTTTTGCATATTTTTCAGTAATGCGAAATAGAAGTCTTCCTTTTCAGAAAGGCTATCGGTAAATAGATAAAAAGGTTCCGAAGGTGTTCCGTCGGGTGTCATTTCTCCAACGTCGGCTCTCCGGGTCAAGCATATGGCATTTCGCTTGATAAAAAGCTCCCCATCTGGTATTTCCTCGCCTCCGCCATATATACTGACATCGTGGTGTGCCAGGGATAGCACATAGCGGACTTCGAGTTGCTCCTCAGTGTCGAAGAGTAGGATATGTTGATGCCTAGCAAATTATTAGCTACAGTACAAGTGAAAATTTGTATTGCCGTTCCAATTTATAACCATACCTTAACACAACATAAAATACATTTCCGCCTTTACTGGTTGGCTTCCCGGCGCCCTTGATATCCAATGGATTGGAGTCCTTTTTTCGGTCGAATATGCTGCGGTACATACTTTGGTATACACTTGGGCTCGGTGAGGTGACAACTGCAGAGCCCGTGGGAGTTGTTCTCTCCGGTGGTTTGCCATTAATGCCTCCAGGGACATATTCGCGGCAAACGGCGAAATACCCAGCAGCTACGTCGGACTCTTGGGAGCTGCGAGGCTGAAACTTCTCATCCAACTTCTTGGAAGCTGATCTAACAGCATCCGCTCGGTCGCCATCCCGCAAAAGGCCATTGCATCTCGGTGCTTCTGGCACCTCTGTCGGGGTCTCGCGGACGGGGAACGTTAGGTAAGCGTGTAGGATGAGCACCACCACGAGGAGGGGAAGAAAGGTAAGGCCACCAAGAACATAGACGAAAAGGAAATAGGTGACCCCTCCCATCATGGACTTTTCAATAGGCGTCTCTGACTACATGCACAGCCCAGATAGAAATTACGTGGGGTTGGCGATGACGCACGTCGGGTAGGAAGATCCTCCTCAGCCAGCAAGGTGTCATCTGAAGTTGAGGTGGTGAGTGCAACGCGGAGGCGAATAAAAGGCTTGCCCCACACCCCGTCATGATGGGGACCGGAGCTTGCCGTTTGAGCCTCGCTCCCAAATTCACGTATTGCGCGGCCTCACTCACGGAGACAATATAAGCAAACTGCGGCCGATTATACCACTATCCTCCATTCCATTTGTTGGTATACTGCACTTTATTTCCTGTGCGCGGGTGTTTCCGCTGCTGCAGTTTCAACATGTCACTACAAACAGCAAGACACGTCGACAATGCGAAGTCTGTTACCCCCAATCTTGTTGCCTTGGTAGATCTCTGACAAGAGGTTTAAATCGTCCCGAAGGTAAACTAATTTAAATGCGATATAGGTCCGAGAGCGAACTGTCTATCAATATCCGAAAAGCCACCAGCATTGAGGAATCGGCACCCAAACGAAAGCATGTGAGGAGTTGTATTGTGTATACATGGGACCACAGGAGCTCTCAGTCCTTTTGGGCTGGGATGAAGGTGTGAGTACAATATGATATCAGCCGGGATCTGCTCAGTTTTAGATGATGAGATATCTCTGTGGCCTTCGTTTTTCATTCTGCTAATAGTGACAAACTACAGGCAACCTATACTCGCGGACGAGATTCAGACATTCAAAGCACTCATCACAGTACACAAAGTTTTACAAGAAGGGCATCCCATAACACTTCGGGAATCTATGGCAAATCGAAGCTGGATTGACAGCTTGAATCGCGGAATATCTGGAGAAGGGCTCCGAGGCTATGGCCCGCTGATCAAAGAATACGTCTACTTCCTGCTCGCAAAGCTCACCTTTCACCAACAGCATCCAGAATTCAACGGCACTTTTGAGTATGAGGAGTACATCAGCTTAAAGTCAATAAATGATCCAAATGAGGGGTATGAGACGATTACAGACCTCATGCAGCTACAGGACAAGATTGAGCAGTTCCAGAAGTTAATTTTCTCTCATTTTAAGAGTGGCGCAAACAATGAATGTCGGATTTCAGCCCTGGTACCACTGGTTCAGGAGAGCTATGGGATTTATAAGTTTGTTACAAGTATGCTTCGCGCAATGCATACAACAACCGGTGACGATGAAGCTCTCGAGCCTCTAAGGAGCCGGTACGATGCTCAGCATTATCGGTTGATTAAGTTCTACTATGAGTGCTCCAACTTGCGATATCTCACAAGCCTAATAACAGTTCCCAAACTGCCTCAAGGCCCGCCCAATCTCCTTGCCGAGGACGAAAACGCACCTAGCTTGCCACAACGCCCAAAGCAGGAAGTGGAACGCCAACCAACACCTGTCGCCGCACCGAAAAACGAGGAGCCGGATGACATCAGTGAGTTCTGGAAGGGCGAACAAAATCGCCAACAGAAGGAGTACGAGGAGCAACAGAGAGTATTGGAGGAAAGGCAGGCCCAACAGCTATACGCCCAGCAGCAGGCAGCTTTGCAAGCTCAACAAAACTTTGAAGAGCAGCAGCGCCAACTTGCCGAGCAGCAACGCCGAGAACAAGAGGCGCTGATGCAGCAACAGACACAATGGCAGACCCAAGGACGGCTGGCAGAGCTTGAGCAAGAAAATTTAAATGCGAGGGCACAGTACGAACGTGATCAGCTGATGCTGCAACAGTATGATCAGCGCGTAAAAGCCCTCGAAAGTGAACTGCAGCAGATCCAAGCCAGTTACGGTCAACAAATTACGAGCAAAGACGACCAAATCAAAGCATTGCAAGAACAGCTGGATACATGGCGAACAAAGTACGAAGCTTTGGCCAAACTTTACTCGCAGCTGCGAACAGAGCATCTTGATCTCCTTCAGAAGTTCAAATCCGTGCAACTCAAGGCAGCTTCGGCACAGGAAGCCATTGACAAACGGGAAAAGCTTGAACGCGAAATCAAGACGAAGAACCTTGAGCTTGCAGATATGATACGCGAACGAGACCGTGCGCTACATGAAAAGGATCGGGCGAGCGGTGGCAACCGGGAAGAACTTGAAAAGCTGAAACGAGAACTCCGTATGGCTCTTGACCGTGCTGATAATGCAGAGCTTAGCAAGGGCAACGAGCTCTCCTCAATGCTTTCAAAGTACAACCGTGAGATGGCCGACCTTGAAGATGCCCTCCGGAAGAAGTCGCGTGCTCTTCAGGACATGTCAACCAAATATAGGGAAGGCGACAGTGACCTCGAGCAGTTGCTCAGAGAAAAGGAAGATGAGCTGGAGATCATGAAGATGGGAATGGACCAGACTTTGATTGAACTTAACGAGCTCAAGCTATCCCAAGGAGAAACAGACCATGCTTTAGATGGTCAGATTGATGCGGTGTTACTTTCTAACATCGCGAAGATCAATGACATTATTGATTCTGTCCTTCAGAGTGGCGTCCAACGCGTAGACGACGCTCTCTACGAGCTCGACTCCTCGATGCAAGCGGGAAACCAGAATGCGTCTCCGTCATACGTGCTATCACAGGTCGAGAAAGCCTCTGCGAGTGCGACTGAGTTTGCGACTTCTTTCAATAACTTCATCGCCGATGGCCCTAATAGCACACATGCGGAGATTATCCGCGCCACCAACGTCTTTGCTGGCTCTATTGCAGATGTTCTAAGCAATACCAAGGGACTCACAAGGCTGGCCACGGACGACAAAAAGGCCGACCAACTAATAAATTCAGCCAGACAATCTGCTCAATCCACAGTTAAATTCTTCCGTGGCCTCCAGAGTTTTCGTCTGGATGGGATGGACCCTATGCAGAAAACTGACGTCGTCATCAATAATAACAATGATGTCCAGATGAACTTGCAAAAGCTGAACAAGCTTGCTGACTCATTTGCACCCAGCAGCGGGAGACTGGCGAACAACAAGGGTGACTTGGGAGATCTTGTCGACAATGAACTCACCAAGGCCGCTGATGCTATCGCCGCAGCAGCAGCACGCCTGGCCAAACTCAAGAATAAGCCCAAGGATGGATACTCGACGTACGAGCTGCGAATTCATGACTCAATTCTCGATGCCGCATTAGCACTTACCAATGCCATCGCGCAGCTAATCAGGGCGGCCACCGCAACCCAGCAAGAGATTGTGCAAGCTGGTCGGGGGTCGTCGTCTCGCACCGCCTTCTACAAGAAGAACAATCGCTGGACTGAAGGTCTCATCTCTGCTGCAAAGGCCGTGGCGAGCTCCACAAACACTCTGATTGAAACTGCAGATGGAGTCCTGTCCGGTCGCAATAGCCCCGAACAACTTATTGTTGCATCAAACGATGTTGCGGCCTCTACTGCGCAACTCGTAGCTGCGAGCCGAGTCAAGGCTGGATTCATGAGCAAGAGCCAAGAGACACTGGAGACAGCTAGCAAGTCTGTCGGTGCCGCATGCAGAGCGCTTGTCAGGCAAGTACAGAGCATGATCAAGGACCGTGACCAGGACGAAGAACGAGTTGATTACGGCAAGCTGGGAGCGCACGAGTTCAAGGTCAGAGAAATGGAGCAACAGGTAAGATTCCGAAACCCGCTTCGCGAAAACGCCATGATGCTAACCGTCGATAGGTTGAGATTCTGCAACTCGAGAATAATTTGGCTTCCGCGAGACAGCGGCTGGGCGAGATGAGGAAGATCTCGTACCAAGAATGAGATAACAGTTGCGATATGGGCTAGACGAATGGAGCAGTAAGAATAGGAATTCGTACGGGCGCGACGACACGATTAATGTACAGAATTACTTACAAGGCCAGGGACATGTATTTAGTAGCTCTATTGCCCGATGTTCTCTTGGCTTCCCCTCGGCGTTGCCCCTTGACTTTGCGCGTCTTTCCCATGGCTTCCTCTCGAAATTTCCCTGATTTTCCTCTTAACTTTCCCTGGCTTTCAGCGACTTTCCTTAACTTTCCCAGACTCCTCCATGCCTTTCCCTCAATATCCGCTTCGCAGTTAACGTTGAGCTCAGGCGCCGAAACGCATTCCGCTATTCCTAAACAGGAAATATTTCAAAAATTACATCAGGGTCCAAACCTTCGATCGTTCGAGCGTTCGCCCCACCCCTTTCCACCGTACACCGTACTCATGCAGGACGTACTAAATCAACAGTTGGGAGTTCCGATACGGAGTGGGGACAGAGGACATGTCAGATCTTTCGATGCACGCTAACGCGATGTGACCCTTCCTTCGCATCTCTGCAGGGTCTGGCCGAGACTGGGCCAATAGTGCATCGGGTGACAAGTCTCTTTATTGGGACAACCAACTTGCTGCGGTGTGATGTCTCATGCATTGCGGCAAAGATCTACGCGTCGCCAAGACAGTAAAAGCGGCGTGTGTGTGCTGAATGAATAGTGGTGGAGGTTTATGATAATTTACGGCTTTGGGGAGAAGGAAGCACCAGTAACGGTAAATATGGGGACCTAGCATCGGAATTAAGGAGCTGGTGGTGGATGGTGGTGGAATGGTGGATCGACGGTGGAGGGACAAGGTGCGGGAAGGAGTTGACGGCGTGGTTAGGTGGAGACTGCCCCGCGACTGATGCGGAAAGGTGTTGTGGGACAGGGTTGGAGCTAGATTCCTTGGCGTTCTTTATCTGGACGTCACTTCTCGCATTAAAAACATGATGCAAGGGCAGGGATGGAATGCTGATGTTTCATGCTTCGAGGTCGTCAGCTAAAACAACCAAAACATTCCGAGCACTCTGTGGCGAGCGCTTTCTAGAACGAATCCTCCAGCGCGTAGCTTTCGCTGCGTTCGATAGCTGACAGAAGTTAGCGGGGAAAGAAGTGTGATAGTGAGCAGCACAAACGTACGTGGTAGTTGAATCAGTGGGCGCGTATAGCCCAGGCTTGCCAGATATTCAGTTGTCTGTGCTGGATTGCTGAGGTCAAAAGTGTTGTAGTACTCGTTGTCCATTCCATTGCCGACAGTCAACGTGTTGTCTGGTGGGTTGTATATATCCGTCATTCTCCCAGTCCAAATCAATGACGGGAAGCTCAGTTCCAAATAAGGGTGGTCCCTGTCAAGGTCGAAAATTTTTGCTGCCATGCCAAGAGGGTCCTTGGAGACGTTTTGGAGGAACTCAACTTTAGCTGGCGTTGGGTTGAACTGAGGGAGCGAAGCCATAAGCCGCTGGCCATTATTGTCCATGTCCCGAAATACTTCTTTGGCAGTTGGCATATAACCACGGTTGATGCAAAGTGCAATGATCTCACTCTCGCTCATTGTAGTATGTTTGAATTGGTCTTCCATAGTTGCCATATCCGGGGGGCCAGTTTGGATCAGAGTTTTGCTGCCATCGTCTTGGATATTCATAACCCAGTTCAGCTTGGGAAGGTAGTCATGAATAGGAATGATGCCAATTGCTGGGCAGGAAATTTCGAGAAACTTGTCCAGAGGAGCCAGCGCTTTTCCGCGGCAGTCCCGGATAATGGAGTAGACTTTGGCTAAGATCGACCACTTCGCTTTGAACGGATCCTGTTGCCATAGCGTCGTTAAGTAGGTCGAAATCTCCTTCTGTTGGGCGTCGGTAAACATTCTTGCATAATAGCCTAGGTAACATTAGCCCAGACCGGTAGTATTTCACTCATATATATTTACTTCGGAAAGCCATCCAAGAGTTCAATGGACGCATCGTGGTAGGCGTTGTCAATGGCATGGTGTTCAGCGTAGTCGTGCAATCAAGATATTGAATGTGCTGAGCGAGTTTTGATTGAACAGTTGCATTATCGTCAAACCTATTCGGGTGACCTGGATCGGTCATTTTGGTAAAGGTTCGATGGTGGTGAAGTTATCGCGAAATGTGGACGAAATAATAAAGATCTGTTGGTCAAAGTCCAAAGATATTTATTTGAACTGAGCTGAAAAGATTTACAGGATTGCTTGTGATGTTTTATCTTCGGAGAAACGATTCTTTATGTAGTTGTCAAGGTGAAGTGGGCGTGTCTCTCGGTCGGTAGCGAATGAAAACAGAACAAAGGAAGTGATCCATTCAACGCCACGCCATTAAAGCAGCGTCACTATTTATTTCCAGCCACAACCCTCAGTTTACATAGAAAAAGTAACATAGAACCAGCAAACTATAAATGGAGAATTGCCATTAAGAATTGCCATTAAGAATTGCCGTTTATCATGCCATTTTTGGTTGATTTTTTCTTGTGACTTCCATTACAAGCGGTAATCCCAGCCCGTCGCCATGAAGCCGGCCTTGAAAAGACCGAACAGCGAGTGACAAGCTTTCTATGCTCTCTGCTGTCCCTACAATGCCTGCTGTGCGAAGCTAAAAAAAACGGTTAGAGGGTTGTAACATGTGTTGTCTGGTGGAAACATACAGCCAAAAATGGGAGTTTAGCCCTTCCTACGCGATTTTCTTTCTGCTTCAGAAGAAGATAATTTTCGCCTGTGGCTTGAGCCAGCTGAAATGCACTCTTTCATGTTTCAGTGTTGCGTTCCATTTGTTGGGGCCGAAATACTTTACCGTTTTCTTTTCTCTGAGTTTATCTCTGTATTCCTAGCAACGTTAGATCATAAATTACTTATTCAGACTTCTATCTCCAAGCTTACAGTTTCGTAGCGTCGTTCAATAGAAGAATACATGAACCTTGCTCGTCGCAGGAGCATTCCAGCGGTAGGGGGGATTCGTTGGCGAATGGTAAAATTGTTCGACTTAATACCCTTCCGACGAGGGGAGCGAAACGATTGATTCAAATTTCGGAACCATTTCGTCCACGTCTTCTTGGTGCTTGGTCCATTCGGCTCCAGTGCATGATCTTCATCGAGCGTATGTTCAACCCAGGTTTCTCTGCATTGCCAGCATTTGTTTTGCAATCGCCACCGACAAACGCGAGTATCTTGAAGTGTTTCGGACGGAACCTCGTTGGCTCGAGGAATTCTGTACATATTGTTGTCCTGTCCGGGGAAAGTTATATTTTCTCTGTTATATTTGTCCAACCAGTCGAAGTCAATATAAATGTACCCCATTCCAAGATCAAAGCCATTTAACAGAGCAAGTCCTCGTTGTTTTACTGTCTCTGGCGGTAATGGAAGGCTGTGAAGCTCAAGGAGACATATTCTATCGCATGCCCCGCAGTACTTGATAGGGCTGTCGTCGAGTGAGTTCAGATTGATCGGTTGAAGCTCGAATGAGGACTGATTGTCGTTGGACCAAGCTTCATGCATATTGCGGACTCCTTCCAGCTTTTCTGCAAGGCCCGCCATAACATACCAGAAGTACTTCTTGTGTCTTATAGATGGGAACAACTCAGGGTCGACTTTTAGTCGTTCTGTTTCTTTCCAAATATTCTCAAAGGAAGTGTACAATCTTCGATCTATGTTCATCTTCCCACTCATAATGTTGTCAACATGTATGGTGCTCAGTAGGTGAACCAAATTCATTTCCATCCTGCGCATGATGGCACCAAGAAACGACCCGGAGCATTTTCTTAGGCTTGAAGCATTCGCTTTTTTTTTTTAGTTTGTGTTTAATAATCAGATTGGGCACTTTTACTTGCGGATATTCCTTTGTCCCATCTCCTGAACGAAGTGCTTGCCTCTCCTGGAAACAAAGCATCTTTGCTTTTCCCAGTCTTTCCCTTTCTCATGGGGTTGGATGATTCCATGGTGATGTATTCAGAATTTAAAGAGATGCTGTGTAGAGCTTCTGTTGCCTCAAAAATATTTCCGCGTTCAGAGGATGAAGAAGTGTCGGTGAAGTTGAGGTTATCTGAAAACGTTACCTTGGGGGTCTTTTTGTTTCGGCTGGCTGCTATAATTTTGTGGTCTTAAACAAGCTACTCCTCACACACAATAATATTTGTTGTCTCGGAAACCTTTTCACTTCTACCCTTCCACCAACATTTCATTCTGATCAAGAACCAACAAATTCCAGCTTTACTTTGCACTTCAATTTGCGATAACGTACACCATCATCGTACACCATCATCGTTTCGATTTTGCGAAGCCATTTGTCAAACCCAAAAAACTACTATCACCAGTCACAAACTCAACAATATGGCTTCAACACCTTCAACACCTCCAACACCTTCAGTACCAGGTGATTTTGACAACCTCAATGATACAGCCATGTTTCAGATTCGATCTTCCGTGGAGTTTTATTTCAAATCCATACACGAGAACATGCCCGCATTCTTTCTCCCGAAGGAAATCGTGGACTCTATGGGACCAGGAAGACTTGCAAGAGTTGCGCACAACTACGCGTAAGTTAAGACTCAACCTCACTATTTTGTCCTAACATTTTGCAGGAATGAGATTCGGACCGATGTTTCCATTGTCTACGATCCAGCCTTCTGCCTGTACAAGATTGCCCCCCCGGAGTATATGGCATCTAACGAGACATTGATATACATTGACACCGTCGTTTACCAACATGGCACAATAATCCCACTTCGGAAATGGGAGCTGATGATTCCAAACTTTTCGGATCGGGCATCAAACTTCGGAAAGAGAGCTCTTGTTGAAGCCGGCCCGGGAAATAGAAAAATCACGAAGCCACCGAACTGTTTCATCCTCTTCCGCCGTGACAAACGCCACCTTGTCAAGGAGAGATATCCGGATGCCAGTCTTGGCCAAATCTGTAAGTGCAATTCATCTCAAAACCCGGCTTATTGGTAGCCGACGACTTTTAGAAACCAATCACGGACTAATATATGCTAGCGTCCATTATAGCTCAAATGTGGGCTGCTGCTGAAAAGAAAGTGAAGATGCAGTATCAATTGGAGGCCATGAAGCTCAAGCGCCAGCACGACAACGACCATCCCAATTGGAGATGCCAGCCACGCAAATCAAGCGACATCAAGAGGCGTGCAGTTAAAAAACGCACTCCTGCAAGCTCTCCTATCTTGGTCTCAATGGCCAACTCAGCGCCTATCTCCTCCGAGTAGGACACGGATATATACTTGAAACCCTGGATATTCGAACATCCCGAACTAATTTCAAGACAGGTTTTGCTCCAGTGCTATCCTCAAACTGATTGCGCAAATTTGTTTCTTGTTGGAACAATAACAACCAAATCCTGATACGATGTATTGTGGACGTTATAGGCAAGCTTGCCTTCTTTTGTTCTGCGGGTATAGGTTTGCACACGACATCGCACACGCAAAATGCCACCCTTACAGAATCAGAACTACACTTGTGTTTTTACGTCGTCGATTCCGAAGGCCGGTGTTCACCGAATGGGTCCACACTTCCAGTGGCCATCTCGATAAGTACGTTGTCCAAGCACTCGTATGGCATCAACAAACTATGTGAACTATAAGCTAACCCGAGGAAGTTAGAGCACCGCATTCTATTACGATGAATTGCCAGTTTGCAACAGGGAGGTGGAAGGAAATGGTTACATGTCGAATACAGATCACGACGGGTTTCATCCGGGAGGGGATTTGCATCGGGTTTGTGTAGCCCTGGGATCTCCAGTATTGCATGGGACAAAATAACTGAACCACGAATGTTCTATTTGAAGCAGAGAAAGCAATCCAGTATTTGTTGTGCTCGTTAATAATGATTGTTGCCGAAACGTGCCAAAGCATAAAATGTCCCCAATGCCAATCCTTGGAATACTTTCGATCCCAGAAGAGCCGTCTCACCCCCAAGTTATCAGGGATCCCAATATGTCCAGGATAAGCTATTGCTCGTTTTTAAACAAATATATGGCATAATAAGGGACGATCTATTTATTGTAGTCACCAGCTGAAAATCCAGCTATGGTTCCATCATTGTAATATTCTATCACAGCACAGTGTTAGCGTGTTGCTTCGTAACATTGATAACCGGGATCTTTTGGTAGGGTCTAAGTACTTGAGTAATTGACAAATCCTTTCTTTGACATCAATTTTGGAGAAACTGGCATAGCTGTTGTGAACTTGATTTTCTCATTTCTGACGCGTTGCAACTTTGGCCTCAGTGAGCTATCCCGAAAAGGAAATTCCAAACTTTCCAGCTTGGGGCCCGTGCGTCATACCGAAAAGGAAACCCCAAACTTCAAGCTTGGGGCCTGTGCGTCATCCCAAAAAGGAAATCTCAAAACTTTCAGCTTGGGGCCCGTGCGTCATCCCGAAATGGAAACCTGAAGCCTTCCAGCTTGGGGTCCATATATTCAGATTCGCGACAGCATTCCTTGTTGTGCCAGATGATCTCCAACCACTTGAGGTCCAAAGTCTCTCATTGCGCCGTGGAATTGCCCGCGTCTTCATATTGTTCCTGACCACTTCTTTAAAACATGTGGACCGTGTACGATTTCTAGACTGGAAGGCCCAAGGTTGAGCCTATAGGTTCGCAAGTTCTAATATGTTCCCATATCTTCGCAGATTGACGAGCGGCCACGGTGCACAGGAAAACACCAGGATGCATACATCTCCTTTCACTTCCCGGAAGCTGTGTGTTCGCTGCTCCATATAAACGTTCCACAACGCCACTGTGTGCCCCTCTCCTTTTCACCCGAAGGACCGAGTGGTCTGGCACATATGTAGAACGACCGTCCGCAATTCATGCCAGGTTTCTTTGTCGACAGCATTCTGCATGGCTGGTTATGTTCGCAGCGAGGTGCTATACGCGTTCCAAGGATCCTGGACCACGACTCTTTGGTTATAATTGGGTCGATAATATCCTCCTCGTTGTCAATATCGACGGGAGTTGACAAATATTTAGCTTCCTTAGGGGCATTGTAGCCTTCACTGGCGTTATGTGAAGAAAGATCCTCTTGGGTGTCCTGATCCGGTCCCAAAGCCAACTCTTTTCTGGGATATGGACTGGGAGAATGGTTACTACCAGTAGAGCTGGAAGGTGGGGTATTGGCGTTGACATTGGGCTGTCCACGTGGAATTTGTGTTTTCGGTGTGAAGAAGCCTTGCAGCGTGCTTTGGGCCATTCCCTGCCGATTCTTACTTGTTAAAGCCTTTGCATTGGCAGGTTTCGTGCGTTTCTGATCTCGTTGCAAGTGCAAAGATTCTGCGGAGCGCTTGCCCTTAGAACTTGTAGAGTTGACTACTTTGCCAGTACCGCAACTCGATGTATCTCCTTCTTTCTCTTTTACAACTCCAGGTTGGGGAGACGTACTAAATGAGTCTCTTAAACCCCTTTCTGCCACTCCACAGCCATCACCTGTTGTTGGGCTTTCAGGCCTGGGTTCGCTACCAACTTTAGCCAAACTTGTGAGGCTTTCTCCTTGGGTAAGAGGGGTAGCAGGCGGCATCTTGATAAACATGTCTCGAATATTACGCCTTCTATCAAATTCCGGTAGGAGTTTTGCGGATGTGGGAAGTAGATCTTTGATAGTCCAGTCACGCTGGCGAAAGCCATCTTGAAACATTCCCACCGCATTCATAACGTCCTTAATATCAGTTTCTCTCCCATCAAGCTGTACCTTATCGCTGATGACAGCATAGACTGGACAGTGATCCGATCCCATAAGCCCTTCTTGAATATTTGACTCGGCGAACCAATCTTTACAGTCCAGACTCGCGCATATATAGTCGATGCGAGATCCAAAGTTGCCTGGCCGTGCATTCTTTTTCTGATCCCAACACGTGAACATGCCTCTCCGCCGATTGTGGAATTTACGGCATATATCTGTTAGAACAGGCCGAGCTCGGCATTCATCTCTTTCGCCATAGACGTTGCCATGCTCAACCAAATGATTAATGAGCCTTCGAGCTGGTGCAGAGAAGAATTCTTCAGCAGTAACTCCTTCCTTTCGCATTCGCTCCTGGGCATTCGCCGTATCAATCTCCTCCCGGATAACATTCAAATCCCCAGCCAGTATCACTCTCTTTCCGGCATTCACTAAATTGCGTATTCTCGCATCGAGGACATTCAAAAAGCCCAGGCGAAAATGATCTCTGGTTTCATCACGGTTGGCTGGGCAATAGGTTCCGATCAAAACAAATGCAGGGAATTCGAGTATCAAGCAACGGCCCTCTGAGTCGAGTGTGGCTGCATCTAACGTACAATCCCCATACTGTGATATCGTTGGATATCCGCCAATTCTCTCATCGTCAGGGAGATCAAAAAAGCTTTGCGAGCTGCCAGGGGGGCAAAGGATGCCAGTAATTCCTTCTTCGGCTCGGATTGGGGAACAGACGCTTGAGCGAGTATAGATGGCGACCCCAGAATACCCTGTGGTGGTGCATAAGCATAAATAACTATGTAAACTTCTGAAAATCGCGCGGTCACCTTTTTTATGTTTGGGGAGACTGAAATATGCATCCCAACCAGGCACAAGAACCATGTCATCTTGAAGGTCCTTTCTCTGGATTTTTGTCTCCTGCATAATAACTATATCTGCCTCGAGGATGTCAAACATTGCCTAGTTAATAGTCACTACGGTTTAATTTCTACTCTGTTCGAGCATCGATACAGTTGAGCTAACCTGGAAGGTTTTCTTTTCTCGCCATGGCTGATATCCGAAGGGGTTCCTGGTGAGTGTGAGTGACCCCCAGCTTAATCGCAGATGTAAATGGTGTAAATCCAAATTCCTTCAATGCATGGCATCAAGCATGAGGATACTGACCTTATTCCATTCACTGTGACGGAATAAGTTACTGCAAGTGTTTGTTTTGAGAGTAAACTTACCGTTCCAAGTCGTTATACGTAACCCCATGGTGAATTATCACCATATGTCAGGCGCACCAGTGAGTTCACTGCATCGTTTCCTTAGACTTATAGGAATCCAGAAGTGAAGTCTCCGAAAACTTTGATGCAGGTTATCGATATATTTAGATCTCTCAACTTGGCTCAGGACTCACTAAAGAGCATCATAAAGCACATGACTGAACATACGTCGGATGCGGCTCAATTGTCTGATGACTAATCGGTTATGACTAGCGTGAAAGTCGGTCCACCTCGTCGTTCTCCGAGACATTGTTCATTGACTTCCAATTGCATGTCATTAAAGCACCATGTTCTCTTCACGCTCCATTGTCCGTGCTGCGGCACCTCTTCGCTCCCAAACAGTGCGACAAGCTATCCAGAAGCGCCTTGCACACGCCGAGGCCAAGCTCCCAGCTGGCGTTCAAGATAACGCTTTCAACCGCGAACGTCAGGCCGTCAAGGACCACGCGGCCGCTACCTCTGGTAAGTTCTGAAAAGTGATGCCGGAAAAGAATGTGAACTTGTACTGATCTTGTTGTAATGCAGATTTGTGGCGTAAACTTTCTATCTAGTAGGTCGGCCTAAATCCACTCGCTGAGGATCGGAATCCAGAGTGACCACAGATCATGGATATCCATGAGAGAACAGGATAGGCGGAAGATGGTCGAGAGGGGGACGTATAAAATAATGGAGAGCTGACCATGCACAGTGCTGTGATCCCTTGCCTGATCATTTCCGGTGTCAACGCTTACAACCTCTGGAACGAGCATTGGGAGCACTGGGCACACAGAGAGCCACTAGAGGAACGCCCTGAGTACCCATACCAGAACGTCCGCTCCAAGAACTACTTCTGGGGAAATGGAGACAAGACTCTTTTGTAAGAAGCCACTGCAATATCCGACTTCCAAGCTGGACCGCCACATAATCCTTTTTGGGAAGAACAGTTACTAACCGGTTTTATAGCTGGAATGACGCGGTTAACTACCATAAGCCCGCGGAATAAGCTCGACTCTTTTTTTGTTTTTTTGAAAGAGCTGAAATGGAAAAGTGACCATATCATGTGGCGATGGCTCTGGAAATAATTGCGGACAGAGAACCTGTTCATTATCTTGCAGTCTACATAAACAAATGAGCCGAGAACAGCGTCTTATATTCTATCAACTTGAACCGTTATACTGTACGTGATATTATGAGGGAAAGCGCATATTTGTAGTAATTGCTGTTTTAATTATCTTTCGGCCTTTGATCTGGTCCCAGAGCTGTCATGACCAACTCTTTCTTTTATCTCTAACTTGTAATTTATGCCACCAAGTCAGTATACAGCCCCCTCACATTCACCACAGCCTCAACTTCTCCGAGAGCGCTCAGAATCAACGCTTTCTTCGCAATACACACGCTCATCCTTCTCTTATCTCCTAGCTTATACCATTCCCCAAAACAGCGTTCGATGCCCTCCAGGGCCAATGTTAACATATCCTTTCGTTGCAAGCTCTGGGAAGTGGCCTGTCCGGCTTGCCCCATGTAGGCGTCCACTTGGAAACCCCACAGCTCTGCAGATAATGCGGCATTCTCACACTCTAGTGCACGTGGAATAACGGTGGCGAGAATCCCAGATGCGGCAGAGAACTCATACAACGAGGTGAGAACAGAAGCAATGATTCCTATGGCCTCCCATAAAGGTGGAAGTAGGTGAGCTCGCCAAGCCACGCTTGCTGCACGAACCGCAACTGAGAAGCCTTTCTGTGGACGGCCACATTTGTTGAATAGGAAAGCCTTCATGTTGAGAAGCTTGAGGCGGAATAGTATATCTTCACCCTCGCGTTTGAAACTCGATGCTATCTCTTCGACACGACAAAGGGCATTGCCGTAATCGCCGCGCTGAATCATTAACTCAATATGAAGAATATTAAGCTCAAATGAAATGTCCGCGTCGCCACCTCGGCATTGGAGGAGCTGCGATAAGAGTTGGTCTGCACTATCGAGGTTTCCACCGTGCAAATCTTGCTGTACTTGCAGAATTCCACGAAATATGAGCCAGTATTGGCTTGCTTTCAGTGATCGTAGAGGGTTTGGATCTAGCTGCTCTAGTTTTGCATGGGCTTCGGCATATTGGCCATTCTGACCAAGAAGGTAGGCAGAACGACAAGAAATTTTGAGAATATCATCGAATGGGGCGAGGCGGGAGTAACTATGCAGGAAGCATTCGCAATATGACCACGCAAGGTATGTGTTGCCGAGGCGGCTCCACAGAGATGACTGTAACAACATCTGCACCCCCACGTTGCTCATCATGTTCTTATTTATAGTGAGCTGTGAACTCCTCAGTATATTTTCAAATGCGCCTGAGACGCTTTCTCCGGCAGAAAGCCCCATCTTGGCTTCACTGAGGAGAGATGAGCCCCACAAGCTCCACATACCCGACTCTTTGGCCTTAACACGAAGAAATGTAAGGCCCTCTCTTTCTATCCCCAACATATTGGTCTTGTCCGCGGAGTTTATAACCGTTGGATGTGCTTTGCCGAAGTGATACAACCAGCTCAAGCTAAAGTTTAAACAGCCCATATCTTTATTCTCTCTTGCTGTGGACACTGTCTCTTGCATTGCGGCCGCTGCTTCTTGATAGCATCCAAAATCAGCTTGAAGCACAGCAAGATTTAGCAATGCATACTGATAGAACAGCCTATCTCTGTTCTGCATAGTATAGTCGAAGAATCTATGCAGGTTGTCAAAAGACGTGGGATAATCCCCCGCTCGCCAGGAATCAAGAAACCTAATGCACGTTAGAAGAGATCTTGCAGTTCTAGTCAACATCATAGATATAACCATACTTGACATAATGTGATAAGCTTGGTATCATGACATCGCCGCCAAGGATCTCCTCAAATTGTTGTTGTAGAGTCTCTGGGACTCGGTTGCCAAATTCTTCTACCATTAGCTGTGCATATGTGGCCGTAGAAGTGACACTTACTCTGCATCTGCTCGATCTGAAACTCAAGCAGTTTCTCAACGTCATTCGTGCTAACTAACCCGTCCGGCGATCGGCCATGATGCATAAAGACGTTGGGATAGGCCACATTGACTAATGTTTGCAACGTATCCTGGTCCCACTCTTTGTCCGCCTCTTCCAACATTGCATCGAAGCTCCAGATTCCCGCGTTTGGGTTCCTCCTGCTCCAAGTACTTAAGGTAACCTGACGATATACAATGAAGCTTGTCCACAGGTTCAACGTATCTTGAAACTTCAGCCTGGTGAATTCTAATTGCGCCCTTCGCACAAAAGCCCCAAACGGACTCGCCCTCGACAGTAAGATCATGGCTTGACTAGGGGGAGGGATTCCAATATCCGTGTCCATTTGGGTATCCTCGCGGGTTTTGATGAGCAGGTGTGACCTCCGCTCAAAAAAAACATGCAGCGCATGGAGCGAGTTGATATCCCACAACTTCATCAAGAATATATCCCATAATGTTCGGCCTGGAAGGCCAGACGCGGACGGATAGGCGCTGAGAAGTCTCTCAAAGTCCTCGATTGAAATGATAAAATTGGCACGATCCTCCCGTGTCTCGTTGTTTGAGAAATGATCACGAGGCTTTGGAAGACTTGGAGACAGTAAATTAGAGACAATAAACGACAGTATGGGAACTGTGGATGGTATCGGAACCGCCGAATCCGTATACAATTCGATCAGGCATAAAAGCCCGATACTGGCAGGAGTCAAGTATCTTGCCATCACGAAGGCTTCATGGGTAGTTTGTGAAGGGATGCAGCATGACTTGGCGTGCTGTCTCCAATGGACTGTGTTACGGTTAATTGTGGCCGTAGATCTCCGGATTCAAACCCATTGTTCCGTTTGAACGATCACCAAGGTGTTTCTCTGGAGGCGTGTTTGGATTGGACCTTGATCCCAAATAGTCGCGTTACCTGTTTGCATCGAAAGGAAATAATTCACGTGGTCACGTGGTCACGTGGTATAGGCCTGGGTCTTTGTTGGAGATTTGGGGGAGGACCGTGGGATTCCGGGTTTTTAGCCTGGCTTGGCAAGAATCCCCAACTGATCCCACGGGCTCCCATACGCCACGGTTGGCGCAGGCCAGCTGGGCTGATACCCGACTATAACACAGTTGAGGCATGGAGGGTTTCGGCAGTGCTCCCAGAATTCCTATAAATATAGCTACGTAGGCCCATTAGATAGGGTAGTAATTCAATTGATCAATATACTCTATATACTGTAGTCTACTGTTGAGTTTTTCTATCCGTTGTGCCGAAATCCGAAGTCCCGACGACCGAAGACGCCATACAATTCGTGTACGGTTCCCGTATTCGGGTACTTCCTGCAACAGTCTTCCTGGGTGATCATAGATGCTCGATATCAGATATCACCCGCTCTTATTATTGTACAACGGCTAAGCTACAAAGGTTTACTGCCATTCCATCTGATATTCGCGCCATGTTTGCTCTTCAATTGGCCTTCCTCTAATCCCCCATCTTCAATAGAACCGCCCATAGTGGCATTGTTTGTTGCCCATATGCTCTCAATAGAAATATCAAACTTTCCTGGCACTCGGTCTATTAAACCAATGCCAATAGTTCTCACCTTTTGGCGCATTAGTTCTGTTTGTGGTTCCATTACGGTTCCATGGTTGGTGCGAACGAAATCATTCCACTTAATGAGAATAGTTTCCCATTCTCCCGGTTTTCGAGCATAGACCCTGTGCTGGTGTATATCGCTCGGTACAATTGATTCTGTTTGTAGGTTGACAAAGTACTTCCGCCCATCAGACTTTATACGCATCGCCAAGTATGTGTATGGGTCGATGTCCCAGAGGCTTTTTCCGAAGATCGTTGGTGGTCTGTCTCGAGTCCTCCAAGCAGCATAGCCGGTGCGTTGAATTTGAGGTTTGTTTGCTGGAAGATCAATTGATATGTTGCCGTGGAACCTTGCATACCCTCGAGAGTTATTTGTTGACTTGGAACTCGAGGAGACGTCCGGCGGGTTCCAATCGAGATTGGCCTTGGTGAATCCACCCATATCAGCGTCGGATATAACTTTACATGCGGTGATTTCTTCTGGGCTATCGAAAGCCTTCAAAACGTAAGGAGCCGTGGGAAGCCTAACAGCTTCGCCCTTTAATGCTGCCAAGGCGAAAAAGATCAGCAAATCGTCATTGATGAGAAGGTATAGTAGTGTCAGGGACGGCCTTTCCTACCTAGCCTTGAGTATCTCTGCAGTTCATCGATGCTTCGGCCAATAAAGCCTCGGTTTAAACTTCCGGTGACCCTCATTCTGACCTCTGGGAGAAGCTGTATCTCACTTCTTTCGGTCTCGATACCAGACCTCGTCCGTCCCCAGTGACTGTGGCAGTGTAAAACAAATTAATTGAAGAAAAACGCCGCTCGTATAGTATTACAAGTAACGGCATTCCATATACATTTTAGATAAAGCTTGTGGCCACCCGAACAAGACGAAAGCAATGTCTCTTGTTACTACTGGTGCCATGTAGATAAGTTGATCGTCCATCTATATTTTGAGGCTCAACATCGTCGGATAAATTATGGCCCCTCGGCACGCTTTTTGGTCCGTGCCCCCATGGTAACCCACCGAACTCCCAAGGATCCAACGTCACGAAGCCAATAAGAAAACTTGTAAGTTTATGAGATGCTGAGCAGCATTTGTTGAATTAGGAACGTATCCAGACTTTCATTTTCTTCTTTCAAGCTTCCGAATCTTTGTGGCAGCTTCTAATATTTCCTAAATTATCACCACGCCGGCACGATGACATCCTGGCTCAATCCCCGCAGCCTCAACGTTTAAAGGGATTAAAGGGCAGTTACAACTAACAGGTGTAAGATAGTTTCAAGAGCTCGCCCTTGAAATTTTGTTTTTCGTTGGTCTATAAGTTCATTGGAAAGGTCTATTTTCATGTTTTGTTTTACATACAATGTTCTTATTTTTGCCTTCAAGGCGGAGTTGGATGGATGACTCGGTACATGTTCGAGTCTAGAGCAATCATCTAACGATGGTCACTGTCACTTGCGCTGCCGTGTTCTGATACACGTACAAGATCGTCCATTATATCCTTTCAATGCAATTGTCTCCGTGTAATAATATTTTCTTTTGTGACGTGAAGCTATATTTATTCAGCCTGGAGCCAGGCTTGTGCTTTCCACGGTCTCACTACAGCTCACTACAAATGGCACGGCGTTGTCCAACAAATTGCATCATCACGATCAGATTTCCCTGTATAATTCGGGCTTAATTTAATCCACGCAGCTCTCCAAGCAACGGTCGACTCCCAGTCGCGGTCACGAGAGGAAACGCGGCTACCACATGACCCCCCTCCATCGCGCTTAAGCCCTCGTGGTCAGGAACCCCCGGCGCAAAATTAAGCCGACTTGCAAGCAGGTACACATCCCCATTCAGCTTTTGAGTGCTCTCGCTGGCCCAATATTCTTAAATGCGTATAGCGTCAATTTCTCTAGCGCGGTTCAGGATCAAATAAATCACCCTCCTCCAAACCCCTTCCTTCCAACCTTCTTCATTCTGTTTACGCGTATTTTCTTCGGTCCACACTCACTTCGTTCTACTTTCCTTATTTCCCAAGACTCTCAATTTCTTTTCCTACGTTCCTTACTCCCAAAGACTTCCAATTTCCTCTCTCCCAACCTTCCTTATTTCCCACAGACTCTCGTTTCCCTTTCTTTCTTTCCATTTGTCATATACACTCTTTTCATCTGTCTTTACACACAGATTCTTCAATTCTCCAGCTCTTCAATCTCGACAAAAGGCAAGTGGTAATGTTTGGCACAGATGACAAGGGACTTTGTTGTACCTTGCATCGAAACATGCAGCCTTCTCATGTGCCACCAGAATTCCCATTTCCACGGTTTTACAATGCGCTAACATAGCCCATCCAGCTCTCATCGCAGTCCAATTCTGCCTCCAGTCATTACAATGTCCAATAAATCCAAGATCAGCGCGGCTGAAAAAGAGATCTGCTTCGGCTTTATTCAGAGCCATCTGAGTGCCGAATCATCCAAGAGCACCCGTTCCATCGACAGCGACTCTGAGCCCGCTACCAGGGATGACGCCCCTTTCAAGGGCCAAGGTACGTTTTTTTATGTCTATTTCCCAACATCTTTTTTTAACCCTTCTTTTCAATGATCATTTCATTTCGGCTTCATAGTGTGTCTGGCTTCCCTATTTTAAACATCACTGGTAAGGGTAAGAGTCGAATCTTGTTAACAGTTCTACCGCAGATGACTCCGTCGTTGTTAAAAAGGAGCAGTCTACGGGAAGCGATACTGACAGCGTCCATACCCCAGAGCGTGGCATGTCAAATGGCGTCAGTGGAATCGAGTATGGATCTCTTGGCATTTTGATTTAATTTCTGCTGACAATCTTCAAGCACACGTTCATCGTTCATCCGTCTTGGCAAGGAAATACAGGCCCAGGATCCTTTCAGTGCCTGTATTCCTTCTGATGAGAATGGAGGGTCTCCTACTAGCCGCGGTATGCGCCGTCGTGCTGCTCGGGAGAATGTGAAGCAGCTCAGGTCTTGCCGCTCAACTCCATCCACGAATGATAAGATCATGAAGAACTGGCGTGTCGCCGAACCTACTTCTGATAATTGTTCCCCAACAAGTGCCAAGCGCAGCCATGCCAGCCCACAAGCGTGCATCCCGGAGGCTGTTGTTATCGACAAGAACAACTGTCAACTATATTATTCACCAGACAGCTGCCTCTTCGTTGCCAAGTAAGTCTCATCTAAACCGATTCAAACAACTTTTTAACATGACCGTACTAGTTTGAACAGCCAACATGACGAGGTTGAGCTTGAGGCTGCAGTCACCGAGGTATTCCGTAAATACGGCACCGTTTACGTCAAGATCACCCGCGACAAGAAAAATATGCCAATGGGCTTCGTTCAGTTTACCGTGAGGTTTTTTCATGTTTTAAAAATTGGGCCTCTGCTAACACCAACTCAAGAATAGCTCTGATGCTACCCTTGCCAGAGAGAAGGCCAAAGGCACTGTTATTTTCGGCCGCGGGTGTCGCATTGAGTGGTCCAATGCGAACCGTATGTATACCCTACTCAATCTTCAGCTACACTTCTTAAAATAGTAACATATTGTAGGTAACTACCACCTGACACGCCATGATGGTATCGAAGTTACCGAAGATATGGCTCGTGCAATTCTTGAGGAGTTTGGTGAACTTGAGCGTGTTCACTTTCCGTCTGAAACGGAGATTGTCATTTTCAACCTCGGCCGCGGTCCTCTGGTCACGTTCGTCAACTACCAGAGTGGTCGAGAGGCACTGAATGTAAGTTACGCCAAATGTATTTGTCAATCTTTACTCACAGATTGCAGGAGCTGCGCGACTCTGATGAATGGAACTTCCAAGCCAAGATCAGTGAGCGTAACTCGTCTCCCTTTCAATCTGGAAAGTCGGCAGTTTCACGTAGCTGCTTCACTGCTAAAACCTACCTCGAAAATTACGACGTCGACAGACGCTCTATTTTCGTTGCCAATCTCCCAGCAAATACTACGGAGTCTCAGATTCATGACCTCTTTGACAACATAGGTCACATTGTCAACATCACCATTAATCGTCGCCCATCCGTTCGTGAGGGTAGGTTTAAAACATCCATTCCCAAACTCGCACTGACTTTATTTAGGGTGTGACGTTAATGTTTTTGCATACGTGGAGTTCGCTAATCCTGGTTCCGTCCAGGATGCTATTGAGGTTATGGTAATATTTGGTACCCCCCCCGTCATTCGGCACTGGGAGTCTAACATGGTTCAGAATATGTATTCGTACGGTGGCAGTCGCCTCAAAGTCGACCAAAAGAAGCCACAGGATATGGTCGCATCTGCTCGTCGGAAGCCTCTTGCTCAACGCATCACACATGATAGCAACGGTAGCACGGCGGTAACTCCATCATACTACGGGTCACCATATCCATACATGGGATACCCGCCAACCCCTTACACTGGCAGCACCTATCCTGGATATGCTCATTATCCCTACCATATGGCACCCTACTGCTACTCTAGCAGCCCAGGCTATGCCGCAACCCCAGTCTCCAACAACGGCAACGGTCACGGTCATGCCACTACTGGCCCGCCTCCGGTATTTGCCATTCCAACTCCGTATGGACAGGTTGATTACTACGGCCAAAACCAGGTGCTTCCGTACGCTGTTCAATACGGCCCGCAGGCTCATATCTTCCAACACACAGCGACTGGCGACGGCACAGATGCTAATGTTTTCAACACTCCTTCTGGTAGTGGCGAAGCTACCGATTCGTACCAAAGTGTGCAATGAGCGCGCCGCATCTTGTGTCCTGGGCATTCTACGTTGATGTGATGGATCCCGCTCATTCAGCTGATTATTTCATTCCCAACCGACAAACATTCTCGCTCTACCGTTCTATCAACTGGCTTTTTATCATGCTTTCCCCGCGTCAGTGCTGATGGGTATGTCTGCTTCAATTTTTCCAGCTCAACGCAATTCGCTTTGTTGATATCTTATGCGACTCGTGGGCCTTCGGGCAGGTTCGGTCAGGATGTCCTGTACCAAGCGTCCTGTCTCAACGCTCCGAGCTACTTCAGCTCTTGGGATGGGGTTTCCGTGCCAGCCCGTGGCAGTTTGTCGAGAAAATATATCAGATGGCATTTCAAATTTCAACAAGCTCGTTATTGTGGAAACACTTTGTTTTCAAGGTTTATCATGCTGGTGGCATGATCTTAATGGTAATATTGGCCTGCTCCGCTGGTTTCTGCATAATCATGGCAAATCCGACATAGGATAGGGTCCAGTCGAAACACCCAAAGAAAGCAATTGCTTGCGGCTATTCTAGTTAAACTGCTCGGGCTAGTTCCTGTACATAGTAGTTTACAATAATAAACAGCTTTCTTGCGAATTTCCGGGCTGGAGATCCTCTCTAGCTGTCCTCTGCACGGCTAGAGACGGCATAGCGTTGGTGCGGCACGTGGTATGGCAGCTAAAAGTCACTAACTCGATTAGAAGAGCATCCAGGAGCGAAAGCTAAAATGGCGATACCGGACTGGTGTGTAAATTTCTATTTCTTGTACGTACTCGTACCTTTATTTATTACACCTGTAGGCTATTTATTGATGACCCCCACTGCCATTTTTATCTTATCGTTTTCCATTGCTGTGACGCCAAATCTAAAGGAAAAACTTCAACAAACCTTCAAATCTTGACGTCAACTCGACAGTCTCTATCGTACATTGCTAAACCGAGACATAAAAGCTCCAAGAGTCACGCCATGGGACAACCTTCCACGCAGGCATCAAATGCCCTGATCTATATCACTTATGGCTCCTTCCTGTGCGGCACTCCCATTGAATCTTTACTACCAGTCTCTCCTGAAGACAAGAAGGGTATTTCAGAACTAACTTGCTAACTTGCCATGACTTCAGGATTTTTGGCTGTGCCATCGCATGGCGGCTCCGGCATCAGACGAAAGACGAGTTCCTCTCTAGCAACAGAACGCAGTCTGGTAGATAACCTCCACACAACCCTTCCGTTTCTGGCGTCAATTCTTCCCCCCAACAGCTGCAGCGCCTCCTCCAATTGACCCCCCCCCCCCATATTAGAAAGACAGCAGCTAATGTTTAATCATAGCCGGACCGTTGGCGCTTAACTTTGTCGCTTCTGGTGAGTACTTTGCGGCGCCTTCGTTTTCGATTCGGTGAACGGCGGCAGCAACTCTCGTATATATGTACGGATTCCCAGCACGGACAAGCAACATGAATATCGCCCAATAGAGTGAGAAATCTTCAACAGATCCCAACTGCAAGCCATGAGTTATTAAAGCATAAGGTTCGTATTTGCAGAAAATACCGTGTACGCCTCGAGCCTTCTTCTTGGCACTCTAGAGCAAGCATTTTGCAATTTAGCTGTGTTGGCTTTGGAGGCTGAGGAGGTGGCAGAGGGCGGGCATTGTGTGGCTTCACTACGGGCGCTGAACCTGGCAAATACTGGGATACACCTATTCTCTATGTTCACATAGGGAAAGATATCTCTGTGTTTTGCCTAGGCGAAGCTGAGATTGTACCGTGATTACTCGATCAAGTTAATGCTTGCGTGGGAAAGTGCTGCCGCCTCGAAACCCCCTTCCCTCCATTGTTGCAAACTGCTAACATTATATTTTTTTTTTCAATTGAACAGCCCTGGGTTCCGGTATTCTGTTCTCATACCCGCAACTGGCTGCTCTTACTGGCGTGCAAGGCGTGGTTGTCTATGCCGTTAGTTCAGCAGCCCCTCTTATGGTATTTGCTATCCTTGGCCCGATTATTAGAAATAAATGCCCCGAAGGCTTTATTCTCACAGAATGGACAAGACAAAGATATGGTGTTGTTACAGCTATGTTTCTCAGCTTTCTCACGCTGGTCACAATGTTTCTGTATATGGTAGCAGAGCTCTCTGCAATGCAGCAAATCGTCGGTGCTTTGACTGGAATGGATGGCCTGCCAGCAATCATCGTGCAAGCCGTCGTAACCACGATATATACCTGCAAGTCATCCCTGCCAGTTTATGTTCTTTTGCTGATTGTCGTAGCTCTCGGTGGCTTCAAAATCTCATTTATAACCGACAATATCCAAGCAGTCATGGTCTTCTTTTTGGTTACAGTTGCTACTATCACCATCGGCGTCAAGACGAATGTGGATCGCAGCCTAGTTGATTCTTCCGGTCTACTCAATGCTACTCTCCTGGGCTGGCAACTTTTGTATATTCTTCCAGTTGCCGTCCTCACAAATGACTTCTTTCTTTCCAACTTTTGGATCCGCACTTTCGCCTCTCGAACTGATAAAGACCTCTTCATTGGGGTCTCAAGCGCCTCGGCTATAGTGCTTGTCATCCTGACGCTCGTTGGTGTAACGGGTCTGCTCGCCGTCTGGACAGGGGCATTAGCACCTGGCGAAGACGGCTCCATCGCCTTCTTCCTTCTTCTGGAAACACTACCCAGCTGGGTTGTCGGAATTGTCCTGGTCATGACTGTTACGCTTTCTACAGCAGCGTTCGACTCCTTCCAATCAGCCATGGTTTCTAGTGCTTCAAATGATCTGTTCGGGAACAAACTCAACATCTGGGTTATTCGAGCTGGGATAGTGGCGCTTATATTTCCTGTCGTTGTGATTGCTCTCAAAGCGCCGTCGATCCTGCAGATCTACCTGATCTCCGACCTTGTTTCTGCCTCGACCATTCCAGTCTTGGTTATTGGCCTTAGCGACCGCTTCTACTGGTGGCGCGGGTTTGAGGTTGTAATCGGCGGTCTTGGTGGAATTCTGACAGTATTCATCTTTGGAACAATCTACTTCGGGAATGCCCTTGATGGCGCAAAATTGATATTGCTTGAAGGCGGTCTATACGCCAATGACTGGAGTGTATTCGGTGCTTTTGTCGCTGCTCCTTTTGGAGGACTCCTTTGGGGCTTTGGTGCACTGGTCGTTAGACTGGGCTTTCAGTGGCTTATTGCGAAGATAAAGGGGCAACGCTTTGATTCCCTCGACAAGCCCGACTACCTCACACGTCCTCGGATTGTGGACGCCAATGAATATACCGACGGTGGTGACATCACGGCCGCTGACGAGGAATTTATCACATCACGTCCGAAAGGGAAGTTCTTCTAGAGCTGCCAAGACCATAATAGGTCTATTGAGTTGCGCCATCGCACATAATGCGAGGGGTATTACATGCTTGTCGATTACTGAGTAATCAAAACTCGACGAGGGACAGTCTAATAAGGTATTAGTTATTATATACCATACTAAACTATTGCTATATATACTACCATGTTCATCGCCAATTAAGACGATAAGTGAAGATTTTGTGTTGTTGGAAGGTAGCATTTAGGGTTCCATCATAGTACCCAGGTTTACTATACAATCACATAAAAAACCTTGTGCAGCAAAGAAAGATATTTCTGGTGGATTTATTAGTCCCGGGAGTTTTCTTCTATTTAGACCTTATCGAATATTCTACACATTGTTTCTATACATTGCACTTATGCACTGACGCTAGCATGCTAATATCGTACAAAGCTTTCCCTTCCGTATCTTTCACGTCTTCACTCCAGAGCTTCCCTTTTAGCTTCCTCGATGGCTTCCAAGGTGGTTTCCTCTGTCGTTCCCCATACCATCCAGTCATTCTCTTTCCCCTCCCACAGCATTCTCTGAATTACTACATATTCCATTACGTCCCTCTCCTCGCCGGTACCCGCCACCAGGCTCCCATCCGCTTTATACCTACTTAGCCTCTGCCTGCTGCAGATACGCACTACGGCCTGCCGAACCCCAGCATCGTCAACTGGCAGCCTCGCGGCGCGGTTACTCATTACTCGTGGCTTGCTCGTGTACTTTATCACTTCCCACTTCCACCGCTCGCCGCGAGGCCGCGTGTGGATGCGCGATGCGAAAGAGTCATAGAGGCCTTCACACGTTATCTTCTTTAGTAGCTCAATGTTGCCGGCGGCGAAGGCAGTATACATCTGCTGGTGTAGCGCTACAGCCGTTGGTGCGGTTTTCCGAAAATGGATTTTGAGGCCATGCTTCCGGTTGGACCATCGATATATGGTCATTATCACAAGATCGGCAGCTTTGCGCTTCAAACGTGCCCATTGTAACTTGGCAAGAGCGTTTGGGGACGCGAGTAGGGAGGGACGGTTGGCACTTGATGGGGCAACGATGGTGTCTGTTGAGGGGCATCTCAGTAAACAACCTCGTTATAGCGAGACATTCGCAAAATTCGGGGCATACCTGGTAGCAGGCCAAAATCGGACGTCATTTGGCTCATCTCTTTGGCGGCAATGCGTACACTGCGCTCCGATGGGATCCTAGGCTGCTGTGCCTGGTCTCTGTTGCTGAAGGCGCAGCGAGGGAGTCCATGACTAAAGTATCGAGTCTGTAAAAAAGGAGACTGTAGAGCTAAGCCCAGTGCTCGCCGTCGTATCAAATGCGCCATGTTTTGCGTTTTCCGGTGTGGCAATGGCGCGTGGACTGGGACAAGTTACCAGGAATTGAAGATGCTGGAACTTTTTTCGAGAGCTGGCTCGGGAAAGGTTAGGCCCGACCAGGTGACACAGGCGGGGACCACCACGACTAGTTAGAGTCCTCGAGTGCTTGATAAATGGGATCCTACGTTTCGTACCATGTATGTATGTGTTTGAAACAAAAGAAACTTGTTTGGGAAGCATAAGGACACAATGTAAGTGCCTTAGACTAGAGTTATTACAATATATTATCACAATATCAGTGAGCTAACCCTTGTATTAGCAGCCAGTAAATAACATTTAGGCCTTCGACGTCAACCTTGGCGCCATTCCTCTCAAATATTTATGCTTGAACTGTACGCGCGCATGTTCTGGACTACTGCCACTTTCGTCAACAATCTTTAATCCTTCTATTTTATTTACAACTGGAAAACGCAGTCGCTGTTTTGTGGCTCAACCGACTATTGGGAAAGTTTCCGTGTGCCGACACATTCCCTATCCAAACCAAAGCAACCTCTCAACACCAATCTCGACTACAACCACTAGCACCTTGGAAACACCCTACCATCCTCCCACAAACACCTAAACCTGCAATGCGACAGCACATGCCGTAATCCCCAACCCTCTGGCGCCGCATCATATGCCTTTCCCCTCGCGCCCCTCTTCGCCCATCACCCAACCGCCGACGCCCACACCCCCCTACTCGAACCACCACGCCGCCCTCCCCCCCTCCACCACCAGCAAACCCCCCCAATCCTCGAAACAAAAACCAACCTCCCCCATCACCGGGCCCCGTCAGGACGCCCGGCACGACCCCCGTCAGGACCACCCCCGCCGCCGATCCGTCCTCCACCCCTCCATCGCCGTCCTGCTGGGCGTCAACACACACTGGCACATCCCGCTCCTCGTCTGTCGCGGCCTCAGTACGCTTCCAGCGGCGTGGTGGGGGCTGAGATGTCTGTTGACGTTTGTGGGGGAGGTGATGGTTGAGGAGGGGGGGGGGGGGGGTGGAGTGTTGAGAGGAGGTTTAGGGTTACGGAGGTGTTTTTGGCGTTGCTTTGGGTGAGTTCCCTGTCCCCGATCCTGATCTGTGGTGCGAAAGACGTTGGAGATGGTGCTGATTGAGCGGGTTGCATATGCACTGCGGCAGGCCGTGGCGCACCGTTTGTCGGAAGATGGAATGCTGACAGTTTGGGTACAGTGCGGTGCATCAGCATACCTATCGTTCTTTTTCACGGACTGCCTCATGTCGCGCTGGTACGATCTCACCCCCACCCCCCCCTCCCCCCTCCTTATCTCTTGTTTCCAGCTAACCTCGACCCCCCACAGGCTCGTCCATTACACCCCCCAAGCAACACTCGTCCGCCTCCTCACGATAAACTCTATAAACGCCTACATAACATCCTGGGTCCTCTATCTCTCCGGCGGGAGCGAGGACCCGAGGCAGCTGTTGCCGGCTTGGATAAGCATTGCCAGCGTACGCACCCCCCCTTCCCCCTTCACACACACGACCCCAGCTAACACCCCCCCAGACCCTAACAGTAGCCTACCACACCACCCAACGGCACATCAACATCCGCCGCGAAACCCGCGAGACAATCTCCATCTTCTCCCTCGCCTCCTTCACCAGCATGGCCCTGCTGCTCATCCAACTGCACCTCTCTCGTGTAAACACCATGCCCGTGCCGCCGATCTTTCAGTTGTTGGGGAAGGCGTGGGAGGTGGGGAAGAAGGTTGTTAGGAGGACGGGGTTGGGGCCTGTGGGGAGGGAGTTATAGTTTTTGTTGCAGGTGGGGTTGGGGGGTGTATATAGGGCAGTGTATTGCTTGTGTGTGATATGCGGGGGAGATGAGGGGGACTAGACAAAATGTGGTTGGGAAGCAACGCTTGGGATTTGGGTGCGACTTTGGGACGATTAGCGAAATTCTTATATTATGGGAGCATTTTGATGCGGCTCTTGGACAGTTTTGACGGAGAGGAGGATATGGATGATAAGAAGATGGCATTCAGCCGGGGATGTTGGGAAGTTTTGAAGGGGCAGGTCAATAATAATAATAAATTCACCATCACAGCCAGTCACAGCCACGTTCAGAGTCATTACAAACAGTCAAAATAGTGAAACCATATTGTATATTGCCAAACCATCACTAGGTTCTCGTCATCAATTGAGGGCAGTCTCAAACCCCGCAAATGGTTCGCCGAATGGTCTCCGGTGAGGCAATCTTTGCTGAAGCAAAAGCAAAAATAATATAAAGGGTCATCGACAATCAATCAGAAACCAATTCAGCTCTATCCCCAAGCTTCGCCAGTAAGTTATGCCATCTTGGGTATTCTCTTTCATAAAGAATACGGGTATCATCCAACGCCTCCCAATCGCCCCAAACGTTAAAACGACGGATCAAGCCTGTTGAGGCAGGCAAGAAGTATCTTGGGATGGGCTAGCGGTACTTCCGTCGGCGATCTTCGCAACGAGGGGACAGAGAGGGGTTGGGATATATGGGCTTAGAAACCGTGGACCTTTTTGGTATGTTAGTATTTGAGTGGCAAATATGTGGGGGGCGACTCGAAGGTCGAAGCTTACCTTGATGGTCTTGACATCAAGCTCCAGCCCTTCCTTCTTGTCGGTGAGGAATTCCTGCACATCCTTGCGCTGGTCTCCCTGGAGCTGGATCACCTCTCCCATCTCATTGTCCGTGACAATGGTGCCATTGCAAGCTAGTGATATTGTTAGCCACGTCCCAAGTCACGCCACGGCGGGGTAAAAGCGTCGAGGAGTGGCAACTCACCGAACTTCTTCTTGATGACCTTGAGGATCTTTTTCTGGTCAAACTTCTTGGGCAGTCCCTGAACTGTAGTCAGAGTTTTACGACCATTGCGCTCTGTGGCAAACGGATTTCAGCATATTGTCTCGATGATGCGGAGTGGGGTTTCTTGGCTTGTGCGGCCGCCGGTGGCAATCTGCCAACAAGTTCAAGAGGAAGGTAGGGACGTACGCTGAATACGAATGTGAATGTAATTCTGCGACTGTTTGGTCTCTCCTGTGTCTTCGTCTGCCTCGGCGAAGGGGTCTGCATAAAGGTTAGCCATATTCTTTCAAGACATCTGCGACGAGTGGCGGTTTGCAGAATAAAACAACTCGAGCCCGAGTCGTGATATGGAAAGCAGTCAGCGATGCAAGGAGAACTCACCAAAGGTCTTGAGATTTTCGATTGACATAAACTCGAGTGTTCCTGGGTAGCCTTGGGTTGGTGTCTTGGTGGTGGGGTTGTCAAGTGTGTGGTTTTGGTGTGAGTGTTTTTGCACAGAGACGAGACTTTCTTTATGAAGAGATAAAGAGTAGTTGTAACTGTTTAAGTAGAGTAGGGTGGAGTGGTTGGTATGTGAATGTGAATGTGAATGTGAATGTGAAAGCGTTGGGACCGATTGTGGGCTGTTGTAGAGGAAGAAGGAGGTTGAAGGAAGATGGAGGAGACGCGGGGCTTTGTGTAAGAACCGGTGGCTCAGTAGAATCCCCCACTAAACCTTGTTGGGGTTAGCGACGTTAGCGACGTTACTCGAGGGCGACTGCCTTTTTCTGTACGAGTCGTATTAGTCACGTGAGAGCTGAATGATTGTTGCAACCAACAAACCAACAAACCAACAACGAAAGTGGTGGAAGAGTTGAAATGTACCACAGCATATGTATTTGCTAGTGTACGTACTTTGGTGTAGGACCAACCGACAACAAAAGCAGCAAAAAGCAGCAAAAAGCAGCAAAAAGCAACAAAAGGCGACAAAAAGCGACAAAAAGCGACAAAAAGCAACAAAAGCCGAGCCGACAAAAAGCGACCAAAAGCAACGCCTTGCGATAAGGCCGTTCTTGCTGGAAGGGGATGATGCGACTGTGACAGTATGTAGTCATGTGTGATGCTTAGTAATGGGGTCGAACCACTCATGGGAGACGATTCCCGATTACCACAAGGACCCGGCCGCATGACATGTAACATGTCTTTTTGAGGCTGCGCATTGTGTGAATACAAGCTTTCGTTTCATGATTCACGAGGCTCTGGTTAGGCTTTGAAAATTGGGCCTGGACGATTCCTTTATGCTGCGGAATATAGGGCTGGATATGAGGACCCTTAATACCTTCATAGAAGACGGTGACGTTGAGGAACCCATGTCTCTCACGAGAGTGCCTGGTTGGGAAGTGGTTGGGAAGTGGATGCCTTGAGATTAAAGTTGACTTCCACAAACGGCACAGAGGGCGATAAGAGTCAACTAAGTCATGCTCATAATATAATCCTGAAGCTAGCTTTTCATGTCCGTACACTGAACCCGATTCAAGCCTTCCACCTCCAGCCCGCCCAATAATCCGCAATGTCTCTCTCCTTGTCGTACAAAGTTCCGTTCCGCTCCACCTACAGCAGCAGCAAGAGACAACCCATACTATCTCCGCGGCGGTATCACAGAGACGCCCAACAGTGGCCCGGTAACTGTATTGGTAGTCCCGCCGCTGTATCTCTCTCCAAAAGGGGGTGGGTAAAATATATATGCAGTAAAGTACATGATTATGCTCGTAGGTCCGCCGTCAAGTGTCGTGTCGTTCCGCTCGCGCGGCTTACGACGATGGAGGGGGTGCTGATGCTCCAGGGGTTGGTTGGGGCGGGAGGAACATTGGGAGGTAGGTCTGTGGTTTGTCAGTGATGCTTCTATGGCGGTGGGATGGAGCAATACGTACGACGATAAGCGACAAGACTGTATTGGAGAGGCACACGGTTAGTTATAAGACAGTAGTCTTGATTCGGTAAAACTTACAGGACATTCCGACGCCCATATACGCCGGTTGCGATGCAGCAGCCTTGCTGTCTGGGCTCTCTGAGAGCCAGTTCTGAGCGGCAATGACGACGGAGGCCCTATTCAATGGTTAGCAGCCGCCGCGGATCCTTCGGGGGTGTATCATACCATCCAATGTACTTGTTCCTAGTGAACATAGCAGCCATTGGCACCGTGCTGCTCAGAGTGTTCCCAATATCTCCCAATCCACCCTCTTTCGGGGCTGGCTGCTGGTAGGGGATGACTGGAGCTAGAGTTAGTCGGGCGCAACGGTGTCCTGTGGGAATAAAGGTACTCACTCAGGTCCTCCCTGCGCATATCCTTCTTGGCCGACATTTTGAATGATGTATTGGAGCAAGGGCGGTTGTGAATTGTCAAATGTTGCCGCTCGTCACTGGAATCTTTGGTCGTGTCAATTACGGGGCAGGGGAAGGAAGTGTGCAGTCCGATGATCCCCAGATTCGGAGACGAGGTAGGCTCGTTCGGGTTAGGGCGGATTCACACAAGTCACGTCGGCAACAGATACGTAAAGTGTAAGGTGGCGATTAGGGCTATATATACGTACACTTTGGTAACTTGGTGTACTTATCTGGACATTTGCATACTGTGGTGTATCAATAAATAAACCAACATAAAGGAAGGCAAGAGCGGGAACAAGCATAGAAGCTGGACAGTGGCTAAACTGATATATTCAATTTCATAATACGTTGGTTGCGAACGGCCTATCTAGCCGCAGTTGTTGTGAACAGGCAAAACCCCAATCTCGGTCTTACCCGCGTCTCCCGATGCACGTAAAGTTGTTCGGGAACCCTTGTTGGAATAGACGGGAAAGAGCAACACTAAGAGTTAGCGTGTGGTACCGCGCGTGGAATAACGTGCGCGGTGCCCGTGGCCGTGTGTCATGCCTCAGGCCTCATGCCTCAGGCCTCATGCATCATCTCAGGCCTCATGCATCATCTCAGGCCTCATGCATCATCGTGATGCCTCAGGCCTCATACCATGCCTCAGGCCTCATCTCATGAAAGTAAAGCATTTCTGCCTCATGCATCATCTCATGCCTCATGCCTCATCTCATGCCTCATGCCTCATCTCATGCCTCATGCCTCATCTCATGCCTTATCCCATGCCTCATGCCTCATCTCATGCCTCATGGTCATGCCTCAGGCCTCATGCCTCATATCTCATACCTTCATCGTCATGCCTCATCGTCATGCCTCATCGTCATGCCTCATCTCATGCCTCAGGCTCATGTCTCATGTCTGATACATAAACTGGCCCTAAAATCAATATATTGGCAAGTTGTGCACGCGATAAACGAGTCAGTATAGTTTAGTCAGTATAGTCTAGTTAGTATAGTTTGTACGTACCTGCCTGTCGGCGGATATATATAAATATTGTAATATATTTCCTATACGTATATATCCCCATATATATCCATCTCCCTTACTGTAGAATATGTCATATGTCATATGTCATCAAAGGGGTGAGAGAATAACAGTGCATGGAATAGAACCTGCGTGGTTCACCCTGTGTCCCACCCATCTGCACCTTCCACACTTCCACACACGCATCATCCCCTACAGTAAGTCACTTTACAGTAGGGGAAGATAGTAACTCACTCATAAAAGTACATAGTAGATAAGTTAAAAGACTAAAATTCTAAAATACTAAAATACTAACCCATTCTGGTATTAATCCCACACTAAACCAACCAATATTAGCCCCAAACGGCAAGTACGGCTGTGCACCCACTTTAGCGTCCATTCCCCAGTATCCCATCCACCTATCAATCCAACCCATCCACCCCCCCATCCCCCCAATCCACCCCCCATCCCCCCAATCCACCCCCCAATCCCCCCATCCACCCCCCTCCACGCCCCCATCCACCCCTCCACCCCCCAGCTCAACTTATTCCCGCGCCCAATCGTCGACCTCTCTAAATACTGTACTCTGTTACCCAGCCCAATATCAAGACGTCACATCACATAACATAACACCCACTCTAATCTAATTGCTCCGACCCCATCATACGCATCCCCATTTAACAGCTTTCCCACTTGTTGATCCTTCCACCCACAGACTAGGCCTCGGGGATCGCTCTACAGCCGTAATAAAACCCCCACACTTTCCGGGCCCTTGCGCCTAAGTTACGCTATTGTCGTGGCCGCCATCTTCGGAATCATCGCCTCCAAAAACAACGTGAGATCCCCCCATTACACGTCCTCGGCACTTTTCGCACTCGACACAGCGCTCCCCGCCATTTATGTGATCCCAAAACCCGCATCAATTACAGGCATGGCGCATCACGTACAGCCTCCGCGATGAGCACCCGACCACCGCAGCCCGGCCCGCGCCCGCCCCAGCACTCGCTGGGCGGCACGGGCATGTTGCAGAGGCAGGCCCAGCAGCGGAGCCATCTCCAGCAGAGCCAGCAGCCGTCGCGGGGGAGGACGAGCGACAGTGTGGTCGAAGTTATAGCCGATGGCGCCGAGACGGCGCCCCCGCGACTGGAGCCGTCGAAGCCGGGAGGGTCGATGGTGAGGGTGGAGGGGCTGACGGCGCAGAAACAAAATATAGTTAGCATGGAGTTACCGTCGCAGGCTGGTACACCAGGCGCGGTTATGCCTCTCCCGAAGCGGGCGGGACAGAGGATCCCGTTCAGGCGTCATGATGCTCAATCAGATGCGCCGAAGCAGGTTGGATCGCCTCACAAGAGTTCGGCGAATTTACCATTACCAATGCCGGCAAGGCCAGGTCGAAGCGGTGTATCTCATATACGAAGGCAGGCGCATGATGCAGGGAACTCGCCGAAGAAGGAGAGCCGTCCGAAGCCTTATGTGTTGGAGGCGCCGTTGGACGCGCCCAGCTACACTTCAAATGGTATGAATTCAACCCTGTTTGAGATGGACTTCACTAACATGCATAGGCCATTTGGACTACTTCCCCTGGACAGGCACCCGCGATGAAGACACCTTCAACGATAACGTTATTCGACAAGGCTATTTCGATAAGATCCAGACAGGTCAGAACGAGACAGCGTCCGCCAAACAACAATTATACCCCTCACTACGACTGAAGAACGGCCTACAAACTCTTGGATCTTTATTCGCGCATGTTTTGGGGCAGAGGAGACAACACTCCCAAATTACCGCTGCGCCATCATTCAAACCGCCTCCTCGAGTCACCTTGACAGATACAAAGAGAGAGACTTGGTTACGAGATCTAGCAAATCCATTGATACCACTACGACGCCTCAGCAGAACTATACCTCACGGCATCAAGAATAAGGTGCTGTTGGAACAATGCACGAGGAAAAATGTTCCGACTGAAAGGGCGGTGTGGCTTGCTAAATGTGTGGGGGCAAACGAAATCAGAGCCTCCAAGAGAAAGGGAGTCCCAGGGGCTCTTGCAATGGGTGGTGAATCAAAGTGGATTCGAGATTGGACTGTATGTGTAGAGCAGTTTGTCGATGGTGTTGTTACAGCTGGGGGAGACAAGGACTGGAAGTCGAAAGTCCTATATTCGTAAGTCTACACACTGCTATTTCAAGCTCATACTAATCGTTTGGCAGTATTCGACTCTCTGCACATCTGTATTCGGAACAACTACTGGATACAGAACACTATCTGGATTGGCTCCTGTCGTCGTTGGAGAGCACTCCCTTAACGAGGCTGCCAATCTGGCTATTAATAGCCGAAGTGTATTGGGCCGATATACTACGATATCGTAAATCAGCCCGGCGTCTGGTCGCAGCTCTATGCTCGAATCTCCAAGATGTGCGTATACCCCATGTTATTTATGATTGCCTACTAACACAAGTGCAGGCGCATGAGAGTCCCGATCGAGACTTACTACTCCCCCTGATAGAGCGTGTGGGGAACATCGTCACCGCGACTGTCCAAACAAACCCAGAAAGTTTTATTGCCTTATCGCACTGGCCAAAGTACAGTGATACACTAGTGGCGTGTAATACGTCCGGAGGACCAGATGAGACCCAGATTTTCGACGCAATTAGTCGTCGCAATGCTCGTCTCAAGTCTCGATCTTCCGGTGGCGATGAAACCCAGAACTCACGGCGCCTAGTTATCGACCTTCTCGACGCCTCATTGTCTGTTCAATTCTCCCAGGACCTCCCAAGAGAATGCTGGAAAGGGATGAGAGATCGAATACTATTAGTTCAGACTCTCTTTGATTGGGCCACATCTTGTGCTCGCCCAAGTCTTATGAAGACATTTGTTGCCGCCCGCCTTATGAGGACGTGGAGCCGGCACGGGGTTGATGTGGACGAATCCGTCTTGAATTACCTGACCTTCCGAAGCAATGGGCATGGTGTATCCAGCGACGCCGTATACCATTTAGTCTCTGAACTGGCAAGGTCTGGCCACTTCTCCGTCTCGAAGTACATTCAGTGGGTGATTGCTCGGGGTGGGCTCCACGGTTCCCAGGATGTGGCCGCAGACGGGCCATGCGTTACGAGATTACTTGCAGAGTTGCCCGTACATGACCTGCCCGAAAACCTACTCAAGATTCGCAAGACCTTACTTAATCGTGCTTCGTTTTCTGTCAACGATGAGACTGAGACTATTGACAATATGTCTCTTGCTTTTGAGCGTTGCAGCCCAAACCTATATGGCAAGACGCCTTCCGGAGAAGAGGCCCCAACGGCAGCAGATGTTGTTCAGAACATTACACACCTCAGCCGCACTGTGAAGGCGGAACTTGGACTGCGACTGCGAAAGCAAATAAATCTCCGCATGACCAAGGCGTCACCCTCAGAGACGGGAGAATGGAAAGCAGGTCCAGAATATGAAACTGCGACAACAGTCACCGTTGCGGATTTCAACTTGACTCGGGCTGTTCTAGAAGCCACCGAAGACCTTTCGATACTCGCTGATATCCTCAAGCTCGTCTCGAGCTCCAGCAGCACCCAGATTTTAGCCTCTATCGCAGACACTCTCAACATGCACCGGCTCACTTTCTCGGCGATTGGAGCACTCAACGACCTCTTCGATACGCTTGTTTTGCGCCAATGCAGCCTGGGGGTGATCCAAGGCCCTGAATCTGTCACTCTGCTTCACTCCCTGTGTGCACTATCCGCGACCATCCCAGATGTGGCGAACATACACGTGCAGTTATCACGGGATGTGGCTCGTAGCGTTCGCAGGTCCGCTGCTGATGCTTGCTCTCCTGTCTCGGATCATGTAGCCGAAGCACTGCAGAAATCAGACGGCGATATTTCAGATGAAGTTGATAAGCTGTTATCCAGCGGCACTTCGATGGATGCTCCTACTTTGAAACGGCTATTTCAAGTTATCATTAATCAGATGGAAGCTTCCTGGGCGAAATCCGATCCAGGACTACAGAAACATGGTCCAATACTCGAGCGCCTTCGAACCTTCGACACAAAGCAATTCGATACTCTCCTCACCCCTTGGGTCGAGCAGATGATCCTAAAAAGCGACAGGCCTAACCTGGGCCATGTTCTTGGCCCGCTGATCAGTGCAGGTTGCCTCTCTTTCAAAGAGCATTTGAAGGTGTCTGCCTCAAGTGTACAAAAGACACGGGATGGTGGCGACAAGCCCACCACGAGTCGCATTGCATTTGAAAGCCTTTCTCTAGTCCTAAATACTTATCGCAATGGCGACATCATGTCCGTCGAGGACGCCTATACGTTGAATATTAGACAGACCCAAGCTCAACTCAAGGACCACTTGGCCATTCTGAAGATCGCCCGCATCGCCATAGAGATATCCGAGCCATCAGCCGATAACAACGATGTTACAATAAACTTATTGTGCCTGGGAGATGCATTCCGTAGGTTCTTACGGCGGCTCGTTCTCACCGAGTTTGACTGCGTTCTGAAAGAATTCGTGACACCACTGGCAAAGTCGCAAGACCTTCATATTATCTCCTGTCTTCGAGCCATCCTTTGCGGTCTTTTAGACCTCAAGACGACCACAGGAACTGAAGATTTAGTTGTCGCAAGGCAGATTGAGGTGATCTTCGGCGTGGCGTCGGATCTTACATTACCATTCTGTCAACTCGCACTACGCTCTCTATCAGCATCAGAGATACCCGGCTCAAGCAGCGAATCGGCAGCAGACACATCGCGTCTCGAAGCATACGAAAGAGCCGTCGACACCGCCCTCGCAAACAACAACCCAACCTGGACGAAAATAATCCCCACCCTCGACGCCCAAATCGCACAACACCTCTGCGACCAAGCCGAGCGCTCCCTCCTCGCCACAATACCCTCCTTCAAACCCCCATCCTTCGATTCCCCCGCCCCAACTAAACCGCCGTCCGACCCAGCGCTTGCAAAACGCATGCTCTTCGTCATCTCCGCGACCGCATATAGCACCCAGAACCTCGGCCACAACACCACCGCCCTCGACATTGGGGAGAAGATTAATAACCTCGCCCACGCCCTGTCGCAACCGCAGTCTATGCAGACTTACAGCCAGACTACAACATGGCTGCCGTTGATGCTCGAATATATCACCACGCATGCATCTACCCTTCCCACTTCCCGGCCAGCAACTGATGTACGCGCGCGCGTACTCCTGGCACTTTCGGCGCTGCTGTTGGCGCTACATGCGCATACGGGGACAGACGCGCTATCCGAGCACGTCCTGGACGTCTCGCTCCTCCTCGTTGACGAACTCCCCGACGATGCGAGGGCGCAGTGTGGACGCTTTCTGGCGGAGCGCGGGAAGGAGGTGGTGCTGGGGGATCCGGGGTTGAGGTATGTTTTTGGACTTGAGAGTGGGGGAGGGCAGGGGGAAGCTGGTGGAGGAGGGACGTTGATGATTAGTCAGCGCGGGAGGATGGAGGGGTTTGTGGTGAGGAGGTGGGAGTGTTTGAGTGAGCCGACGCCGTTGGTGGGGGAGAATGATGCGGCGTTGAGTTTGAGTTTGTTTCAGGCGAGGAGGTGAGGGGGAGTGGGAGGAGATCACCAGCGTGTTTGAGTAGATGTTGTGTGGTGTTTTGATGGGCGGATGGGGAGTGGGGGGGGGAGGTGTGTTTTTTTATATTGTGTTATTGTTGGGGGTGGTGGTGTCGGTGGTATGTATGGATGGGATGGGATTGTTGCGGGATTTGCATAGCGACGGTGATGATGGATATGATACGTACGATAGAATGAGGATGTATGACACACACACATATGGCCAGCAGAGCCAAGTTTAAAACAACAACACTTTTGGAAGTATGAAGCTTGATTTGACACGGTGACTCGGAGATGTGGAGGCGAGGCATGAGTGTGGTGGTAAATAAAGATCATGGGAAATATAGTCGATAGACAAATCAATCGTACTAGACATACAAGTTCGTCCTATCGTACAGAAACCCACTCCAGGTAAATAACAGCACCGTCACTCTTACTAACAACCATAAAACCACCATCACAAATTATCATCCATCATTCCCCTCTTTCCACTTTTCTTCCCTTCCCCCCTCACCCCTCACCTCCACCATCTCGCATACAAACCGCCCCCTACTCAATCATCATCAAAAATCTGATAACAATTCTCCAAAATCGTCTGCACAACCCTAACCTGCCACCCCGCATCCTGAATCGCCCCTCCCCCCGCCCCCCCCATCCCCATCAACGTCGGCCCCCACACAATCGCCAAGTTACTACTCGTCATCCTATTCACCGCCGCCGCCTCCGTGACCCTATGCAGATGCAACGTCACCGCCCTCAGCGTCGCGTAATTGGGGTCGGGGAGGGCGTTGATGATGGCGTGCAGCGAGTCGCGGCGCACGATGTCATCGTCGAGGCGGGCGGCGGAGATGAAGGCGCTGTATTGGGCGGTGGTGAGGAGGGGGTCGGGGAGGTCGCGGAAGAATTGTTTGAGGAGGCCGGCGACGGAGTTGACGTCGTGGAAGAAGGCTTCGGGGTTGCGGAAGTCGACTTTGGATGAGTCTGGGGGGGTGTTAGCCTTCTTGTCTTCTTCATTCTCTTTTGTCTTCTTTAGGTTGTTTGGGGTAGGTATAGGTTGTTGGGAGTGGCAAGGGGGGATGGGGAAAAGGGGAAGGGAGGGGGAAGGAAACTAACCATTGTTAAAAATCGCCTTAATCTTACTAACATGCGCCGCCGTCCCCGATACCCGATAAATCCCCTCCACCTCCAACCCAAACAGATCAACAGCCTGTATACACTGATACACCACCATCGGGATCGGCGACCCGTCGCGCTGGAACAGCTGCTCTAGATCCATCCCGAATGCCGGTTTAAGCGGGGGAAGGTTACTTGGGTCCATCGCTGCTGATCCGCGCTGCTGCTGGGGTTGTTGTTGTTGGCCGTACTGCTGCTTCTGGTGCTGCTGGTGCTGCTGGTGCTGCGGAGGTCCTTGCTGGATCGGCGTATTCTGCTGGAGTGAATGGGTTTGCGGGGCTGATGACTGGAAGGGGAGGGTCTGTAGCTGTGGTGGTCCGCCGGTGGAGCTGTAGGATGGTGCGGCGGGGGGTCCTCCGTTGCCCATGCGACCAGGGGGGCCGTTATCACGGGATTGGGGAGCGCCTTGGCTGAAGCTGCGCTCGTGTTGTTGGTATTGTTGTGGCTGTTGTTGCTGCTGCTGCGCGGCGGGTGGTGGTGGACCGCCTTGGTTGAAGCCGGGGCCTCCTGCGCCCATTGGGGTTTGCTGGGTTGGAGTGCTAGCGGCGGCGGGGCCGGTGGTGCCTTGACGGGAGTTGAAGCTGTTGAATCCTTGTGGGATTTCGGATTGTCTCTGTGCTGCAGGTACAGCTGGGGGAGCAGATGGTGCCGTGACCTGTATGCAAATATCAGTATCGTTGTCGGTAATGTGGGGTATGCGGGGTGTACTCACCGGATGACGCTCGTACTTGATCTCGGCTGGTCGAGGAGGCACTTGAGATGCGTGACTTGCGATGAAATAGTTCAAGTCGCCTTCGTTGTTGATGTCCAGGATAGCCTCGCGCAGACTGCGTGTTGTCTTCCCAGCCTCACCTGCTTGGTCTTTCAGGGGGCTGACGCTCATGCCATTATGGAGGAGGAGTTTCTCGTTAAATGCGGCTGCTTGATGTCAGTTTATCCTCGTACAATCAAACTGCTATAAAGCTTACCGAACTTCTGCATCTGCAATGCCAACGCGGAGTCGCACTCATTAATCAGGTCCTGAAGACCCTTAACAGCCTCCGGTCTCCCCCTGGTCAGGTGCTCGTGGCGGACGGACTGAGCAGTCTGGACCTTGCCCGCATAATCCGTGTCAGCGGCCTGGGCTTTGCGAAGCAGGTCCTCCTCGTGCTGGGCAGCAGACTTGGGCCCTTTCAGTCCAAATTTCTTGGTTGCTGCGCGATCTCCAGTTCGCGCACGATCATAATCTTCTGCCAGGGTATCATATTTGGCCTTTGACTTCCTCATCGCCGTTTCGGCGTCGACCAGGCGCTGCTCTGCTGATAGGCCCGTGGTCTTCCAGTGCTTTCGGCCCCGTTCAACGTTTGCTGCCATTTCAAGCATGTCCTCGTGCATCTGGTGAAGTGAGGCCGCAAACTGCGCTCCGTTTTCTGCCATGCGGTCTTGTATCCGGGTCACCTCGTCATAGGAGGCGATGAAGGAGCCTTGACGGTGCTCTGGGCGTCGGAGATTGTCGTGTGTAATCTTGGATATCTTTCGCAGCCCAATCGAATGATCTTCTTCCAGTTTAGACCTCTTTTGCAGGAACAGCGCGAATTCCTAGACAGGGCGGGTTAGCTTCATTGAATTGGTGTCAGACTCGGCGCAACTTTACCTTTGCTGAAGCAACGCTCTGCTTGAGCCTGTTCAAGAGAACTTGGACTCCAATCTATCAATGCAAGTCAGTGGTGGGCATTCTCATAGCATGCGCGCGCGTTGCTCACCTCTGAATTGATCACGTTTTGCACTTGCTCCGTGTATAGTCCACCAGCCGGCGCCGGAGCCGCAGAAGCCGGCGCGTTGCCGCTGGGCGCCGTCGCATTCTCGGCGGGTGCGCCAGTGCTGGAGGACATCCTTCCACTGCTTTCAGGGCGCTGGGAAGATGTGGTCTGGGTCTCGGAGAACTGCTGGTCGGTGTCTCTGGGTGGTGGGTTCTCCATGGTGGGCAACGGCTTCAGGTTGAGCGCGAAGCTCAAGTGATTTTAGGTTCTCTGTTTTGTTTGTTTTTTCGGATTCCCATGCACTGAGGGTTTGCTGCTTCTTGATAGAGGTTTTGAATCGGAGGGATCAGGCTGATCCCGAAAATGTATCAAGACTTGTAACGCGGTACAGGTCGGGATATTACACAGGACGTGATCGCGGTTTATATTATGCGCCTTGCTCCTCCAGCGACTCAACGAGTGGCCTTGGTCGGCGACGTGGAGGTAGGGATGCAGCACTCCGTGTGAGGAATGCTCGGAGGTTTAGAAACTTGGTGACAAGGAGGAGCTGAACGAATGAAGTAAATTGAAGGGCTCAATCTGACGGCGAAGGAAGCTGTGGGTTGAGGTGGTGCGTAAGTACCACCACATGGAAGTGTGGCGCAGACATGGGGAACATTCTTTAGCATGGCCGAGTTACTACCAAACAACAACACACCGCCAGGAGAGAGAAAAAAGGGAAAGGCTGGTTGAATGCGAATACAGCATCAAGATGGACATACATGCCTATCAAACAATTACAGATCTATTATATTCACCTCAATATATACCTCAGCTGTCCATCATATCCTTGATGAGCTTCCATTTAGGATAATCCAGGGGGGAAAATCCATCCATTAGCACGTAGACGCTGCGTCCGTTCATACGGAATAGTGATGTGCTCTACTGTGCTCTAGCGTTCATATAGTGTTTGTAGTGCTGTGCTCTAGCGTTCATATAGTGTTTGTAGTGCTGTGCTCTAGCGTTCATATAGCGTTTGTAGTGCTGTGCTCTAGCGTTCATATAGCGTTTGTAGTGCTTGCTCTAGCGTTCATATAGCGTTTGTAGTGCTGTGCTCTAGCGTTCATATAGCGTTCATAGTGCTGTGCTCTAGCGTTCATATAGCGTTCATAGTGCTGTGCTCCAGCGTTCATAGCGTTCGTAGTGCTGCGCTCTAGCGTTCATAGCGTTCATAGCGTTCATAGCGTTCATAGCGTCCACAGCTCAAACCCCTCTCCGTCCCCCCTATTTGCCAACCCGCACAGGCGCCCCATTTCGTCCTTGGGCTTTGTCATGGGACTCTTGCAGATAGAAACCACAATAGTAATAACTACTCCTTCAACCACCAGTGTGTGTGGCCAGCGACGACGACTACCAGAACATTCAAACCCCCTCTCCCTCAGCCAACCAACCCCTTGATCTCTATCGCATCAGCGGCAAACCGCCCTCGGGAGAATCTTCACCAACCAAGACACCTCGTCGCCGGAAAGTCCCAACCGTCGGCCTCGACAAATCACACGTCTGCGTTAACTGCACAATTCGAGTCCTCCAACCACTCGAAATAGCCTTCCCGGATAAAAAGTCCCCCCCCCAACAAGGACGAGGCTACATCTTTCCTCCCTCCTGTCCCTCGGCCGAGTAGGACACCTTGACACGGACTCTCGCCAAACCCCTCGGATCCATCATAACCAGAAACCTCAACTCTTGTTGCAGATCTCCAACGAGGTGCATCTAGAACGCCCAGTTCCAGACGATTTGTTGTTTCCGCAGCTTCACACACACCCCACCTGCCTTTCATATTCTGAGGCTACAAGACTTGTCAAATACCAACGGAGAAACCCACGTCAAGGTACGCTCAGACATTCCCACGTTCCGAACGAGCATCAGAACGAATTGTCCGCAGCCTCTGACGCTTCCGCCAGTTTTAGCTTCACGCCTCTTTATCCAGCAAAACATCCCTCCTCCATCTGTCGTATTTCCACGCCAGAACTCGCCAGAACTCCCCCCGAACTACCATAATCATAACCAGAAATGGCGGCACCCGGAACCCAATCCCTCAAGGTTCGACGAGTCCTCCCCCATAACCACGGCAAGGAGATTGCTGGCGGCATGGACATAGCTGACATACTCCCCGCAGTGCGTCGTTACTGGTGATGGTGCAGTCGGCAAGGTATATCTTCCAGATCTCAATTTTGGCTTCTTGTAGACTAACATGGCCGCAGACATGTCTCCTAATTTCCTACACGACAAATGCTTTCCCCGGAGAGTACATCCCAACAGTGTATGTGTGCAGATCTGGTCTCCATGAATTGCGGTTGCTGACATGCCCAGATTTGATAACTACTCTGCGAGTGTTATGGTCGATGGCAAGCCCATCTCCTTGGGTCTCTGGGATACTGCCGGACAAGAGGATTACGACAGGCTGAGGCCGCTCTCATACCCCCAGACCGATGTTTTCTTAATCTGCTTCTCCATCGTCAGCCCTCCTTCTTTCGATAACGTGAAGGCCAAGGTACGCCCCCCAATATCCATACCATTACCAGAATGTCCACTAACACAATCCCCAGTGGTTCCCTGAGATCGAGCACCACGCCCCCAACGTGCCAATCATCCTCGTAGGAACGAAGCTGGATCTGCGCGACGACCCCGCCACGCTGGACAGCCTCAGACAGAAGCGCATGGAGCCCGTGTCGTATGACCAGGCCCTCGTGGTCGCGAAGGATATCCGCGCGCACAAGTACCTGGAGTGCTCAGCCCTGACGCAGCGGAACTTGAAGAGTGTGTTTGATGAGGCTATTCGGTATGTTTTGCTTTTGTTCACCCCGTGGGACAGATGGACGGAGCAGTGCTAACATAACAAGTGCGGTGCTCAGCCCGCGTCCACAGGAGAGAGGCAAGAAGTCGAGGAAGTGTTTAATCCTGTGAAAAGGCTTAAATACCAGAACCTCAAAAGGAAACATCCACGCTTATCTTCTCACTCTTCTCACTTCCTCGTCACCAGTCTCATCAAGATTCACCCCTGAATTCTCCCCCAAATTCCACGTGGAACACCCAGATCTTTGTCGAGCCTAAGCCCTTTTCTCTTATATTTTCTCTTTAGCATTGTGTGTCGCATACTGTGCCTTTTTCATGCGGCAAAAAATCGGTGCAGATACCGGGTTTTTTTGTAATGCGTCTGTTGTCGTCGTCGTTGCTGCAAACAAAGAGAGGGGTGTGATTGGGGAGGGAGGGGGCGCGGATATCCAGTTTGAAGTGAAGTTGTTTAACGCGTTTCATGGGGACTCTTTGCATGCTGTCGCATCGCGTGCAGTGGCAGTCGCGAGTTGGGAGTTGAGCGGGGCTCTGTCACCGTCTATGGTAAATTTTCTCAGTAGGCGACATATGTGGTCAGTTTTTTGTCTAGCAAGAGGATGGAATGGATGTGTTTTTGTGAAGTCGTTAGAGTGGACCTGAAAGGTCGACGCTGGGGTGTGATTGTGATAATTGCATGGAACATGATTATTAGGGAGACATTACCATATTCTGCGTAGATAGCTGGGGAGATTTATCAATGAATGAAATGCAAAGAGGAGTTTTGAGATCTGAACAAGGGGGCTTTTCACATTTTGACACGACTACTATGATGGATAAATTCTGCGAATACTCCGCTTGTTGACGATGTGAAATTCCATTCCCATACTCAAACTCAAAACTACTACGCAATTCATACACCCACCCTACGCAAGCCTCGCCCTCCGACTCGGATGAATCCCACTCTGATCCTCCTCCGGCACCCCCCTCTTGACCAACTTCTGTTTCTCCTCCTCTCCAATCCTCCTCGTCCTCTGCTCCATCAACTTCTCATTTTTCTCCGCAATCTTTCCCTTCCGTACTTTGGTATTCCCTCCCCCGCCCGCCGTCAATTCCACATTAATCTTCCTCGCCGTACTCTTCCCATCGTCAAACTCGCTGTGGTGATAGGTCTTCAGACACGTCTTCATGTGATCGTACCCCTCGAACTCGACGAATGCGCAGCCCTTAGATTTTGTAGGGTCGTCCTTTTGCGTTAGGTTGCGCACGGAGATGGGGTGCACGGCGGCGAAATGGGCGGTTATGGATTCGACTGTCGCGGAGAAGGGCAGGTTACCCACGAAGACAATGAAGCGCGCGGAGGCTTTTTCACCAGCTGCTATGGCGGTTGCGGCGGCGAGCCGTTTCTTCTCGCGGTTACGGTTGTTCTTCTTCTTGATTGGGTTTCCGTCCTTGTCGAGCTTGGGCGGTTTCTCGGCTTTAGGAGTCTTGGCCCCAGCTGCGGCGGCGGTGGTGGCGGGCTTGCTGCTTGTCTCGGTCCCGTCGGCGGCGACGCTGGGTGTGGAAGCGGCGGCTGCTTCTTCGGCGGCGCGGTTGGCTTTGGTGTTGGCGATTGCTTCGGCGGCTTGTTGGGCTTTGCGCTCTGCTTTACGCTCTTTTTTGCTCTTCTTTGGGACATCCTCCTTTGGTTCCTTCGGCGCGGCGTCTTCCATCACCGTCTCCTCGCCCTCTACCTCGCCGTCCGTCTTCTTGGGTTTCTTCTCTTTCTTCTCCTTCTTCCCCCCCTCCTTCTCCTTCTTCTCCTTCTTCGCCTTCTTCGCATTCTTGACAGCACCCTCCTCGGCGCCCTCGTCCGCTTCCTCGTCATCATCACGTTTGCGCTTCTTCGGCGCTGCTACTTCCTCGTTCTGTTCAGCATCGTTGGTGTAGTCCTCGGGCACGTCGGGGATGGCGTCTTGGGCTTTGCGTTTTGCGGCTTTGCGCTCGGAGCGTGGGCCGCCGGCTTTTTTTATGGGCGCCATTGTGTCGGCGGATTGATTGTGTGGTGGGCGGCGTGGGAGGTTTGGGATTGAAGAGCGATGTTTGAGTTCCTGCGCAGACACACAGACACTTTTTTTTGGGGTGCTTATCGGGAGGGATGGGATTTTTGGATAAGCGGGGGATTGATGATCCGGGGTTGCTGAGAGTGAGACACGGGGATCCAGCTCGACAGCGAACGTGGGGGAAAAAGTAAATGAAGGTACAGTACCGAGCATGTAATTTATTAAATTATCGGAGAGAATGTAGTTATTGTGTATTTACTATTTATATTTTATTTTGCTGCTAATATCTCAAGTTGTCATTGTTTAACTTGCGTGTTATTTAATAAACTACTCGCTCTAACTTATGCATTGTATTATTATCAAAATATATTTATATTCCGATCCTTTAAATAGAGAAGGAACGACCCTTGAAATATTTAAATAGGGGAAGAGCGACCAGCTCTAGAGGGAAGGAACGTTCCTTCCTTCCTACCTAGGGGTTTGTTTTACATTTATAAGGGAAGGAACGACCGAATTCCAAAGGAAAGAGCGACCATCAAATATAATTTGGCAATATTTTAACTACAGATAACATCCAAACATGACGTGGCGATCTGCAAACTAAAGAGTTTTATTTATTCTCAGCTCATAGTTTGTAAACTTAACATCAAACGCTCGAAAGCATATAAATCGCTATAAACCCATGGATGCCCGAGAATGCCTCCTAGTAAAAGATAAGATCTATCTTATCCTTCCCAGTCGTAGTATACCTCTCTTTAAACTCCTTCCTGTTCAACCAATGAGTAAGAGGCACCTGCGTCTCCTTCATCTCCAACAACCCCCTCTTCTTCACATCGATATGCGACGCATCAACGATAATCCTCTCCAACCGATCAATCTGCAACGCGCCATCATCCATCAAGTCATCCAGACGCTTTGGCGTCCCGACCGCCATCCCCGTCCGTTTACTCTTCAAGAACTTGACAGCATCTTGGAGCTTGATGTGCTTCGCAAAGAGCTTGGCTACTTCAGCGTCCTTGGACTGTAACTTCCTGACTACCCTCGCGAGATCAGCAGCGCGCTGACCTGCGCCGGCGACGATAATAGTATGTGGTGCTCCGTTCTTCTTCGACGCTCCCCATAGCCTCGTTGGGTTCGAGCAAACGCTCTCGAGAAAGCCGGGAAGATTATCAAGTGTCCGGGGTTTATTCCATGATGTAGTATCTCTTATGGAAGTCGCTGTTAACAATATTAGTCTCCATCCCAACCAACATGACAGATTATTCAACGTACCAGAAATATGCCTATCCTCCAACTCAATGGCGCTGAGGTCAGACTCAAACTGCGTAGTTCTCTGGTCCACATAATCGGCCAACAACTGGCTGTCCATCTCCGCAAACCTCTTGTTGACGCCTGCCTCTATGTCGAGATAGTCCTCCTCAAATTGCTCCTTTTCCTTTTTGGTTTTGGGCTTCTTTGCCTGCTTCTTGCTCTTTGCTTCGACCTCGTTGTCTCTCTTGCGCTTTTTTTGCGGGCTGCTGGCATTTTCAGGCTCGGGGATGGAGATTGGTCCCTCAAGAAGAGGTTCTTGAAGCTCGTTGTCTGACATCTTTTATGAAAGTTGGGAGTAAAGCACCTGGTAACTTTAGTATAGATAATTGGATATAAGTGCGTCCCGACGAAGAATTAACTGAAAAACAATACAAGTTCGATATTTGGCGCAAGGTTAAGAAATAGCAGAATAATTTATTGGCCTCACCGCCTTCAAAATAGCTCTGGCACATTATCTTATCTTATCTTAGCGCGACATGGCCTTATCCAGGGTCTTGTTGACAAACGCGACGCCAGTTCGATCATGCCGACGCCGACGCGCAAAACGAATGTCACCTCCACCTCTTTGTCTTAGCTTGCAGAATAGCTATCCAGAATGTCGGCAAGGAGGAAAAGCGCTCGCAAAAGCGGTGTGGGGGCATCTGCAATTCATCCGCCTTCAACCAGCGAATCGCCCATCCTAGGAGCCCCCCAACAATCACCTGCTCAAGTTCGACAACCACGAATCACGCCCCGAAACTCGCTAACCGAAGATGGAGAAGCCGCGAAGTCGAAAGAAACACCCTACACTGCGCTGCGGCAGTTAGCCAATATCATACCAAGCCCCACAACTCCAATTCGGCGTGCCTCAAGCGCTGGGCCTCCATCCACTCATAGAACGGCGCGTCGCACGCCGGGAGCCCAAAATATAACTCCTGGAGGATATGGACCTGGCTCTACGCGGCGACCAACGGCTGCTACACCTCATGGCCGCGCTGCTGCACGGGAGATTGAGATGCGGCGTGCAGCCGCCCTTACGCCGGGCAAGGATAGGAGGAGGAGCGGCCTACAGAAGCGAGAGACACCCCGTGATTTATTGAGGCAGCTGAGTAAGAGGCTAGCTCCGGGCACAATTCCAGTCGCTGCGTTGCCTGAAATGCAAAAAGCTGAGGGACCAAGGTTGCCGTTCACAAGGTTGAATGATGTGGATGATGAGCCAGCGCCAACGAGACCAAGGCTTTCGATGGCTATTGGAGACGATGAGGATGATAGTCTTTTACTGCCGCCACATTCCGATGCATTGCTAGACGATGATAATATGACGATGCGGTCTGTCGAGCTGCCGCGAAGGGCAGTCAGCGAGCAACCGGGCGGGCGATTGTCACGTGGAAGCTTTGGGAGTATCAGATATAGCGATCAATTTGATCGAACTATGGGTGATCCAGAGAGATTCGACTCTAGCTTCATACAGGGAAACTTCGATGATGAAGGGCCATTCTTGCAAGATGATCCCAGTATTATGAGCGAGAGAACCGGGACATTGGACCTGAGAGGGGCGTTCGCGGCAGGGAGATCAAGCGATGTGCGTGGACCGTTTGAGGACGACGAACATGAAGCTACTTTTGCATTTGCAGTGCCGAGAAGGGAAGATAGGGCAATGAGTGCACAGGCTGCAAATGTTGGTGTGCCGAGACGAAGTATAGGTCCTGCACTCGAAGGGACTGAAGTAGAAGAGGAGGAAGAAGTCCAATTAGAATCAGAGGAGGCGGAAGAGGACAACGACCTTGAGGGGGAGCTCGAGCTCGAGCTCGAGGCCGAGGTTGAAGATGAAGAGGATCTGGACATCGATCAAGTAGAACCGACTGTTGATATGACTATGAACGATACGGTTATGGCGGATACCCAATTATCAGCCCAAGAAGTGCGGAAGCCGAAGGCCAAGAAGACGACCAGAGTGTCGAAGCATGGTATACAGTATTCATCATTACCTGCTGGAGTTGTCAAGAAGCTCGCCACTACGTTTGCGAGAACGGGCGGAAGTGGCAGCGGAAAGATCAGCAAGGATGCATTGGCAGCTATAATGCAAGCGACCGATTGGTTCTTCGAGCAGGTTAGCGATGACCTGGGAGCATATGCTGCCCATGCAGGCCGAAAGACAATTGATGAGAATGATGTTATGGCACTTATGAAAAGGTATACATTTGGAACGCCGAGATGATGACCATTTGTGATCAAAGCTAATTATATTCCTACAGACAGCGCCAGATAAATGCTATCACCACCCCATTTGCGCTTGCACAGAAGCATTTGCCGCGTGAACTTCTCCAAGATTTCCGGATGGTGCCTCCAACCAAGCTGAGAAAAGGTAAAAAGCTCAAAGGTACAGAGGAGGAATAGGAACGCCAATTGATGCCAATTCTTATGACATGCAACGGCCAGTGGAATGCCATTATGACCAGTCTTTATTCTGCCTCACTTTACGAGCAACATCGGTCGGAGGCTTTTTGATAACCATCCAGAGCATTATCGATGTTGCAGCGGCAAGCGCATACCTAGTATCCGTTAGCACGAGGAATTCATAGGAGGATAAGGGGTTATACCATGTAAATATATACTGAGCATGATTATTCCTCAAATTGACCTCAGGAGCCCTTCCAATAGGAATACCACGAGCCTCTCTGTCCCAAGAAGTCATGAGGTTTGGTGCCATAGTCTCCTCCACCCACACAGCTTGGCTCCCCGTCAACGCTGCCATCTGCGCAACATCCGGGAAATAGAATTCGTTCTTCTCTGGGCTGTTATCCGGCGTGAACATGTTCTTCTTCCAGGGCTCCCGTAACAATCCCTCGACTGTGATTTCGCCAATAGGTAGACCATCAGCGCGAGTCTTCGGATCCTTGAACTTCTTTGCTATCCACCCTCTATTCACCAACACCGTAGTCCCGTCTCCTTCACGCTCAAGCGGTGTGATCACAAGATAACCATCTTTCCCCTCGTTCAAACGCGGTCCTATAAGCATCTCCTGGTCGTGGCGGAAGTGGCCCGTAGCGAAGACTCGTCGGTAATCGAAGTCCTTGATGGCACTTGGATCAATATGCGGTGGTAACGGTAGCGGATCGCGAACAAGTCGATCTTCGAATCTTGCCATCAGCTCGGATTTCCAGCCCAATCGCTGGACCTGCCATGTCCCCAATCCGAATGCTATTATCGGGATCAAAGCTAGGGTATACCGTTAGCTGTCTGGTCCACACCTCGGAAGCTATTGACCTACCAAGCACTATAAGCCCCGGCCCATGCTTCTTCCCCCCTGACCTCACAATATTCGGAGGGTTATCCAAGATGGATAAAAAGTTTGGGTCATCTGCGGGTTGCCTCCGGCGGATCGCGGTTCGTGATATATGTCTACATTCCGGGCATTTTTGGAACAGAGATCGCTGCGGTCGACGCCATGCTGCTCTAGAGGCGACCCTGAGAGCTTGCGAGACCGTCGGATAGCCTGCGCTCATGGTAATTGGAGGTTTTTTGGTTTGTGTTTTATCGGATTGCTGTGGAAACTTGATGCTCGATATGGGCGATAAGGTTTAGCGTCCCAAGCACGACCGTCTATATAAGACGGCCACGAGGGAGAACGGTCGAGAACGCGAACGACTACTCCGCAGCCTAAAGGCGAAACGATCAACTTCACGTTTTCTTACATTTACCAAGACCTATCTGGTGCATACTTGTTAGTTTTTAATGCATGTATTCCACCAACTGCTCAATCTTGGAACAATAAGCCTGATACATGCAACGAGCGTCCAACTGCTCAGTCAGCATAGCACCTGTCCACTAACCTAATTTCACTTGTGAAGACCCCCCGAATATCAAATCTCAACATTGGTTGAAATTCGCCATGTTTTATGAGGGTGACCTGAGGAGCGGTATCAATACCGCTATTGAGCAATCTAAGCTTGTAGCTTGCTATGTGCGAAGTCAAGGTAGGTGGCAACTGTTATAACGCGTTGGGCCATGCTGATATACCATCTATCAGATGACGGGGAGGAAACCACAACCTGGGAGAACGATTTCTTGAAAGACCCAGAAGTTAGTGCTAAAACTAGACATCACCCAAGATATTGATAACTGACCAAATGCGCAGATAGCGGACCTCGTTTCATCAAAGGCGATCCTTCTCCGCCTGTTGTCTCCCTCGGAAGAGTCGTCCTTTCTCGAACAGATATGCCCTATCGTGAAGCTTCCAACTTTAGTAGTCATTCAGTGCGTCTTTCCTTTTCATCCCCTCCAAGCCGAAGTGATGCAGATTAAGTCACTGCTCCATCCAGAGTTTACGTTACTCAAGACCCGCAAGCTAATCATCTACCGCAGTAATGGAGCCATGAAGGAATATCTCACGTCTGGAATATCAAAAGAGGACTTTATTAACCGGCTAACACCTGTCCTAAAGGGAGAGGAGAGTTCCTTTTCGCCACTTTCCGGAATCCCGGCCACTGCTCAAACAAGTGCAAGTATGGGGGAGGCATCTGATACCGACCAAAACCAGGCAGCCAGCGTGGCTGCCCTTCTACAAGAGCGAAAGATTCGCATGGAGGCCGATAAGAAAAAGAAAGACGCGCAAGAGAAGGCTGAACGTACCCGGAAGGCGGCCGAAAGAAAGGCTGCGGTAGAAGCTGGCCGGCCGGAAGATCCAAAGAGAGCCGCTGATTTGAAGTATGCAGCACTGCAGAAAAAACGACAGCAGGAAGCCCGAGAGGAGCGAGAGAGGGTTTTGAAGCAAATAGAAGATGATAAGGCAGAGCGAAAGGCGAGAGACGCCACGCGGAAAGAACAGGCAAAGATCGCGGCTGGCACCAAGCAGCCTAACCCCTTCACTGCACCGAGTTCAGAGATGGGGTCAATGAGAAGAGGTGATCGTTGTGCGTTGAAAGTACGCCTATTTGATGGATCAGCAATAAGCTCCCGATTCCCGTCGGGAGCCACATTGGAGGGAGAGGTTCGCAAATGGGTTGATCAAGAGCAGCAAGTTGCAGAATCACCATATATATTCAAGCATATCTTGACCCCATTTCCCAACAAAGAAATATCTATTTCAGAGGAGGGGAAATCGTTGCAGGATCTTGGTCTTGCCCCCAATGCAACATTGATACTGGTCCCGATCAAGGATTTCACACCAGCCTATGCGCAAGGGCCTGGGGTAACGGGCCTTCTTTCAAGTGGCGTCTCTGCGGGCTACGGTCTGGTCAGTTCCGGGCTCAGTTCTGGGTTCGGATTTGCGGGCCGAGTATTAGGAAGTGTGGTGGGAGACTCTGCCCAAGGAGAACCGCGTGCAGCAGCACCGCCTCCTCCGCAAGAACCAAGGCAAAGTGAACGGCATGAGTTGTACAACGGCGGTGGCGTAAGTCGTCACATTCTACAAGTTATTGGGGTTTACTAACATATTATAGCTCAATTTTGAACCCAGGCGGGATAATCAGGACAAGGAAGATTAGGTAGTTGCAACAGGTTATCATTGGTAGAGTGGAGTTCCAGGAGTTGGAATCAAGACCCCCATCCGGAATATTACCGTTCATGGCCTATAGCTATGTCTTGATAGCACGCATTATATACAGAAAAACAATCCGCTTCGTACAATCCAATCTTCCTTCTAACCCTTGATTGATAGTCTAGTAACCGCTGGCAGCAGACTGGCAAGCCTTCTATAACAACAAGACATATTAGCATCTCTTCTACTCATTGTAACGTAAGGGGACTGGAGGGGGGATGGGGTCATACTAGCTGCTCCAAGTACCACGAGCAAGTTTGCATGTTGCCCTGGTTCTCATCCAAGCACTTTGTGAACTGCTTCGCGTCGACCTCGCAGCTTCTTGCTCCCCAGTTGCTCTGCTCAGCCGAACCCTGAGACTGGGTCATTTGGGACTGCTCGGCCTCCGCTGGGGCAGCGGAGGAGCCGCCGCCGAAAAAGCCACCGATGGCGTGACCGATAGAGGAACCGACTGCTACACCACTGTATGAAATAGTTAGCAAAAGTTCACCATGTCGCCACCTCGGTACTTCGCGGACGAATCTGGAGTTGGGGGGCAACTTACGCAGCAGTGCTAGCCATGTTGGCGAACAAGCCTGGGCCAGCTGGGGCGGCAGCCGCAGGGGCGGCAGCTGGAGGAGCAGCAGCTGGAGGAGCGCCGGCGCGGTTTCCGGGGTATGCAGCAGTGGTTGCTGGGCGGGTTTGTTGCTTTGGTGCCACGGATGGGCGGGCAGGGGCAACAGTTGGCCTTGAGGGACGGCTTCCGCCACCGGATCTTCCTTGACGAGCCATTTTGTTGGAGGTTATGCGATTATGTTGGTGTGTGAAGTGAGATGTGAGGCGTGCGTAGAGTGTGTAGTGAACAGATAGATGTGTATAATTTTTATCTTGGGGAAGCTTTTCTGCAACAGGCTCAGGAACAGCAACGAACCTGGCCCGGCCGGAATATATATATACCGGACTGAGTCGAATTTATTCAACCGAGACGATCCGTTTTGATAATGATATAACTAACACTGGTAGTAATTTATAAGATGTTTGATATTTTAATTCATTACTCTATGGGTATCTTCCACCGCAAGCTATTTTTCACGTTGAGAAGTATTCGTGAATGCCATTTGTCCCATCCGTAAACCACCATGCCCCAACGAACGCCATCGCCATGCTGTTAACCTTTTTGCTCCCGGAATCAATCTTTACAAATTGAACTGTATTCAATTGGGCAGAACTTGGTCTGCATCTCCCTTCATGGGCTTCAGTCCTTCTTCCCCCCCTTGGATTTCTTCTGCGACTTATTCTTCTTGTCCTTCCTTTTTTTGGCAGACTTTGAGCTGTCCTGTTGCGACGAAGAAGTTGCTCCCTTTTCCCCGGATGCTTTTTCAGTCTCCAAAGCAGCAGCCTTTCGCTTCTTCGACGGCTTGGATTTTTCTTTTACAGATTCCTTAGGCGAATCCGACTCCGAATCATCGCTGGATGGGGATGACGGTCCATTGGGTACTGCTGCCTTCGTTGCAGCCGGAGCACTCTTTTTCTCCGAGCTAAACTTGATATGAACTCTTTCTCTGGCCAACTTCTCCGCTCGCTCTAGGTCCAGCTTGCTGTTTCCACTCTTGGGATCGGTCAGCACATTGACGAGTTGTGGCAGGCATTGACTACTCACCAGTCCAGCTCTGATAAATCTACCAGCAGCATTTTTTTCCAGTGCTAATCCTGGTTGTTTTGGTGTCGGGTTTTCAGCCTCTTTCAGTTTGTCGAAATATTGCTTGACGCGGGTTAACTCCAGGAAAACTGGGTGCTCTCGCGCCTTAACACCGTTCAATCGGAGATACGCTGAGACAGAACAGTTAGTAAATATCAATGTAAACTGGGAAAGGAGCTTACAAAATAATATCGACTCTACTGCGTATGTGACGAGAACGTATAACTTTGCTTTGTCTAATAGTGGCAGCTTGGATGCTGTATCGGATATGCCAGTCTCAAGTACAGGCGCCAGTGAGTCTTCCAAATCATCTATCTCATCATCGAGCTGCTCAAGCAGTGGCAGTATGTCTGTGGCCGCGGGATCCATTTTGAATTGCTCTTTACAGCACACTGAAGTTTAAGTGCCCTTGTCGCGATAGAGTCGTTATCGCAAAGAAATCAAAAATGGGAAACACCTTTGTTCAGATTGGTTGGTCGGGGACTTCGGAACGGATTAAATATGTACCCGCTCTTCGGAGCAGCATGCGACAGGGATTAACGAATTGTAATCCTAGAATTTGTTTCTCTGATCCCCGAGGTCAACTATTGACGCATTCCGCTTTCATTCAGCCCAATCTACGACCTCCTATCTGTCGAGCATATATTAGCGGCATAAAATCGCATGACTTAGAGAGCTACGCCCTGTCATTATCTCGGGAAACCTCGCTAACATCATTTTACCTCGAAGCTTGGCGAATACTACATCTGCTTACCCTCCGCCCTTCAGACACCCAAAGCGGCTGAGCCGCAAACTCACTGCCGACGTTCCTTTGGCGGGAATATGTGTTTGATATGAGAGGATTCTAAACTTTTTCGAGAAGCTGTCATCCTGTCTATTTCAACTTGCGGTCGACCGCTGTCGCGGGTGTTTGCCAGCATACCTCACAGACACCCTTTATGGAGCTGCGGTAACATTTTAGAGGGCCGGGGGGCTAGGCGCTTGATCTTCATCCAGTATGGAAGGAGGTACTCGTCGCAGAGGGTGCATTGGAATTCCGAATTTGCACATGTCGAACCGTCAGGAGAAGAAGGAGGCAGAGAAGAAGCTGGCTGCGGCTACGAGCAGAGGATACCGGGCACATCATCTCGAAATATTTATACGCAGAGAAACAGCATACTGATGCCGCGAACGTTAGAATCAGCAGCAGAAATAAATGCGTTGGATCCTCAACACCGCGAAATGAGGGAGGAGGAGGAGGAGGAGGTGGACCCAGGGGAAAAAGAGGGGGCTTCTACACACACACATTCGAAACCGAGTAGGATACACATTTTGGGCACCGGAAAGGAAGGGAAGTTTGTAGCCCATTCACTAGCCAGTCTCGGAGGCCGGCCGCCTATTTCTCTACTGTTACAACGGCCATCTCTCGTCAATCAATGGCATGCAGAAGGGCAGATTTTGGAGCTGCTCGAGGCCAAGAAATCCATGGTACAAATCGGATTTGATATCGAAAACCCGAATCTGACCCAAGCGGAATATACTCAAGGCCGGATGCTAAGTACCAAGAACGTGCTTTTTGGACAAGACGGCTGGAACATCGACCAACTCATAGTCACCACTGAAGCACCAGTTACAGTCCGTTCGCTTCTGCCTATAAAGGACCGACTCCACTCAACCTCTACGATATTATTCTTGCAAAATGGTATGGGTGTGATTGACGAGGTCAATGAAAACGTGTTTCCAAACCCAGCCACAAGGCCACGCTATATTGAGGGGATGACCTCGCATAGCCTCCGAAACCACCCAGCTAGGACGTTCACAACATTGCATTCTGGCCAGGGAGAAATATTTCTAGCTGCCCAGAAAGGTGATGAGACGTCACCCGACCCGGTGGGCATGATTGATTCCACAAGGAGCCTTCTACGGTCACTCGCTCGATCTCCCGCGCTGAATGCAAAGGGAGTATCGCCTACTGAGTTATTGGTACTAAAATTGGAGCGGCTGGCTGTGGAAGCTGTGATCGGGCCCTTATCGGTCATGTTCGATTGCAAGAACGGCGACTTGCTAAGCAATTACATGGTCACCCTTCTCTTACGAGAGGTGCTAAATGAGATCTCAACGATTGCCTCTGAATTACCCGAACTGAAAGGCGAAACTGGACTAAGTTACCGATTGCATCCTAGGAAGATCGAGAGAACCTTTGTCCAGGTTGCTACTATGACCAGTTCCGAGATCCATGACATGGTTCGGAGCGTTAGATTGGGGAAGAAGAGTGAAGTAGGATACTTCACAGGGTATATTCTCAAACGAGCGGCAGAGCTTGGAATTGATTGTCCTAACAACACGTTGATGGAACGAATGGTAAAGGCAAAGACGGCCATGAGAAGTCAGGAGGCAAACAGTTACATACCCTACAAAAAGGACAGAAGATTCTGATCCCTACAAGAACATAACCTCGCCAGAAAGAACGGTGGTGTATAGTATATATGTATTTACGAGCTGGGTGTACGATAGTGGCGTGTGTTTACAAGCGACGTTGGTGAGCCTGCATCTATTGATGAACGAGGCTTAGGTACGATATTCAATAGAGAGAATTTTGTAAATATAATACGATGGCTGTTGTGTATCACTTGGACTCTTTTGAGAAGTTGTAATTTGAAACCTTAAACCTTAAACCTAGGCTTGAAATTCTGCGGCCGTGGTCCCTTCGTCCTCGCACCCGAACACTTTAGTGTCAACCACGATCTTGAAAGAGCTACCTCTAGCGCAAAACACCACAACAGTCAACAAAGATGGCGGACGCTGATCTCGAAGAAGTAAGGCATATATCCGATCTACTGTCGCAGCCCCAGCTAAACAGCGCTCGTACAGATTAGAAAGGCGCGCCTGGCGCAGCTCAAATCCCAAGGTGGGGGAGGAGGAGGGGCAAGCAGCTCAGGCGGCGGCGGTCAAGATGACCAGAGACAGTGAGCGCATACCACCCGTCACACATTATGGGACATGTTAAACTGACAATATACAGGCAGCAAGAATGTACGTATACCGACCTAAACCAATCGACACAGAGCAGCTAACCTCCCATAGCTGATGCGAGACAGTCGATCCTGAACCAAATCCTCGAGCCAGCCGCGGCAGAGCGACTCGGAAGAATCCGTCTCGTCAAGGAGTCTCGAGCAGATGATGTGGAAAATAGGCTGATTACACTGGCAAGGTCGGGACAGTTGAGGCAGAAGGTCACTGAAGAGCAGTTGAAGGACCTCCTCAACGCCGTGGCTGAGACAAAGGAAGAGGAGAAGATTGTGATTAGCAGGCGAAAGGGAGGATGGGATGACGATGATGACGACTTGTTCAATATGTAGCCCAAATGGACTTGGGACTTGGCGTTGATCTACAATATTATACATATTTATACTCATTTTTCTCCTTCCCCGCCCTCCCTTTGGGCCTTCTTTTTCTCTTTCTGTTGCTTCCTGATGCTCCTCAAATCCGGAGGCCGCTCAATGCCCAGCCGTTTCCTCAGCGCAGCCACATCCGTATTCAGCTCCTCTTCCCAGTAAACGTTAATACAGTCCTTGGAATTTAACCCATTATAGAGTGCCCATGGTAAATATATGTCCCAAAATCTCTTTCTAGCCGCAGGCTTCATCTTCGTCACGGCGAACAAACTCAACCCCGTCATTGGCAGTAGTGTATTCGCAAACTCGAAGCCCTTCAGCGCAATCTCTCCCTCCACAAATACCGGCAATCCGGTAACTGCGTGGTAGAAATCGTGGCACTCTCGGTATCTTTGCATGACATATGCACACTCTTCATCATCGATATATTGTACTTGATCCCTAGTATCCGGTGTCACACCCTCACGATCCAGCCAATCCGCGTATGCGCGCCCAACTGTGTTTTCAGGAAGTGTTCGTAGATACTCTAGGCTCATCGTTTTCGAGGTTACGCGCGGCCTATCTCGGAGTATGCGACGACCTGTGTAATCGGCGAGCATAGCGTCGCGGAGGCGGTAGATAAAATATGGTGTTGCGGTTGCTTCGCCCAAAGCGGCAACCATGTCTGTGACGTCCTTCAGTCATTGCTCCCCCAACTAGCATGGATATCGGGCTCACCGTGTCGGTATGGATCGATTAGAGATGTAATGGCTGACCCGACAGCAAGTCCAGCTTGCTCGAGTCTCGTTAATGGCACATGGCCTTCATAGTTCGGTGGGGGTCTGTTGAGCACAGAAAATGGCCTGGGAGACGCGGAAATTGCACACGCCATATAGAGCTCACGTGGTAGCTTACTCACAACAGGCCTTCGTAATAAAAGGGCCATTCTGTTGAGCTGTCACTGCAAAAACCCGTAGTCAGTCGTGAGGGTTACTGGCTGATCTTGAGGTTGTTGTCAAGCATGTTCGGCATGGATCGAGATTCACGAAGGTGTGGAGCTGTGGCTGGTGAGCGGGCCCTCCCGCATATACTTTATTTTGCGTCCAAATTCATAACTTCACCCCATCGATTACTTGTGTTTTGCCCAGAAGAAAAGTATATGAGTTATACCACTTCATTGACTTAAACATGGCCGCCTTCTTTTAAATTTGGGAAGCATTGGAAGGGTTACTTCAGCGCAGTCTGCTGGTGATGGATAAGCATGAAGAGTTCACAAGATGGGCTGAATTACAAGGTGTTGAGCTCTATGGTATTGCAGCGCATCAATTTCCAGGCCGGGGCCTTGGGATTGTGGCTAAAGAGAGGCAAGAGGTTCGTGAAGCTCTCATATAGTTCATCCAAGACGCCTTGGCAAGAATTGGCATGACACATCTGATATCACAGTCCAATACTAACAAGAAATAGGCTGGAAAGATCATATTGACCGTCCCAATAAGTGCACTACGGACAACTCTTACAGTTCCCAAAGCAATTTCTATCCCGCTTGGTAAAATTACAGCCCACGGTCTTCTAGCTGCGGACATGTCCCTCGATACGGATGAAGCCAGGTCACGTTGGCGAGATGTTCTTCCTTCGCAAGAGGACTTCCAAGCGTCCATGCCCATTCTATGGCCTCCTATACTGCAGGATTTTCTTCCGCAGGCCGCTTCCGCTCTTCTCTCTAACCAGATAAAGAAGTTCGAGCTTGATTGGGCGACCGTCTCCGGTGCCTTTCCAGCTATTGACAGAGACCATTACCTGTACAGCTGGCTGATTGTGAATACACGCACATTCTACTATGTCCCCCCGGGAACTAAGAAGAAGAAGGATTCAAAGGATTGCATGGCGTTAAATCCCTTTGCCGACTATTTCAACCATGCATCCCAGGGATGCACCGTTGAGTTCGGGCCAGAGGGATTTGAGATTACTACCAACAAGGTATATGGAGAGGGGGAAGAGATTTACATCTCTTATGGCAAACATAGCAACGACTTTTTATTGGCAGAATATGGTTTCATCATGGCTGGGAATGATTTCGACCATATTCTCCTCGACAGTGTTATTATTCCCAAAATGGATGCTGTACAACTTCAACTAGTCAGAGACGCTGGTTATCTTGGGAAGTACGTTTTGGACAACGAATGTGTGTGTTATCGAACGGAGGTTGTTCTAAGAGCACTATGCATGCCAGCGAGACGGTGGGAACGATTCGTCGATAGCGGAGTGGACGGACAGCATGATCAAGCTATGGCCAACGAATTATTGATCAAGGTATTGAAACTGTACGTGGCAAAAGCGCAGAACCTCATTGAACAGTTACTATCATTGGAAGTGAAAGATAGGAGTCAAGTAGAGACACTTGTGCGGCGCTGGAACCAGATTCTATCGTTTCTGCAAGGTGCTATTGTGTGTTCAGTAGGGTAGCAATGAACGGAGCGGCACTGACAATTTTCATGGTCGAGCTTTTCCAACGAATTCATGAAGCTAATGATAAGAGTAACGGCTAATGATTATATACAATGGCTCCTTCCCTTCAAATCTCTAGAACCAAAAGGCACCAAGTAATAAAGGCACCATAGGCTGTCGAGGCCATTTACCACAAGGCCAACTTGATTGCAGTTGGGATCCCCAGAGCCCAGAGTTATGTTACAAACCCAACCTTTCTGAAAGTTCAAGCAGTGAAATTTAGATCCAAAAGCTTGTGCGCCGCGCTGTATTCTCTTTTGACTCTCCACTCTCGATATCTCTCCATTGGCTCGGCAGTAAAGAACGGTCATCATGGAAGCTCTTCTCTCTCGGATGGATTTCTTGACTTATAATAGTCCCTATAGCCAACCGAGGACCAAAATTAATACGTGGTAGAGTGTTCATCCCCGACCCCGCACGTACATTCTCGTTCGCGATATGGCTCGCCGCCTCGGATGTTTGAGGCCTAGCAATGACAGCGGAGTGGGAGGAATAGTACGAGGATGAAGCGCTTCCACCAACCAATGACTGTGGCAAGACCTCCTCGGCATCTGAAGCATCTTCGGGATTCACAGGCAGTTCGTCCAGACCTGGGACCTCTCTCTCATATGACGTTGCATCGTACGCTTCGCCAACAAAGGGAGAAAAGCCACAGCTAGAATGCCTTGGGAGAATATCCAACCCTAATTGGAAGGCTGGCTCCGTGGGGTTTTCAGGAGCACTAACAGTCCTCGTGGAGATAACAGAACGTCCTTTGAGGCGACTGAGCCTGTGGTTGGAGATATTGCGTTGAACAAGAGTGCTAAGCTCCGTATCCGCGGACGAAGATGGGCCATGGAAGCCTCCTTCGCTATTTTCCGTATAAGAGCTGTGGTCAGCGGTAAGTGCTCCATGGACGTAGACACTTCGTTCATCATTCCCATCCAGACCGAAGGCAGCGACATCGGCCGTACCATCCATTGCACTGGTAGTTTTAGACGGGATTCGTCTGCGTAGTGCTCCTTGACCTTGGCTATTTCCGCCAAATGCCACATATGCTCCGCTTGCATGAGCTGGAATATCCCTCCTTGATCTGAAAATGCTCCGTGAACTTCTCACAGTGTTGTCATCTCCCTCTTTCCTCGACTTGGTGGGCGGGTCAAATGTTCTCCGTTCGAAAAAATCCTTTTCATCTCGACTGGTTTTCTGCAAAAGCGTGTCGAGAATATCCTCAAATGTGATGATCCCTAGTGTCGCTGGGCACCTGATGCCTGTTACTATGGGTGATGGGTTGGCGTCGCCGGCATCATTCTGTGTGGCGTTCAGAAAGTCTGCTATCCAATCCACGCGGCCGCCGAGCTTTCTCAAGTCTAGGGACCCTCGAGCATTTACACCAGTGGCTGAAGACCATAGAGGTACAGCAGCCCGAGTATAATCTTTTATATTCGGAGATAGCGTAGCTTGATTGTCTGTCCAATCTCTTGCCGGGGCTAGGACCACTACAGCCATTCTGAGATTTGTTAATTTTGCTTCATGGACAATTTCTGGAACAAATGAAAATTATAGAGCGTTATTACATACCTTGATATTCCTAACTGAAACATATTTAGCAAGTCGTATAAGGGCAGGTCATCTCGTACGATAGGCAGAGGATATAGAGGTAGGTCTCTAACTCGAATCTCTTTGCCACCATTCTGCAAATCTAGCCCGAGGAGCGTCTAACTGGATCTCAGCAAAAAAACTCAGTATCAGGGGCTTTACCGACCTTAATGTGAAGGAAACCGTATATTCTGTGGTCGTTCGAAGCACTTCCATGTTTGGTTGGTGGGGCAGTAACCAAATCCTCGTTTCCAATGACAGGAATTCGACTATATGAGAACTGTTTGATTTTCACTATGAACTGTTCATTAACTAGATCATCGATTCCAATGAATTTGACTGCAGACCACGGAACGATAATGTCGGAGGTGGTATGGTCTGCTTTCTCTGGATCACCTGCAATATCAGTTATACTTTTGCTGTCGTAAAATGAGCCCAAAGGTGACTTCTCAAGAGTTCGACCATCGAGATCTAAAGCACCCCTTGCGGCCCGTCCAGCATCAGGGCCAAGGTGGCCGCCATGTTTCTCTTGCCGTTCGTGTAATTTGATAAGCATGGCCAGCTGCTCACTTGTATACATAGCTCCCCTCTCTTTTGGTAAAGTAAGTCTGTCGAGGAAAAATGAGAGTGGCCAGCTTATGATCGCCGTCAACCACATACAAGTCCATATGAATGGCCAGCAATAGTAGCTCCACAGTAAGGCTTGTCTGGGTATAAGGTATTGAGGGAATAACTCCGAAAAAATCGCAATGGCTATTGTCGATACCACCACCGGTATCCAACCTGTTCCAAAAAGAGACTGGACTATAATAGGGAGCGTCTCCATGCAGACGACTGAAGTCAAAACCATGGAGCCTAGAAATATATAAGCTATGCAAGCCCCTCAAAAGACCAATTCAAGGCATAAAACTCACAGAGAAACCAGCTAGCGTTCCTTTTAATCCGAGAAACAATCTCTGCTTGACGTCTGTGAAGCTGGTGAGCTATGACATAGACTCAACCTCAGAAGGAAACCCACCTTTGCCATTTCGGGCCTGTTGTACTCATAATTTGGAGCCAAGTCATATCCAAGCTGGAAATTGCTAACGTGAGGCCTGCTAGTAACGCCGCGATTACCACAATAGTCAATGCAACAGCAAGAAACCCAAGGAATGGCGCTTTGTGTTCATCGAAGCGATACCTTCGATAGCATTCGCAGTTTTCCGGCTGAGAATATCCTGGGTTGCCAAAGTCCGCCGCCTGTCTGAGAGTGAGTTCGCTGTCACCTTTCGCCATCATGAAAACTGCAGTTCGGATATTTATAATGTTTCGTGGGTCTGCTCAGAGCCAGGTTAATGCTAGAAAGTCTGTTTGAACATATGCCTTTTCACATAATACTTCTAATGAGTTCATTGAGAAGCGTGTCCTGAAATTGTGGAAGACAGTGGCGCAAATTTAGCTTGCAAAGTTGGCAGCAATCAAAGCGTGCTACATATGTGAGAAAACGGGAAAGTGCAACCAACACGCTACTCCAAGTTCGCACTTGCCAGAAATGAAAGAAAAGAGAAGTAACTAGTGGCCTAAAAAAACATCATTTGCTGCCGTGCGTATATCAAAGACAGGTCGGATCAAAACCAGGAGTTTATTGCCTCGAAACCCCTATCCGCCGAAGTACAATATGAGACATGATACAGGCAAAAATTATAATGTGTTGCGTCAAGAGTTGATTCGCCTTCCATATTTGAAGCACTTCGGATCGACTCGGCAGATACGCTGAATATTGGTACAGCTTTGAGTTTGAAAAATCGGGCACAGATATGCTGCTCTATACCTGAGGAACACTCACCCCCAATACCCTAACTCCAAATAACTCTTTTCAAATGTGACCTTGAGACGGCACACCCCGGGCCGTCTTTAATATAGCAACATTTCCTTTGGGAGTAAGGACCAACGACAATTACTCTGGGCGAGGTCGTTTTGCTCCATGGGGATTTTGCCAGTCTCCTCCAGTTGCCTGGTTCTGTGGGAAGAAGGCTGGATTGAAATGCGGCTGCATACCTGGGAAACCAGCACCTGCTCAACTTAATTAGACTCTGTGAATGGATTTGTACAAAGGGTGATTAGAGCCTTACCTGGCATCCCTGCGCCCATTCCCATGTTCATGGGGCCACCCATCGGCATTCCACCCGGCATACCGCCCATTTGCATCCCTCCCATAGGCATGCCTCCCATCATACCGCTATTCATGCCTCCACGACCGCCTCTCATAACACCGGGCCCACCTCGCATATTGTTCATCATACCCCCGCGATTGAATCCGCCCGAAAACTGGCCTCCACCCATGGAACCCGCGTTGAAGCCACCCATTGGTGCCTGGAAGTTCCCACCCATGCCACCCATGCCGGGATTCTGGAAGTTGCGGTTGAACCCGCCTCCCATGTTGTTGTTCATGTTACCACGATTGTATCCACCACGGCCGCGGAAGTTGCCACCGTAGTTGTTTCCTGAGCTCTGTTGAGTTCTATCGTAGTTGCCAGCGACTGGTCGATTAGTCGGGCCATCTTTTCCAGCTCGCATAGGTGCATCCTTTGGCAGAGTCTTGAAAGGGTTGACATCTGGATTCGAGTAGGTTACGACATGTTTCTTGACATATTGCTGCCCTTCCCCGAAGGTATCTATCTTGTGCTTTGCTGCTGTGGCAGCTTGCTGAGAGGAGAACTCAACGTATGCTTGTCTGTGCACATGTTAGCAGCAGAAATAAAATATACCCAGAGACGCTCTTACCCCTTGCTCTTTCCGTTCACTTTGTGTTCACTGAATGTTATCTCTTTTAGCTCATCTTCACACTGAGCCTGATTAATCCATCCTCGAACATCGTCATCAGTATTCCACCAATGCAAGTCAGAAATTAGAAGGGCCGTTGTTGCTCCAGGATCGATTGGCCTCTCATCAGAGCCTTCCTTGCGTTTCACGCCCTGCTGTTGCGGAGCTTGTTTTGGGATGTTGAGAGCATCTTTACCGGACTCATCGGTACTTTTGATTTGTTGGCGTTGTTCTTGGGGATGACTATCGTGCGCAGAATCAACTTTAATGTCAACGTATTCTGTGTCTTGCTCTTCCTCCTCCACTTCAGTCGGGTTATTGGCTGCGTCGGTGTTGTCATTGTTGGCACCATCGATCTTTATGTCTCCCTCTTCGTCCTTTGCGGCCGGTGTAGTTGGAGTTTCTTGCTCGTTGTTGGTATCGCCATAAATATCGATATCAAAATCGTCGTCCGCCATTGTAGGTACTGTGGTCTTCGTGGTCTCCTTGTCCTTTATTGCCGCCCTTGAATCAAATGACTATAGAGGATTGGAGCACATGCCAAAATGGAAGGCAGTGAGGAGATTTCCAGAAATGTATATTTGAGAAACAGAAAAAGGATGTTCTATATTGTACAGAAGTGAGGTCAGCAATAGAAAGATAATTGACCGAAGTATCGCATGTTTCCCACCAACCGACGTCCTTGGAATTGATATTCATTATAAGAACATAAAGATACGTACAATCCCTGAATATTATTCAACTGCAGTACAAATCAAAGTTTGATAGTTCAAACGGCGGAGACAGAAGAGAGTATGTTAAGACGAAGCTCTGTGCTTGCAATCTTCCGTTGACATCCGTGTCAGGTACAGGCAAACTGATGTCTTTGAAGACTGTATGTCAAGTATTGAAACCTCCCTCAGAAGTACAGATCCTTCAATCCAGCTCAAGCTGTAGAGCAAACCTCTAAGCTCTTATCTCACTACCGAATAGTGAAGCCACGTGCGTAATAACTGCTCGTATTAGACACTTCCCGAGCACAGTATTGATGCCGGCCGTAAATCAATACCTTACAAAAGTAAACTCTAAATGAAATAGAGTTGTGAGAAATGAAGAAGATGTTGAGTCGATGATACCTTGTCGCCGCGTAACTAGATGATGTCGGAAACTCGAGAGCGACGCGAACCTCCTGATCTGATACACAACGGCCAAACGTTTATCCACTTCCCATGCTTCCACGTGACATCAACTTTAAGGACACGACTTCCCCAACCCCAACCTCATTTCGTTCGAATCGATAGATTCTGTGCCTCCTTAAGCACAATCTCCCTCCTCGAGCAGTAATTACAACACATATCACCAATCATGTCTGACCAATTCCAAGAGATCTTGGATATTCCAAAGGACTTCGTGAAGGATGGCACCATGTTCATCAACCGCTGCACAAAGCGTACGCTATATCGCCACCTGCATGGAGATTTAAGCTAACTGTATAATAGCGGATCGCCGCGAGTTCACACAGATCTCGAGAGCTGTTGGCATTGGTTTCATTGTGATGGGTGCTCTTGGTTACGTTATTAAGCTGAGTCTGTACTCCCGTTGCGCATGGGTCTGGATATTTGCTAACAAGTTGATTGTTACAGTCCATATTCCTGTGAACAACATCCTTGTTGGCGGTGCTTAAATATTCAACTGGGTGAAAGGAGTGTAATTGGGTGGTGAAGGGAAAAGCATTATAGAGCCCCTCGAAGAAGCTTCGAAACGGATTCTTTGTATCATAGGCGCGGACAAATACAGGCTCATAGGCGCAACACTTTGTTAAAGCTCGGCGTATTGAGTTCGGGAAATGAAGCCAACAAGCAGTTCTGCTACCAATCTTGCTTTTATGATTCGAATCTTGAATATCCATATGCGCCCAAACCGTTCACCAATGCCGAGATAATACCAATGCCAATACACCGCTCCAAGCAGATACCCAAGGCCATTGGCAATGGTCACGCCTGGATATTTCATGGTGTAGAGTCACGCAGACTAAGTCATTTCAATTACTATTTACCAGCCCATCCTCCCTCTGCGCCGACGTGGAGTACGACTGTTAGAGCTGTAATATGACGGATCGACTTTCAATTTCTCATTTACCCTTACTCCTCCGGGTTCCGCCTCGTCGTCTTCCGCCTCGTCGTTCCATGAATGGGTAGTAACGGTACCTGCCCACATGCCATGGCCATTCCATGCGGAAGCTGTGAAGGCGATTGTCAGTTGGGGTTCTCTCAAAGTATTACTAAAATCGGAGTTACAGTACCTGCGATTACTGGTGCGTTGGGGCTCCAGCTTGCATCTCTCACACAAGTCCTCCATTGTGGCGCTGACTCGCCATCATCATCTTCATAATACATATTGTTTGCCGTCTCCGGGGAGAAAGGCCTCGTATCTTGTGTAGCTTGCTGCACGTCAATTTCACCTGCTATTGTTGCGTCCATATTCCATATGAAGACTTTCCCGGTCGAGGAGCCGGAGTAAACATATCGACGGTTTGACGAGTTAGGAGGGCTGAAATGACACCTGATTAAGGTGGAGAGCACGTCGTGGCCGCGGAAAGTCACCACCGAATTGTCATTCGGATGTGGACGCCAGTCATCCAAGTCGTAGCTCCCCCATCTATAATCGAAATGTCCACGTGGAATGCTGACTTGTGAAAGCTGGCTGCTGGCTGTCATCTGCCTTAGATCCCAAAGCTTCATGGTCTGATCTTTGCCGTTTGACAAGCAATAACGCCCATCACCGTTGGAGTCGATATATGTGACACCTTCAGTATGGCCTACAAAGGCGCCAGCTTCACGGCTATCGCCCATACTTCGGCGGTCCCAAATCTTGACCAAGTTGTCATCGCTACCCGAGAATATTATATTTGAAGAGCTTTTATCGGCAAAGCATACCGCGTTGACTTCGTCTTCATGGCCGTTGATCTCCAGGATGGTCTGCCGGGACTCGATATCATGAACTAAAATGGACTCGGAAGATGTGCCCGCCACCAACTCTCTGCCATCGCCGGAGAAGCGTATGCTGAAGATACCAAAACCGTCATGCCGTTGCCTAAAACCATTGGACCCTATCCCACGTGTGCCATTATTAGATAGATCTAAGTCGTAGGGGTCACCGAGATCATTGGGATCTGTTGGCGCCAAGCAAACTCTGGGAGACACAGAGGTATAAGCTAGATATCTGTTGTCCGGACTCAGAGATGCATCCGTCAGCGTCCATCTGCCGAATGGATAATTAACAGTCTTATAGTATCTCCATTCGTACTAAGGTAATGCGTTAGATTTGACTAAATTCTCAAGGAGATGGATAGCCTTACCGGATTCGACGTATCGTACATTCTCACTTTAAAATCTTTCACACAAGCAAAGAAAAAATTGCCATCATCTGAGAACTGACCCGAATAAACTGGCGCGTCGTAGTTGATAATAGTGTCGACTTTCGAGGAAGGGACCATGCCTTGAGCCATTAAGTTCTGATTTGCTTTATGCCTAGCCCCGCCGCCTATCCCCAGCTCTCTGTTCAGTATCCTACTTGCGAGCTTCTTCCTTTGTCCCGTTGTCCTGGTGGCCGGGATTTCATTCGTGCCGAAGTCGCCAGAGCTCATGAGCTCACTCCCCTTCTCACTGGGGACTCTAGGGAACCTGTTTGGGTCGGGCTTCTCTCTTCGACGGCGCCGGCGAAGTGGAAATGTTGCTCCTTGTCCATCATCAACGTCATGGGTGCTGCGTAAAAGAAGTTGTTGTCTAGCCCAAAGATAGAATATCTGAGCCGGAGATGCTGGGAATATATTAAACGGGCACAGTTACTTTGGATTCTTAGACAATCTACCTCCTTGTAGATCTCCAAGATCATATTCCTGTGCCTCCTCACCCCCTCCCTCATTGTCAGGTAATACTTCAATCGTGGCACCGCCTTCGGCGTCTGGCAAAACGTTAGAGTGATCTCAGCCACGGATATATGAAATTTGTGGCGGCAAACCATAGTAAATTTCTGAGCCCGACCCCTCGTCTTCATCCTCATCCTCATCCTCATCTTCATCCATTAGCTGTTCAAAAAAGTCATGCAACCTCTCATCAGTTTCCTCGTCTGTTGTTGGCTCATACTCAGAGTCGTCATGGTCGTCCCCAGAGGTACCGTTTTCATTAACATCCGCCATATCCGCCGACGTCAGTGCTGCAGAACTCGTTCCAAATATTGTGTGTTTATAGCTGTTGTAGATCGGTGAATATTAACTCTTGTTTGTTCATATCTTCTGCATATCGACGAACATTAGCAGCGAGTACCGAACTTGGATGCTTATAAAGTACCCGGCTGTCGTCTTACTCCGCAATTCCTTATCGACAATCTTATCTACGGAGTTAGTCGGTATTACAGGGAGGCTAGTACTGGTCACGTGATGATATCCCTCCACGTCGTCTGGCATAACTAGTACATCGTCAGTTGTTTGCGACCATAGGGGGGCCACACACATGTTACAACCTGACAGGCGCATATAGAATACCACTTCTGATTACTACTCGGTTGCTTATAATTATAAAAAAGGGTTTCTGTAGCCATATGGCCATGCAGGCCATCCGCCATGTATGCTACGATCCAGCCTCGACTTATTGCTTTACTCAACGATGATCATTCCGATAGCCAAGGCTTATACCCCCGGTTCGACCTGCCGCCATTACAGGATCCTAATATCCTGAAGGCCTCTGGTAGACATTCGATCCTAGAGCCAGTGGCGTCAAGGAACGATAAACAATCAGCGCGAGGGCCACAACCGAAAATATTAAGTTATGATGGAGATTCTCCAGGTTCGCACAATAAAACCAGGGCCAAGTCTAGCAGCCAAGTTGCTGTGAATTCGTCTGTCATAGACAGCAGTGTGGGCGAGCCTTCTGCCCAGTCTTTGCGGAAAATATTATCTGACGACTCCGAAATAACACACCCATCTGCGAGCAGAAAGCGGCAACGATTAGAAGACCGAAGCGGCGATTTTGTTCAACTTCCTCAACCACCGACGAAACAAAAGGCTGTGAAGCGTGTTGTTCCACCAATCATAATTGGGCTGCACGAACCTCCGCCAAATCAAGCTGCAGTTTTTCCTCCCATAGCGTCGAGCTCTTTCCACGATTCCCATGGCCGAAACACGCTGAATACATCTACGAATGAAGCAAAAGAGGATATATCTACCAAGGTTCAAGCAAAACAACCCAACCCCCCAGAGGGTCTCCCTGGAAACAAACCTTCTGGCAACAAAAGGGTGGGAGTTCAAGCACGGAAGAAATGGACGGATGAAGAGACGAGAAATCTGATATTAGGTGTGCAGAAGCATGGAATCGGAAACTGGAAAAGCATTTTTGAAGATAAAGAGTTGACTTTTAATGGTCGGACTCCTGTTCATATCAAAGATCGTTTCCGGACATGCTTTCCTGGCGCACTTCAAAACGATAATATTATAAAGCCCATTTCCAAAGTCAACCGTAAACCATCGGACTCGTCCAAATCCCATAAGGACCCGAGTTCTATTCCTACAAGGGAAGAGGATAGTTCGGATTCCAGCGATGATTCAACCGTCAACGAGAAACCGAACAGTCCTCAAGTTAAATCCACCAAAAAGCCTCGTGCTCACCGGAAATACTTTGACGACCTTGTGGAACAGGGGGTTGTCAAGGCATTCCCAAAATCTACTCGTCGAGGACGCCGGCTGTTTACTGAAGAGGAAGACAAAAATATTAAGAAGGGGGTCGAAACATATGGGCAGTCATCGTGGACGTTGATACAGCGTGATCCAAAATTCGGGCTCGAAAGTAGGAAACCAACTGATATTCGGGACCGTTTTCGAAATCTGTTCCGTGACAAGAGTAATGTTGACGAAGAGGGCGAAAACCCAAGAAATTCTGCATCAACCACGGCTTTACTCGAAATACAGCCTTTAAACGGTGGCTTATCATTACCAACTCAAGAATCTCTTTCTCAAGATCGCATGTTTGGTCCAGTTCAATACTACCCCGACATTGGTATATCCAAGCAAGCCATGCAACCACCCTCGTTCAACTTCAGGGGTTCGTTCACAGAATTTCTTGGCCCGCTTCCAGTCACCGATGCTGCTGATGCGTTTTCATTCCCTCCATCTTTTGACTGGCAGGATAATACTGTCCCGTTTTCTAGTACTATTGGCGAAATGGATATCTCACGACTATTGCTGGATGATAGTTGGGCGGCAGATCCAAATTCCAACTTGAAGCAGAAGCAAAGCGTTACCGACATCAGCAGTATCTGTTCTGCAATACCGCCACCGGTACCGCCATTGATGTCGAACCATAACGTGCCAGGGATGTGATATGAATTCTTACGCTGTAATATCCAATTGCTTATTTCGCGTACAAAGACGCGAAGCCTGTGATGGTCTTGAATCAATTATAAAGTGGTTCTCGGCCAGGCCTGGTTTTAGTATAGCATGGGTACTACAAGACAATGTTTATGGCCCCTCTATTAGAATCTTCGTGATCCACTTCAGTGACGCCTATGCCAAAACAATAATTATTTTGTTTTGAATTCAAACCTTTCATATCTAACCGCGGCGTCTTTCGCAGTTGTTACGTACGTGACGAGTCAAACGGCGCGGAGGACATTTTGCCAAGCCGTCCCCTGCTTTTACCCCACGTAAAAAGGAATAGTCCTGGTGGCCAATGACTCCACCTCCATTTTCGGAGCTTATAGGTATGAAGTTACATATCGGATAACAATTCTTGAATTAAAGACAAAGGCGATAAATTTACACACACCACGCTCGAAAATAATACCCCAAATCGTGGAACATGTCTGCTCCATTCCCTACCAAGAAGTGCGGTGAGTGATGTTACCCCGCCATCCCCCACCACGAGGAATGATTTCTGACTCAACCATCAATAGGTGTTCTGGGCTGCACTGGTTCAGTCGGCCAACGCTTCATCCTCCTCCTCGCACAGCACCCTCACTTCAAGCTCCACGCCGTGGGCGCTTCGTCGCGCTCGGCGGGAAAAAAATACAAGGATGCCGTGAAATGGAAGCAAGCCTCGCCCATGGGCGCCGACATTGCTGAGTTGGTGGTCAAGGACTGCAAGGCGAGCGAGTTCGCGGATTGCGATGTCGTTTTCAGCGGACTCGATGCTGAGTTTGCTGGAGAGATTGGTATTTACGCCCCGGAGCCTGTGTGGCGCATTGTACTAACACAATTCTTTAGAAATGGAGTTTGTGAAGGCGAACATCCCCATCTTCTCAAACGCAAAGAACTACCGCAAAGACCCGATTGTCCCACTCGTCGTGCCAACCGTCAACCTGCCACATTTCGACGTTATCCCAGCACAAAGGAAACAACTCGGCCTTGGGAAGGGATTCTTGGTCTGCAACTCCAACTGTGCCGTCATTGGCATAGTCATCCCGTTCGCTGCACTACAAAAGGCATTCGGGCCAGTCAGCCAGGTCAGCGTTGTCACCATGCAAGCTGTTTCCGGCGCAGGATACCCAGGTGTCAGCAGCATGGACATGATCGACAATGTTGTGCCTTTCATCTCCGGCGAGGAGGACAAGCTTGAGAACGAGGCCCAGAAGATCCTGGGAGGCGTCAATGCTGAGGTTTCTGGCTTCGCTGAGCAGAAGGGACTCAAGATTTCTGCGGCCTGCAACCGTGTTGCCGTGTTGGATGGCCACACTGCCTGCGTCTCATTGAAGTTTGAGCGCCGCCCACCGCCATCTGCGGAGCAGGTCAAGCAGGCTATGAGGGATTACGTGAGCGAGGCACAGCAGTTGGGATGCCCATCGGCACCACAGAACGCCATCTTGGTCATGGATGAGCCGGATAGGCCACAGCCGCGACTGGACAGGGATACCCAGAAGGGATATACCGTCAGTGTTGGACGAGTAAGAGAAGATGAGAGCGAGATCTTTGATATCAAATTTGTGGCTCTGAGCCACAACACGGTCATTGGTGCTGCTGGATCGAGTATATTGAACGCTGAGGCAGCTGTTCTTAAGGGCTACATTGAGTAAAGTCATAGATCAGGATTTGATAGCGTTTCAAAAAATATTAGATGAGCATTTTAAAACGCATTCCATATATACTATCCTTCATAGATGCTATGACTATGCACTGCCCCACTTCTTTCCCGTCAACAACTCATAAGCTTCCACGTACTTTACTTTCGTGTTATCAACAATCTCCTGGGGCATAGCCACTCCTTGTTTACCCTTGACCCCCTCCGCTGTCAACCAGTTGCGGAGGTACTGCTTATCATAGCTCTCCTGATCGCGTCCAACCTCGTACTTGTCCTTTGGCCAAAATCTTGAAGAGTCAGGTGTCAGGACCTCATCAACCAATACAACCTCATCCGTCTCCTCATCCAATCCAAATTCAAACTTGGTGTCCGCAATGATGATGCCCCTTTCATATGCGTAGTCGCGGGCGGCCTTGTATAAAGACAATGCAAGCTCCTCTATTCTGGCAGCGTACTTCTCACCTACAACCTTAGCCGCTTCCGAAGGATGGATGTTCTCGTCGTTCGCCCCGGCCTCAGCCTTGGTGGATGGCGTGTAAATGGCTCCTTGCGGGAACGGTTCAGCCTCTTTCAGGCCAGCTGGGATGGAGATGCCGTGCACAGTTGATGTCTTCTGGTACTCTTTCCACGCCGAACCAGTGATATAGCCGCGGACAATGGCCTCGATCGGGAAGATCTTAAATTTGCGAACTTGCATAGAGCGGTTGCGGAGAGCAGCTCGCTGAGACTCTGGGACAGAAGGTGGGAGATCTAGAGTGACGAAGTGCGTGCGGAGACCCGGCACCAACGTGGGGAGGACAGAGAACCAATGGCTGGAAAGGAGGGTGAGAAGTGCGCCCTTGGATGGGACTCCCTGTACATCATCAGTACTTGGATCACATACTGCAGGACTGGGCACTATACATTCTTCATGATCACATCATAAGCGGAGATGCGGTCAGAAGCCACGAAGAGAAGTGTCTTCTCGTCAACCTCGTAGAGATCTCTGACCTTTCCCTCGGCGATTTTTGGTAGCCCCTCAATTGAGGATGATGTAAGGACAGGGTCGGCCATTTTAGTAGCGGTTGTGATAGATAGCTTAGATGGCTTGTATATATATAAGAATGCACACTTCAAGCTTCTTTAAATAGCTTGTAAATATTAAGTTGGTGTTCAGTGCCCGAGTAAACCTGGAATCCTCAAGGTTTCTATGCGTCGGAGCAACTGGGAGGAGCTATGAGCCGAATCGGAGGGGTAACCAGAAAAAGTTTCCATCCCACCTGCCGATAACGATAAGATGAATATCACGTGAATTTCCACGCACTGACCCCTACTCGAGCTTTCTTCGAACCCAAATCGCTTAGGGCACTAGCGCCAACTTCTCCCACAGACATTTCGTGAATCTGAAGTGAACTTTTTGCTGCTCAACCACGACATCGACAACCTTTTGTAACTCCATCACACCGAGTCGCAATCATGGGTAGAGGACCGTAAGTATATACCAATCAATACCTGAAGCCATATTCCTGGAAAATGCTCGAAGTCCAGCAATTTTGCGGATCCACCAATCTCGAAATCCGCGTCGAATTCAATTGCTTGACCAGATGCTAACATTACGTTCTACAGAAAGAAGCACCAAAAGCGCCTGAGCGCGCCATCGCACTGGCTCTTGGACAAACTGTCCGGTTCCTACGCGCCTCGCCCATCCCCCGGTCCTCACAAGCTCCGCGACTGCATGCCGTTGATCGTCTTCATCCGTAACCGCCTGAAGTATGCTCTCAACGCACGCGAGACCAAGGCCATCGTGATGCAGCGTCTCATCAAGGTCGACGGAAAGGTCCGCACCGACACCACCTACCCCGCCGGATTCATGGATGTCATCACCATCGAGAAGACTGGCGAGCACTTCCGCCTCGTCTACGATACCAAGGGCCGTTTCACCGTCCACCGCGTCCAGGCTGAGGAGGCCGAGTACAAGCTCGGCAAGGTCAAGCGCGTTCAGCTTGGCAAGGGTGGAATCCCATTCTTGGTCACGCACGATGCTAGAACGTAAGTTCTGTCAGACATCATTCAGCCGTTGGTCCAAGCTTTGGTCGAATCTCCGTGGAGAGGGTTCGGAAGGCGATTGCTTTGAGATCAACGGTTGCTATACTCCCCTACAGAAATGCTGACCCTATATGTTTAGTATCCGCTACCCTGACCCAGCCATCAAGGTCAACGACACCGTGAAGATCGACCTCGCCACCGGCAAGATCACCGACTTCATCAAGTTCGACACTGGTGTCATCGCCATGGCCACTGGTGGTCGTAACATGGGCCGTGTTGGTGTCATCACCCACCGCGAGCGCCACGACGGAGGCTTCAACATTGTCCACATCAAGGATGCGATAGACAACAGCTTCGCCACCCGCGAGAACAACGTTTTCGTCATCGGCGGCGAGAAGCCATGGATCTCCCTGCCCAAGGGTAAGGGTGTCAAGCTCACCATTGCTGAGGAGCGTGACCGCAGACGTGCCCAGCAGATCGCCAACTAAATGTGTGGTGATTCGCTTTGTGTTTGTTCTGCTTGCTGGGTATATCTGGAATGGAGTAACTTGGGCTGCATTATGCGTTCACTTTGCGGGAAATTTGCAACTAGCATAGTGAAAGAATTCGAATGACCATAAAAGTATTCCCAGCAGAGAGATTATACTGAAGATAATCTTCGTGTTCCCCCGTAGTATGTGACTTGCAGTATATTTTTCAAACTTTCGGAGCCCATCCCACAGTGGATCATCTATCTATTGGATAGACGTCTAATCGTCGTGACCAAACTTTTCGCTTCGCTCAAGGTTAGAGTAAGCAATACGCGGCTGCCCAACCGGAGAGGAAGCAATACGCGGCTGCCCAACCGGAGAGGAAGCAATACGCGGCTCATCAACAATTTCGACTATAAGTACCTCTCCATAGTAATTTGTATGTAAAGATACATAATCAAGCCATTCTATGAAATTATCACTTCTTCGCTCCCACTCCTACCCTCTCTCCTACTCTCGCCCTCGCCCTCGCCCTCGCTCTTGCTCTTAGTTTAGAGGGCTTCTAGGTTAGGAATTGGGTCCTCAAACTCCGGAGGAATTAGGAGGCCAGCTTTCCGAATACGCAGTCGAATAAGGCACATCGTACGTATCTATAGCAGCTTTAAGGCTTCAAACTGCCCTTTTTAGTAAGCTTGAATAGCTAGAGCAATTCGACCTTCGTTCTGAGCTAATTGAGAGCTCTAGGGCAGAATTACCAGCTGACTTGCATTACTGACTTACTTGTGGAATACGTTAACATATTAATAAGTAAGCGGATCGTATACGTCAAGGGATCACGACCCACCCTACTAATTCAGTCCTACCTGCCTTCCCTAACTTAACATGCCTCAACTACACAACACCTGATTGGCTTCGAGAGAAGGCCGAATTGCTCTTGCGATTAATATGTACAATTCGGGCCATTTTACAAGTATTCGCAGTGCTACGGACACGTACAACATCCCATTCACAACATTATTGGGGCGTCTTCGAGGACGACTAGCAAAGCACGAACGCGGTCTGTAAACTGCAAACTCATACGGAGATAATGAGGCATTTCAATCTCGTAAGCGCAGTTGGAACGCATAAAAGCACAATTCCTGGAGTTGGTCTCGTGCGCTTTTTCCACATCTGAAGAACCTGCATGCTGGACGCTCTGTGCTCTCGGAGAAGCGCGGTTACCATGATTGGCTGGACTCTGCGTTCTTGGGCGAGAGTGAACCTGTCGCGTCTGCTGCCTCATGGATATGTTTAAACCAGAGTAGCATTTAATCTTGGTGGCCATCTAGCTGGCGCCCCCCCAAGAGATTTCCCGAGAATGGGCCCGATCCCAACAAAGAAAGATCCAACGATCCAGCGAACGATGGCATGACGCTCATCCAAGCTCATAGGGCAACACAACCCCAGGAGGATTACATCTTTGTACCACCTAACTCGTAACCAAGTAATAAACAATAAACATGCATCGTGAACCTTGCAATGTATTCTATACTACAGTGCTATACTACAGTGCTATACTACGGTACATATCCAATAAACCCCACTACGGCTGTCCCCCCACGATGTTCCTCCCCCCCTTACTCCATAACTCCATGACTTTCGTGCTCGCGCTACTATACACTCCCACTACAAATCCCTCTCTCGCTCTTTCTTTTCCTGTCCGTCTAGAACGTGTGCCCGCGCGGGGCAATGTACATACTAAAAAGAGAAGATGGCAGACGCTGAGAGAAGGGAAAGACCATAAGAAACAACTCCCCCCCATTCCCTCCTCCTACTTAACTTCCTCTTCCCATTTCACCTTCTTATAAACCCTATTAATTAACTCCCTTCCCTCTCTTCGTCCCATGTCGTCACAAGGTTGCATTTTGCAATTCTCTCATCGCGCAAGAAGATCTCCTCTAAAAATTTAACCATCCCTGCGCTGGACCAATCCAAGATCCTCGTCTCTCATGCACCGTGCAACGCCTTAATTATCATGTCTTCGCCAAAATGTGTTGCGTGCTTTCGCCTCGCAACTTCTGCTCCGAAAGCGCAACGAGGGGTAGCAAGAGCCCTCAGGACACAGCAGCAGTGCAGATGGAACAGCACCTCCTCCTCATCCTCCTCGAAGCAGGTACCGCCGCCGCCCCGGCCTGATGCAAGTAAGTCCTGGGAATGGACTACGGCGAAGATGCTGTTGCTTGCGCTGGGGACTGGAATCGCGGCATACGCTGTCGCGAAGCTCCAGGACCCCTCGCTGCGGGTGGTTGAGTATGCGCGGGCAGACAAGTTCCACAAACCAAAATATGGGAGCGTGAAGGATATGGAAGCTGTTAGTACCTGGTTACATTTTAATATGTATAATTATTCCGGTATCTGACAGTCACTTTTGTGTAGGCGATCGCAGAGGTCAAGGCAGCGTTGAATGAGGATGCCGTCAGCGTCGATGACGACAACCTCCGCGCCCATGGCTTCTCCGAGTGGTCCTCGATCAATGTTGATACTCTGCCAGTGGCAGTATTGTATCCCACCTCTACTGCCGAGGTCTCCGCCATTGCAAAGATCTGCCACAAATACCGCGTTCCTATGATTCCATACTCGGGCGGATCGAGTCTGGAGGCCAATTTCTCGGCGCCGTACGGGGGGTTCAGCGTCGACTTCGCGTATATGGATAAGATCATTCAGCTTAACAAGGACGATATGGATATTGTGGTCCAGCCTTCCGTCTCTTGGATGACTCTTAATGAGACTATCGCTGATTCGAGACTCTTCTTCCCCATTGACCCCGGACCATCAGCCAAGATAGGAGGTATGGTTGGGACCAACTGCAGTGGTACCAATGCCGTTCGCTACGGTACTATGAAAGACTGGGTCATTAACCTCACCGTCGTCCTGGCAGATGGAACAGTTGTGAAGACCAAGCGCCGTCCCCGCAAGACCTCGGCTGGATACAACCTGAACTCCCTATTCGTTGGCTCCGAAGGAACCCTCGGCATGGTCACGGAAATCACCCTCAAGCTCGCGGTAGTTCCCCAAGAATACTCAGTCGCAGTCGTCACCTTCCCCAGCATCCGCGCCGCCGCCTCCGCCGCCGCAGGCGTCATGCGCGCCGGCGTCCCCGTCGCAGCCATGGAGCTCATGGACGAGGTCCAGATGCGCGTTGTGAACATCAACGGAGCTACCAAGCCCAAAGTCTGGAAAGAGCTACCAACCCTCTTCTTCAAGTTCTCCGGCACCAAGGCAACGGTCAAGGACAACATCAGCACGGTCAAGGGCATCGCGAAGCAGCACGGCGGCGGCAACTTCGAGTTTGCAGCCACGCCACAGGAGCAGAAACTCCTCTGGTCGGCGCGTAAGGAGAGTTTGTGGAGCATGATGGCTATGCGTAAGGAGGGCTCGGAAGTGTGGTCCACGGACGTCGCGGTCCCCTTCTCGCGCCTAGCGGATATCATCGAGATCAGCAAGAAAGAGATGGATGACCTCGGCCTCTTCGCGTCCATCCTAGGCCACATCGGCGACGGCAATTTCCACGAGTCCATCATGTACGACAGCCGCGTGCCGGGGGAGAAGGAGAAGGTGGAGCGGTGCGTTAAGAACATGGTCATTCGCGCGCTGGAGATGGAGGGCACATGTACGGGCGAGCATGGGGTGGGGATGGGGAAGAAGGATGCGTTGAGGATGGAGGTGGGGGAGGAGACGATTGGGGTTATGAAGAGTATTAAGTTGAGTCTAGATCCGTATTGGATTATGAATCCGGGGAAGATTATGGACGTGCCGGGCTCTCCGTGAGCTGGGCTGGTAGGTGTGAATGGGTATCTTAGGAGGTTATTGTCATTTGCATTTTTTTGAAGGTTCTATAGTGAGGGATAGAGTACAATTAAAGTAGAGAAGACAACTCTCCCTTCCTTTCCACGCCGGGACTTGCCATTTTTAAGATGGCCATTTTGGTGATTCCTTAATGCGCTCCGACACACTGACTGGAGCCAAGGGGATTGGTGCCGTCCGCGCGAAGAATATTCTCTTTTTCGGTGAACTCATAATGAAGATGTGTATTCTGAGGATACAGAAATGCTACTTTCAGACTTATTCTGGGCGAGTACTATCATGAATGAATCCTTGGGGACAGTGATTCTACAAGAAGTAGGCTCTTACCGGAAGCATCGCACGACAACGACTACCTCAATTGGAGATTCCAGCCACGCTAATAAAGTTATCTTTTTATTTCCCGTTTGTCTACTGCACAGGTTGAGGCACGCCGTGCTGGTGAAGATTGCCATATGCTTTTGCCATATGCCTCCTGCCATTATCCGCGTGCTTGTACTGGCGCATGCAAACGGAGTCCATTTCTCAAGCCATCCAGAGTTTTCCATACCCTCTCCTCCGTACTCTTGAACGCGTATTCCCGTTTCTGAACTCCGCAAGTATACGCCCTTGGATTTTGTCCATTTCTCCCATGAAGAGAAGTGGTGAAGCTGAGGTCCTCCTTGGAAGCATTAGTCGAATTCTGCTGACACCAATATGACCTCTTGTCGCGCCTACGCTTTCTTGCCAGTGCCGTCCTCTTTGCCATACACCAGCTGTAGCCTCCTTGCGGGTTTAGCTGTGTCTTTCCTTCAACTACCTGTGTCCTTACTTTAACTACTTGTGTCCTTCCTTCGACTGCCTGTGTCCTTCCTTCAACCATCTCTGTCCTTCCTTCGACTGCCTGTGTCCTTCCTTCAACCATCTCTGTCCTTCCGTCAACTACCTTCAGCGCGGTGAGAAGCTATATGCTCTTTCATGCCATCTTCAACACAGCCGGAAATACAAACGAGGTCCGGGGATTGCTCTGACACCCAGCCTCCATACAACATACGACTTTGCTTCGTTTGAAGGACCCCAAGAAGTATATTTATACATCTAAGCTGCAACTTCAATTCACTCAGTCTCCGCTAGATCTATGGATCCTTGAGCGCCAAAGAGCTCCAATTTCCAATTTCATACACGCCCTCGATTCCTGCAGCACCCCTCCCCCGAAGTTTGACTTGATCTCTCTAGCCGTCAGCTACGAGCATTACATTTTAAATTTTACCAATTAATCTACAGATCCGCCCCTTCAACTCCCCTTATCTCGCCATCTCAAGATCTCCAAATTCATTCACATCACCAGTCGATTCCCACAGCACCCCATCCCCCTTCCCCGAAGTTTGACTTCATCTCTCTAGCCGTCAGCTACGAGCATTAAATTATTAAATTTTACCAATTAATCTACAGATCTAACCTCTAACTCCAATTCTCTCGATAATTACGACAAATTCAACCACTCTGAGAAGTTTCCAAATTTAGTTGCCTCCTCAAGACATAACCCGGAGAAGTTGGTCTTGGGTCATATTGCACCATTGTTACCAGACGCATACCTACAGGTTATTTTCACCTGCCGTCATTTACTCGATATCTGCTAACATATAAATGGTTGGATTAGTCACTCGTTGTGACCATGGCCGAATTCACCGAGGGGTCAGAGATGCAAAGCTGGCCCGCTCCCATTCCCCGAGCTGGGCGCAATCCTCCACGGCGAGGCGGGTATCATCAGCCAAACTATGCCGGGATACAAAAATCAGATTGGAGAGCGAATCAAAATCGGAGGCCACAGCACCCCATTCCAAACGCTACGCAACAACAGCCAGTCGGTCCCAAACTGGACGGCCCCATACTCAAGACCAAGGAACCCTGGCAGAAATGGACCGAGCTGACTGTGCGGGTCTCTCAGCTCCCGCCAACGGTGACGACCTGGGATCTCTTTAATCACTTCGAGCGTGAGGGATCTATTGCCTTCATTGAACTCCATGAGAATTCAAGGGGCGTCCGCCAGGACAGCGCCAGAATCCGATTTTCACCACCACCAAATACTGATTTTTGGTCCCGCGATCCTATTACCATCCGCGTGGAGTCTCCCGAGATGAGCGAATATACCGTCAAAGTATTCCCAGAAGGAAAGAAGCGCTCATTTGAGATCCAGAGTCCTATTCGGAAGATGAAGTGGTATCCGGAGGTGACCGCTTTGTATCCTCGGGAACTCAATTTTGGCATCATGTTTTCGGAAACGGAAATGATGAAGAAGAGGACTGAGGTGGCGCGTTCGAGGAACCAGATGAAGCTTAAGATTGATTTAATGCGGAGGAGAATCGTTGCAATCTTTGATGTCGACTACGAGAACGAAACGGCGAGCAACCCGGGCTTGAAGTGGATCAAGCATATGTTCCAGGTGCCATTCGGCCAACTGAGAGTGATGCATCGAGTCAAGTTGGATAATGAGAAGTGGGGGCTACTGTTAACCTTGGAAAGCCCGCCACAATTCTATCTCAAGGATTTTAACATACAAAGGACACACGTCAAGCAATCCCTGGTCTGGAGCGAGTTTGATTCATGGTTTAGGGTAACAGATGTGGTTGCAGATTCAGGGGCCGTGAGAAAAGCGGTTGTTAGTCTGAACAAAGCTGCTCCTATGATCGATATCGGACGTTGGACAACATACCTCTTTGTTTTTGACGAAAACGATGAGAGCTCGAAAGTGTTCCCTGACGTACAGTCTGCCCTCCAGGATTTCAACATCGATGTTGTGGATTTGGACTCATTTAGCACAATTCCCAATGCACCGGCGAAGGTTTGGGAGATGATCGATGCTCCGAATGCTGATGAAGCTGAGGATGAAATGCACTATTTGATGGAAAACAGCGACAAAAGCACCATTTTGCCATTCGAAGTAAGGTACCAGCTTGAAGTTTGCATCTCCCGCAATATACTCGAAGTGCATAACATCACCCCAGAGTTTGTCAAGGAACTGGCAAGTTTGGTAGATACCGATAAAGAAAGAGCCACTTGTATCCTCGAGTACATTTCAGAACAGGGGAAGCGCATCTATGATGTTATGTCAATATTCAAGGATCCAGATGCGTTGGCACACTCACCCAAGTCTAAAATCCCTACCTATTGTGCCTACACAAGGAAGGCCACCGTCACCCCAACAACAATATACTTCAGTAGCCCAACTGTGGAAACCTCCAACCGCGTTATCCGGAAGTTCTCTGCACACGGCGATCGCTTTCTCAGAGTTCAGTTCACTGATGAGTTGTTTGAGGGACGCATAAATGCATGCGCAGATAAAATCCGCAACGACCAGCTATTCACCAGAGTTTATCGGACACTGAAAAATGGCATCCGGATCGGTGACCGTCATTTTGAGTTTCTCGCCTTTGGAAACAGCCAGTTTCGGGAGAATGGCGCCTATTTCTTTTGCCCCACAGATGGGTTGAGCTGTGTCCAGATCAGAGACTGGATGGGCAAGTTCCATCACATCAATGTTGTGGCGAAATATGCCGCCCGGTTGGGGCTTTGCTTCTCGACGACTCGGGCGATTCGTAACACCGGAATGACGGTTCTTGAGCTGCAAGAAGTTGAACGCAATGGATACAACTTCACTGATGGGGTTGGAAAGATTTCCCCGTTTCTTATGAAAATGATTGCAACAGAGCTCCACCTCTTGCATGAACCATCGGTGGTCCAGTTTCGTATGGGAGGTTGCAAGGGGATCCTCGCAATATCTCCAGATGCCAAGGGACAAGAAATCCATATCCGAAAGAGCCAGACGAAATTCACGGCAGAGTATATGGGTTTGGAGATTATTCGGACCTCGAGCCATTCTGTGGCGACTTTGAATCGACAGACCATCACAATTCTATCCGCGCTGGGGGTTGAAGATCATGTTTTCAATCGGATGCTTGATGAGCAACTTTCAAATTACATGGACGCCATGAATGATCCAGACAAGGCCCTGGAGCTCTTGGGAAGATACGTCGATGATAACCACATGACGATGATGATTGCAAGCATGGTCTTGGACGGCTTCATGCGTACCAAAGAACCATTTGTCCTATCTCTCCTCCACCTATGGAGGTCGTGGTCCATCAAACTTCTCAAGGAGAAAGCAAAGATTATTGTTGAGAAGGGAGCATTCGTCTTAGGATGCACTGATGAAACACAGACTCTTAGGGGTCACAGCAAAACTACCAACGCCGGAAAAGGTACAATCACAGCAGAAGATATAGACAAGCTTCCACAGATCTACCTCCAAGTCACCGACAGAAAGGATCCTCGGCACAATGTTATCATCGAAGGTCTCTGCCTTGTTGGGCGTAATCCCTCGCTGCATCCCGGCGACATCAGAGTTGTCCAGGCGGTTGACGTTCCAGCTCTGCACCATCTCCGCGATGTAGTGGTATTCTCACAGCTGGGAGACAGAGACGTCCCTGGGATGTGCTCTGGAGGGGATCTTGATGGTGATGACTTCTTTGTCATTTGGGACCAGGATTTGCTCCCGCGAGAGTGGAATGCAGAACCTATGGACTACACAGCACCTCCGCCTGTCAAGTTAGATCGCCCGGTTGAGATTAACGATGTGATGTCGTTCTTCGTCAAGTATATGAAGAGTGATACCCTTCCAACCATTGCCCATGCCCACCTTGCACTCTCTGATCAGCTTGATTTCTCTGTGAGAGACCCAAAATGTGAGTCCCTCCCCCTTTGTGGAGTACTACTATTAAAAGACACAAACACTGACCTACTCCAGGCTTAGAACTCGCCGCTTTGCATTCCAAGGCCGTCGATTTCGTGAAGAGCGGTATTCCAGCCGAGATGCCCAAGTATCTGCGACCTCGAAAGTGGCCCCATTTCATGGAGAAGAAACACAAGCCAAAGGAGCAGATTTACGTCTCCAAGAAAATCCTGGGGCAGCTCTACGACAAAGTCGAGAGCGTCGATTTTATTCCCCACTATGAATCTCCCTTTGATAAGAGGATTTTGAGGGCCTACCCAGAGGATAGAGCAATCCTAAAGTTAGCACGGCAGATTAAATCACAGTACGACACAGCGATGCGCCGCATAATGGCCCAACACGACATCGAAACCGAGTTCGAGGTCTGGACCTCCTTCGTCCTATCCAAGCCGCGTGTCGGGTCAGACTACAAGGTGCAAGAGGAGATGGGTATCATCAGCTCGACCCTCAAAGCCCGGTTCAAGGAAATCTGCGTGGAAGCTGCTGGAGGAAGCGATTTCAAGGCTCTGGGACCGTTCGCCACTGCTATGTATCAAGTCACCTGCGAGGAACTCGCTATTGCGCTTCACGAGTGCCGCACGATGAAGACGATTGGTGGGAGAGATGTTCCAAAGCGGAAGATGGAACCGAAGTCTATGCCCTTGATGAGCTTCCCGTGGATATTCCAGTCCGTGCTTGGGAGAATCGCGACGGGAAGCGAACCAACTACTCTGGAAGATGTTGGCTTGTCGTTTGTTACGAGGAACGAGGCGAGGGCTAAGAAACCACGCCTTGCGATATCAGACGAAGATGATCATGAGGACTATATTGAGACTGCAGATGGAGTCACTCATCGCGGTGAACTGCTTGATCTCTTCCGGCCTGATGCTGTCGATTCTGACAGCGATGAAGTTATCCCGCCCTGTAACATCCCAGACGCAGTGAGCCAAGTCCAAGGCGAACCACAGTTGAAATACGACCTGGATGAAACCCTCAGCCTTCCTCTGACCTCCATGGATCTCCTCGCCAACTTTCCCGAAGCAAATAACCGGCAAGAGGAATTGCTCAACATACCAGATGCAGTGAGCGAAGTCCAAGACGAACTACAGCTGAAATATGACCTGGATGAAACCCCCAGCCTTACTTTAACCTCCATGGATCTCCTCGCCACCTTCCTCGAAGCAAATAACCAGCAAGAAGAATTGCTCAGCATCCCAGATACTTCTCGATGTAGCCGCGTAAACTCGCACTATGAAGATTTGGCTGACCTGGGGGGCCATTACCACGATCTAGCTGACTTGGGCGCTGAATGTGGCATTACTGGCACAGAGGAATTGCTGGTAGACACATCCAGTGCCAAGATCCAAGAAGATTTGGCTGACCTGGGCGGTGAATGCGGCATTGCTGGCGCAGAGGAACTGCTGGTAGACATAGTCAGTGCCAAGATCCAAGAAGATTTGGCTAACCTGGGCGTCCATTGCCACTATATGGCTGACTTGGGTGCTGAATGTGGTATGACTGGCGCAGAGGAACTTCTGGTAGACATAGCCAGTGCCAAAATCCAAGAAGATAGCAACGATGCTGACGAGTTCGAGGATGGGAGCGACTATGGAGAAGTAGTTACCCTCGATATCGAAGAAAGTGCGCTAGAGCAATTGCTAAAATTGACCTGTTAGGTGGTAATCTTGCCCTATTGCATCTGGTTGCTGCCCGTTTCATGGGGAAATACGTAGTTGGGAATACAAATCATGCTTCTCTATATAGGTCCAAGAATTTAGTTCAACTGCTTTGGTGATGTTTTTAATCTATGTAATCTGCAAATAATAAATATCCAAGAACTCACAATTCCAGTAAGTACAACCAGTCCTTCCCAGACAGGACCTCAATATAACCCCTAATACCACCGACTACCATTCCCAGTGTGCGGCACAGATACCTGATTACCTGTGGTGTTCAGGTAATTACCTGGGTAATTACCTACCTGGGCTCATTCTCAAAATACCTGAGTATCCCGGTATTTTCAGATACTTACCCAGATACATGCCAAGTATTGCCAAGTGTAGCCAAGCCGCACAAATGCTAACGTTGAAATACTCGTCTTCATGCTTGATATGGTGATAATTGCCGTGAAAATGAGTGACTCTCCGTTGTCAGACGTGCCGACGGACCTTGATGGCTATAATCCTCACGATGAGCCAGCCCTACCAGGGCTTTTTACCCCTTTTCAGCAATCAAATCCAATTCCTGTCCGTCTACACCCGCCTAGCCAAATGCTACCGCCAACGCAGTCGCTGCTGTTCACGAAGGAACTATATTCAAGAATACTACTTGAGAGCAACCCGCCAACTATCAAAGTATGCTGTATGCAGCCTAATTGCGGATACTCGCCCGCAGCTCAAACCCATGCTCAAGCTGCTGCTTCAACTGGCAATCTTTGGAAACACTATAGTCTTAAGCATAAAGGAATCTATGATGCTCTTAAACACAAGAATACAGCGCCTTCAAGTCAATCTAGCAGCACATCATCATTTTTTGAGCCTCGGAGACCAGCGACCCATGAATCAAGACCAACAAACAATCCAGCCAAATATAGAGAGTTAGTGCTATCGTTTATAGTATCTAATAACCTGTCTTTACGCATTATCGAAAGCTATTCATATCGTCAATTAGTACGGTTCTTAAGTCCATCTGTGTTATCACTTTCGTCAAGAACATTGCACCGAGAACTACAACGCCAATTCTCATATCACCGAGGCATACTACAGCTTGAACTCCATTCTCATATTATACATGGAGGCCGGATATCCATAACGACAGATGCATGGTCTGCACGGAACTATACAGAGTATGCTGCTGTTACCGCTCATTGGATTAATGATAAATGGCAGCAGAAATCAAAATTGCTTGATGTGATACATCTTCAAGAGCCTATTCATAGCGGTGAATACTTAGCTCAGCAATTAGCAGCTGTAACAGATAGTATAGCTATTACAGGCGCTATCTTTACATGCACCCGAGACAACGCATCATCAAATACTGTGATGCTCTCAGAATATGAGAAATTGGCTAGCAACGCCCAACATCAACTCAACAACCTTGGACATTTACTGTCAAAGAAGGCGATGTCCGGTGTATTGCACATATCATAAATCTCGCAGTTCAAGCCGCTCTTACGAGTTTAAAAGCAGAACCAGATGTAGAGACAGAGACATACCGGTGTGAGCAAGGTGCAGCTCGGATTCCATTTAGTAGAGATAGTCATGTGGAAGTCATGAATGCTCTTGCAAAGCTACGAAGACATATCTATGTCTTTCGTAATCGACGAGCATGGAAGGATGCTTTACAACGACAAGTCAAAGCTATAGGTTTAAAACCACAGCAACTATCACTTGATATGCCAATACGATGGAATTCAACACATCGTATGCTTGATACAGCATTAAAACTCCAAATACCAATCACAGCAGTATGCATAACACAACAGCTTGATATTAGTATGAAAGATATTGCATTAACTACAGGAGATTGGGCTGTTATTAAAGATCTTGAACGACTGTTCTTAATATTTCTCAAACCATCAAGACGGCTCCAAAGTGATACATATCCGTCACTTAACTTTGCTATTCCACTTTATCTTAAAATGATAAATAAAGTTAAGAAGATGCAACAAGAAGTTGGCGAGCACTCAGCAATTGGTATTGCATGCACAGTAGCTTATCAAAAGCTTCACGCGTATTATACTCTTGCAACAAATCAGCAATGTAAGCACTCAGCTGTAGCTACAATTTGCGATCCACGGATGAACCATACAGTGTTTAAAAAGATATATCCAGATAGTACAGATCATGTACGAATCACACGGGCAAGAGCACAGTTTGAAGATGTTTGTAGAACATATAAGACACGGCAATATCATCTTGATACAGAGCGTATTGAACGTGAAACAGCTCTTGCAGATGCATTAGGAAATGCAAATACTAGAGTGCAAGAACCAGATTCTGATGAAGATTTATTTGCATCAGAGGGTATATCATTTGAAGAACCAGAATGGAAACGATGGATGCTTGAACCACGGCCTGGTGAGCATACTGATATTCTCAAATATTGGTCTGCAAAGCAATATCAATATCCAATAATTGCTCAAGTTGCTCGAGACCATCTTGCAATTCCTGCGACATCAGCACCATCAGAACGGGTATTTAGCAATGGTAGCGATATCATTACTAAGAAAAGGAATAGATTGTCGCCATCGACAATTAGATATCTGCTTTGCTTACGGAATTGGGGTTATTTACCAGATGCCGACAGCGACGGTGATGATGCAGATGATGAGGCAGAAGAATAGGAATAGGGGCTGTCTATTTTATTATTATATTTGTCACGAGTTTCACTTTTCTAGTTACATATTCTAGTTACATATCATTATCTATTTCAAATATCAAAAGCGTCATTTTTGTATACGGAATTGAGGCTCAACTACCTGCTAAAGTATCTGTAAATACCTACCTTACCTGAGCAAAGTCGCTCAGCTACCTGGCGAGGACCCAGATACTACCTGGGTAGTATCTGCCGAACACTGACCATTCCCCCTACACCTCCTGCCCCGGGTACGTCACCTCCACAAACTCCACCCCCCCCTCCCCATCCACGACAATAGCCCGATTCTTCTCAATCAACTCCCACTCACACTTCTTATACGTCGTCGGCTCACTCGCCACAATCACATGGCGTCCATGCTCCTGCACCCCCTTATGCGCCCTCGGATTCCTCCCCTCCGCCTTAAGCCCATGCGTCCCCATCTCTCCCTTCGCCTTCCCCCATCTCCCTCCGGCTCCATCCGCCTCATCGGGGTACTTCCGATTCAGCGTCACACCCGCTGATGCACTGTGATACAGACTCGGCGGCTGCTGCGTCGCGTGGTTGCGGAACCGAGATGCTACTAGCTGCCGTCCGTCTGATACACAGACATTCAGGTCGTTCGGCTCCACCTCTTCCCCCAGCGTCCGCTGCAGTTCGATAATCGTACTAATCGTATTCTGCAGCGCCCCCATAATTTCCTTAGGTGTATACGCCGCCTCCCACGCGTCCTGCCCGGCCCCGTGGCCAGCGCCGGAGGTGAGGTACGTCATGCACAGCGCGGCGAGGGCTTCGGAGTCGGTGCGTCCTGTGATATGTGTATGCGCCTCCTCAGACATTAGGCCGGCCATCTGCCGCGCAATGGCGGGGTAGGAGGAGATATACCCGTTGTGCATGATAGTGTGTCTACCGAAGACGAAGGGGTGCGTGTTCACCCCTGCGATGACGCCGGTGGAGGCCGCGCGGATGTGGGCCATGACGCAGGTGCTTGCTGTGGCGGCGCAGATGGTTTGGAAGCTTGTGGTGTGCAGGGCTGGGTGGGTGATTTTGTAGATTGCCGGGTGCAAGATGGGGCCGGAGGTGCTGCTGGGGCCGGGGGGGGAGGGGGTGAATTGCGATTTAGTGGGGGTGTACCAGGACATGCCGAAGCCGTCGACGTTGAGGAGAGCGTTGCGCTGGGTTACTTCGGCTTGGGTGGTGGTGCCGGCGTGGACTTTGGGGTCGTGGGAGAGGAGGAAGGGGAGGTAGTGGTGGTTGACTTGTTTGGAGATTGCGTGGGCTGGTGCTGGAGGGGTGTTAGTGGTTGCGGAAGATAGTATGGGGGAGGGGCATCATGCATATTAGGACATCTTCGAGGAGACACTCCTCAGATGGAGAGATGTATGCGAACCAGCGGCACATTGTGAAGGTTTGAGGAAGTAAACTATGGGCTTCGATTAAGAGTTGTTGGATCAATTGAGAGTTGCTTTTGTGAAATATGAGAGTAAGAATGCAAGATGATAACTTCGCTTTTAGAGATGATAGAATTGAAAGAGACAGATCCGTGAGGGGATGATTAGTGGGCAAGCTGACGACTTATAAAGATTCAATCGATTCCTGGAAGTGTGCCGACCAGGTTTAAGCAGCTGTAAGTTCTCATGCGGGGTCAGTGGTTAATGACGACACACCCCCAAACTTGACAAGCTTTTGTCAAAAAGCTTGGTACGATCTAGAGAATCTCCGCTGCTTTGGGGTCACATAATTTATTGCCCCTGATAAACCATAAAGGATGCTACTTGTAACTAAACCGTTGGATTTATTGTGTTTCAATCGATGTGATATATTGTAGTCAGATGTTTTTCTGCGCATATGTAAAGTACTGTACAATCCAAATTTCAATGGGCTCTATCTGATGAACTTGTCCACCACTCAGAATTGCATCAAATGGCCTCCGCTGGTTCGTAGACTGTTGCAATGCTTCTAAAATGATTGCGTCCCGTTGAGTTGTCTACAATGTATAAATGCTCCCAAGCGCCCCAAAACCCCTATGCATTATCCGCTTCCATAAAGCATGACATACAAGAGAACCGATGAGTCTTCCTGGTGTCCTTGCTCATCCATGCCTCCAGCGTCTCTCGCTGCCTCTACACTCCTGAACGGCCCTCAAATACCATCATCAAAACTACCTCTCCGACCCCAGTTCTTTGGCTGTCTCTTCAGGAACGCGCCAACAGATCCCAGGTAGCCCTCGTGTCGCAGGAAATACGCCTTCTTCTGGCCCTGACTCCAAAACTTGATGGCGTAGCTCAGTGTGTTCATAGTTTGCCTGTGGCCTCTGATGAAACTTCCTCCAAAATATATGTGTTCAAGCTTGTGTTTCTCCGATTGCAGGTAGGCGATCTGGCCAATGTTGTTGGAAATCGCGTACAGCAATGATCGTGACACATCGGCCCCGTCAAAGGGCGCGTCCTTCGGTTCATCCGGCGGCGCTGGTGGTGATGGAGCTTCTATTATGGGAGAAATATCGCGGTCAACGCCGTCGTGAAAGCCACCGGTGTCTTCTGCCTCCATCTCCGCCTCTCTCTTCATGCGGAACACTTTACCAAAGCTGCTCGCAATCGTCGTTGACTTCAGCCCTATCTTGCCGTAGTCTGCGCCATAAATGTCACCGACTAACATGTCAACTTTCGTGTTGTCCCCACGCTCGGCCATTCCAAGCATGTCGTCGAACGTTCTTGCACCGGTGAGTAACGATAAGAGACCCCATAGAGTTCCCCCACCCAGCGACGTACCGCCGACTCGCTGGAACTCCTTCGGACCCGAAACCTTGATCATAGACACACCCGAACCAATATTAACAAGCAGATATGGGTATATGTCGGCTCGTGCTTCGGCGAATTGCATTGGGTCGGTTTCGCTATAAGTGAAGACCTCGCGAGGGATTTCGGTGATGAAGAAATCGAGACCTGTAATTATCGCATTAGAAGTATGTCATAGATTCGGAAAGGAGAGTACTAACCGATAATCAGGCATTCCATCTCATCCTCTCGCACAATATCAACCCCCAGCGCCTCCTTTATCTTGTCGTAGAACTTGAATGCGCCCCCACCCGTCGCCATTAAGCATAGTTCGCCTGGCTTCGAGCCATTCAGTGCTTGCTGCTTGAGTTTGAGCTGTTTCATGAACTTTATACAGTCATCAATCCTGTCGGTTTCGAAGCTCATGAAGTTCAGCCGTCCGCCGGGCTTCGCTGGTGGCGGTTCGCGTGAGAAGTATACGAGTTTCGCTAGAGATCCTCCAATCTGCCACACAGTCAGAACTCGGTCTTGATACACACTCTGGGGGATATCTTACATCTACAGCAATATGGCTCACAACAGCTGTGTGGTTTGGCAGCCTAATATCGGTCGTCTCATGATTCGCCCCATCGACACCGGACCGATTCGGCGATGTCGAGTCCCTGTCGACAATAAAGGCGCCCTCGACATTGATCTTCACTGAGCCCGGATGGCTGATGGTATTATCTATCTCGGCCGTGTTCGTGCGTGTCCGCCGGTGCTCGTGGTGTTCGTATTCTCCTCCATTGCCAAGGGTCTTGAGCACTGCGGGGGATGCGGGATGGGACGGAATCGGCGACATTGCAGGGCCGTGGCGAGGGAGCTGCCTGTCCTATCCGGCCTTGGATGGTTCAAGCTCGAGTCTATTCAGGATGGTATATATAGATGTTGCCGGGTCGCATATCTCATTCTCTGGATGATCTGGAGACCTCGGAGAATAGTCACGGTGACTCGGCGTCGTCCCTTTTCTTTGCCGAAACCCTCGTTATCGATAGGGTCTTATCAGAGGGTTCCGTTCGTTCCCATCTACCCGAGGGAGTTGATAATTGTCTACGTACGGAAGCAGTACGGATTACTGATACTCAGGGCAATGGATAATCATGGTCTTTAGGAAGAGAAAAGGCGTAATATATATATATACACACCTTATGTTTATATGTTGCTGCGTCTTAAATTTGCTGGTATATATGGTAGATATACCTGGCTTGGTGCACGTGCTTGTCGCACGTGCATTCTTGTGGATCAAGTGCCTGAGATGAGATGCTTAATTGCTGGCCATACCTTGAATAGCGTCTACGAGAAGAGAATCATGAGAGATCTCCGTGAGTTTATATTGTAAAAATGGTCAGAAAATCCAAGTAAATACCCTGAAGGGTTTCTCATTTGATTTGATTTTTAACATGTTTTTTAAACAAGTAATTGTGCCGAGATTCATACTCTAGTTGATCCCTTATTCACGATTTCGCCGCTTAATCTTATCGCCCCCTTTTTGGTGCTACGCCGCCTGGCGCTTGGCTTGGCTCCTACGCCAAATATTTAGCCTTTGCGGCCAGGCTTCTTTCCCCGTACCAACAGCCACATCTGTCTGTCAACTGGCCCAGCCTCACTCCCCACGAATACCCCAGGACTCAATGCGAACAGCTAGGGGATAAGCTACGCTGTTAATAATCGCCACGAGTTGGCCATCACGAACACCACCCCTCGGTGACGGTTCTCTCAGAGAGCCTCGTTGTTCGAATGAACCCAATATGGCACAGTAAGAGGGTGCAGCGCAGCGCCTTCTTCATTTTCATTTTCGTGTACGTCCACGACATTCTCCTGATGCCGCGATTTCGCAATTCTTTGGCTAACAAGTACATTCAGAGCTGCGATTGCGCTTTTCGCCTACGGCGGCGACAACTTACCCTCGGCGTCGGGGGTGTTCCGATCTGGTTCTCTCAGTAAAGGCGAAAAAGAACAAAAAGCAAAGGAGCCATTGGGGCCAAATGTAGAGCCTCTATACACCGGGTCCGAATACGACACCGAGCATATGCCCAAGATCCCCGAGACATCACACACCGGCCAAGCAGCAGCAACACCGGCACTCGACCCCAGTCGCATTGCGTTGATCATCGAGACGCGTCCCACCAACGTGCTCCCCGCGCTCCTCTCCCACTTCGTCGCAACCCTCCCCCCCGCCTGGGTCGTCAAGCTGGTTGGGTCCCAAGAAGCCTTCGCAGTGGTGCACAAGTCGCACTCGCTGAAGCAACACATCGCATCGAAGAAGCTCCAGCTTCAAGAACTACCTTCATACTACCCCGTAGACTCGTCTGAGAGCATCTCTCAGACACTCACAAATGTCACATTCTACTCCGAATTCCTCGCCCCGGCGGAATGGGCCCTCTTCTTCCAGACCGACTCCATTATCTGCTCCGCCTCCGAACAGAACATAGATGACTGGGTGGCAAAGGGCTACGACTGGACCGGCGCGCCGTGGAACGGAGATGTCCCCGGCGGCAACGGCGGGCTCTCCCTCCGCCACATCCCCCCCATCATTGAAGTCCTCAAGAAAGAGTCCCGCGAACCAGGACATCGCCAATGGGAGGATACCTGGGTGTGCGAGCGCCTGAAGAACGCCGCTCCAGCCCAGGAGGAGATCTACTTCAGCGTCGAGTCCCTTTACGTTGAGAGGCCGCTGGGATACCACATCCGTGGCTCGGGTAAGCTCCAGGATCCTGTGGTCTGGGGCAATGCGACTCGCAGGCGCCAGATCTTCGATTACTGCCCCGAAACGAAGATCCTCCTCGGCAACATGGGAATGGAGCCTATGGACGACGCGGATTATCGCAAGAAGGAACAAGAAGCCGATGCGGAGAAAGCCAGAAAGGATACAGAGACTGCCAAAAAGGAAACGGAGAAGCCAAAGACCGAGGAGAAGACAAAGACCGAGGAGAAGACAAAGACCGAGGAGAAGCCCAACGCCGAGGAGAAGCCCAAGGCAGACGACGCAGCAGCTGCGTCGATGAAGGACAAGAAGATCGAAACGGACGATAAGAAGCCGGCGGCAGAGGGAGAGAAGAAGTCCTCGTGAGTGACTGCACTGCCTGATGCGTCTCTTTCTGGCAGAACCTAACGGTGGGATAGTAGCACAACCGCAGCGGCTGCGAGCACGTCCTCGGGCGAGAAGAAAGAGGCGACTAGTCAGACCTCAGCGGCGAACCCTGCGAAGACGAGTGGCTCGACTGATTACACCGACTCGTAGATGACACTGGTTGGTGTTGTGTATGAGTGTATTTGGTGGGGAACCAGGGGCTGGGGGTCTGTGTTAGTATAGTGAGAAGTATGTGTATATCAGAGGGATGTTTGGGACGATTATCTCTATAGTCTTGATAGCGAATTAGCATGATTACAACGCCTAAGGCTCTGAGACTCAGCGCAGTGTATTAAATAGTATTAGCGATACGGGTTGTATACGAGCCGTATACGAGTCCGTATATACGGCAATATTGAGTCAGTGCGTATTGCTGATTCTGATACGGATCCAGTATGTATTCAGTACTCAATACGAGCTGTATACGGCCAGTATTGAGGCTTAAAATGTGAAACAAGGGGTTTGAATAACCTCAATCAATGATTAATTAGATGCCATATACTACTACAATGACTTCACAACCATCTGATGCGCTGTCACGGCATAACAGTGAGCGATTTGACAGTGAGCGATTTGAGACCCCAAGTTCGCCTGTACTCAAACGTACACCATCCTCTCCCTCACTCCCCCTGGCCCGTTCTACTTGGCGGCTTTGCCACAATCGTCAACTATGCCTCTTAATGCTAACTACCTTCTTAAACGGTCATTCTACAATACTCGCATCTAGAATGCCCACAAGTACAATCCATACTACGCATGGTCATGTCAGACTCAAGTCTTATACTCAGCGGTAAATTCATAGGAATATAAATATCTTGTGCACATATTAATGTTATCGCCATGCTCCATCTGGTCAACTCCTACACCCAAATCGTACATTCAGCAGTACATCCTAGGAAATAGATACTAGAAAAAGCATTGTTTCCTACACTACGACTGACGTCCAACTAGACTATAAAAGTAATATACCGTAGCTTGTTTTTTGCAGATATCTGCAAGGGCTGATCACTTGGCAGGCGGCTATCCTGCACGTCACTGTACAGGGATGAGGGGAGCAGGGGACTAGCGTGATGCCAGGTCGCTTACGGCGGCTCACGCATGGCATTTCGGGGGTTTCCCATGCACTCCCGTACACCCTGTAACCAGCCAAAGAAGCTCCCAACAAAGAGAGAAAACACACTGCACCATCCTGGGGCGTAGAATAATCCGTGATGCTATGCTTCCTATACCCACGTGGTTCATTAAGAAACGTGACCTCCTAGCGTGCTATAGGAAAAGGGTCACGTGCTATAAAGAAAGGACTAGCGTGCTATAGTAAATTGTTAGCGTCATCGCGGCAATGCTATGGCGCTAAACCTAATTCCCTAAATTTAAGTTGTAGGAACTATAGAAATCAGGACTTAGGACTAGCGCCTAGGAGCATACGGCGCTAACGTCGCCTATAAGGCGCACACAGTTCGCCCCTTCATAGAAAATTATTTTGACCTTTTGTTGAATCATCCTTTGTGCTTTGTGGCTTTCTCCAGTTGAATGCAATCACGACCTGAACCATCTTTGCTTCGATAAGGTATGTGACAATCTTAGCGTACTTTCTGTAGATTAAGCGCCCCAATCCCACTGCGTTCTGGTGTCGCTGACCTGTGGTAGTGCACATCGGATAAATCATTTTCCGCCCCGAACCATGTCTAGCTTCGATTCAGACTCTAGCGCCCCCGACCCCCCCGACACCTTCAATCCCCCACCTTCCTTCGCCGATTTCAAGTTCAAGTCTAAGTTGGGTTTCCACTACACCGAAGAAAGCTTCCAGCGCCAACTCGCCATCAAAGATACCAAAGCCGAGAAGTACCAACAGAAAGAAGCTTTTCCGCGCCCCGACGGAGTCGACCACGACGATTGGAAAAAGTGTTTCAACGCTGCCGACAGCTGGGTGTACAAGGACGTTCTCGGCGACGCTCACGAGTCGGCATCAACCCGTAAAACAACCCATGCTACTCGGAGGAAAGCCGAGCAGAAGCTGAGGGATAAGCTATTTGCTCGTGGTCAAACTGTACCTGGCCCCGACCCACCTCAGGGTCACCCCCCACCTCCACCACCTCCACCACCTGGTAATCCGTCAAGCGCAAACAAGTCGAACAAGAAACGCAAGCGCAAACAACAACATTCGCCTCCTTCTTCTGGCGGAACCAATTCGAACCAGACCTCCAGAAAACAACCTCGCTCTCTTCTTCGTCGCCGAAACAATCGCTGGGACAACAATCGTCAGAACAACAATCGACGGGTCATTCTTCGGAACATTGCCCGACCCAACAGATTTAAAGGCAGTTATTCTGACCCTTCTGACGAAGATTCCGACAACGCCCACAAACAATCATCGACGTCGTCCTCCAAGGTCAAGTCAAGGACCCTTCCACAGCAACCTTTGTTCAATCCAGGTGCACACAATCAAGCCTATACTTCGGACCCATCGAACCGTGGCGTCGTCTTTAACAATCTATACTCTGGTCACAGGGATAGTTCAAACTACACATCATACCCTGCGCACCTAGGCACCGTCCATAACAAGCACCCCGCTGCCCCCAAGAACAAGTCAAGCAGCGCCCCAGGACCATCATCGTCCACGGACAATTCAAACACCGGTGCACACCAACCACCTTCTTCTCCCGGCGGAAACAATCCAGCCCAAGGATTTCAAGCACCCAGAGGTAGTGTCTTTTATCAAGGCGGTTATTCTTCTCCTCCCCATTACAATTCCCAGATCGGTGCATCCCAGATCGGTGCACAGCAACCACCTCCTCCCAGCAGAACCAATCCAGCCCAAGGATTTCAAGCACCCAGAGGTAGTGTCTTTTATCAAGGCGGTTATTCTTCTCCTCCCCATTACAATTCCCAGATCGGTGCATCCCAGATCGGTGCACAGCAACCACCTCCTCCCAGCAGAACCAATCCAACCCAAGGATTTCAAGCACCGGGAGCCAGCATCTTAGGCAGTTATTCGTCTGATCTCCAGATCGATCCCGAGCTCCTTTTCCAGCAACCGCGTTCTCCGCCCACCAGAACCAATCCAAGCCAAGGATTTCAAGAGCCGAGAGCCAACATCTTAGGCAGTTATTCTTCTGTCCCACAGAACAATTCCAACGACGCCCACGAGCAGTCATCGTTCAAGGACAACAACTCCAAGATTGATACAGAGAAACCTTCCTCGTTCAAGAACGACCCAAAGAACGCCCACGGCCAATCATCGTCCAAGGCCAAGTCCAAGACCAGTGAACAGCAATCTTCTTCCACCAAGGACAACTCTAATAACGCTCACGAACCATCATCGTCCAAGCGCAATCCTACAACCGGAACACATCAAACTTCTTCAAAGAGCGATCCAAAGATCGCCAACAAACAACCTTCGTTCAAGGTCAAGTCCAAGTTCGGCTCACAGCAGTCTTCGCCCAAGAAAAATTCAAAGAACGCTCGCAAACAATCTTCGTCCAAGGACAACTCCAAGTCCGTTGCACAGCAACCTTCATCACTCGGTTCCGAGATCGCCGATCAACCTCCTTCAAAAAAAGCAAAAACCATGTCATCCCAAGCCAAAAAGCAGAAGGGCAAGGCTGATTACTGCGTGTGCAAGCAGGTCCGACATGGCACAAAGATGATTGCATGCGAAGGCGGATGTGAGAATTGGTTCCACGTCTCATGTGTCACGCTGGAGTGCGCTGACACAGACGGCGTGGCCAAGTTCATCTGCGATGACTGCCCGGGTGCGACGACCTACAAGCGCGTCTGCCGCCTGGAGGGGTGCAACCGTCCCCACACAACTCGTGAGACTGTGGGGGACGATGAGGTCCCAAAGACGCTCGCCTCCAAGTATTGCAGCTTGGAGCACCGCAACGAGTTCTGGGCGAGAACCGTTGGCGGAATCGACCGTCTTCTGGCTTCCCAGTTGCGCTCCTTCATGGGGCAGACGCCGCTTGGCGCCTTCAAGACGGCTGGCGACCAGCCAACTCGCGCGGGTCTCGGGGCTCACCATGGTGGCGGTGAGCTTCGCGATGGTTTTGTGGCAACTGGTCCCCCCCACAATGAGGAGGGGATGTTCTCGTTGGATACCAATCTTCGAGACAGATGCCACAAAAACATCGCGAGGCTCACAGCCTCCATGGTGCACTACGAGAACCGCCAAAAGCTGGTTGCCATGCTCGCCAAGTACTCCGACGAGACGGCGAAGAAGTACGCGGAGGAGAACCAGATCGTTGAGAGCGCCCCGAAGCGCGCCAAGGGCAAATCGGGCAAGGGCGCTGCTCGGACGATCTGCGGGTTCGATCCGCGTCTGTCCGTCTCCGACGGATGGATCGACGAGTTCATGGCAACCCCCGAGGGAGACGCGGCATGGAAGTCGGGTGTGATTGGAGAGCACACCAACCCCGACTTTCATGTCGACGTCGACCCAGGGTTCTACAAGGGGATTTGCGTGGGGACTGGCTGCCACTCCGGGTGGCTATCGATCGCCGAGGACGAGCCGAGGTACAACCTCATCTGGTTGGCCGAAGACCTGGAGAAGGAGAACGACGAGCTCGCCGAGATGGTTGAGCGCGTCCAACTGCGCCTCGCCATCGAGCGCGAGCGCAATCAATACGCCCAGGACAGAGCTGCCGAGATGACGGAGGAGAATGCTGCGGAGTTCTTGCGCAGCTGGAAAACTCTGAAGGGAGACAAGAACATCATCTTGAAGAAACTCCTGAAGAAGTTTCATAGTGAGTACGCCACAGCCTGATCCAGGACACTTTTTTCTCTCGACTTGTTCACGGCACGCATTCTCACTCGGCCGGTGGCACTCTTGGCTTCTTCAAAGTGCGCGCGGTATATTCCTCATTTTATCGATGTCTCTCTCGAATATTTCACGGCACGCTTTCTCATTCGGCGATGACTCTCTCGACTTATCCACAGCACGCATTCTCATTTGGTCTTTGGCGGTCTTGACTTCTTCACGGCGCTGTCAACTTCTCCAAGCACATGCGATGGTTTCTGCATTCGGTTGATACCCTGGTTTCTTCACAGCAAGCGCACTCTTGATTTATGGCACGTGCAATGGTGTCTGCATTCCATCGGCGGCACTCTCGATTCATTCATGGCATATGCGATCGCTCTCGACTTTCTTCACAGCACGCGCGGTGGTTTCTGCATCATCGGCGGCACTCTCGGTTTATTCACGGCACATGCGATCGCTCTGGACTTCTTCACAGCATGGCCGTTGTATTATACATTTGAGCAGTGGTGCTCTCATCTTCTTCACAGCACCTGCGATGGGTTCCACATTTGATGCTTTCGACTTCTTCGAGGCACATGCGACCTCTCTCGACTTCATCACAGCACGTGCGTTGTATTATACATTTGATCAGTGGTGCTCTCGACTTCTTCACGGCGCATGGGGTGGATTCTACATTCGGTCGGTGGCGCTCTCGGTTTCTGCGCGGCGCAACGGCAATTATATACCCATGGGTCAGGCAGTCAATTCAATAATTATCATACTCTCCTTCCCTTGATGATTGTGATTTCAATGTGCAATAATCTCAGTAAACGTAGTAATATGCCCTGACTTGAATAGCCTGATGCTTACATGAACGCCACGCAGTGGGCGCAACGAAGCAGTGAATTTAGTGATTATGATCATACTATCCTCTCCCCTCAATGATTGTGCTTCAATGTTCCACAATGAAAGTTTATAGTTCTTTCTATAAAGAACAATATCTGGATGTATGTATATTTTGGTGACGACAATCAGGGGGTTGACATATATCTTGGCACGCTTTCGGAGAAACCCATATTCCGGATCCTCGAGAATATATAAATTATTGGATCAAGCAGCTATCAATCACCAGACCAGTATTGCAACTTGCGAAACCGCCTTTATGATAATACGGACGAAACCGAGCTCAGAGGTTTGCTTACGATGCCAGCTGTATCTTTTCGGGCAGCTTCGCGCCAAGCGCCCTCGAGCCTCAACTCCTGGACCATTTGGAGGGTTTCGAGGCCGTAACCTTCATGCGACTTCACGAATAGCGCAGGCGCATGAGGATTCGCAAAAGAAAGAAGCAGAAGAATACAATGCTGAATCTGAGAGCAAGTCAGCCAACCATGGCTCGGCGACCAGAACCTCTTCATCTGTGCCAGACGGTGAACCCGAATTCGTCTACCGATTTGATCCCGAGAAACGACTCCTCGCATTTCCCCTGGACCGAATGTACGGTCTCAATGCAACCCAGCTGAGAGAAAACACGAAAATGCTGGGGGTTGACTCTCTGGGGAAGCCCGCGGAAGTTATTGTGCTTCTAGATTCCGGGACTCTGCGGTATGTCGCGCCGTTACCATTCCAGACGACGATTGAGGCGCCGGTGGTGGACATACTGGCAGAATTCAACAGTGAGAGGGGACTGATTGGACGGGACGAAGTCAACGACAATATCGAAACTCTTAGACCACAGGAAAAGGTTTTGCCGTGGACGGATATTCGGGTTATCGAAGACCAATTGAGCGATGGCTTTACAATGGCGCAGTTATTATATTACATCGAGTCAACTGAGAGGCAGAGGATGGCTGCACTGGCCGAAAGTGCTGCCTCAGCTGGAAAGACCGTGGAGGAGAAGGCAGAGACTCTCCAGCCGGTCGGTCAAGCGGTGGAGATAAAGGCTCAGAACATCATACTCAGACAATCACCATGGATGCCTGGGACGTCCGACCAAGGGGACCACTTTGATGAAAGCTCTTTACGTGGCTATATATCCGAGGCATTCACGCCAAAGCAGCGCGTCGCCTTGAATATTATACGACTGTGTTGGGGCGTAGAATCACAAGAGTTGGTGTCCTCAGTTGGCGAAATGGAGCTGCAGGTTAATAGCGCGGATCTCGATCTTCTACTATCTCCAAGTAAGTAGGACTTGTCAAACCTTTGTCTATCATTGCTAATACTTTGCAGAGGGACGGTCTGATCCTCCGCTTCAAACAATCAGCGACGAACTCATCCGAGCCGACGAAGAAAAGATCGAAATATTTCGCTCGAGGCGTGCAATCCGCGTCACCGCTACAAAGGCCAAGGCCAAGATTATATCCGAGGGTATCAGGTCAACTTTGGAAGGAATGCATAGGATTGAAGTTCCGTTAACTGGTCTCAAGAAACCTGGGCGGAAGGTAAAGGAAATAGAGGAAGCCGATGAGTTTGGCGAGCCTGTCTTGGCCGAGCTCGCGAGGCTCACAAATACAGAAGTTATGAGAGCTTCGAAAGACAAGGTAAGTCCTTGCAAACTCCTGCTTGAGTTTGATATCTAACAAGATACAGCTTGGGGTCCATGGTTTAGGCCGCAAACAAGGCTCCAGTTTGTCTACAAGTGCTGATGCTGCAAGACGTTTATTACTATCCTCGTCAGATGTGGCAGACCGCACCGTCTACAGACATGGATTCAAAGAAACAGACAGCCTAGTATATGCCATCGATTACGAATACCACCACACCATGTCTTGGCGCAATAGACTTCGACGTTGGTCAAGATGGCAAACTCCCATTAAAAAAGCCGATTCAGAAGAGACACTTGGCATTGAGGAGGGTGATAAGAAAGCGTTGGACCTTCCTTCAGAGGCAGAGGAGCAAGGTTTGGCAAGCCAGGCTGAGCATAACGCTCTTGGGAATTCATTCATGTTTCCTCACTACAAAGCGAATAAGCTCGACGAAAAAAAGGCGAGGCAATATGAGTTGCAGGAATCCAATCTCTGGAGCACAACCCCAATTACGTCGACATCGGCAACTGTTGGCAATGTTCTTCACCAAGCCATTCCAGGCTCTGGGCCCGTCGATGTATCTAAGCCAGTGCACTTTGATGGAAAGGAGATTATGAACAGCCGCACTCTATTCGTTCCTTCAACAAAGAATTTGTCACGCTTGGTTAGTGGGATGCGCAATGACAGATACACGCGGACCTCCTCAGTCCTTACCATGAAGTTCCTCCCGTCGCCCTGGTCGAGTGAGAATATGAAGCAGCTGAGCAAGTTCCCAACTCTCGAGATGATGTTCAGCATCACAAGCACGGCGGAGAACAGGTTCAAACTGGCCAATATGGTGGCCATTACAGAGGATATCTGTAGTGACGTTATGCTCCCCGACAAGGCACTTGATATCCGTTTCAGGCAGAAAACGTCATTCCCATTCATTGCCGCGAATCTAGAGGCACACCCACAGATTGCTGAGTTCCTCGAAGCGTCGCAGCTGGGGCAACGTTCCAATGTCATGACGCCTCCTGAGCTCGTCGTGCCAATCCCCGATTTCATGTCCAGTCTGAAGGGTGACAAGGGGGCAGCCAGTAGTGCATCGACTGCGGTTCGGTATATGTTCGCGGGCCTTACGTACCGAACTCAAATCAGCTATGATTTCCGAGACTGGCGCCTCCGATATTCAAGCGTCAACAGCGGGAAAGCAGACGGGCGCTTCGGCGAACTCACTCTACTTCCGAAGCACAAGAACTCGAGTGAAGTGGTAACTGGCACGAATGAGCTTGCCTTAAACCAAGAACTCACTGTGGATTATATCAAGTCCGCATATGCTCTCGTCGACGCCCTTGAGGGTCTTGATAAACCGGTGGCGCGGAGGACGGAGCCGAACGAGTTGAAGCCTCCGCGGAGTCCAGATTCACTGGTCGGGTACGAGTATATACCATCGGTGCACTACACTGGACCAAATCGTACAAGCACGCCGCAGCAATTCAAATATTTCGATAGGGACATCAGCGTCGAAGACGAGAACGACGATACCGCTTGGTGAGCAAGTGTTTATGGAGCCGGCGACTGGCGACTGCGTAATTATATAGAATGGAGACGGTTTGGGTTCAGGGGCCTTTCAGAGACGTCCAGGTGGAGCAAGGGAGCTAAACGATGAGCGGGAAGATAACGGGGATATGGGGATGCGGGTTTGGCCATGGGCTCTGTACTGTAACTTATGTAGTATTGTCTGGGCGCTTGGCATGCGTGGCGTTGGATTCTGCAAGCGTGGTGATTAGATGTAAGATATGTAACCGCCGTTGTACGTACAAGCTATGCATAATGTCTGAAGCCGAGTAAACGATAAATGGATGAAGTGACGGGTTATTTTTTTTGTTACGGGCCGATCCTCGTCATACGCTGTGATATCTGAGGGCAGGCAGGGCTGAAGGCTGAATGGACAGGTTCAGGCTTGCATCTGAGGCTCTAGAATTTGCATTACTAGCTTTGAAGAGGGGTCTGCCTATACGGGCAAGCCGGCGTGTGTTGAAAAGTGAAGCTCCACTCAACGCTCCGCGCACACAACAAGTGACATAACATTATACGCCGGTCCCAGATAAATTCTGTTGCCCTAGAGACAGAGACCACATCTTCAAAAGGCTCACTGGAGATTCATGATTCATGGTCACCAAATGCCTCGTTCTCAACTGCCAGAAAAATAGGGTCTGGTCATGGGCAAGTTTGGTCTGCAAAAAAAAAAAAAAGGTTGCGCGTGGGGGAGAAAAGCTAGACAAACCATCCAAAAAATCTGCATCGGGCTGGCGATGGGCACAGCACTATACAGCAAAAATAGAAACAGCGTCCATATATCTTGATTTATTATGTGTACTGTTTATTGTTTACTGTGCTTGTTTCCTTCTTCTGCCTTGTCGTCAGCCCTTTCTGTAGCAACGTCTGTCTAGATCCCTATACAGATTTTTTTAGTCGTCAATTGTTTTACCATCAATAAATACAATATCACGTGCGGTGGCCTGACCTCATTGCCCGATAAGACTCATCTGCGCCCGAAATCAACAGGAAAAGGCTTAGCCTATACTGTAACCGCCACCTTAACTCCTTATAAAAACTTGTTCATTGGCTCGGCTAGATTCAACTAGCGATTGCGCTACTTATTTCCGGCTTAGCGTAGTCACAAAGCCTGAGAGGATTGCCCCACCAACTTCTTCCCCTCTTCAAAAACCTCCTCGCTCTTCTTTTTCTTCTTCGTTCTGATTTTTTTCGAATCGTCTGCCATACCCGAATCAAGCATTCAACCTGGCAGTAAGTTATATCCTTCTCCATCTTTCATCTTCATCTATAACAATCAAGAGAAGAACAACAAGCTGACTTTAATCCTCCTCTTCAGATTCATTGAATTAAAACAACACTTCATTTCCAGCTCACACAACCGCAACCATGGGGTACGTTAGATACTTCACCGAACGTTTTGGACAAAGATCGATCAAAAGCTTCATGGAGAACAATATACTGACTGCTGTCTGCTCTATAGTAAGGAGAAGCTTCACATCAACGTCGTCGTTATCGGCCACGTCGATTCCGGAAAGTCCACCACCACCGGTAAGCATACATCGTACAATCCTCACCGGTCGTGTATATACTAACATACAACGCAGGTCACTTGATCTACAAGTGCGGTGGAATTGACAAGCGTACCATCGAGAAGTTCGAGAAGGTAAGCTTCATTTTTTCTTGATTGTATCGATTTTGGCGTCGGCGACTGTTGTTACCCCTCGGTGGGGTAAACCCTCGCACAATCACACATTCGTGTTTCAAAATATTGCGCCCGAGCGTCCACGCACCACCCCACCACCTCGCTACGACAACAACAACAAAACAAATTAACGGTCGCAGTAAAAAACGCCTTTGATTGTCGCAAATTATTTTTATTTATCGGTTCAATGTCTAATAACAATTATAACAGGAAGCCGCCGAGTTGGGCAAGGGTTCTTTCAAGTACGCATGGGTTCTTGACAAGCTAAAGGCCGAGCGTGAGCGTGGTATCACCATCGATATCGCTCTCTGGAAGTTCGAGACCCCCAAGTACTACGTCACCGTCATTGGTAAGTTTATCAAAGCTGCATTTTGCTTTTCCGCCGACTAACAATTATTCCAGACGCCCCTGGTCACCGTGATTTCATCAAGAACATGATTACTGGTACTTCCCAGGCTGATTGCGCCATTCTCATCATTGCCGCCGGTACTGGTGAGTTCGAGGCTGGTATCTCCAAGGATGGCCAGACCCGTGAGCACGCTCTGCTCGCCTACACCCTTGGTGTTAGGCAGATCATCGTTGCCATCAACAAGATGGACACCACCAAGTGGTCCGAGGCACGTTTCAATGAGATCATCAAGGAGACCACCAACTTCATCAAGAAGGTCGGATACAACCCCAAGTCCATTGCCTTCGTCCCTATCTCAGGTTTCAACGGTGACAACATGATTGATGTCTCCGCGAACTGCCCATGGTACAAGGGTTGGGAGAAGGAGACCAAGGAGGGAAAGAAGTCCGGAAAGACTCTTCTTGAGGCCATTGACGGCATCGACCCCCCGTCCCGCCCAACTGACAAGCCCCTCCGCCTTCCTCTCCAGGATGTCTACAAGATTGGCGGTATTGGCACGGTGCCAGTCGGCCGTGTCGAGACTGGTATCATCAAGTCCGGTATGTTCTAAGTCACGTGGTTATTGTTTACTTCTTACTAATTCCAAACCAGGCATGGTCGTCACCTTCGCCCCCGCTGGTGTCACCACCGAAGTCAAGTCCGTCGAGATGCACCACGAGCAGCTTGTTGAGGGTGTCCCCGGTGACAACGTTGGCTTCAACGTCAAGAACGTTTCCGTCAAGGAGATCCGTCGTGGTAACGTTGCTGGTGACTCCAAGAACGACCCCCCGAAGGCCGCCGAGTCCTTCAACGCCCAGGTCATTGTCCTGAACCACCCTGGTCAGATCGGTGCCGGTTACGCCCCAGTCTTGGATTGCCACACCGCCCACATTGCCTGCAAGTTCTCTGAGCTCCTCGAGAAGATTGATCGCCGTACCGGAAAGTCCATGGAGGACTCCCCCAAGTTCGTCAAGTCTGGTGATGCCGCTATCGTCAAGATGATTCCTTCCAAGCCCATGTGCGTGGAGGCCTTCACCGACTACCCTCCTCTTGGACGTTTTGCCGTCCGTGACATGCGTCAGACCGTTGCCGTCGGTGTCATCAAGTCCGTCGTTGTAAGTTTACCTCCTTGACCCCATCTACTTGAACAGATCTCTAACAAAGCTTCTCTTTAATAGAAGTCAGACAAGGCGGGCAAGGTTACCAAGGCCGCTGTCAAGGCTACTGCCAAGAAATAAATTCTCATTTGACTGGAAAACGGAAATTATGATGAATGAGATGGGTTGCGTTAGCTGGTGGAATAGCATCGAGTTGTTTCTTTTTAGCTTAGATACAATGACTTGCTTTTCGTAACTTATGTCTTCAACTGTGATTACTGCCGTTTAATATATGACTGTAATATGTTTTGCCTTTAAATATGTGAATGCCGTCGTCGAATGAAAACTGTCTGGGTAACATCCATTCTCTAAGCCCAAGTGCACGATGCAGTATTACAGAGTGCAGCGAGCTCATACTTCGACCAAGGTCACCGTGCTCGTTCCTCGCCGTGGTAGACTCCTACAATGCATTGCTATCATTAGGAAATGCATTGAAGTTTGCTTCTGCTATTTCAATTATTCATGCAAGTATCAACTGTGGTATAAACCGCTTCTTTCCCATCCATTCTCAATTTATTCTCACGTCAGCCCATGACATCCGCTTCAACGAGACCACTCGGAATGGATTTGTGCACTCCGGGCTGACACTCCAGAAGCTGTGGAAAACCCCGCTGAATGATAGACATCCGCCGTCAGTTGGGGCCGTTACAGCAACTGAGAAACGACAGCATGTGAGTAACGACAGCAAGAGAGCAACGACACAAGAGAGTAACGACAGCAAAAATAGCGACGAGGTCAGTCGAAGCAGAATGCAGAGTTCCAGCAAATCTGTGTCTCCATCACAGCCCAAGACGACGGAATTCGGAGCAGCGAGAAGGATCTGCCATCTCGAGGTCGAGATGGGTTAACTAGAAGAGAATGGTACATTCATGTTTCTTTTCGAGCGGCGTTGATATGCTCATGCCGCATCTTTCGGCCCTGGAGGCCATATCTCCCCGTGGCTGAGCCAACATACACGTGAAAATCATTCACTTGATTGCGCCCCCAGACAGCGCGCCCGTAGACTTCGAAGTGCGAGGTTGTTATCCAGGGTAAGAGCTTGAGATCTTCCATCGAAGGCGGGTCTTCGCCATTTAGTAATGCTTTTACGGCCTCTGGAGTAGCAGCACGGAGGGCGTAAATCCATTCGTCTTCTGTCCTGACTGCCATGTACCCTCGCCATGCTGGAGTTGTTCCCCCTACTATCCCCCTACTATCCCCCTACTATCACCCTACTATCCCCTACTACCTGCTCCCACGCCTATAAGCGCCCTTTTACACCCCCTAGGAAAGAGGCTGTCAAGCAATCGACAAAGACATAAAGCAAAGAGAGACACAGGCTTAAAAAGGGGGAGAAGATTGGAGCCCCGCCACTTTTAGCAGAAGAGAGAACTGCCTACATTGAAAAACTTGGAGTACTCTTGCTGTCGTTTCAACACTTCATGTCGTTTCAAGTCTTGCTGTTTCCTAGTTTTCATGTCGGTATCTTCTGTTATATTTACGGCCGGTTATCTCGGGTAACGAGATGTCAAATAATCCCCTGTCTCCCCCAACATATTACTTGATTTCGCTTCATCTTGAATCAATTGAACTATAATAATAAGTTTTCTACATTATTCGTGAGCGTGCATCTCTTGTGATCGTCATAACACATTTGTAGACCGTAGATATCCCACTCCAATATATCTGTGCAAAGGAGCAGTGCCAGAAACACCACGCTTTTTGGGTATCGATGCTACGCTCATAATCCTCCTGCAATCAACCCCACCCAAACCAAGCTGTGAAAGAAAAAAGGCCGCCCAAATAGGAAAATATCATGTGTGAGCCGTGAGGCGTTCCTTGTCTTCCCAAACCTACGTCGCCGCGAGGCAGTCCTCTCGCACCACCCACCCATCCATGCAGATCACGCTGTCCGAGGATAGCTGATGGACCAAGGCCTTTCTGCGGTCTGTCCCATTGCAACTGATATTACAGTATGAGCAGACCGGCCGTGTAATCTCATCGCCTGTGGCTCCTCGATCCTGTCGTCTCCCCATGTCGATGTCGATGCCTGTGACCGCCCCCATCCCGGCGCGACGCTGTACTCTCTTCCACCCGTCTCTCCACCTCCTCCACCCTCGCCCTAAACGTCTTCACGATATCCTTCAGCCGCGCCATCCTATCAAAATCGTCTTCCAGCTCGTCGATCTGTCTGAGTATGTTGTTGAGGCGCTCGATCTCCGCATCCGCAATCTCAATCGCGTTCCCCGCCCTATCGTACTGCTGCTGCGCGACAACCTGCGACTGCTCGGAGAGGTAATCCAGCCGCTCCGAGATCTGCTGCATCAGGCGGTCGAAATGTCGCGACAGTGACGTGAGCGAGGACGTGTTGAGCAGCAGCAGCCCCTGGAACGACGCGCGCGACGCGGCGCGCGACGACGACGACCCGGCTGCAGCGTTGGCGGCTTCGATCTGCGCGCGCCGTAGAACCTGTATCTCATCGGCTGTCAGGCCGAGCGAGGTGTCGGGAATCGAGTTTGCGGGCGAGGCCATGGCGGCGAGGCTGCGGCGGCCCTGGTGGTGGGGAGACTGGCTGATGGCACACCCTCGCGGAGAGTTGTCGGGTGGCTATGAGATTCATGGTAATTGTGAATACGTGCTGCGGATCATTGCGTGAGCTCCCCTGGTGGTTGTCCGCGTCGTTATGTGATACTGCAAATGCGGATCGAGAATGGGGGCGCCAAGACAGTAAGTAGTACATATAAGGGAACCGTATAAACGCCTGGCGGCGCCAAACTGTTTCATGCACCAACTGTTGGTATCACGAGACAGGCAAATGATTGTAGAATTTTTTTCTGCCAAACATCAAGCCTATAATAATAATGGATTATTCAACACAACTGCTGTTTAAATAGTGTCTCTGGTCCTCATTTTCTCGGCCTTGTATTAATATGCCACCGTTCGTCTTCCCATTTCTCACTTGAGCGCTTTCTCGAAAGTAGCTCAAAGCCCGAAACCATGTAGTATTTGCAATTAATAGTGGGGTTTATGAGATAAATTGACAGTACTAGTAGAATGGTGGCTGTCATTCCATATATTGCTCTTTCCTTGACGCACTTATTTTGGCCTGTCACTAGTGAATGTCCATATCAAGTCAGGGTCGTCGGCCTGAGACATTCACTAACTTAGTGACAAGCCAAAGTGGGGGTATGTATGCCTCCAGATCCGGGTTGTAGTAATAAGTAAGCAAAGATAGAATGTACATTTCAAATATGTAATCTATATGGTATACGTTAATACATGCCTCCAAAAGATCTCACATATCGCCTATCGCAAGCCCCCCAAAACACCCTTCCCTAAAGCCTTCAAAGAATTTTCATACCTCCCCGGACTATGATCCCCCAACATCCCGCCCCCAAACTGCACCTCACCAAACACCGCCTCCACATCTCTCACATACCTCAACACAGCCCTCGTCGCCGGCCTCCCCAGCCCGTACTTCCCATCAACCGTAAACGCATCTCGCCTTAACACCGCCGTCGTCTCAACCTGGAACACTTCCCCGGGAGGAACCAGCTTCTCGCTTTGCATGCTTGCCCGCAGCGTCTTGAGCGTGGCCCACGCCCACTGGTCGTCCTCCTCGCTTGGCCCGGTGCCGTGCACGTAGTCCCCGCGATACCACTGCTCCATCAGGCCGCTGGATAGGCTGTTCCAGACGCGGGCGCGCACACGTGATGCGGCCCCCGTGGAGTCGGCTTTGAATGCTAATGCGACGGCTTGGATGTCGTGGAGGACGCCGAGGGAGAGGGAGGGGACGAGGTCGTTTTTGTTGACAATTGTGGTTATGAGGCCGCGGGTAAGGCCGCGGAGGGAGGGCGATAGGGTGGCCGGCGGGCCGTAGGCGTAGACGTGGATTGGACGGCCCGCTGGGAGAGATATTGCTTGTGGAGATGCGTTGGTTGTGTTTGGAGAGGATGTGTGAGGCAGGCCGGATTGCGGTGGCCCGGTTGTTGTTACGAATGCGTTGTGCTCTGGATCTGATCCAGGGGTGGCTAGCATTATCGCGAGTAGCGAAACCACGCTGCCTCCAAGACTGTGTCCACACATCACGAGCCCATATGTTGGGAACTCTTCGAGAGCGGCTGCTATGGTCGCTAGGACGCGTGACTCGGCGCCGGAAATAAGTCGGCGGGCAGAAGCATGGATTCCCTTGTGGACTCTGTAGCTCCTGTCGCGGAGATGCATGTCGTCGTAGTCACATGTCATATCAGTCAGGACATCTTCGAATCCCAACGTACCCCGGCACGATAATACAACGGCTTGAGACTCATGGTCCAATGATATAAAGTGCACAAGAGGGACGCTGGTCCCTGTTTTCCCCGCAGAATCTGTGCCACCCTGGGGGTCCACAAAGGAGCTGAGTAAAATTGTAGATGATGGAAGTTGCGTGTGGGAACTGAACGAATGGTGCTCGTAATGATGAGATGAATCGGGAATTGCTGAGCTGCTGGTGGGGGTAGCAGATATCCCCATGAGTCTCATGAAATTCGATCCGTAAGAAGCAGACGCGAACCGAGCAAATCGACTGATATTCTGCACCAAATGATTGCGAGGGTAGAGGCCTGGAACCGAGCCATTTCTTCTCAATAGCTGCACGGATTCTTCATCGTCAAAGGCACCTTTGCTGAGATGAGTCAACACTAGTGACGTTTCCGAATTGTTCGTTTTCAGCGTATAGATACTGGGATCATACGAATTTGTGCTTCGATGAGCAAATAATGGCGAAGGCTCGGGAGTTTTCGAATGTCGTTGGTATGATGAAGGGATAATGTTCAAATCTTTACTAGACCGGGTACGCATCAGGTTGCTTTGGTTTCTAATGTGTGATCTCAACTGGGTCGGCGACGAAGCCCGGGAAGTATCAGTAGAGTGTACAGAGTAGGTGTCTGTCTGAGATACTATAGAATCCCGTCGTCTTTCGTGAACCTCATAATAGCTTGCGCGAGAATGGGATCTTGAATGGGGTTTTGGATGGTTATATTGTACCTCATCTAGCGGACGTGGAGAAGTGGATTTAGCAACAAGTGGAACACTTCCTGTCCGCATATTACTTGAGTTTCGATCCGGCACTGGAAGGTGTGGCGGCCTCGCCGGCTTAGATTCCGGTCGTTTGCTAGACCCAGCGACGCCAGACATCTGCCAGGGCGGGATCGGTTTCGTCGAGTAGGAGGTGGCGGCAACCTGGGTGTCTTTACCCAAGATATTGGAAATAGTTGCCTGTGGCCCCTTCCGGAGAGCATCACGTAATGTCCCCCTCTTCTCGGTACCCTTCTTATTCGGTGTATCAACTTTCGCTTTTTTCGCCATTGGCATTTTGCTTGTCGAATCCGAGGTGCGGGTGGAAGGGCAGCTTGAGCCACCTCGAGTCTGGTGAGACGATGTGCTATGCGACTGCCTGGCTCTCTTGGAATTTGCGGTATTGCTCGGCAAGTGCTCACTCAGAAGTGGTTCTACGTCCTCGGGTTGCCAGTCCATATCTGCTCGTGTATCGGGAAGCTCTTCCACCTTTGCCTGAGTAAATGAAGTATCCGGTCCATCCTTTGCTAAGACATCTGTGCCACGGATTTTGTTATGCACGGTCCGGTAGACAACACGGTATCGAGACTGCGGATGAGAGACATTCTGGCTGTCGGCAAAATTTCCGTTGTCGAAGTGGTGAGCATTTTCTTCAATCACTTCGGCCCCCGGAGGTGGCAAGAGGTCAAGAGGCTGGGCACCACTGATCTCTACAGTCGTCACCTTCGTTGTTGTTGTTTCAGTGGTTATTGATACAGTGGCATCTGGAGGTAACGATTGCATAATGCGTTCCCGCAGGCGAGCCTCGGGTCCATCTCCGTCGTCCTCCACTGCAAGGTCTCGTGTATTGTTCTCTTGCATTCCTTGCCCAACATCGGCAGCTGTTATGAGCCAAGGTTCTCCCGTGTCGGCAGGGCTACCGTCATCGAGGATGACAACATCCCATACGATATCTTTATAGTGTCCATCTTGGGCTTCTTGCTCGCTCGACTTCTTACACCATTGCTGAAGTAAAGCAAGGCCACACACTCCAACCAGTAAATCCACCACTCCTACTTTTTCACCTGGTTGTCCTGTAGCTGGGTTCTGGAACTCCCTCCGCACAAGCGTGATAATACTCGCGATGGCACGAGAGGAGTCGGTCGAACCGAATATCGAGTCGAGGGTTATCAACAGATGCTGTGATACGTCTGATGCCGCCGAAAGGCCCGCGGAAGATAGGTGAAAGCCGGCGGATGCTGCAAATGATATATGTGTTATCGTCGAGTGCAGCCTTGCGATGCTCCGCTCGAGTAGCCCCTCGGCTTCCTGTCGCCCTATTTGACCAGTGCTATTTTTCACAACATCTTCACCGGCACTGAACAGTATGCGCTCAACCACGGCGCGGCTCAGTTCTAGACCTGTAACTGTGGTAACGCGCGCTCCGTCGATAGCAAGTTTGCCCACAAGTGTTCCGAGGCGAAGGTATAGGGCTGATGACTTCGTGACGAGACTGATGGCACTTGCTACCGGCTTCGGCAAGACCGTCGAGGCGTCTTCTATTCGGGGTATATTGGCGGCAAGACGTGAGGCCGCCTCGTCCTCATCCTTCTTCATAGCAATAAATGGCGTCTGAATCTGGTGGCAAAGGTGAGGTAGTGTCAAACAACGCGTAGTATGTTAAGTCGAACGGTCTTTCAATGGAATAAGTGAGATATATTTGGATTCATGCCTGGTGGCGCTGGCCAAGGAATAATAGTGGTAGCTATATAATTGTTGGGGGCAACTATGAAGGCCCACCATACACGTCAACAAGTCGAGGAGTTTGGTGGGAATGTTAGTGAGAACTTTCCCATACCTGACGCCCCTAGCATGTGAAAGCTGCATGGCGACAGTGAATAGAGCAACTATAATTTATGTTCAAGCTGTTCAATCACTCAGGGCTACAATCAGTAAGCCAGCTACTGAAAATTTAACTGAAGATATAATCTCCATGATGGGTTTAATATGCTAACTTAGTATTAATTCTGCTATATGTATCCCCTTTTTACACTTTTGAGCAACCAAATAACCTCCTCGCGTCCATTTCACGTGACTTGTATTTTACGTAGCTAAAAATAAATAAAGTCGTCGGGGCGCGAGGCTGCTTGTTCACGGTAGAGACCACTAGCATTGGCCTCAGCCCCTCGCAGGGAAGGGTCTTAGAGACATTCTCGTACAATGAGATCGTCAACAACATAAATACCCCTTTGCATCTCAATTGACTGTATGTGACCTGACTGCCCACCTTCACAACTACGTTCATACTGACCCAGGCGTAGCAATCGTCACCGTCATTCGTTTCCAACACCTGATTTCCTGAAACCCCTTGCAGCCTCGATCCCCAACAACTTTCACAAGTCCGACTTGCTGTCGGCCATTGACACAACATGCTCGCCACAAAGAACTACGCGGGGCTCTTCTCCACGGACCTCATCTGTCCCATAATCGCTGCGTCGCTCCCCGAATCATATACCATTCGTGCACTGGAGAAAAGCGACTTCGCCCGTGGCTTCCTCGACTGCTTGCGCGTCCTCACAACGGTGGGAGATATAACGGAGGAGCAATGGAATGAGAGATACGACTGGATGGACACACAAGGCAATGGAGGATACTTCCTCCTCGTCATCGAGGACCAGGGCAGGATAGTAGGAACCGGTGCGTTGATCGTTGAGCGGAAGTTGTAAGTTCACCCACTCCCCTGATGATGAATATTCACTAACCCTATCCCAGCATCCACAACCTCGGACTCGTCGGCCACATCGAGGACATTGCCGTTGCGAAGGACCAGCAGGGTAAGAAGCTCGGACTCAAGCTCATCCAAGCCCTCGATTTCATCGCGGCCAAGGTGGGCTGCTACAAGAGCATTCTTGATTGCAGCGAGGCGAATGAGGGGTTCTACGTGAAGTGCGGATTCAAGCGGGCAGGACTCGAGATGGCACACTACTACGAAGACCCAAAGAGTAAGTACGATAGAGGTTAAATGGGGCTGAGGGTTTGGTTGGCGTTTTCGTCCAGCTCTTCCACAAGTGCTGTGGGATTCAGGGACTGTAAAACTGGCGCTTTAGAGGGTAGAGGGAGGAGGGAGAAAATATAGATAATATCGATCAATGAAGGGCTTCACTTGGCACTGTGTAGATTAGATGCCGCTTTATCCATTTCTTGGTGCTGTACATGGCATGTGTCGCTGAGAATATGACGCTGAAGCTGCCTTACCAGCGCACAGGCTATTTCCAGTACGGTATGGCTGCAGTAGGGTCGCCGTCGCCAAGGAAATTGTGGTCGCACTACGGCCAACCACGCCAGCCACAGTCGCACGACGGTCGCGCGGCCAAAACGGTAGCAAGTTTGTCGACCGTTCATGTTTATGACCGTAGTTAGTATGTAGGCCGTAGTATAACAGCGTTTTTGGACTTACTGTGATGAAGCCGGCGACGGTTTGGCCGCCATGTCCGTAATTCCCCCCGAAACGGTGATCTCGGCGAAGCCATCATAGCTGCCAGCGACAGAACCATGCCTGATGACTGTCGTGCTATGGTCGGCGAGCCCGCCGACAGTAACAAACGGTAGCAATACTGCCATGCCATTGCATCCGTTGTCGGTGGGAGTGAGTGTCATCAGCGGGGGGCTGGGGTGCTCGTGAGGCTCCAATTCCTGGAGATATTAATTGTGGCAGGGTCGTGAAGATTGAGGCCATCGTGGAACGCTCTGGATCTTACATGTTCGTAGGATTCTAAGACCCCAGAGCGTTTCAGTAAAGCCATTTCTTGCCGGAAGAAATGAAGGAGAGGGAGGAGAGATATGACGCTGCGTAGCCCAAGGCCTCATAAACAGGCGTTTCAGTAAAGCCATTTCTTGTCGGAAGAAAGGAAGGAGACGGAGGAGAGATATGACGCCGCGTAGCCCAAGGCCGTGTAGTCCAAGGCCACGTAGTCCAAGACCTCAATTGTAACCAGGAGAGCTGACTCCAAGCAATGATGCCAGGACAGGTAGATCGGGGGCGTTTCAAAGACCACAAAGACAGCAATAGCTTCCACGGGAGAAATGAAGCTTGGGTATGGGACTGTTGCAAGGCTCTCAGATGTTGAGGCTATCCAAAGATCGATGGTGAGACATAGCACCCTTCTTCACAAGTTAGAACAGAAGACAAAACAATAGGCAAAGGGTATATCAATAGGGAGCTCAAATATCACTGAAAGGGGGTTCAAGTTTCATTCAAGGCAGTTTTATTTGTATGTAGATCTAGCTACAGCCAAGCAAATATAAAAGCCTCAATCCGTTGACCCAGGATCACCAAGCACAGCCAGCTCAACAGCCATCCCAAAAGAAGCCCCCAATTTCAAGCCAAATCGTAATGCGTATATGTCGTTGATGTGATGCAAGCCAGAAAATCCACATCAGTGTCGCCTCTTCCGGCGATGCTTGCTGCCAGTGCCACGAGAGGCAGTCTTTGTTGCCGTCGATGTCTGCGCATGAGGCAGAACAGATGTTGGGGCAGGTGGTGGTGCTTCTGTTTCAGCGGAGGCAGCAGTTGGTAGAACCTGTGGAAGTATGTGTCAGTATTTAGAAACAGATAGCAAAAAAATTCCTTACCGTAGAATCAACTGGAGGTGGCGCTACATCTGAAGCAAAGAAACATTCCACACCCACAGCCAAATCTGATGTCTTCGGGACCATCTTCTCGCGGTTTGCTGACGTTTTCAAACCTGTCAGTTTGAACTCTGCACGAGAGAGGCCGTCAAAGTGCTCACTCAACGGGAAATGCATCATCATCTTCATAAAGGCGCGCTGCGAACGCGGATCTTCAACGACCCGGTCCTTTGAATTCTCCCAGTCCACAAGGAGTTTGCCATGACCACAGAAATGAGCGTACAGCTCCCGGCAGTAGTACTGCCCAAGCTGTGCAGTTTTGTCAAAGTCGAGATACCCGTCTACAAAGAAAAACACTTCGAAGAAATTATCCTTTGTAAATCTCTTCCGGAAGACCTCAACGAGGGCCTTCAGCGATGTGCATCCGTTTAGTAATTCATCAGCTGCTGCGTCTGCGGCAAGGACAGTTCGAACATGGCCCTGAAATGTTAGCTATGCCCTTTTGCACATACAGAATGGAGAAACTTACTGTAACCCGCCGGATCAACTTGCTTTTCCAATCCTTGGTCTTGTTCATGATCATACCCCGTGCAATTCCGAGCGCCTTCGAGTATGGTTGCGTGTCTGGGAGAAGTTCTGCGAGTATCCAATCTTTTGCTCCTTCTACATCGTGACGCATGAAACTGAGCACCATTATGCATGTTTCCAAGTCCAGCCGTTCAGTGATCTCATCCCAGAAGTCCTCTGGCTCCCTTCTGTGCAGCATCTCATGATCTCCTTCAAGCTCATCCAGTACTTCTGCATATCGGCGGGAGATGGCTTTGCGCATTGGTCCTTCCTGAGAATCGTCATGGTAGGTCATGGTGCGCTTGCGTTTCTTTCCGGTATCAAGTGATGCTTTCCGGGCAGCAGCCCAAAAATTCGCCGAGTGGAGGCCAGGAGGGGAGTTGTTGCTCTGGCTGGAGCGGCGTTCATCGTAACGTTCATTGCGGCGATATTGGTCACGAAGCTGTGGCTAAAAACACTTAACGTGGTTGTACACCGAGTCGTGAATGTCACCGAGTCGTGAACTTTTCCCTACTTAGCTACCTACGAACTTCAACACGCGTTTCCTCCACAACTACCAATGGAAATCCAAACCCAAGAAGCGCGAATCATTCTAGCTATTGAGGCTCTTCAAACATGTAAATCGCTTAATCGCAGGTCTGCATCAATACTATATAAAGTGCCTTATTCTACGCTTACTGATAGAATGGCCGGCCGACCTTCTCGACGCGAAACCAAAGCCAATAGTCTTAAATTGACTGAGCTAGAAGAGGAAGTGATTATTCGAAATATATTGGATATGGATGCAAGAGGATTTGCGCCTCGGCCTGCTAGTGTGGAGGATATGGCAAATTATATCCTTGAATCGCGTGGGGGAAAGCACGTTGGGACGCGGTGGGCATATCGATTTATACAACGCCGCCCCGAGTTAAAGATGCATTTTAATCGCGTTTATGACTTTCAAAGAGCCTTGTGCGAAGATCCTGAGCTTATTGGAGCGTGGTTTCAACTTGTGCAGAACATGAGAGCAAAGTACGGCATCCAAGACTGCGATTTCTACAACTTTGACGAGACGGGCTTCATGATGGGCGTTATTAGCTCAGCTTTAGTTGTTACGCACGCCGATCGATGTGGCAGAGGCAAGGCAGTTCAGCCTGGCAATCGGGAATGGGCTACAGCAATTGTTTGTGTGAATGCTGAAGGCGGGAGTATCCCTCCGTTTTTAGTAGTTCAAGGGAAATGTCACCTTTCAAGTTGGTATACTGAAGGCGGCCTTCCTCACAATTGGGTAATTAAACCAACAAGCAATGGATGGACCAACAACGAGACAGGTCTAGAATGGCTTCATCACTTCGATAAACATACTTGCAGTCGTGCAAAAGGACCATATCGGATGTTGGTTTTAGACGGGCATGAAAGTCACGAATCAGCTGCGTGTCAGGAATATTGCAAGCAAACAACATCATAACTCTCTGTCTACCTCCTCACTCGTCTCACCTAACTCAGCCACTTGATGTTGGGTGCTTTAGTGTTCTTAAACGCATGTATGGGCGTCAAATTGAGACCTTTATTAAGGCTCATATAAACCATATTACAAAGGTTGAGTTTTTTATAGCTTTCCACGCAGCTTATAACCAGTCAATAACAACTCAAAACGCCAAAGCTGGATTTCGCGGAGCTGGTTTAGTGCCCTTTGATCCGCAAGTAATCATTTCAAAGCTAGACGTCAAGTTGCGGACTCCTACACCTACAGGACCCCCCTCTATAGACGCTGATCCTTGGGTTTCTCAAACACCTCGCAAGCCAATAGATGCTCTCTCACAGACTACTCTAGTTAAAAATCGCATTGCACGGCACCAAGGAAGCTCGCCAACCCCCATTTTTGCTACTGTTACTGCATTAGCTAAAGGGACAGAGATTTTGGCACATGAAATGACTTTATTGTCAGCTGAAGTCCGCACCCTTCGAGCAGCAAACGAAGCTCTTAGCAAACGCTGGAGGGCTAAAAAGTCTCGTGTCCGTCAAGGGTGTGCACTTTCTGTAGGGGATGCACATGATGATTTGTCCCAAAGGGCAGTTACGGAGCAAATAAATCGCGAGAAGCGCTCTGGAGGGGTTGGTAGGAATGAGGGGCAACCAGGTGTACGACATTGTGGCACTTGCGGGGGGGCTGGCCATAATGCACGAACTTGTCAGGAGGTCATAGAAGTACTTAGCTCATCAGATTCTGAATAGTTTTAGTTTTAATACATGTTGTGGTTGTTTAATTATACCTTACAGTGGTGGGTATAAAAAAGTTTCACGACTCAGTGACATTCACGACTCAGTGTACAACCACATTAGTAAAAGATTAATAAGATAATAAGAAACTTACATCCAAGTTCTCATCATCTATGAATATGGAACTCTGGTCCTCAAAGTCAGAAAACGGAGACGGGGACATGGTAGAAACAACAGAAATGTTGGGAGAATTGTATGAAACATAAAATATGTACTCTGCCGCAGTAAAAGAATGAATTGTAGAGATAGTAGATGAAAAGAAACCTATCTTACATCATAATTTTGAAGCCTGTTTGGATTGGTAGAGTTTGAAAAGAGAATGGCCAAAGTGAAGCAAGAACATGGTCACTGGCCAAATAAGGTCACATGACCTAGCACTCATAACTCTCATGCTCTCAACTTCATCACAGAGTTCATCCTAGATTCCTTCCAACCAGGAATCCAGGCGCCAAAAAGGTAAGTCAAGCTCAGATAGTGATATAGGAGACATATTAACTATTTGGAATAGAGTTCATATGTCCATATACCTCAAGGGCAACTCCAGAACCAAAAAGGAATCGCCCAAAGTGCAAACAGCACACCGCAGTATCAGAAATATTCTCTGTCATCACCGAGCGCTCGGTGAATCATTGGCTCAAGATTTCAAAGTACCTCTTCGAAAACCCTTTCAGCACTTTCTTCTGTCTCCTCCGCAAGGTGACTCTGTGAATCATCACAGATATCACCAAGGTTCACACCGTGGACGGGAGCGATGTCTCCTCAACTCTCCTCAACTCTGCGCATAAAGTTGAATGGAGGCACAAAGTTAAAGCCTGCCCTGTGCTCAAGCAAAGTGCTATCTCCAGCCTTTGTGTACAAATCCCCCAACAATCCCTGTGTTAGAAACGAAGCCAGGAAAACTTCCCTGAGGTAAGACCCCCAGCTATGAAACTCAACCGGCTATGGCACACAGAAAGCTGACATGAAGCCCTCCTTAGGTCTCTACAGCTCGACAGATGATCATATGCTTGACCTGCCTGTGTCTGGAATCTTGATATATCTCCATATTTGCCCTGAGAACTGCCGCTGTCTCCAAAGGTACGTGTAGCCTCAGAAATATCCCCCTGCTACAGACACAATAAAGCTGACATATACACCTCTGTATAGCCTCAACTTCGACAGTCAAGCATACTATCCCCTAGAATATGCAGAATCAGCAAGGCTCTCCCAGGATCATCCCAGCATCTGCTGCATGCACCAGTCAATCCGAAGCCGCTGCAGCAACAGGTGTGGCCTTGCCATCTGACAGTCCCAGCTTGTTAGCTCAAATAAATCAATTTAATTAAGCTTGGATTTATTGATTTATTCCGTGAACATTTGCCATCTTCAGTCGGGCTGAAATCCAGATCATGTCCTGGTGCTGCCATTCAAAATCAAGGAAAAGTGACAAGTTGACCTCGGGCGGACGCTCAAATCCACAAGTTTGAGTTCTACAACCTCACCGGCCATAGCTCAACCATAGGAGGATATCTTGGTTTGAAATGCCTCGCCATTCATCCTGGCGGATGAGGCGTGGGAATCTGATGCAGCAACTGTATCGGATCCCTATTCCCCAGGCTGCTCTCCGGCAGCAAGATGACAGAAATAGAAATGTTACTTTTAATCATACGCACCAAGTTCTCAGTGCAGATGATATAAGTGATTCATTCTATGGTGATAGGGATATGAGTGGGTGGGAAGATCATTCTGATGCTGATGATGATGGCAACAGTGTTTTCGGAGAAGCGCCTTTGCCCCCTGCAAATATCCAGCAGGTTGCAGAACAGATTGCCCAGGGTTTATTAAACCTTGATGAGTCAATGGAACCAGCTGATGACGAATTTGACAATCCTGATTCATACAGTGTCGAGCTCCCAGTAGAAGACTCAGTTCCGGACGAAGACTTCCTCCCAATTGGAGATGCCCCTCCCGACGATGACCCTGGGTTGGAAATGCTGCCTCCTGTTACGATATCAAGTGCGCCTTGCAGCTTGAGTGGGGGTTCAGGGGTGTGGGGAGCTTTCCGGGGTTGGAGCGAAGTTTTCAGTTGTGGAGTGAATTCTCAGAACTGGTCTCGCTAAAGAGAATTCACTCCACAATAGCTGTATATAGATCGAGCCACTGCTCGAGTGCTCCTCTTCTCTTTCCTTTCTTCTCTAGATTGAGTTTAATTCATAATACCCAACTGGCGCCCTATGCCTTGGTGAACCGTGACATAAAACTCAATCTCTCTTATACCTCTTTTCCTGCTCTTTGAGCTGAACCCTCTTCTGAAATCGAAATCGAAATCCACTCTTTGAAAACCCCAGAACCAGAAACCTTATCCGGAAGTCGATTCCAGGACGATCTCCAGGCAACCCCTCAAAGTTGGCTTTCGACAGTCAGCTCGACACACACACACCACCTTCGCAAGTCAGACCTTTTACAACGCTCCCTCGACAAGGATATAACTGTGGGGGAAGTGCGCTCCTCTCGAGTGGCTCCTACAGCCAACAACTGCACAATAGGGCCTTTGGCAATATGTGTCTGACTTGACGATATAAACTGAAATTGAAATAGCAACTCGCTATGGCTTATACTGCTGAAGAAAAAGCTGCAATGGCAGCTCGAAATGATCCAGAACAAGACCAGGAATCCCTGGCAGAAGGAGCATCAATTCCAAGCTCTGCAAACCAAACCAATGAACTTCATGATCCTAATTTCAAATCCGAAACCTTCCTTCATACTCTGGGCAAAACAGCTCAAGAGAGACATGAATCTATACTTGCAAATCGACATGAAAAGGCTGAATGGAATGTTGAAACCTTTGACGAATTCCAGAAACTATCTGTCGCCAACCAGAAAATGGCATGGACTTTGCACAAGAACATTCTTCGGGACTATTTGGCCCTAGCAGAGGACTCAAATTCGATACTGGCTAAAAAGGATGATGCCATTCTCCAGTTACAGGAACTGATCCAGAGCAACGAGCAACAAATCACAGAGCAACAAACAATTCAGAAATATCTTGAAAAGCAAACCCAACAAGCTCTGAAGAATGAACCAGGACACCACTCTCACAGTCGACTGTCAGCTCGGATTCCAGACCCTCCAATCCTCACAGATGGGATAGAGCCAGCATTTGAAGACTGGGTTGTGAAAATTCGCCTCAAGCTCGAAGCCAACATTGATCATTTTCCAACACAGACTTTACAAATGAGCTACATTCAGAGTCGACTGGGAGGACTGGCAGTTCGACATGTCAATCCAAGGCTTCGACCAAACTCTACAAACAAATTGCAGACAGCAGAAGAAATTCTCGAACTTTTGGAAAAAGTCTTCAGTGATCCCGATCGAAGGCACACAGCTCAAACTGAGTATCGAAAGCTGTATCAGAGAAACAACACCTTTGCAGTGTTCTGGGCTGAGTTCCAAAGGCTCACGACAGAGCTTGATTACTCTGAAGAAACTTTGCTGGATGACTTGCGCTTCAAAGTCAACCAACAGATGCAGAAAGCCTTAGTGGCTGAAGTTGGAGCTACTACACTTCACGAGTTTGCAAAGAAATGCATGCTCATCGACCAGAACATTCAGCGGATCAAGGAACAAGAAGACAAAAGGAAGCCAAAGTCATTTTCGAACAACATGGGCCAAACTCAAAATCAGGGCCAGGCACTTCGAACTTCAATCCCTCAACCTACAATGGATTCGAACATGCAAAACAAGACGCAGAAGCTGTATCGACTACCGCATCAAGATCCAGCAAAAGAAATGCTCATGAAACTTGGGAAATGCTTCATATGCCGACAAAATGGACATCGAGCTCGAGACTGTCCCCAGAAGCTCAAAGCTCAAGTGAATGAGGTATCTACAGCTGAGTCTATCATCGATTCGGAAAACGAATAGCCTCTAGACAAGTCATCACTAGAGGCAGTGCAGCCAGAATTGCAGCTTCTTCCTCAAGATCCAGTTTTGATCCGGACACCCCTTTCTTAGCTACTTGTAGAATAGGAAAATACAAAGCTATTGTCCATGCATTAATCGATACTGGTGCCACAGGTGGAAACTTCATTAATGCTGCTGATGCAGAAAGAATATGTGAAATCGAAGGGATAGCCCCAGTCGAACTTGTGAAGCCAAAACAAGTTGAAGGATTCAATGGAGAGGCTGCCCCTGCTATCACACATGCTATATATCCTCGACTACAAGTGGGAGAGCATGTGGAAAGCCTATGTCCATTATTCATTACTTCGCTGGGAAAACATTCCATCATTCTCGGGAAAGCTTGGATGAAGCAACATGGAGTTGTTCTCGATATGATCAATGATCAAGTCCTCTTCACTGGAGATTATTGCAACCATTCTATACCAGATCGAGCCCTCGAAACAGAGCCTATATCTAAAAGCGAAAGACAAAGGCCAAAGAAGAAAGCCAAAGAAATGCCTCCTCCGGAACCTGCTCCGAAAGTGGAAAAACCAAAACCTTGCACCATAGCAATGATTGGCGCAGCACCATTTCGAATGCTCATGAAGCAAAGAGGAGCTCAAGTCTTTGCTATATCAATGAAGGACATAATCGAGCACAAGAACAAGACCAAAACTGAAGAAATTGACTCTCGACTGATCCTTCCGAAGGAATTTCATGAATTTTTGGATGTTTTTTCAAAAATGGCAGCAGACAAGCTACCTCCCCATCGACCTTCAGACCATCATATTGAACTCGAAGGTGATGCAAAGCTGGGATATGCACCACTCTGGAATATGTCAAAGGAAGAACTTGATTTGGTCGAAGAATATGTCTTCGAGCACTTGCCAAAAGGGTTCATTGAAGCAAGCAAAGCCCCATACTCTTCACCCATTATGTTTGTGAGAAAGCCAGGTGGTGGTCTTCGATTCTGTGTTGACTACAGGAAGCTAAATGCCATAACGAAAAAGGATCGATATCCCATACCACTCATTGATGAAACGCTGGCCCAAGTCATAGGAGCAAAATATCTCACCAAACTGGACATTCGACATGCCTTCAATCGAATTCGAATGCAGACAGAAGAAGATGAAGACCTCACTACATTCAGAACTCGATTTGGATCCTACAAATACAAGGTCATGCCCTTCGGACTCACAAATGGTCCAGCAACATTCCAGAGGTACATGAATGAAACCCTCATGGATTACCTCAACCAATTCGTCACCGCATACATGGATGACATTCTTATCTACAGTGCTACTCGAGCGGAGCATACAGAGCACATAAGGAAAGTCCTACAGAAGCTTCGAGAAGCTGGACTGCAAGCAGATATCTCAAAATGTGAGTTTTTCGTCCAAGAAACCAAATTCCTAGGACTCATCGTGGGAGTCAATGGCATTCGCATGGACCCTGCAAAGGTTTCTACTATATTGGAATGGCAAACTCCAAAATCGCTCAGGGATATGCAAGCTTTCATTGGATTCTGCAATTTCTATCGAAGGTTCATCCGAAATTACTCCAGCATCATGAGGCCATTGGTGAACCTTACCAGAAAGGATCAGATATTCGAATGGACTCATGCATGCCAAACTGCATTCGAGCTGTTGAAACAAACAGTCACAGAAGCTCCTGTCTTGAGGCATTTCGATAGACACAAGACAGCCTATGTCGAAGCAGATTCCTCAGACTTCATCTCATCAGGAGTCTTGTCACAAAAAGATGATCAAGGGGTTCTACATCCAGTGGCATACTTCTCGAAAAAGCTAGCACCTGCAGAATGCAATTACAAGATATATGACAAGGAATTGCTTGCAATCATCAGATGTTTCGAAGCATGGAGACCAGAACTTGAAGGGACAGATTTTCCAGTCCAAGTCTTGTCTGATCACAAAAGCTTGGAATACTTCATGTCCACCAAGAAGCTGACAAGAAGACAAGCTCGATGGGCTGAATTCCTCTCTCGATACAACTTCCAGATCATCTATAGGCCTGGGAAGCAAAATGGAAAAGCAGATGCTTTGACTCGAAGGCCTGGTGACAGACCAGAAGGCAATGATGAGGATGATCGACAAAAGCAACAGCTTCAGGTGTTGCTACCACCTTCGAGGCTACATCCAGACATTCAGAAACTCAAAGAACAAGGCCAAACAGCTCAGCTAGCTCCAGTGGAAACTCATATCAGAGAAATGACAATTCTTGAGAAAATCCAAAAGTCTCAACTGGAAGACAAATTCTGCAAGGCTACACTACAGAAGCTTGAGAATGGCGATCGAACAAGCAAAGAGGTTGCATTGGCTTATTGCGAACTCAAAAACGGCATGCTAGAATATCAAAATCGAGTTTGGGTGCCAGAAACCATTCAGGTGGACTTGTTGAGAGAAGTTCATGAACAACCTTCTATGGGACATCCAGGAGCTGGAAAGATGCTGCGAGTCATGAAACAGCACTATTACTGGCCAAACATGGACAAAACAATAATCCGATATATCAAAAACTGCCATAGTTGTCGAAGATCGAAACCATCTCGAGATTCCTACAATGGACTTCTACAACCAATCCCTATTGACAGTCGACCATGGATGGATATATCAATGGATTTCGTGACAGGATTACCACTCTGTGAAGGGAACAATGCTATCTTGGTTGTTGCATGCAGGTTGACGAAAGAAAGACATTTCATTCCGTGTTTCGCTGGGCAAGAAGGGACTACTGCAGAAGCTACAGCACAGCTCTTACTTCGACATGTATGGAAGCACAATGGTCTACCAAACTCGATAATATCAGACAGAGGTCCTCAGTTCATTGCAGAAGTCTGGAGTTTGCTCTGCAAAATTTGGAAAATTTCAGCCAAACTTTCAACTGCCTTCCACCCAGAAACAGATGGACAGACTGAGCGATTCAATGCAGAGCTCAAACGCTACTTGCGAGCTCATGTGAACTATCTTCAAGACAATTGGGTTTCATACTTGTGCATGGCGGAGTTTGCTGCCAACAGTTTGCCATCAGATGCAACCAAGACAAGTGCGTTTTTTGCAAACAAGAGCTATGAACCAAGAATGAGCTTCGATACAGAGCAGCAAGCATATCACGAAGCCAAACAAGAGCACAAGAACATAGCTCAGACCATGGCAAAGGTTTGGGAGTTTCTGCAGGATGAAATCACACTCTCGCAAGCAAAAATGGAACATTTCGCGAACAAGAAAAGGAAACCTGCACCACGCTATCAAGTGGGAGACAGAGTATGGCTTTCAACTCGAAATATAAAGACACAGAGGCCATCAAAGAAGCTAGACCACAAGCAAGTGGGACCTTTTGAAATTCTAGAGCGAATTGGGCAAGTTGCATATCGGCTCAAACTTCCAAACAGCATGAAGATTCATCCAGTATTTCATGCCAATCTATTAAGACTTGACTCGAATGATGCAATCGAAGGGCAGCAACAGGAGCCAGAGCCTCCAGTCATTGTCAATGGCGAAGAGGAGTGGGAAGTGGACGAAATTCTCGACTCAAAAGTTATTCGAAAGAAGCTTTTCTACAAGGCAGCTTGGAAGAACTATCCACCGGATGAGACATGGTATACTGCAGAGAGCTTTGAAAATTCTCCAGAAGTTACCCAAGCATATCACAGAAAATACCCTCAGAAACCAAAATGAGAGCTGGAGACAATTGTTTTTTTTTGAAAATGGGATTTCTTGATCAGGAGATCAACTCTGGAGTAGGGGGGGGGTAGTGTTACGATATCAAGTGCGCCTTGCAGCTCGAGTGGGGGTTCAGGGGTGTGGGGAGCTTTCCGGGGTTGGAGCGAAGTTTTCAGTTGTGGAGTGAATTCTCAGAACTGGTCTCGCTAAAGAGAATTCACTCCACAATAGCTGTATATAGATCGAGCCACTGCTCGAGTGCTCCTCTTCTCTTTCCTTTCTTCTCTAGATTGAGTTTAATTCATAATACCCAACTGGCGCCCTATGCCTTGGTGAACCGTGACACCTCCAGCCCACCCTGAGACAGAAACGCTCCCCCGCAACTTCACCGCACTTTCCAAAGAGTTTATCCAGCCTCAAGATGACGCATCAGAACCAGTTGGACACAAGCAAGCATCAAATTGCATTACCGACTTTGAAATGTATACGGCAATGTGGTGCGAGAAGTACTCTATCCCAGGTGATGCCTACGCTGGTCTCCTTGAGGGATATAAACTCGTAAAATCAATAGAGAATCTCATGGATCTTCCAAAGGACGTGAGAACCCTCAAGAAGAGACTCATTTCATAACTGTCGCTCATCTCACAATGGCACAAGCTCATAGATGTCAATCAGGAGAAGTTGCGCACAATGTCTCCCGCGGAGAGGTCACAGGCAGCACAGAAGAGGAGAGCCGACATGCATTGGGTAGATCTGTCGTCTTTGGTGACAAGACTCTTGTCTTCGAAAGACTTCGTTGGGGGGCTACATTCTGGGTTCGGGACGTTTGCAGATGCACCAACAGAAATGTGGGAATCGGAGGCCTGGCTGTGCTCCATACGCACAACTTCGGGAGCCACAATCAGCTACGAAGATGGGAGTCCAATATTGTGCTCTGATTTCGTGCGGTATCGTGGAGAGAGGTTTGGCCAGCATATTGACAGGGTGTTTGCAATTGGAATTGATCGCCGGGCCTGTGCAGCAACGAAAGATGAAGTCCTTGTCCAGATCCAGCCAGTATATACACGAGGAAGCTTACCACCCACCATGAAAGATGCAATTAATGGGCTAGAAACGCCTTTATCACGATCAGAGAAACTTCTTTATGAAGACAGCTTCGAATATATCTCGCCAAAGAATATTGTGTCCCGTGTCGAGATCTCCATGGATTACATATTTGAAGGCCCAGTTGCACTTGACAATGCATACGTCTTTGACGACAAGACCCATATCCACCGCATCCTGAATATGGCAAGAAAGGACATTCGCCCAGCAGCCCAATCACGCCCACATATCGCAGAGTTGGAGATTGAGGCATACGGCAGGGCTTGGATTGTTGACGCCTTCCGGGACACTTTTATATCGCTGCCAATGATCATCTTCATGGATGCATTTGGATTGTTTTCAGGAACCGGTATCGTTCCATGATGGGCATATATATGACAACACCTGCGCAATGCCTACGAGACCGAATGAAACGATCAAACAACTTTGTTCTTACCCTTGGGCCGCATGGTGCAAAGATGGACGATTGATATCATGCCTTACTGATATCCCGAAGCTTGACAAAGGTATGATTCTCCGAATCAATGGGGAGAATAGGTTTGTCATAGCGCCAGTGTTGTGCTTCACAGGTGACATGCCACAACAAAATGAAAATAGTGGCATCCTACGACCAAATGCAGGAAAGGGTTGCCGGTCATGCCTTGCGTCAATAGCACAGAAAGGAGATCTGGACTTTGACACAGTAGCACTTGGACGATACTATTACAGCCAGAAACAGATCAGAGAATACGGAGATACCTTACCGCCAACAGCGAAAAAGAAGTATTTTCAAGAATGGGGGATGCATGAAAGCCCGCATATTCAAGCTGACTCCAGCCTTGGATATAATCCAGACGAGGCCGGGAGATCCATGTCATTCAGAGTACAACGGTCAGGCAAAGCAGAGCCACAACCTCCTCATGAGAGCAATACTCTCAAAACCCGGGATGAGACAGTATTTCCAAGAGTTTGTCCAGTTCCCAGCACCAACTGGATGGAGCACGCGACAATCCCCCCTCCATCACCTCCAGTCTTGGTCCCTCTCAGAGGCGGGAATGGCCTCAGTCCTAACGCCCCTTATCATGTCTCGTATGAAGCTCAGCGAAAATGATATTACGCTGAACTTCTTTGCTGCAATGAGGGGCAAGTTCCGGGAAGACACAAAGACCATGAAACTCACGATTCCAGAGATATTAGTGCATTGTTTTGCCATGATGGCAAAATCAAACGCCATCACTTGTGCACGGAGCGAGCACCTTCGTCAGGATGCAAGGCGCATCATTCTCCGGGGTCGACAGCTCTACACTCAGTTGTGCACATGTGCTTCTGTCGCTGAGCGGATGAGTAAATCCAAGGGCAGCAACAATAGCCAGGCCTCATCCCATGCTCCATCTATGGTCTCAGCTGACTTTGAAGCGGCAATCAAGGCCATTGGCGTGGGAGTTGATGCTGTTGTTAGTGAGTTTGAATGGGCAACACAGATGAACTCCCTGAAACCAGGGACAAGCAAATCGAAGGAGTTCAGCAGCTGGGGATCTTGCCCGAATGTGCACCAGGGTTTGCATATTGATTAGATCATCAACCGTTATGGGACAAGTTTTGCTTGTAATGTCCTACATGGAGAGGATAAACACAGGTATGCTCAACCATCTTCTCTCTGTGGTTTTGATTTTCTTTCTAACTACAAAACAGAATGTTCAAGCATTGGGCCCAATATTTGAATGGCCGCAGTGTTGAGAAGGTGCTGATGCGGAGAGAGTGCATTAATCTCACGCTGCGCCTCCTCTTAAATGGCGCCTTTGAGTATGACGAGCCTGTACTTTCGACGCAGATGTGGAATCTACACAAGACATGTCCCATACTGACCAACCACCTTCTCCCGTCATCCGAGAAGTGGGACATTGTCGAAGAAGCCTCCATCAATGTCCTCCAGCCCGACAGCTCGCACATCTCGCCGAAAGCCACCCTATGCGTCCGCCGGGAGGATGTGGAGAAAGAGTTGGATTTGCCTTTGTGGCCAGAGCAGCTCCAGGAGGGGCTTCCATTCGTGCAAAAACTACGAGAAGCATACCGTGTGGATTATGAAGATCCTCATATTACAAGTCTTGGGAGCCGCCCATTGCAGTACTTCTCCCAGTTCAGTTTCATCGATCCGTAAGTTCAAGCTTTCATTTCCTTTCTATCAAGCACTGTAGTATCTAACATATATCCAGTAGCACACGCCACAGAGTAACTTTTAAAGCAGGGAATTGCTTTACCGTCCGGGGAAGGAGCATTTGCCGGTTCGAAGTTGGCTTCGTTCACGAAAAGATTCAAGGCGAGGCAAGGCTGTTTGCAATTGTGTCAGATATCAAAGAATGTGGGACAGAGGACCCTGTTCTTCAACTCCCTCAAATGAGGGTTGTCCACAACAGCCAGGGAATCGTAGGACTTCCAGGGATTGGAAGTAACCCGGTGTTCATAGTCAGTATTAATCAAGAAAGAAAGCAAGCCGCCTCAGTATATTCTAAGGGGCCACTGAGTTTGGATCAAACAGCACGCCGAGGTGAGGTAGATCTTGGCCTTCGAGGCTCATCAGCAGCAATGCTGGTGCACTGCTGGTGGGACGTGGGAGTAATGTGAGCGGCAGAACTTCAGGATCCAGGCGCTGGAATGGCACAGATATCAATTGAAATGAAAGCAGTATAGAGAGAATAAAATAAAATTCCATTTCCATTTGAAATGATAACTTTGAGGTTCTATATTGGGCAATTCGGAGCTCTCTGGGCTGAAGCTGGGATCCTTCCATTTTGGGCCAGAATCGCACAAATCGCTCGCTTCCATACCTGTACTGAGTTCACCACTTCTTCACCTTCACCCATACTTCTATGTTTTGGATACTGTATTTCTACAGCTATTGTTTCCTTTCTACATGATTATCGACTTCACCTTTAGATAGGTGAGCTATCTAAATTGCTTTGAGGTAAGTTTGCTGCTCTGTTTCTGATGCACCCAGCACAACACCAGGAAACCCCGCCAAAACCCAGCAGAGCTGCCACAGCTCATGCCATCATCTGGAGCATTTCCTCAGGGCATACGAATGCCAGTATCAGCTCAAGAAGCTTCATATTCCAAGGGGTCTAGTTATCCAAGCCCTCGTTGGTGCCACCGTCAGCACAGCTGGCGGTCGTGCTCCCAGGGCCCATCAGATCATCTCGCCGGAAACACATCAAGACAAGCTCCCTCTCTTGCTCTATTATCACTTATTTTGATTAAGTCTCCACTGACTCTCCTCTTCCAGTCGCAAAAGCCAAAAATGCTCTCGAATCCACAACCTCGCCGAAGCTAAAGCACCTACAAATCCTGCCCATTCCCCATACAATCCCCCCCCCCCGGTGGGCAACAAGCCGACCATCCCAGATACCGATCATCATGGTGGCAATGATCTCCTGATATTGGTCTCTATGTTGAAACCTCCCCGACCTTCAATGCCGTTTCTGGTCTTGAAGGGGTCGGCCTGCCGAATTCTGAAAAAACGGAGGTGGCATAGCTTTGGGTTGATTTTGGCTGTGTTTTAGGGTGTTTACTATGCCCGATCCGTGGAGCTGTTTTTGGGCAGCCAGCATAGGTGTGGCATAGGTAGGTATCTTTGGTTTGAATGAGTTCCCCATTTTCTCCTCAGCTTTTTGTGTCTTGGTTTGGAGATAATGATGGTGATAGCAAATGGTGATAGTGATAGAGGTGGCAATGGAGGCGGCGATAGATATGGATATTTGTTTGGGGTCCCTGGTCAGCGCCACATTTGGCCGATTATACTCAACAGGTATAAGTGCTGTTTCTTTTTCTTTTTCTGGGTCTATGTTTATCAGCAGTGCTGCTCACAACTCTGGTGATGATCACACTCGTTCAGTGGTTGGTATTTGGTTCATTTATCTATTTCAAATTTGTCTATTTCGTCCGTTTCTTCATTCTGTTTTTGGTGCCACTTTGGCGGCTTCTTTTTAGTGTTTCCACATTGGAGTTTCCTTCTCTGTCGTGCTCTCTGTAGCTGCTGACATTATGCCAGCTTTACACAAGGTAAGTCCAGCTTCTCGTCAGTCTCTTCTTTTCCTCTTCTTTTCCCCAGTTCATTTCTGCCTCAGTTAAGGACTTTCGGCAGCTCTTCCACAGCTCAGGCACAGATCCACCAGGTAAGTCTGCGGTCACCTAACAACCCCTTATCACAAACCACTAACAGATATCTGGATCCATCCAGAACAGTGCCAAACCAATGTGGATATATCCAGCTCTCGACAATCTTCTGTCTCCGACCAACAACCACACCCTCGCTGAAAACCATCAACACAAACCATACACAATCGCTCAGCAACATCTTGGATATTACCCCCCCCAACAAACACCCACTTGACAGGGCAGCCTTGGGCCGCGGACTTGGCTGGATACGCAACTTTCAGACACTGGGGGGGGTGGGACAAGGGAGCTGGTGTTGGATTCGGGGTGGGATCGAGGACTGGAGTGCCGGGCACAGGGAGGGAGTGGAGGGGCTATGTGGTGGTTGGTGCGACTTTGGAACAGTCGCAGGCTGTGGATCCGGGCTGGATAGAGTAGGCAGATTAGAAATATACGGTATTATGTTTGGATTTCTGCGTTTCTTGATGACCACCATGATCTTGCCGCCATGGCTTCACCGAGAATACCGTATGGATACGGATCTGGCCACCATAACGGCGTCCACACAGAATTACGGCAGCATTGCCGTCGCCATACTGTGGCGAGAAATCTACAGCTTATGGCCAGCGACGGTGATCTTTCGCGATTACAGTAGTACTCTAACTACAGTATTACCTCCAAAATCTGTCGTGCCAGCGATACTGCCCAGATCAAGGGCACGGTCGCCGCTCACGGGCGGTGCAATACACCGTCGGTATTAGAGCGGCGATTGTACCGTCGCTCCAGTGCGACAGTCGCGCCGGCCAGTACGGCAATACAGTATGGCCACCGTACTGGATTTGGCCTGTGCGCTGGTAAGGTGGTTACTAAATATTGTGCGCGAGGTAAGTGGATAGAAATGATATATGTCGGGGGGAGAAGTTCATCTATACTAAAACTCGCCCTCATCTCTCTATCCCCCACTATCCCTATACTATCCCCTATTGCCCTCCCTAGCATCCCCTCTTTCCATCCCTACTATCCCCCGCCCGTTATCACCCTCTTTGCATCCCTTACTATCCCATACCCTACCATCCCTACTATTCCCATATTATTCCATACTATCCCCTACTACCCCTTCTATCATCCCTAATTTCCATCCCATACTATCCCATACCCTACTACCCCCTTACCGTCATCCATGTAACGATGTACGGTTACGCTCGTGCTACATCCCACTGAGCCAAAAAAGACTTCAGTATTCCAGCTCGGTGGAATACGCGTAACACGCTATATATACAACGCACTGTAACGGTTGGCACCCCGTTACAATTCGCTAGGAAGGTATGTAAGACTATAATGTGTTTAGGCTGCATCATGGGGGACCGACCCCATCGGTTGACCGACCCCAGACTGGACCGTGGTCTGGTCTAAAGCCAATCTCACGGTCCCCCACCGGTCTGCCAAGTAACCGGTCACGGGACTGACTATATACGAAAGTCACATGTTATCATTATTTATTAGGTAACTTACAGTTTACAAGTAATTTAGATGAGTTGGCAATTTCTATATTTGTTACTATATGTCTGTATTACGCCATGACTCTTGAATTTCTTGACCAGCCCTTGATGTATTACGGGCCTGGCTTGCTTCAATTGAATCAACTACCCCCCTTTAGTGTATTTGGTGCCTACTATCGTTCCGTGACTTCTTTGTAGTAGCAGTAGGCTGTACAAATGAGGGTAGTACATAATCACCCTCGCTTTGGCTTAGGGGTAGCCCATCTACATCATCATCTAATTCTAAGTCGATGAAGTTAAATGTTGAGCAACTTGGGTTTAGTGCTGGCTTTGGGTTTGCTAGACCCTTATGTAAGCTATGGAGACCTCGTCGTGATTTAAGAAACTCATATCGGTCTTCGTTCCGCCTTGTCCGGCTATGAGTATTTGGCATATTAGGGCTTCGGTCAGGAATATACTGTATTGCCATCTTCTCTTAAATAGTGTCAACTATAGCATCATATTCAAATGCTATTGTAATGGTGGGTGCACCAGATGTGAGAATCTAGCCACCCAAGGAAAGGGATGAATTTACTAAGACAACACACTGTCTTAGGAAACAGAGCCAAAGGGTTGTAGCTTAGACTATTCCACAACGCAGCAATCAGGTGTATGATGTAGTGGAGTGGTTTAGACAAGTTGTAACAAATGTTGAGTCTGAGAACTCAGGGATAAGTCAGAGGTTAGCACCTCACTGACTTTTCAGAAACAAGGAATAACAAGATCAATGCTTGGAAGCTTGGAAAAGATGTAGAAGCATGTGATAGTCAATTTACTGTATTGTCTGCTTGCCATTTCTTAAGGAAAGGCCAATCCTATTTATGCCAAAGGAGTGTAGTTCTCTCATTTTCCAAGCCTTTCCATGACTAACTGTAAGGACACAGGGCACCCAGCTCACAGTAATAGCATATGAGAGTGCGAGTCGGAGGCTAAACGGATGCTATCCTATAGGTCTACTACGAAGGATACAGTCGATTTTCTCAAGTATCCGAAACCCATCCGACTCGGTTCCGACTCGGTTAGGCCACCCAGATGATCACACGTGACCCCGCGGCTACCCGGAGTCTACTCCCTAGAATAAGAGACGAGAAGGCATCCTTACACTAACCAGGCTTGGTAACTGTAGTCAACGTAAGAGAATCCCATAGAACCATCTTAGGTTCCTAGCCTATAGGAAGTGAAAGAAGGTCCAAGGTCAGAGTACCCCTATAGACAAATTATGTCATAACTTAACCAATCTTGTGGGTAACTATGAAGCGATGACTGTCATACTGACATTCGTTGCACTCAGTTTGCTATTAAACTCAAGAGCAAACTTAGAAATCTTCTCCTCAAACCTACAAGTCACCATACATATCTTGGCTTATCACACCAACAACAGAAGCAATACTACTCAACGATTGCTGCAAACTCTTCTACTACATCTGTTTATGCTACATACATCACGGCATATCATTTGGACACTCATTGAACAAGTTATTAAGAAAATCTCCTCCTTAAGGGGGTGGGCCAATACTACCACATGGCATATCTCTACCAACTAGAGGCCTAGGAACATGAACAATAGCTCTAGAAGCTTCTACAACCCTCTATGATTCATTACACGTCATCGCTCCTTAGTTACCCACAAGATTGGTTAAGTTATGACATAATTTATCTATAGGTACTCTGACCTTGGACCTCCTTTTCACTTCCTATAGGCTAGGGACCCAAGAGATGGTTCTATGGGATTCTCTTACATTCACTACATGATTAGCAAGCTAGTTGTGGGTCGCACTTGATTTCTAATACATTTACCAAGCCTGGTTAGTCATGGAAAGTCATGGAAAATGAGAGAACTACACTCCTTTGGCATAAATAGGATTGCCCTTTCCTTAAGAAAGGGCAAGCAGGCAATACAGTAAATTGACTATCACATACTTCCACGTCTTTTACAAGCTTCCAAGCATTCATATTGTTACTCCTTGTTTCTGAAAAGTCAGTGAGGTGTTAACTGTAACGCTGACTTCTAAATGATAGAAGACACAGAGGTTCTCTTGCGTAAAGGTTTACTTATCAGAGGAGGCAGGGGATCAGACACAAAGGCTTCAAGTAACACGTTACTAGTATATAACAAATACTGTATTGAGTTGAGCACGAAGCTCCTATCTAAGGAAATACTATCTACTTATATAGTGGCGTCGTGCCTAGTGGACTCCTGGGAACTCACTCGAGTCCTCGGAGTCCTGGACTCTTAGGACTCTTCTCATCATCCTGCGAGTCCGTCACGTGATACTTTCGGACCTACTATTCCCCGCTGCCCCTCCAGGTACCAGGGCCGGTCTCATGCGACCTCCCTCCTTCCTGTCCTGTAGTTGGCCAGCCTTCTTGTTCCGTCGTAACATTAACCTCTGACTTACCCCTGAGTTCCCAGACTCAACATTTGTTGCAACTTGTCTGAACCACTTCACTACATCACACACCTGATTGCTGCGTTGTGGAATAGTCTAAGCTACAACCCTTTGGCTCTGTTTCCTAAGACAGTGTGTTGTCTTAGTAAAATCATCCCTTCCTTGGGTGGCTAGATTCTCACATCTGGTGCACCCACCATTACAGATGTACGTCCGCACTGGTGTTGACAGCACCCCACCACTATTAATCGTAGTTGTAAGGAGCGCATTTGCAGAGCGTAAGGTCATCCCATCTGGGGGGGAGCTGTTGATAAAGACTCGGTCAAAAATATCATACTGATGTGGTGTTTTTGGTCAGTCAGCCTTGACTGATGGTTCAGCATTGAGCAGCATACGCAATGCTCGCTGGGGATTAAAAGGAAACAAGCCAGCGCCACGGTATGCTGACTCAATGTTCTGATGGTTGCATACATCAAGCCGTGCCTGGATGTATGCCTCCATCCATTCATACTTCTGTATGCGCGCAAGTTGCGCTTGGTTGAGTGGGGAGAGCGCTGCTGTCAGATGCTTTTTTAGCGGGCCGAATATCGCAACATCCAGTGGTTGTAGTAAGTGCGATGTATGAGGGGGAAGTATCAGTAATACAATACGGTTCTGCATGCAATGTGCAATGAAACTCCCGCTAATGTGTGAGTCGTGGCCATCACATATAAGAAGCCAGTGCTGACCATCTGCTTTTGTACGTGTTGTTGGCTCGAAGATGCGTTTTAACCACTCCAACCCATGGAGGTTGCTTGTCCAGCCTTTCGTATTCACAGAGAAGAACCACTGGTCGATGACTGCGGGCGGAATCCATGATTGGAGAACGTTCTTGCCCTTAAAGATCCCGAGGGGTGGGAGGATGGTTCCGTCTGCGCAGATGCACTCGACCATCGAAACCCATTCCTGACGGCCAGGATGCGCTTGATGCTTCGTACGAAGTGTTGAATCAAGTATAATTCGAGTAGATTCCATTGTCCCAATCGAAAATCCGGATTCATCCATGTTATATGTGTTCTCTTGCGTGATTCCAAACTCTTGAACCACCTTGGTGTACGCGTTAAACCATGCCGTAAGCACTGGTTTTGTTGCACCGTCCATGCATACAGTTTCGATCCGTCGCCCAATAGCGACCCGTAGATGGGGATGTTGTTGTATGAATCGTGGTACCCAGTCGCGACCGAGGGAAAATCGTGGTTGGGGTAGAAGTAAGTTTGGCGTCACGTCATCAAAATTGAGTGACCAGTGCGACCGGAGTTCTTCAGCTATTTCCTTCAACAACCGATGCCCTGGAGAATAGCCGCTGATTGTTAGGTTTTTAACCCACTTTAGAAGTATCTGTTCTTGCGCGCCTGATAAATTCTGCTGTTTCTGGCGGGCTTGGGAGCGTGTCAAACCTCCATTGACGCGTCGCGTCACTGAACTCTTCGGCAGCCCCAGCACTTTCTCAGCGTGATATGCACTCTTATATTCTTAGATTGGACGTCTAATACTGCCTGGGCTATTAAAGTTTCACGCTCAGCAACACCCAGGCTTTTACAGCGAACCATTGTTGAGTTATTCACAGTTATCAGAAGTCGGCGGGGTGAATTCCCCGCGTTACGCCATCCCCCGCGTTACACCACGACTTACGTTACTTAAAATATGCGCAGTTATTCGAGTAGTTTCAATAGAGAATGGGCAAAAGTTGGTTTGATTCAATATTACAAGCTATAGAGTAATCCAAGCCTGTCCATGCCACACCTCCGTCGAACGTGTCCCCGTAACTCGCCCTTACAGCTATTATAACATTTTCATTGTCGTTCGAAGTCGTGAACTACGCCTTTAATCCGGTTCTTCCAAATGAGTAGAAGCTGCTATTTTACTTCTTGTTCAGCTCAGCGGCTCTCTTCGCTCTGTCCTCCTTCGTCCCCTCTTGTTGCACCTGGAAGTCTTTTGGGATAGCGGGGCCTGGGTTTGCTTGGTGGTGCCTGATCTGAACAGGATCTCCATGCGGCTCGGAGTCGTTGTGAACGGGGTGGCTGCTCGCTGTTGAGTTTGTCTTGGAGCTGGGATCTTTGGCAATCTGCTCGGTGATGGAACCAGCAGGGTGGTTATCATATTCGTCTGTTCCGGCAGGCATCTTGGATGAGTGCTTTTTCAGTGTTGACAGGTTTGTTGGTGACTTTTCAGTTAAGGATTTGATATTAAACGGTGGCTGTAGTAGTAGTAGATGATTTAGAGACGATGTAGATAACCTGAACTTCATTGCTGACGTTCTTATATACCCTTTGGGTACCTGTGTAACAAGGGTGATGACGTCGTCGTCCACGCCTCAAACTTGCGTGTCGTAGATTGAGCGACGCGCTAAAAGTATATCACGTGACCACGGGATTATGACGCGGGGGCCAATGCTCAACTGAAAGAACCCACGCGATTTCTGCCCAAGGAGTTGAATACCAGAGTTTCCAAGGAGGAATGCTTGACTACCTGCGGATTAATAGAAGCCCACAATGAGCTTCGAATATGCCCTCCGAAAGCGATGACCAACAACAGCCGGTGAAGCTATCACTGCCGCTGGTATGTGTGATAGCCCAGCTTACCTTGGCGCCGCTGACCATTATCTAGGAGTACCAGCAGGAGATATTTAACGAACTCCGCACCGAAGATGAGCTCCTCATATTGGCTCGGGGTTGCGGCCTTTTACGAATCGTGACGAATCTCCTACACTCTTACGACGCAGCTGGGAATAACCTCGTACTTATTGTCGGGGCGGAAGATCGTGAGAATGGGTGGATTGGAGAGGCCTTGGCTGAACATGCAGCTATCAGCGGCTCCTCTAAAGCTCGAGGTCTCAGCGTCGTCAATACAGATCTTATGAACGTCGGCACCAGAGAGAGGATGTATGCGAACGGTGGCATATTCAGCATTACATCCCGGATTCTTGTCGTCGATTTATTGACGAGTTTGCTGGCGCCTGACACTATTACGGGTATTATAGTGCTGCATGCTGATCGAGTTGTTGCGACTTCCACGGAAGCTTTCATTCTTCGAATATACAGGCAGCAGAACAAAGATGGGTTCCTCAAGGCATTCTCCGACAACCCAGAGGCATTCACAGTGGGCTTCGCTCCACTTGCGACAATGATGAGAAACCTCTTCCTTAGGAAGGCCTCGTTTTGGCCACGCTATCAAGCCACGATACAAAGATCACTTCAAGGGAAAAAGAAAGCAGAAGTGATCGAATTGGAAGTACCGATGACCGATGCTATGCGAGATATCCAAAACGCCATCATGGAATGCGTTGAAGCCAGCATCGGGGAGCTCAAGAAAGGAAATTCGGGGCTTGCAATGGAAGACTGGAACGTTGACCGGGCAATTCACAAGGCTTTCGATGCGATGGTTAGGCGGCAGCTCAATCCAGTGTGGCATCGTGTTAGTTGGAAGACGAAGCAGATAGTCAGCGATTTGACTGTCCTCCGTGGACTGTTAGATGCCTTACTGACCTACGATGCCGTCTCATTTCTTCGCTATTTGGATACAGTTGTGGCCGTGCACTCGCCGCCTCCAGGCTCTACGAGACAGAATGTATCACCTTGGCTTTTCTTAGGTGCCGCGCATACGATATTTGACACTGCCAAGCGGCGAGTCTACACCGGCAAGTTAGACCGCAAAAGTTCCGCAAATACAAATTTGGAGGGTTCCCTTCGTCCCGTTTTAGAAGAACAGCCGAAATGGGGGCAGCTAGCTGAAACATTGGAAGAAATCGATCGAGACTTATACTTCAATACACTGATCCGGGATGACTCCAATGGCACGATTTTGATAATGTGCGCGGATACAGCAACATCCCGCCAAATAAAGGAATACCTGCAGATTATGCACGTTCAAACTGAGGACCAGACCGATGATGGTGACTCCGAACCAAAGCCATCAGCGGCACATATGATGCGGAGCAAGCTAAGAGATTATCTTAGATGGAAACCGGAATTTGCAAAAATAAGTTCATCTCTATTTGGGGAGAACCAAAAATCCTTAAGTGAAGCTGGCGGCGGAATAGGAGGGCCAAGCAGCTTCCGAGGAAAACCACCCCCGAACAAGAGAAGGCGAATTAGAGGAGGCAGAAGCAATATATCTACGTCTCATCGCGGGGCTGATGGCAATGTTCAAATAGGAGAGGACAAGCCTTCAGAAGTCGCAACATTGTTGTCGGAAATCCGTCCAACAGATGCCGAGTCAATGCAAAAGGCCGAGCCCATCGTGGATCCACTGGATGTCACAGAGGATTTCTTTGAGCTATTTGATATGGATGAGCTGATTGTCGTTCATGCATATGATGGCGACATGGACGAGCACCTGTTGGAAGAAGTCAAACCTCGATATATCATCATGTACGAACCCGAGCCAACGTTCATCCGCCGCGTTGAGGTCTACCGCAGCTCGCACAACGACCGCAATGTCAGATCATATTACATGTGCTACGGCGGGTCTGTCGAGGAGCAACGATTCCTGACCGCGATCCGCAGAGAAAAAGATGCCTTTACACGGCTGATTAAGGAGAAGGCCAATATGTCGATTGTTATGACGGTGGATGCCCATGGGATTGAAGACCAGGAGGATGTATTTCTTCGGACTATTAACACTCGTATTGCGGGTGGTGGACGGCTCGCAGCTACAGCCACTCCGCCACGAGTTGTCGTCGATGTCCGCGAAGTCCGGTCTTCTCTGCCTTCGCTCCTCCACGGCCGCAATATGGTCATTGTGCCTTGTATGCTCACCGTAGGCGACTACATTCTGTCACCGGATATATGTATCGAGCGCAAGAGCATCAAGGATCTGATCTCCTCGTTTAAAGACGGCCGCCTTTACACCCAAGCAGAAACGATGCTCCAGCACTACAAATCGCCTATGCTGCTCATCGAATTCGACCATAACAAGTCCTTCATGCTCGAGCCCTTCGGTGATGCCCAAGGCTCATCGTCAGCCCTAGCAGCCAATTCATCGTCGGATCTCCAGTCCAAGATTGTTCTTCTCACCCTCGCCTTCCCGCGGCTACGCATCATCTGGTCCAGTAGCCCCTACCAGACGGCGGAGATCTTTGAGAGCTTGAAGACGCAGCAGGCGGAGCCGGACCCGATTGCTGCCGTCAGGGTGGGGCTGGATAAGGATATGAACGCTGAGGATCAGGTTTTCAATCGCGAGCCGCAGGATATGTTGAGGGTGGTGCCGGGGGTCACGAGCAAGAATCTCAAGAATCTGGTGTTGAAGGCGGGGAGTATCATTGAAGTGTCTAATATGAGCGAATCGCAGCTGGCGCCTATGGTGGGGAAAGAGGCGGGGAAAAAGATTCATAGGTTTTTCAACACGAATGTGTTGGACGGTTAGATAATGGCAAACACAGTGCACAGGTCCCAACTATAGCCTTTGATTCGGTGAAAACCAGAAGTTAACAATTCACATGACCCCTGGTTTTGGAGATGGTCTATATGCCTTGTCTAGCCGGGCGTAGTTGGAGAATAAACGCGGCGGAACTGCTCCGCGAGAGCATTTGGGGTAAGCTACAACCTAAAAGAGCTATATTATAGGATAATTTTGACATGGAGAAAGATGTCTGATGTGAGATTGCCGTTAGAACCGTACAGGAGCCAGTTATCCTGCCTTTGGCGTTAGAAACGTGCCTAGTTTTTCCGTTCCCCTCATTGCTGAATAATTCTACGAACGAACCCCTCTTCCAGCCGCCCGAGTAGTCACTTACTTGAATCGAATAACTTCACACAAATTATTACTTATACTTCTTATTATACCCCTTTGTCGTTAAACATCAAAGTCAACTTAATCAACTCATATCACAATGTCTACCAAGCCCATCCGCCGCGTCACCCTCTTCAAGATCCCAACGGAAGAGGGTCAAGAAAAGCTCCTTGCGAAATACCACACCATGCCTCAAGAAGCACTCAAGGTATTTCCACCCACCTCCCTATCCCACTTACATCTTATCCCAGAGCTAACGGGGCCCTCAGGACGGCGCACCATACATCCTCGACATCCAAGCCGGCAAGACGTTCCCCGACCAGCGCGCCCAGGGCTTCACCCTGGCCGTTTCAACGGTCTTCAGGAACAAGGAGGATATGCTGTTCTACGACAATGAGTGCACAGGGCACGCGGATCTCAAGAAGGTGGCTATGGCCGTACACGAGGGCATCATAATGGTGTATTTCGAGAGCATCTTTGATTAGAGGGAGGGTGCAAAGTGAAGGCCGGATGGACGGAGCAGTTGCGGAATGGACCCTCAGCCAGGAACGGGGTTAGTGTAGATATGTCCGCAGAGCATAGATTACAAGTGATGATTTCTCCATATTCTGTGTCCGTGTATTTTTATTTCAAGATTTATCATGATTGCTAAATGAATATGCGTGATAAAGTGAGTTTCCGACAGTGGATACATAAGTTACCCCATAGTTTTCCCTTTGGAAGTTGGAGATGTATCTTGTACCCCGCATGCGGAATTAAAAACACCACTCCGCGCTTTTCCGCCATCCCGTCATCGAATGGCTATGCCGCGCGCTAACCCCGCGACCCTCCCGAGCTCCAAGCCAAGGGTCCATTGATAGAAGGCTACAGTATGATAATAGTAATATTTCCCCTCAAATAACTTGTAACTTCTCTAAAATCGACTATTCTATAAATTTCCCATTGCCTGCCAATACAACTTTCGGATTTTGAAGATAGCTCGCTGGAACAAAGACAAGACTGCATTGGAGCGATATAATAAGCTGTTTGACAGTGTAGATCTCCCATCAGGTCTTCAATATGCCGGTCACAGCATTTAAGGTGGAGGAACAATACTCATATCAGAATGGGTTTGGTTCATACCATGAGTAAGAAGCCATCTTATTATGAAATCCAATGAGCTAACTGCATTACAGATCAGAAGCCATCGAAGGAGCATTGCCCGTAGCTGCGAACTCACCACAAAAGCCGCCGTACGGCCTCTACGCAGAGAAGCTTTCCGGCACAGCTTTCACAGCACCCCGCCACGAAAATCTCCAATCATGGTTATACCGAATCCTTCCCGCAGCATCACACAGCGACTTCGCCGCATACAATGGTGCAGTTGAGTCCACCTCTCAGTCTCCACTTCATCAAATTCCCAACCAGCTCCGCTGGAACCCCTTCGACATGGACGAAACAAAAGATTGGGTACACTCCCTCAAGCACCTCGGTGGCGCCGGTTCCCCAGCCATGAAATCCGGTCTGGGCATCCTCATCTTCGCCGCAGGCAAGGACATGGGCAACGAGGCCTTCTACTCCGCCGACGGCGACTTCCTCATCGTCCTCCAACACGGCGTCCTCGACATCCAAACCGAGCTCGGCCGCATCCTCGCCCGCCCCAATGAAATTGTCGTCATCCCCCGTGGTGTCCGCTACCGCGTCACCCTCCCCGTGGGCCCCGTCCGCGGTTATATCCTCGAGCTATACCAGGGCCACTTCGAGCTTCCCGAGCTAGGCCCCATCGGATCCAACGGGCTCGCGAACGCGCGCGACTTCCAAGCCCCTGTAGCTGACTTCCAGGAAGATACCTCCAGCACCTGGACCATCTACTCCAAGTTCGACGGAAACCTCTTCACAGCCTCGCAGAACCACACACCCTTCGACATCGTCGCGTGGCACGGGAACTACTACCCCTACAAGTACGACCTCGGGCGCTTCAACACCATCGGCAGCATCAGCTTCGACCACCCCGACCCGAGCATCTTCACCGTGCTAACCGGCCCATCCGACCACGTCGGCACCGCCATCGCCGATTTCGTCATCTTCCCCCCTCGCTGGCTCGTGCAGGAAGACACCTTCCGCCCGCCGTGGTTTCACCGCAACACCATGTCCGAGTTCATGGGTCTGATCACCGGTGACTACGATGCCAAAGAGGGAGGCGGGTTCAGACCCGCCGGCGCGAGTCTGCATAATGTGATGAGTGCGCATGGGCCGGATGCGGCGACGCATGAGAAGGCGAGTGGGGCGGCGCTGGCGCCCATGAAGGTTGGGGAGGGGAGCATGGCGTTTATGTTTGAGAGTAGTTTGATGATTGGGGTGTCGGAGTGGGGGCTGAGGGAGTGTGAGAAGGTGCAGCCGGATTATAATGAGAAGTCGTGGGAGGCGCTGAAGGTGAATTTTAAGAGGCCGGAGGGGAAGTAGGTAGGGGGTGTATTCGTAGTTATCCTCGCTATTTAGCTTTTTAGTGTTAGCTATTGTAAGGAATGAATATCCGTTACTTTTATCTACATCCTGTGTATCACTGTGCGTATGTGTCTTGTACTCACATAAACCAGGCAGCCTTCATGACTCCCATTTATAAACTTTTATCGTATGATATTTGTATCATCTCATATCTACAGCTCAACAACCCCAAAATAAAACCACCTATCTTCTCAAGCCTGCGCCCCAGTAACCTCAAACTCCTCAATCTCTCTCCTCAGCACCTCCACCCTCCTCGGCACAAAATACGCCTTATACCTCTCCGGCATCGCCACCAAGCTCGTCGGATCCGAATTCCCCGTCAACGGATGCGCATCCACCCCATCCGCGCTGCGGATCTCAAACGCATTCAACATGCGGATAAACACAAGATAAAGCTCTCTATTCGCCAGCAATGAGCCAGCACACATGCGGTAGCCCATGCCGTAGGTAAACATCGGCGCGTCGGGCTGCTCGAGCCAGCGCTCGGGGCGGAAGACAGAGGGATCGCTCCACACGGCGGAATCCATGTTGCAGGCCCATGCGTTGAGGAAATAGACTGCCTTTGCGGGGATGACGATGCCGTTGTAGGTGACGTCTTTGATGGGGAGGGCGAGACGGAGGACGGTGAAGTAGCTGGGGGGTGTTAGTAGATGAATATGCGGAGAAGGGGGGGGGGGCTTGGATTACCGAAGGCATTCGCGGACGAGGGCGACGATGTAGCGGCATTTTTGGTCGTCCTGGGCGCACAGAGGGGTTCGTCGGGGTGTAGAATTCGGCGATCTCGGCCCATGCTTTCTTTGGGATGTCAGGGCGCTGGGCGAGGAGAGCGACGCTCTATTGGAGGAGGGTTGTGACTGTGTCGAGTCCGCCGGAGAGCATGGTGAGACTGATGGATGTGAGTTCGGCATCGTTGAGTTGGGTCTCCTTGTCGAGGATGACGTTGGCTTGGATGCATGGTTTGTGCGTCCCCTTCTCCATGCGCTCCTCGAGACCTTTATTAAGGCCCTTCAAGTACACGTCGCGGCGATTTCTCATCTCACGGGCTTTCTTGGAGCCGAAGCTGAAGGGGTTCAGACGTAGGAGAGGAATAAAATCCAAAAGGTTACCGGTTGTGCTGCGGAATGTGCTGACTTCTCCTCAACGTGGGTGATCTCCTTGAAAAGTGCATCGTTCTGGCTGCTCATACGGACACCCCAGTTCAGAGTCAAGGCAAGACTGAGACTCGGGGCGTTGGATACAAGGTAAGGGATCGACACCGACAGTTCCCTCTTTGCCATATGTGAGGAGCTCAGACAAGAAGTCCTTGGTTTCGACGTCCAAGTGTGGGATATAGGTTTGTACAGAAGGTCGGTTGAGGGCAGAGGCGGCTACCTTCCGGCGGCGCTTCAATGAATCGCTGTAAGGAGATGTCCCAATGGTAGTTCCAGCGGTATCCGAAATAACCTATGAAACAATTTCGTATCAGGTCTTTTAAACTTTGCACGATTATGACATTTTAATCTTACCTTGTGAAACGTATAAAACTCGGGTCTCGAGCTCAAAGCCTGGGCGTGTTGGCCAAACAAGACCTTGGCTGAAGCAGCAGAGTTGACAACGACAACCGGAATATTCCCAAGCTGGATCTGGTAAACTGCTCCGTATGTCTTCGCCCACTCTCTGTATTTCTCAGCTGCATTCACGCGGATCTGCCCAATGTTTCCTATCAATGGAATTCCAGAAGGCCCTTTCATCCCCGGAGTGCGTGCCTGTCGACGCACAAACTCATTTATAACGACATAAGTAATTGGCACGAAGACGACTAGGAATTCCAACGGGGAAGTGGACCATACCGCCCGCCGGAACAGGTTCCGCGACTGTATATCGCCGCCATTGTACCATTATGGGCCATCCTTTTGAACATTGTCCTTCTTGTAATCGAGAGGCGATTGTTGGTAATGCGTATCGAGTCTATTCTATCTCTAAAATCCATTAGATTGGAAGACTGAGACACGCGGGTTGCATTAGCGAGCGTACAACAGTCGTTACCCTACAGCTCTGTGGGCATTTTAGCAATCAGTCGATAGAATAGGCTACGTGTATTGCAACCACAGCCAAGCGTATAGTATAAAACTCATCTACTTTTTAAGAAATATGGGCAAGGGCTCCGTCTTCCTCCTCGGTCCAGGTTTCATTGGACTCGGAGTCCTCAAAGAGCTCCTCCATGAAGGGTACCAGGTCACAATCCTGGTCCGAAAAGAAGAAGCAAGAGCAGGTCTCGAGAAGCTCGGCACTAAAACTATACTCGGATCGCTGGATGACGGTGATATAATCTGCAATGCTGCCGCCGCCGCCGACGTCGTAATGCACACCGCGACGGCTGATCACGAGCCCTCAGCCGTTTCCATCCTCGAGGGCATCAACGAGCGCGCCAAAACTGGAAAGAGCTCTATCTACATCCACACCAGCGGCTGCAGCGTCATCACTGATAAATCCAACGGTGCATACGCCAGTGACAAGATCTACGAAGATGACAAGCCCGAGACGATTGATAGTGTAGCGGACGATGCGCCCCACCGCACCATCGACCTGGCCATCCTCAAGCGCCGCGCCGAACTGGGAGCTAAAGCGAAGATCGCGATTATGTTCCCGCCCCTGATCTACGGGCTGGGCCAGGAGAACCGTCTCTCGATCCAGCTCCCGACCATGGCGCGCTTCGCGCTCAAGCACGGCTACGCGGGCTATGTAGGGAAAGGCAAGGCGCTCTGGCGACACATCCACGTGGCTGATCTGGCGCGGGGCTACATGACCATCCTGCACCACATGGAATCCTCGTCTGGAGAGGAGGTGCTCAAGAACCCGTACTTCTTCTCCGAGAACGGGGAGGACTACTCGTGGGAGGCATGTGCTGAGATGATTGGGAAGGCGCTGAAGCAGGCGGGCAAGATCGAGGATTCGACGCCGAGGGAGATTCCGGAGGAGCTGTATGGTGATCTCTTCAAGGAGTGGTCTGTCCCAGTCATTGGGCAGAATGCGAGGAACCGTGCCAATAGATTGCGTGCGCTGGGCTGGGAGCCCCGTGAGAAGTCGACGTTCGATTCTTTGATGTCGGATGAGTTGCCCCTCCTGCTGGCTGAGACGGGAGAGTTCAATGGCTACGCAGCAGCTGTTGCTTCCTAGTTCTGTATGCCGCTTAATAGCTAATAGCACTGCTAAAAGCAAATCCAGAAAATCATGAGCCCAACTTTACACCAATGGACACCTCGTATTTCGTGGATCAGGCGTTCGCCTTGCCTCGAATATCAACTGCACTTCATTCTCCCAGCGCTCCCCGCATCCCCACGTACATTAAAGCCCCCATAATCCATTGAAAAAATTAGGGATTCCGCGCTCTGAAAACAAACAGATAAGAGTTAAATAGTTAATTGATTCCGAGCACATCCTGGGCCAAGGCCCAGCTGTCACAAGCAAGTTACCCACTCCGACTCCACCCAGAAAACATGGTATGGCCACAATTGTGGCTTGCATGATTGATTGATTTGCAATATACAAATTCCTAAAAAGACACCTTTTAATATTCGAGGTTGTTCCCGTATTATAAATAGGCAAAAGAAGCCAAAGGCGACTGAGACTGACCGCACTTTTGTCTCACTTCGCTCGCGATTGATGTCGGAGACAAACCCCGCTCGACACATTTAGAACATATCCTGCACCTCAACACCTGGGCCATAGCACTACAATTCGCCCATACAGACTACTGCGGCCTCATTCACAATGCTTTCTTCGCCAATAGTCCGCGCAACAATCCAATCATGCCTCCTCTCCGCATCAAGTAACGTGCTCGCCCAAACCATCAGCGCATACCGAACAAACGTAACCTCCCCACCCCTCTCTCCCAGCAACACCACTAACAAACCCCGCAGTCACCATACACCATATCCTGGACGCCCGTCCTACACTTCATCATCTACACCGCCCTCAACTGTCCCCCCAACTTCCTCTGGCAACAGCTCCTCGAGTCCCTCTTCCCAAGCCGCACCCTGCGCCCCTCTCCCGCTGCCATCGCCGCCGCATCATCCAACGACGACAAGGAGCTCGACTCCGAGGAGGCCACCCATTCAATCGTTGAACCGCGCCTCAATCGCCGCAACACCGTGCTAAAGTTCCTCATTGACCAGAGCGCGGGCGGCGCAGCTAACACCATCGCGTTCGTCATGATCATGGCTGGGCTGCGCGGCGCGAGCTGGGAGGAGGCCTGGAAGCTTGTTCAGTTCGAGTTTTGGCCGCTGATGATCGCTGGTGCTAGACTGTGGCCGCTGGTTAGTCTTGTCAATTTTACGGTTCTGGAGTCGGTGGAGGCGAGGAATCTGCTGGGGAGTTTGGCGGGGATGGCTTGGGGTGTGTATTTGAGTCTCGTGGCGGCGAGCCCGTGATGCTCTCTGAGAGCAGTTTTAATGATCTATGGCAAGCCATGTGGTGAAAATGCCTCATGGTAATTGAATGAACGGCTGCTACTTCTACAATTACAGATTTGTAGCCTTGAACACATGTGACCGCTAGGTGGATTCCATGTGCTTCTGGTCTTGCATTTTTGATATATGATGGCAAAGTTTAGTCCTCTTTGCTTCTGAAATCAAGTAACACGTGCACCGGCGCCACCACCACCGTCATACCACCTCTTCTGGCGTGTCCCTCTTGACAAAAGCCTTTGCCCGGTACTTGAAGTGGTTGAAAGATGGAGAATATACCCACCGGACAATTTATCTCAGAAGAAACGAAGTTGCTGGAACATTGCATGACGGTAACATGGCGTTTGTCCAAGAGCTACAAGTGGGCGCGTCATTGCTTGTGGTATTGTCTTTTTAGGTCAGAATATAGAGGTCCTCAGAGTGGTTGGAAAGGGAAGTGGGAATTGCGAGTCATATTTGGGGCTTGGGGCATAGAACGATTTGTCGTGGCTGGTGAACGAAGGAAGGAACGACCAGACGTCTGAATTAACTAGTGCAACGAAGATCACTTAAGGAAGGAACGACCAGACGTCTGAATGAACTGGCGCAACGAAGATCACTCGAGGAAGGAACGAACATCTCGTTGTCAAAAAGAGAAGGAGCGCAGGCGCTGGCAAGGACAAGGGAATCAAAATATGCGATCAAAGGAATATCGAATCAGCAAAGATTAGCGTCATAAATCAAAGGTGAAAAGCAATCGGTTTCAATCTAATTGATTGTCTATCGGCTCTCCTATCTACAATAGTACAGTGGAAGTAGAAAATGGCAACTCTATAACATTTAAAGTACAGACAAGTCGCCAAATTTCTCCTGTATATTGAATTAGCACATGTTTTCCCGAAAGCAAGACAACTGTCAACAGCTGTTTTACGTACCTTGTAGCCTGGAACGCCCCAGCGTCCCTTGGAGACGAGCTGAGTGGTTCTCTCGTCGATATCTGGGCGGGCGGCGGCAACTTCGTCCTGGAGAAAAATGTCAGCCACCATCCATAAACACCAATGTATCCGGCACTACATACCACAGTGAGGTCCTCGAATGGGCGCGCGTCCTGGATGTTCTTGAGGGTCTTCTCCAAATCCTGGAGCTCGAGGTCGACTCTGCTCTTGGTCTCCTCAGCGTTCTTGATGGCCTGGGTCTCGAAGGTCTCGATAGCCTTGACCTGGCGGGAAACGTCGTAGGTGGCAGGCTTGAACGACTTGAAGTGATTCTCTATGGAGTCAACGACGGCCTGGTTCTTGAGAGTCGCGCGGTAGTGGCTGAAGTCTACAGTGGATGGCGCCTCGGAAAGCTGTTGGAGCTTGCGGCGGGCATCCTCGTTGCGCTTCTTGAAGGCGTGGAGGGAGGCGACGGTCTGGCCGCGGAGCCCAAGGCTCGTGGTGACTGCTTGCCAGTCAAGCTTGAGAGCTGCGCTACGCTGTTGTGTTGCTGTCAGCTTGTTGTTCTCGAATAGATCTCAGGGTCAGGAAGAAGTTGATCAGCCCCCAGCGGATGCCACAGCGCCTTCTTTCGGACCCCGAAAACTCGATCTAGTAGCTCGCTTCAATTCAATTGACTGATTGCACTTACTCCGGCTGACATTGTGAAGGTGACGCGATTGAACGATGAGGGAGTTGATGATCGTGGTGTCTCAAGGGTGCAGAACTCATTCGGCTGAAGCTAACTCGGTTATATATTTCACGTGACCGCACCCAACTTTTGTTCCGATATAACGAATACAGGGAGCTACAAAAGTAATGGAACTTCAATAACCAGTTACAGATACATGTAGCTAAGAGTCACTGTGTTTGGTTTATGGGAGTAGGCATAGTTGAAGGTTATTTTATGAGACCATAATAAAATGGCACTTTGGTCTGGTCTGGTTCATACATGCTCTCGGAATCTGCACTTGCCCATCTACTACTTTACAAAACCTGTAATAGAAACGGCTGTCCATATCATATTACTGCTTTATTGCACATTGTACAAAAGCTAGGTAGATAACAAGGCGTCAGGCGCTGAACAATTGCCCCGTCCGAACCTATATACTGAGAGCCATGATCGAGTTGACTATGTCGCTGTCGTTCTCTTTCAATGCCTTGACAGCCTTGTTGCGGGAAACGTTTGCCTGGGTCATGACAAGCTCAATATCCTTGTCCTCAAGTCCCTCAGCGTCAACCTCCTCATCATCTTCCTCCTCCTCCTTCTTCTCGTCAGCGGCCTCGACAGCCTTGCCCTTGCCGTGGTCGTGGGAGTAATCGTGAGTGGTGTGGTCGTTGCCAGTTTGGTCGTTGGTGTCAGCAGCTGCGAGCTGTTGGGCGGCAGATGCCTGTGCCTGGGAGTTGAGGTCCTCAATCTTGGCCTCACCGAAGACGCTAAGGGCAAATTGTAAGTATACATGCCAAACACCTTGGAGAAATAATTGGTATCTTACATGTAGGTGTTGCTGTTGGGCGACTTGTATACCTCTGGCTGGTTGATGACAAAGAGGATCTGGTAGACAGTTAGATCGGATGGTCTACGGCAAATATATCTGTAGGCCTGGACAAGCCTCCCAGTCTGCCAAAGGAGTTTCCATGCTACGTACGTTCTTTGGGCGTCTCAGAGTAACTCTGGTGATACCTGGGACTCTGACCAAGCCGAGTTTGGCAATCGACTTGCGGGCCTTCTTCTCATTGCGAGAGTGGACAACGGCGGTGGCGCCAGCTGGGATGGACTCTCCGGTCTCGACCTCGGAGTCAGAGTCGTCAGATGCTTCCTCCTCTGCCACAACCTGCTTGGGCACCTCCTCGTCGTTCAGTTCTTCGATGCGTGGGTTAGACATGGTGAGAGCTGTGAGGACCTTGTATTAGCTGTGGCGTTCTTCTCGATTGTTCCTGACGAAATTCCAAAATTTGTGCGGGGTGCCATTGCTCGATTTTGGCTGGTCGTCTTTTTCACAGGGTCGCACGTAATAGCTGTACAAAAACGGGCATTAACATACCTTGGATTCTTTAATGCACTGGGGCTGGAGTCAAATTATTGTAACCTCGTCGGTGTTGTCGATAGAGTGTTAGGGTTCGCACGCAGTTTATCAATTCGGCTAAGCCTAAACGAGTAGGCGGGCATAATTTCCGAACATTTCGAGGTGACGGCTATGCTGTACGTCCCTGACCCATATGTAGGACATGTACGATAATTAGAGGTTACAGACTGGTTAATGTACAATGGCTTATATCACTTCACAAACAGGTCTCTCAAAAATAGGCATAACGCCGCTTTGCTGGGACTGAGTTCCGGATAGTCTTTGATGTCCATATGCATTTGACGCCTGCCTTCTTTGACGTAGCATACAAGGCTTCCGAATAAGCTAAGGAACCCAGCAACCCATGAATTTCATGATCACGCTCCCCGTGCCATAAAGATCCCCTTATTTCGCAGCTGCCTTGACCTTGGCCAACGACTTTCTGACCTCAAAACGTGCCTGCTTCCTCAGTCTCAGAACCTTGAAGCGCTCGAAATCGGTGAGTGCGCGACGGCGCTCCTTCTGGGCGCGCTTCTTTGCCCATGCGCTCTCCTGCCACTTGGCCTCGATGCCAGCCTTCTCCCATGCAGCCTTGACGGTGCCGGAGCGGGATCCACGGGGGAGCTTCTCCAGAACGAGGGGTGTGAGAATGAGACGGGCGAGAGCGATCGACTGGCGGGGGACGGCGGTCTTGGTATCGGTGGATGGGCCATCAATCAGGACCTGCCTGCAGTTAGTATATATATCCCAGGTATCTCAGGTCTTTTTTGCTGGACGTACGCGCTTGTGGTCGATGATCTCGACAATAGTGGCGAGCTTTCCATCTTGGGATCCTCCATCGATGAGAACGATCCTTCCCACCTCGACTAATCTCCAGCTGGAGGCTTTGATCTCAGCGTCTCCCATTGTGTTGGCTGTCGAAGTCGAAAAGCTGGGTGCTGTTTGTTGGGTGCGGATGTCGTGGAGTCGCGACTGGATTCAATCTCGATGTGGGAAAAATTGAAGCGAGCCCTAGCCAGCTTTCCGCACCACATTTGGTTTAGGTCGCACGTGACTAAGCCTGGCAGGGATAACGTTACTCCGGCAAGAACTTCTCTTCTACCTATTTAATAAAAGCTATTTTCTCTTCAACCACGATCCTTCCAAACATTCACCCAGTCTCTGGTAGACCACCATTGAATGTGCTATACGAGCACTTTTCCAACTGGTGGTTCAACACCTTATTCACTGTATGTTATACCTTCTTCTTTTCTCCCGCAGCTTCAGGTGATGATATAATTTGCGATTGACCTTGCGTTCGTGGGACCCTCGCCGGGGTTTCTATACGGCGCGAGAGAGAGATATACCTTTCTTACATATCCTGATTACTGAAGCTCAAGAATGATTTGTTTTCTATATCATTTCTGTGTATACATACTGACCTGTGTCAGAATTTTTAGCATACCTGCACAAATAGATGGTGGGCCTGGAACCGAACGTTTCTATGACGAAGGACTCGTCGGTTCTGGGTCAGCTTGACAGTTGCTCAATGGTATGTCATATCTCATTTATATACAATCACCAACCCAAAATACGTCCAATGATTAAAAAACAAGCACTGAAAATCGTGAAACTCTTCGGAGTTTATGAACTTTTCTAACCAAGATCACTGAGCTGGACCTTCCAATACATTTCATAATATATAAACTTTACGGTGTTGAACACGTACTAATACTGTCTCAGGATACTTGCAAACAAACAGTCATGATGTATGGTCATTCCCATAAGCAGATTTAGGTTGACTTCACCGGCGATGATTCATACCAGTCACCCATAATAGTTAATTATATATTGAATAAAGAAGATATACCTGAACCAGATCATCAAGTGAATGCCTTAACTGAATAATTGGGTGCTGTCTGTGAGGCTATAAATGCGATCGGTTTTGCTCGGGATCAACAAGAAACTTACCTCATATATCTTCAACACATGCAATGCTCTTCACTACGACTCTCCCACCATAATCTATTTTGACGGCTCAACACTCAAAAGCATACAAGGGGTAGACCATCTGAGACATATCTTGGCATACATCTCAACCTCATCAGGTACTGTTCAACCTCCAAGCTATTATAATCTATCGCCCACAGCAACCCTTGCAAGTGTGGTAATGAGCTACCAACGACCAAGAGACTTTCCAGGTCATAACAGGCCAACCCCGCAGCGTTTTCTTACCCCTCTCGGTTGGGCAGTCCGCTTTCCTGATGGCCACATAGTTTACGAGAACCGTATGGGCAGACAGGGACCCCCAAGGGGTGGCTATCCATCTCCGAGTCAGTTCCCAGCCCGACATCCAGGGCAGCCCCAGGGGCAGTACCCGGGACAATCGATGGGCGGTTTCCCAGGGCAGTCCCAAGGTCAATATCCAGGACAATCGATGGGTGGTTTTCCAGGGCAGCCCCAAGGGCAGTTCCCAGGACAATTCTTTGGTCAATCTCGAAGCCAGTCTTCAACTCAGTCCTCTAGCCTCGTCCCAGGCATGGTCATAACCCAGTCATCCGGCCAGATACCGGGGGTGACTATAATACAGCCCCTAGGCACAGGCCAGTCTCCAGTGTTCATATCCCCATCTCCCGGGCAGGTCCTCGGCCAAAGCCCAGGCGGTCAACCCACGCAACAACCCGACGGAGGCTGGTCAGCGCCGCCAGGGCCGAAACCTCGCCAGCGCTTCCGAACCGGCCCTGAGCGGGTGAGGGTGGCTGATCTCAAAGAGGATGAGATAGATTGTCCGATCTGCTATCGAGATTATTACACTGGTGATTCTGAGAACGAATCGGAGGATGCGGTGAGGATAGCGTGTGGACATATGTATGGAAGGAGGTGCCTGGACAAATGGATTCAGGAGAATGATACTTGTCCAACTTGTCGAGGCAAGCTGGATCTTGTGAATGCTGTCGCTGGAAATCCATAAGTTTGCTTCGGTAGGGGTTGTTCGGGCTGAGTGAGTACTGGGCGAGGGCACGCATTTTGTTTATATCAAAGAGGGGCGCTGCAAGACCGAGGGCTCGGGAGTTATGAAAGGATTGAGCGTGTGTTGATTTGAGTAAATAATGGTTAATAGAACTCCACTCATATTGCAGGATAGCAGGACGATGATTTGGTTTTTTGCTACTAGCTTATTTGCTTAGCAGTAGATAGCAAAGCACAATAAATGAAAGTTATCTACCATATACTATCTCTTATTCCGAATTATGAAGTCTTTCTTGGCGGTAATGAGAGAAACACCCCCCAGAATGGATCGTGTGAATGGCCCATATACTCGTGCCCCCAAAAGTCCGACGAGGAGCTGTGCATAACAACAGCGATTACAGTAACTATAACTCAATTAGAGTCATTCAATCACTCACGGCTACAATCAGCAAGTCAGCTACTAATAGGTATAACTGAAGAGATAAACTCTGTCAGCTTAAATAGTTATCATTAGTCCTCAGCTAAGTCCGTCCCTTTTCTTCAGACTCTGGGCGGCACAAGTAGTCAGCCGCAAGGATAAACCTACACTTCATATTCCTTGAAAGTTTCCCAAGTTCAAGTTCTTTGCAAAAGACAGTCAAATCGACCCATAAACAACAAAAATGAGGCTCAAGCACTCCATCGTGAAATTTCATTGATGTGCCGTTGCTGGTGCTACCCCTGCGACTTGTGCTACGCCTCACAATCCCTGTCCCGAGACGTCAGGAGTCTCGACACCCCCAATCCAAACCTCGCCGGGCATCAACCACGCGCCACCAACTCCAAAAAATCGTAAGTGCCTGTTTCAATTGCGGGCTCGTGTAAGTATGACCTGGCCTCCCATCAACGACCCAAGTGGGGTGCGTAGTAGCGCCTCGCCGAGTTTGTCTGGCTTGTCGCCGGCCGTCGTCTTTCCCATTCTGTTTCTTCTCCTTCCATCTGTCTATCCTTTGAGAGGTGTTTTCGGAGATCGCAGCGCGAGGCTCATTTTCGATTCTTGCTCTTATTATTTTTGTTTAATTTTGTGGGATAGAGAATTCGGGTGCTGGCATATTTTTCTATTCCTCGACGCCGGTCGTCAGTACGAAAAAGAGGTGTTTGCCAGCGACGATTCGAAACCTTCGGCGAAGGATATACCACCAGTTAACAGTTCCGACGACGACATAAGCCATGGCGAACAGAGTCCTCTTGGCCTTTTTGGCGTTTGACATGCTCTTTCTCCTCTCAGCAGCACTTCTCATCGCCTTCCCCATGATCATGAAAGACCGCATTAGCCAACCGCCAACACAGGAAACAGTTGCTGAGAACCTCTTGCTGGAACGATGTCCCTTGACTGGTTCGTCAATCCCTCCATATTGACATTACTAGACTATAACTCACATATGAATCTCGCAGCTGCCATGGTCAACGCCATCATCATGTTCGTGACATTCCTGGCGACCATCCCCGCGCTCCTGATGCCGACTTCGCGCATGTGGCTCAAGATCCACGGATACCTCGTTTTTATCTGCGCTATGGTCTCGATGGCCATTGGACTCGTGCTCTGGTTCGATACATTGAAGACTCGCACGAACCTCTCGACTGTGTGGGCTGCCCAAGCGCAAGAGGTACAGAGTCTGTTGCAACAGAAGGTGAGATAGATATAGGCAAAGCAGGCTTGGAGGTTTACTGACGGCGGATTAGTTTAAATGCTGTGGCTACTTGAGTAGCAGCTCGCCGCCGTTTTTCCAGGATAGCGTCTGCACGAACCCGCTGGTTGCGGTGCAGCTTTCGGGATGCGTTGGGCCGTTCAGCTCGCTGGCGAATAACTTCTTGGATTTGATTTTCACGGCCGCCTTTGGGATTGTTGGTATGTTCTTCTGCAATATCGTGCGGTGGTCCGGGTAGTTGCTAACATGTGTGGTGTTATTAGGAATCGATGTAGCCTTGATCCTGTGTATCGCCATGCTCCTGAAGGACAGGAAAGAGAAGGAAAGGTATCGCCACATCGATGAGAAGTCAGGGACAGCAGGATTCTAAGCACAAATTTCGAGGCTGGAACGACAAGTATTTTCTACATAACGAAGCACGGATTCCATATGCAACTTGCACTTCTTCGTCGGCATTTTAGAGACTGGGGAAGGGATATAAATACAAGGCTCCAGGGTGGCCATCTGAATCGGAGGATTCCCGTAAATTTTAAAGTTTAAAATAAAGAAGAAATGAGAGATCTTGATTAGGCACAGTGCGAAAAGTGATAACAATTGCTTCAAAGCGTACGAACAGATGCTGACTGCTAATCTAATCTTCGTTCGGAGATCGCGCCTACGCTTCATCTTCAGATAAGATTCCCTTTATGTTGCGCTAAATTGTGCTCCGGTCTACTTCGCCATTTTAAATGGCGATACTGTGCCATCCAAAGGTCCGAAGAGAGACTGTACCACTATGCATAGTTTACAGTAACTGTGCTACCTAAAAGTCCTATAGTTTACAGCAACTGTGCCGTCTAAAAGTTAGGGGAGGGACTGTGCCATTATGTATAGAATACAACAACTGTGAGTAAAAAGAACGATCTTAATCACTTGGATCTATTTTATATAGGCTAGTTACTTAAAAATATAGCAATGATAATAATTTCTAGGGTAGATTACACACATCTCTACAATTCATTAAATGTGGCATTTTATTTAGATGGGCCTATAGACAATTTTGGTAAAGTGTGGCGTTTGGCACAATCTAGAACTAACGGGAGTAAAGTGCGACGTCGTCTCTTTCTCTTTCGACAAGGCCCTGACTTAGTACAGGGGTATCCTACCTTACTCGCGAAGTGGCTGGTGGGTGGCTCAAATTGACGACCGTGATGTCATTCCGTGCCTGTCCAAAACATTTTAATAGAAAAAACTCATGGATAAGGATGTATTGTGTCGGCAGTTATTTCTGAAAATGCCTGCCAATAAAACAAGCACATATTTTTGGTCTGTATATGATTGCCCTTATATGGATATGATGACGCTCGGTGACGAGACAATCAAAGTCTGGTTATTATCTTATATTTCCAAGGCGATAACTCTAATATGGTATGGTTTACAAGAGTGGTGGTGGTATTCGAAGGCCCCAAACGCGCCGTGACTGGCACTTGAACATATCTAAACAGAGATGATTTCCCGCTTTAACAAAACGCCTGCAGAGCTGTTGATACATAGTAACAACCTTAGCGCCAACCCATGTATCATTTGTAGCCGCCCTCCTCTATGCCCTTGTAGTCTTCGATATGACTGTAGGTGGTAAAGGTTTCACATTTCCAGCAACCTCTCGCAGGGAGCCTCCCTTATCTTCCTTCAAGAGCCTTGCGCGCCTGCTTCGCTCCAATAAGCCAGCTCCAGTTTCCTCATCGATTGCTCTCCAGCTGCCCCTTGCGCCTCTCTTGCCGGCCTCACCCCACATACTTACTCTCTGCACCTTTCTCAGTTTCGTTAGTCCGTACCCACAGACAAGAGCAGCAAATACGGCTGAAAAGCCAGAGATTCCGAGGAAGCCAAAGTTGGATTCTTCGATGAAATTCTTCAAGTTCATGCCGTATAATGCCGCTATAAAGGCCCCGGAACCGATACCGAGTGTGCCGATGGAGAATTTCAGGTCGAGGAGCATGAGCGCGTTTCGATTGGCATCGAGAATTGCCTTGACTCTGTTTATTGTTAGTGATTTGTTACTGGAGGGAATTGGTACAGCACTCACATCTCTTCGGTGTTCCTGATATTGGAGACTAAATTGCCAGACGCCTGTACAATCTCATCACACACCTTGTGGTAAGACTCCAGTAGCATTTCAACCTCCGTATGGTCATCCTCCCCTCTGAGTAAATCATGCGTCTTTTCAGTCAAGTACATGGAAGCCAGGTCATCGTCAGCCTCAAGCAACTCGTCGATGGCGTCTCTGACGAGCTTGGCCTTCTGTTCAAAGGTACCGAGCTTCTTAGAATAAATAAGCAAGTGTCGTAGCTTATCGCGGTCGATATCCTCTTCTAATTCTCGGAGCACGCGCACAACTGGCCCGCGTACTGTTTCGAATTCCCCCTCAAGCCCGGAAGTCACCGATATGAGCACTGCCTCGAGGGCACGGAATTCGTAAGGAAGCCCCCCAGCCGAGGGCGAGTTCTGTTTCTGCCGTAGCTTCCCTTCAAGATCATACATGAATACAGACTGCGTGTATGAGTCTGTTGAGCCATATGTGTCGAAGACAAGCACTCGATTCGCCTTGATAAGGCAGCGGAGGTGGAGGAGGTTTATTAGGATAGCTGAGGGCCGCACAAGAATATGTGGTAACAGCGACGAGTCGATTTTTCGAAGATCTCTAGGCAATAACCCATACTAATAACTTTGTTAGTCCTTTGGCCGAGAGTATCTCAGAGTGGATGACGTACTTTGGCGATAAGCTCGCTCTTCTTGAACTCCCCGTTCACTAAGACGACATTGCCATTCTCGTCAAACTCAGTGCAGCGCAGCTTCTGCTCATTTGCTGCCTTTGCAGACATTGTACGCCCGAGGGCATACGCCGTGGCTTCAGCCCCTTCATCGCCGTATGGACCTTCCACTCCCTTGAGAGATCGACGCCGGTTCACTTTCCTGCCAAATGTCCGCCTGAGCCAGTCGGCACTGTGGCTCTCTGATGCACATCTATGTCCTCCTATTGAATGCTTTGTGCCTCGCCTTGTGATTTTGGCGAGAGGCCGAGAGGAGTTGAGACTGGGTCGTGTCGTGGGTGGCAACGTAACCCGAGGGATGAGGAAGTCGAGGTTGAGAAGGCTTGCTTCACAAGTAGCAGGTGTCGGTATGGGCGCCCATAGATATGAAGACGATGTCTTCGGCGTTCCTAGTCTTTTCGCCGTGTGCTGTTGCGGCCCTGGCGGTGATCCATGGTCGAAGGCGAAGCCTTGCGAGTTTGCGCTGAAGAAACAGCGCCCCTCTGATTGGAATTGGAGAAATCTCAATAAACTCGACGAAGGTACAGGAACAGGCAGCCTAGCCCGCATGGCAGATATGGCAGCCCAGTAATATGAATCAATTCCTGCTTCCGCGGAAATTCGATACAGCGGTTGTCATCTTTATCGGATATTTCGCGACGTCGATTTAGCAAAGGTAAATACAGCGGGTCACATGACTTGATTGATTTGGCCAAGAATGGGACTAACTACTTCACAAATACCAAGAAGGTTTGTAGTTTTATTATTTATTATTATTCTATTACATAATTAGTTTCTTCTAGGGTTTTATCTCTGGCTCGTTCAAAAACGAAACAAAGCCTTCCCACCATTCCCTCCGTTGTCGTTTCTCTTCTCTATTCCGACCCAGTTTTTCGGCGAACTCCAAGATATCGTCGAGCCATTTGTCCCACAAGGAACTTTCTCCTGGAAATTTGCTTGCGAGGATATGAAAGACTCGATACATCACGGCGTTGTTACCAGAACAGGCCCGCACTGCTGATTCTAAGATGTCCTCGTGGACAGTTGTCTCGATCCCAAGACAGTGGAGGAAGTACAAAATTTGCAGATTGCCATCAAGTATAGCCTGGTCAAGGCCTTGCCGTGCTACCTGAACAAAAGATCAGTAAGGCGCCCGTTATACTAAGTGCTGTAGATAAATCTTACCTCTCCATTGGTGGACGCCGAATAATCAATCCTAGCCCCAGCTCGAGTCAACCAGAACAAGTACATCACCATATCAGGAGACCAAGGGCCCCGCAAAAGACTCTCAGGCATTTCCGTTTGAGGGTGGATCTTGAGGGGTGTTTCCCATCGAAATGTTGGCCTCGTAGTCATGCCTTCCTCTCTTGCTGCCTCCGGGTCTGTGAGTTGAAAAAATTCGGCATATTGTTCATCAAAGTTATGAGGTTCAGAATCGCCAGAGAGTCCTTCCGCGGGAGTACGACTTTCCGTATGGACAAGTTGCTCGGAATCAGAAGTCGGCGAATGGCTTACTTCTTGGGCCACGCCTTCAACTTCTTGTTTCACTGGCTTTTGGGGCGCCGTCAGCAGCCATGCCTTCTCGGCTTGTTGTATCATGAACACCGTTGCCCACTGGCACCGAAGCAATGAACTCTATACTGTGTTAGCCGTAGAAAACAAGAATTGGTCTCATCTACGCACCTGTAATTCAGGATCTCCCGGTACATCTCCCCCATCAAGAGAACCGGAGGCGGTTCCTCCCTGTTCGTACAGAAGGCCATAGTTGTATCTCCATGTCGGTTCAAATATTGCCACAGTTGTCGTAGTATATATATACTGGTTAGACAGTTTAATGCCTATTATCGGACTTGATCTCGGTAGGTTGAAGTTCAACGACGCAAGAAATATCTTCTCGAGGAGCTCTGTGGGTAGTCTCTCGAGCGAGGTCATAGACCGATTCGCTGTGAAATTATCTTGTGGTGATTGTCTAGACGTCGTGCCAGAGCCTAATACGGATGCTGACGTCTTTACTTTCTTAGTCGTTTCTTTTCGAGGCCTTCCCTTGGGCCGAGATGGCTTCGGTGAGGTTAGTATTGATGTTCACAATATATCATGGAGAATGTGAGAGAAGCAATGTCGATGCTCACCTTGTTTTCGCCATCTGCATTATCAGTGTGCTGCTTGCGCTTTCTCTTGCCAGGCACTTTAATCAGGGTAAGCATCCGGATTGCCTCCTTGTGGTTCGATGTTCGCGACAGTTGTGTAGTGGGGAGATAAATTCTATAATTTGAGGCAAGGCTTTTTGGCAGCCTCGCAACTTATGGGTCTTGGCGCTGCGTTGTGGCTGACGCGTTGTAATGGGTGTAATGAGGCTTGGGCAAGCCACACAGTTTGGACGCCTATCAACCTCACCTCCAACTACAAGATAGCGCAACCCTGAGTAAGTCAGTCTCCCCAGTTTCACTTTTGAAGTCATTCGACTACATATATCCTTATCTGCCTTAACTGTAGCTATCCCGCGGTAACTGATCTTGGGCTCTCAATTGGCGCCCTGTTACTGACTGAACGGATAGAACTTCCAGGCATCGCATCAGCAATCACATCGCCATTATCTCCCAGCTCAATTCCTCGATGACACGCCCTCAGCAAAGCTACTTTTAGATTGCGTTCCATCAGCAGCCAAGATGCCTGAGGGTGTCACAGCCGAGGAGAAGGCGATCATTCGCCGTGTCGTTCCAAGGGCACAGAACAAGATTCTAGCTGCTGCTATTGTCAGACTGTATATTGCATACCCAAACACGTCGAAATGGACATACACTGGATTACAGGGTGCGGTGGTTTTGGCAGATGACCTCATCGGGAACACGTTTTGGTTAAAGTTGGTAGATGTTTCGGTATGCATACCTACCTCTTCACGATATAGGCGCTAACATTCCACAGCCTTCAGTGCGAGGGGTCATATGGGATCAGGAGATATATGAGAATTGGTCTTACAACCAGGACCGTGTTTTCTTTCACACCTTTGAAATTGAGGGTTGCTTGGCCGGTTTATCATTTTCTGAAGAAAAGGAGGCTGTTAAGTTCCTAAAGCAAATGGTAGACCGCGAGAAGCATGCAAACAAAGCTACCAAGTTAAACCCTTTTGGAGGAGGTGGGCCAGCACCTCAAAAGCACGGAATACTGGGAGGTATATTTGGTGGCCATAGGCATGTGTCGGCCCCATCTGCCCCAATGACCAGCCAGCCAACACCCCCTGTATCTCCCCGAACATTTATCCCACCTTCGCTCTCGCAACACAATCCGTCGTATTCCTCTGGCAGTATCAATCTACCGAAGGTATCCGAGTATGCTAAATTAGATGCTCTCGACCCCAACTGGAGAGAAACTTGGGGAGGTGATTTACGAGATATGGGAATCACCGACGACCAGATTCGAGACAACCAAGACTTCATTGCTGAGTACATTCAAGAGCAGCAAGCTGCATCTGCTGCAGCCCCTGAGCCTGTTTACCAGGAGCCTCCGCGAGCAAAAACGGCCCTCCCTCCACCACCGCCTCCTCCACAGGCTGCTCCGCGGATTCATGAGCTTCCCCAATCACCACCGCCACCTCCAGTGCAACGAGGTGCGCCTCCAGCACCACCTCCTAGCCGGAGAGCAAAGGCAGAGCCTGTTCCGAAAGAGCCTACCCCTCCGCCTCGCGAGCCTTCACCTCCCAAAGGACCACCGCCGCCAAAATATGCCGCTCCACCTCCTTTTGCGGATGCTGGCAAGCTGCTCAATTCAAACCCAAGACCAACTCCTGGTCGACCACATGCCACATCGATTTCCAATCAGTCTGCACCACCTCCACCCCCGCGACCTCCAAAGACGCCAAACGACGACTTCGAGCCTGGGGAGTCTGGGTCGAGATTCGGGGTACCACCACCGTTCATGGGCCAACGTACACCTCAGCCACCGCCTACGCCAATGCGTTCTGCCGTGCCTCCACCTCCCCCGGCTCGAAGCACTCCAAATGCTGCTTTGCCACCTCCATTACCACCCAAGACACCCAACAATGGACCAGGCTCACCGCTGCCTCTCCCGCCATCCTCCTCTCGGCCAATACCACCACCACCATCGAGAGATAATGGCACTCCGCCCCCTCCTCCATTGCCTGTCTCCAACACACCACCACAACCAGCTCGCCCATCAGTGCCCTCAAACGCAGCTCCGCAACAACCAGCTCGCCCATCCCTTCCGCCACCACAACCAGCTCGCGCAGCGGCACCCGCTCTACCACCCCCAACTGGAGGAGCTCCACCTCCCCCACCACCGCCTCCGCCGCCTCCGCCGCCACCTGGTGGTGCAGGACCCCCTCCTCCACCTCCCATGCCCAGCCGCGACTCAGGCGCACCAGGGCCTCCTCCCCCACCTCCAATGCCCAACCGCGACTCAGGCTACGTCTCTGGAGTGCCTAATATGCCAGCCCCTACTGGTGACCGTAGTGACCTCCTGTCTGGTATCAAGCAGGCTGGCGGTATCGGAGCACTCAAGAAGGTGGACCGTAGCAAAGTGCGCGATCGCAGTGCAGCTGCTGTACCTGGCGCTGCTGATACTGGCCCGGCTGGAAGTGGGTTGCCTCCGGCTACTACTGGTGGTGGTGGTGGTGGCCTGGCCGATGCGTTGGCAGAGGCACTCAACAAAAGAAAACAGAAGGTTAGCGCTAGTGGTAAGTTCTTATTTCTACGGCTATTCTGAAAGCAGCTAACAATAAGCAGATGACGAAGCTGAAGAAGATGATTGGTAAAAGCCCTGGTGGAAGAAGTCTGTCCGTTAGTGGGGATTGTATCGGAAATTGTCACAATGTAGTGGGCTTTTGTTTGTTGGCGTGTTGGGTGTCAGTCTCGCTCCGACTCATGCGCTGGCTGAGATTCGCATAGAGACACATTAATTAAAGCACAATTCAAAAACTTCAGGTTTGCATGGGTCATGTGTTTCATCGTAATCTATGCTAAGATGCAATACACGAGAGCAGCGCTAATCGCAATATCCCCCGCACAAAGCTAACCATACATACAATGCGAACCCACAACACTTATAAAGTTTCCTCTCTACGTCGCACAAGTGAAGGGCACGGACGACGAGGACCACAGCGTCTCTCCCACTGCGCCCAGGTCATCTGGCAATAGTAACAAAAGAGATATACTGTCGAGTTCGTTTTCCATTTTATAGAATCGTTTGAGAGAAGACAGTCCACACCACACACTTGGCCGCAGAGCGCGCCAGACTTGTCTAGATGTCGTCGATCTCGATATCCTTTGCGCCGGGGCCGGCCTCGCTGTCCTCGCTGTCGCTCCTGTCCTCGTCGAACTCGAAGTTGCAGTCGCCCTCGCCTTCTTGGCCGTAGGTGTCGGTCTCGTTGATCTTGGCGCTCTCGGGCAGCTCGCCGTAGGCCTTCAGGGAACGGGCCTCGTCGGCGGAGTACTTGAGGATCACGTCGCCCTTCTCGTCTTGGTAGTCACGGAGCGACAGCAGGATGATGTCTCCCTGGTTGATCCAGACCTTCTTGCGAAGCTTGCCACGGATATGTGCGAGGCGTTTCGTTCCGTCGAAGCAGAGAGCCTCGAGACGGCCGTTACCCAACATCTTCAGGACTTGGGCGTATTCTGTGGTTGGGCGTTAGCGATCTGGTGGCGAGCCGACAGTGGCGGCTGTAACTGCTGAGGGCGAAACATACCTTGACCCTCCTCCTTGAATGTGAGCTCACGCTTCTCATTGTCGTTTTCGTTCTTTCCACGACGACGGTTCTTGCCACCCTGTTGGTAAGAGGAATCAGCATCGTGCACACGAGTTGTTGTCGTTGGGCCGCGATGAAAATGAAGGGTGATTTTTGTTTGCGGATGCAACTTACTTTTCCCTTATTCTTCGGCATATTGACAGATTTCTCTGATTAAAATGCCGTATTTCTGATTCTTTGATGATCTGGAATTTGATGTTGTTCCTCGGGGGACTTGGGCTGCAAGAGGGGTAGGCTTTATATGAAGTTTGCAAGTGGGACAGTTGTGTGGTCGATGGGCGCCTAATGACTGACTTATCGTTGGTGGGGTGAATCCTTAGTTTAGGTGAGGGATGAGTCAGCTAGTCCCTTTCTGAACTTTGGCTCAAGCGAGGAGAGAGCCACTCATCAGCCACTCATCGCCATCCTATTGCACGCTTGGTATAGCGGCGTTTATATCCAACCACGCGGAGACGAAGAAGCTGGGCCATAGAAGCTCGACAAGACAAAAGATTGCCACTCCAACCACAGCTTGATATACGATCCCTCTGTCGGAGCCCAATCGATGCCATTGAATGCGACGGAAAGCCGCCACCAGACATGTTGCCAAAACAGCTCCGATCCAGTAGCTCAGCCATCGCATCCGATTTAAAAGGCAGCATATCGAGTATACGAAAGATGCCGCCACCAATACCCAAATTGAAGTTTCCTCCCGCTGGCATGTCCAAGAAGACTATCCCAGGGATTGATATACTACAAGTTATGTGGTCTTCAGAGCACGTTGTACCAATAAACTCGAAAATACAACTCACCAACCCCAGACATCCCAGGCACGAAGTCATGAAGCGCAAATGGGAATCTCGCACTGATCCTCTGTGGTGGAACTGCCTGAGTTCCAAACAAATCAGTATGAAGAGTGTAGTTCGTTCCTGGGTCAACATCAGGGCAAGACTGGCGATTGTGAATGCGCTGAAACGGAAGGGATACGATACAAATGGCTACAGGATTGACGGCAATGGTGACGAGGCCCCCAAACCCAACCTCGTAGGCAGCTTACACTTGAGTACGCGCCCTGAGCTTCTACGTGCGAAGTGGCCAGACGTGGAGGACCAGGCCGACAAAATTATTGCAGAGGTTGAGCGACTGCAAACGGACAAGGCAAAGCCGAAAAGGAAGAAGAGAACGATGGAGTGACACCCAAACAAAGTATAAAGAGGTGGATCTGCAATGCCACAGGCCATATTAAACATGTAAACTATAAATTACAAAAGTAGTTGTAATTAATGTACTACCTGGTAGTTTTATACAAGCGTGGATGATCGGCGCCAAGACCGAGATAAGCTTGTCCTTGTCTCTGAAGGTGTCGTCGTAGCCCCAAAGCTTCACCAGGTCCCAAACATTTCCCACCACCCTGTCCAATCTGCCTTTGCGACATCTCACACACAAGATGTTAATCTCTTTAACTGTGGGCAAGGTCGATGCCGGGGTCGCTGTGCTGTTGACACAGGACAAGCGCCTTGTAAGAATCCAGTCAATCCACAAAGGCAGCGTCATGCCCTACGGAGTGCCCCAACTGACACCGTCGATGATACAAACAGATCGAGTTCCCATCCATCCTACTACCTCCACATATCTCATCCGGTAGCATTGTTGACATCACCGTTGCCCGCAACTTCGAATCCGAGAGCGAGTCGCAAGACTCATTCAGCCACCTACAAGATTCGATCTTCCGCTGCTTTGGCGAGTCCGAGCCATCAGCACCCGTCCTGCGCTGTCGCAATGCTACACAAACGTCCATCGTCCTCGAGTGGGATCCAGTTGAGCTTGCGACCGCCGATGTCATCAGCCTGAGCCTGTTCCGCAATGGCCAGAAGGCAGGCAACATTCCTCAGCCCACCACAATGGAAAGCACGAAAATAAGTGGCCTTGCTGTCGACACCGAGTATACGTTCCACCTCGTGCTAAGAACCACCGCCGGCACATTCGCAAGCGACAAACTCACGGTCAGGACGCACAAGATGACCGACCTCAGCGGCATCACCGTCACACCAGGAATTCTGCCAGCGCAACTCAGGGAGAGCCTCGTCGCCGCTGTTAAGCGGATAGGGGCTAAGCTCGCGGATACCGTTAGAATCGATACTACCCATTTTGTGACTACGGAGGGCAGAGGCATTACTTGGGAGAAGGCTGTGGAGATGAACATTCCTGTTGTGAGGCCGGAATGGGTGGAGGGCTGTGAAAGGGGCGGCAGGATCGTGGGTGTTAGGCAATACTATCTCGATGCGGACCCAAGGCAGAGGATGGCGAATTTGGGGCCTGCGGCTGGACAGCAAGCCACGCCAGCCGAGCCCGCTTCGGCGAAGGATGAGGCCCCTCTCCCAGCTCTCCCTAACAATAGCAAGAAGCAGACGAATGGTGATGAAGCATCTGAAGCCGGCCAAACGAACAACGAGAAGGAAGAGGATGAGGATGAGAAGTCGGAAGAGGATGACTCTGAGGATAAGAAAGTAGAGGCATTGGACGAGCAGAAGGTTAGAGTTGAAGATAATGATCAGCACAAGGTTGCTCTCAGGCCAGCCGCGTCACCTACGGATGGAGGAGAGCCAAGCGTCGACAAGAACCCTGTTACCAAGAGCCCTTCCCTGGAGGTAGATGCTGATACGGAGGAGGGTACAAAGACTCCTGGAGCTGCGAGCTTCCAGGATGTTGCTCTTTAGAGGATGGGTTAGCTAGATTTGTATTTAATAGCGTGGTATACCAGTTGTACGTTTATATCAAGCAATCAGCACCAATGCGCGAAGGTATTTTGCCTATATCAGCCTAGCACAGGGTGACAGTGATAGCCTATAGTACTGTAGTGTTATTCAAGATAGTAACCATGGTTTATTTTATTGAATAGTTGACCACTGCTCTACTCTGTCGAGGACGGGAAGAAAGTCAATTGCATGACCTACGGCATTCTAGGGAAACAATACATATCAAATAAATACTTCAGGGACATATAGAACATTTAAACCAACCCAGTGTTCTTAGTAATTGTGCATATTTAATACAATGGAGCTTCATTATTATTCCAATAAATATAAATTTATTCGCTGTTAATCGTCAGTGTTAGCAATTCGAATATAAACTTTGAATAACGTACATGAAGCGAAAGCGCCAAACAAGCGAAAGCGCCAAAATGATGCGGTGACCAAACCCCCCAACTAAATGTTAAATTCCTCAACAACAAAACATGCCCCATAAAAACGATGAAAGCCAATTAGTGCTAGCTATCCAGGCTATGCAAAGCGACCCAAAGTTACGCCTTCGAGTTGCTGCTAGGATCTATTCTGTGGACCACCGCAAGCTAGGTCGTCGTCTAGAAGGTGTACCTTCACGACGCGATATCCAAGCCAACTCACGGAAATTAACTAACCTAGAGGAGTCCGTCCTTGTTCAGTATATACTCGACCTAGCTGCCAAAGGGTTTCCTCCTCGGCTGTCTGTTGTTGAAGATATGGCAAGTCGACTACTTGCAACACGCGATGCGTCACGCGTTGGGCTTCAAACTTTGTTAAGCGGCGTGTAGAGCTCCAGACACGCTTTCAGCGCAAATACGACTACCAGAGGGCTAAGTGCGAAGATCCAGAAGTTATTAATGGCTGGTTTGAGCTTGTGCGTAACACAATTGCGAAATATGGTATCGATGAAGCAGATATCTACAACTTTGATGAGACTGGGTTTATGATGGGCGTTATCTCAACTGCTATGGTTGTAACAAGCTCAGACGGGCGGGCAAAAGCAAAGAAGGTACAGCCTGGTAATCGGGAATGGGTTACAGTAATCCAAGGCGTTAGTTCTCAAGGTTGGGCAGTACCACCATTTATCATTGTTGCAGGCAAAAACCACCTTACATCTTGGTATGAGAATAGTGGATTTTCAAGCGATTGGGTGATTTCTGTTACTGAAAATGGCTGGACTACAAACGAGAGAGGCATGGATTGGATTCAGCACTTTGAGAAGCATACAAAGGCCCGGAGTGTTGGTGGTTATCGCTTGTTAGTCCTTGATGGTCATGAGAGCCACCACTCAGATGAGTTTGAGGAGTACTGCAAGGAACACAACATTATTACGCTTTGTATGCCTGCTCACTCTTCTCATCTACTCCAGCCACTTGATGTTGGCTGTTTCGGCCCGTTAAAGCAGGCCTATGGTCGGCAAATTGAAGATATGATGCAGGCTCATATTTCTCATATTACAAAGGATGACTTCTTTCCTGCCTACCATGGACTTCAAGGAGTTCCCAAGGGACAAGCATGGATATGACAGCATCTTAGTGTTTATGGACCGACTCGGAAAGAGTTCGGTGACCATACCTTGCTACAAAACCACAACAGCCCGGCAAATGGCACAATTGTTCATCGAATGGATATACCGATTCGGACACACTCCGGAGTCGATTGTAAGCGACCGCGGACCCCAATTCGTATCATCATTTTGGCAAGGTGTATGATATAGTGGAGTGGTTTAGACAAGTTGTAACAAATGTTGAGTCTGAGAACTCAGGGATAAGTCAGAGGTTAGCACCTCACTGACTTTTCAGAAACAAGGAGTAACAAGATCAATGCTTGGAAGCTTGGAAAAGACGTGGAAGTATGTGATAGTCGATTTACTGTAGATCTCTTTATAGAGGCGTCTAAGTCCATAGGTTCAGGTGCTGAGTCCTTAGCAGTTGGTGTAGAGGTGTAATTGTTGAAATTTCTTGTTTGATGCCAGTCTTGGTTCTTCTCCTTTCTTCTTTCAAAAAACCTGTCATCAAGTCTGACAGCTTTCTCTATAAGCATTTGAAGTGTTGTAGGGTGTTCTTCTTTGCTGAGTTCATCCTTAATAGAGCTCTTGAGCCCTTGGTAGTAAGTGAAGACTAAGGCTTCTTCATTCCAAGTCAAGTGAGAAGGTTAAGCTGTCGACTGCCTATCATAAGCAGACCGACGGACAGGAAATCATGAACTGATACATTGATCAGAGACTGAGGCCTTTCATATCTTACTACCAGGATAACTGGAGCGAACTCATCCCCATAATGGACTGCGTGCAAATGACACTCCCCCACGCATCCATTGGCATGACCCCCTACCGACTCAAGTACGGAACCGATCTGCGTACGAGTTGGGATTGGAACACCCCGAAAAGCACCAACCCCCGGGAGACTCTAAACCGAGATGAAGCCAAGGCGGTTGCAGACCGAATGCATACCGCATGGGTCCATGCAAAGGAAAACATGTCAAAGGCACAAGAGGAAATATCTAAGCACGCGAATCGACGCCGAAGGGCCATTGACTGGGACGTAGGAGATAGAGTGTACCTATCGACCAAAAATTTGAAAAACTCTCGCCTGAGCTGCAAGTTGGGCCAACAATGGGTCGGACCATATACGGTGTTGGAACGGATTGGGCACGCATTTCGATTGGAACTACCTACCGGTTCTCAAATACACGATGTGTTCTCACCAGACGTCCTCATGAAGGATCTGAACAACCCCCTACCTGGTCAGGATCCGCCTGAAGTGGAAAAGATCCTTGCAGTGAGGCTCCGCCGGAAGCAACTACAATACCGGGTTAGTTGGGTCGGATACGATCCGGACCCGGAGTGGTACCCAGCATCGAACTTCATGAACTCTCCCCACAAACTCTGAGAGTTTCACACGGAATACCCAGATTTACCAGGTCCACCTCAAGAACTACTCGGATGGGTTACGGCAGGGGAGGCGGGCGAGGAACAAAACTACGATCACGGGAGGGAAGACAAAGCGGAAGAAACAGAGTCGTTGCTATCTACGACTCTAAACTAAAATACCCTCTGAGCCAGGGCACACTCACCACTGTAACTCTTGCGGGAGTCACCCTTCCCAAACATCTCACCGGCGTCGCAACAAGCGGCTACCACCATGAGAGACGAAGGGTTGAAGTGACCCCACGCGAAGGGTCAGGTCCAAGTCCCCTCTGACACAGGGCCTCCTCCTTCCTACACCACATCCTCCTCCGCCCCATACTGGGCCCCAAACCCATCCCCATCCCCCTCACCACCCCCACCACCCCCCTTCTTCCTCCCCCCAGCATGGTCCAGAACCGTCGCAGCGACAGCGACGGCAGCAAGCCTGCCCATGGCAGCCACCACTTCCCCCAAAAGAGCCGGCACGCTCCCCTGCTCCGTCCGAAGACGGCGCAGTGATGACCGGATTTGCTGAACTGAATCAGCACCGAAACCACACAGGACAGGGGGATACTCACAGCCAGACCCGCCTCGAGGGCAGTGAGTGTTGCGTGGAGCTCCTCGTAGGAGTCGCGCTCAGCGGCTGAGCGGAATTTCGGAACACTTTGGGCAGCCACCAGGGCCACCCAGTTTGCCTCTGCGGCAGCGGCTTCGACGGTGACGGGGTCCCAAGGATCTGCTGCTTCGGCGGCAGCAAGGACACGGTATTCCTCGTCGAGGAACCAGGGAAGCTATGCAAATTGTTAGCAAAAGCCAACAGAGACAGAACAGCACAAGGGAACTCACCGGAACGCAGGTGGAGTGCTGCGCCGTGCAGTACTCGCACTTGGAGGAGGCCGGGGACCAGACACAATCGTGGTCCTTGATGCCACGAGCTTTGGCCCGAAGGCAGCGCAGGCAGAGGACATGGAACTCGCCCAACAAAGCTCCTGCGGGAGTCGGAATCGGCATCACAAAAAGTTGGAATTCTGCGCAGAATCCCGTCAGCCCAGCACACGTTATCACCCCTGCGCCAACGCGCTCCCATCACCTACTCGTTCTTGTGGATGGAAATATCCTATCCAATTCATTAGTGCACTGTCGGACAATCCACGAGAAGGGGTCACTTACAGTTCTCGGAGGGGTGGTCGCTGGCGTTGTTGTTGGAGACAAAAGAAGAAGTGGACGCGGCTGCGCACTCATAGTCTGGCTTACAACAATGAACACCGAATCGTGTTAGCGCGAACACTTCTCCTTTCATACATAGGACAGTCTAACCCGAACGCTTCACGGATGCGATTCGGAGTCCACTCGGACCACCAGGAATGCACCCCCGAGCGAACAAAGCAAAGTCCAACCCGAACGCTTTGCGGATGAGATTTGGAGTCCACTCGGACCACCACGAATGTACCCCAGAGCGAACAAAGTAAACTCTGGTTCCGCACAATAAATGGAGTCGATATGGCACAGCTCTAGCATGACATACAACGCACCTTCCCTGTCATACTGACATTCGTTGCACTCAGTTTGCTATCAAACTCAAGAGCAAACTTAGAAATCTCCTCCTCAAACCTACAAGTCACCATACATATCTTGGCTTATCACACCAACAACAGAAGCAATACTACTCAACGATTGCTGCAAACTCTTCTACTACATCTGTTTATGCTACATACATCACGGCATATCATTTGGACACTCATTGAACAAGTTATTAAGAAAATCTCCTCCTTAAGGGGGTGGGCCAATACTACCACATGGCATATCTCTACCAACTAGAGGCCTAGGAACATGAACAATAGCTCTAGAAGCTTCTACAACCCTCTATGATTCATTACACGTCATCGCTCCTTAGTTACCCACAAGATTGGTTAAGTTATGACATAATTTGTCTATAGGTACTCTGACCTTGGACCTCCTTTTCACTTCCTACAGGCTAGGAACCCAACAGATGGTTCTATGGGATTCTCTTACGTTCACTACATGATTAGCAAGCTAGTTGTGGGTCGCACTTGATTTCTAATACATTTACCAAGCCTGGTTAGTCATGGAAAGTCATGGAAAATGAGAGAACTACACTCCTTTGGCATAAATAGGATTGCCCTTTCCTTAAGAAAGGGCAAGCAGGCAATACAGTAAATCGATTATCACATACTTCCACGTCTTTTACAAGCTTCCAAGCATTCATCTTGTTACTCCTTGTTTCTGAAAAGTCAGTGAGGTGTTAACCTCTGACTTACCCCTGAGTTCCCAGACTCAACATTTGTTGCAACTTGTCTGAACCACTTCACTACATCATACACCTGATTGCTGCGTTGTGGAATAGTCTAAGCTACAACCCTTTGGCTCTGTTTCCTAAGACAGTGTGTTGTCTTAGTAAATTCATCCCTTCCTTGGGTGGCTAGATTCTCACATCTGGTGCACCCACCATTACAGTGTATGCTTAGCAAAATGCTCTAGCTATCAAAGAGCAAGCTAGCTGTTTGAAAATCTAGAGTCGGAGAGTAGTACTAGCTCTGTGCCTTTAAGGTTGATGTAGTACTAAGAATCCATATGTATTTTGCCTAGAATGACAAGTACTAGTAGTATGACTTTTCCTACTATAGACACAGCCTCGAGGATAGTAATAGATGGATGGTTTTTAGGGCTTAGAGTATAGAGCTCATTTGCTACTCGTGGCACAATAACCCTCTCACCTCCTAGAATTCCAATTCTAAAGCCGGTTTCATCTATATTCTAGATTAACTCTGGCTTTATATTACACTGTAGTATAAACTCAAGGTAGTCTCTGTCACGGTTCACCAAGGCATAGGGCGCCAGTTGGGTATTATGAATTAAACTCAATCTAGAGAAGAAAGGAAAGAGAAGAGGAGCACTCGAGCAGTGGCTCGATCTATATACAGCTATTGTGGAGTGAATTCTCTTTAGCGAGACCAGTTCTGAGAATTCACTCCACAACTGAAAACTTCGCTCCAACCCCGGAAAGCTCCCCACACCCCTGAACCCCCACTCAAGCTGCAAGGCGCACTTGATATCGTAACAGTCTCGAAACCAATTTGTAAAACTAGACCCATCTTGAGCTTTTGTACATAGCTGCACAATTAGCTTGTAGTAATAAAGTGGAAGTCTTAAAGCTCTTAGAGCACAGGGTTATAAGTGCATTATAGCGTAGTAGATGTAGCCTCTATAATTGTGCTAGGACGTCATAGGCTAGAAGGGGGGGTAATTGTTGTTAGGGAGGAATCCATCAGAGCGGAGAATCACACACGAAAATGGGTGTGTTTCTCCGGTAGCCGAGTGATATCTCTTGACAGTACAAAAGCTGGCTTCACAGTGTAGGATGTAGTATATAGAACAGAGTAAAACGATGCAATTAAACAGGCTATTCTAATGGGACTATGCATACTTTTATAGGCTCTAAATAACCCCTAATAACCCCCGAAACTTCCGAGTGAGCCGCTCCTTCTAGTGCACAGTTTTCACCGGAATATAGAGCCCTAAAGAGGCTTCTTCTGGTTTTGTAAGAACCGTGGGTTGAGTCCCCTGGCTCGGTGAGAACCATGGGACAGCTCGGGTCCGCGGCGGAGATCCTTCGGTTTTCTAGAACCAGAACCACAGATTTTTTCTGACCCCTAGCCCGATTTCTAACAATTGTAACGGGTGCCGACCGTTACAGTGCGTATGGTATATATAGCGTATTTCGCCGAGCCGGAATACTATAGTTCTCAATTGGGACTGAAGCTGTTCATGTCACGTATTCAATATTGTCATATGATGTCTCACATATAGAACTATTTAGGCTTAGTTTACTCACCGAGTGCAACATCCTGGCGCTGGCTCAATACGTTGCTCTCCAGACAATATATTTATTGAAGCCATTCGTGATATATCAGTTGGTTGATTGCTCCGGTGATTTGTACCCTAGCGCCCAACTGAGAATAGTCTTTTTGGCTTAGTGGGATGTAGCGCGAGCGTAACCGTACATCGTTACACCTTCAACTTTTCGGGGGAAGAGGGGCTATAGCACTGGAAAAATCGGGTTCCGGAGGGCTTTAGTAGCCACTCAAAAGAGAGCTATAGGAACTGGCTTACCAGAACTGAAGAGGTCGTAGCCCCAGGCCAGCTTATAGAGCTTGACCTACAGACTGCCTAGCGGCAGGTTGAGGAGTTGAAGAAGCGGGCAAGCCGAAGCCGGGCCCGCCTTTAGTTTGGAGGTGAGCTCGAAGCTGCTCACGCTCACGAGCTTCGGGCCTAGAAAGCCGAGCTTCAAGCCCAGAAGCTCGCAGCTAAAGAAGCCCGGGTAGCCCGCCAGGCCTTAAACCAGGCCCGGAATCGGCTTCTTAGGGCAGGAATTAAGGCCCGGAAGGAAGAGCGTGCCCGGAAGAAGATGATTACCCAGTTCCACAGAGAGGGGATCCCAATTCCTCCGGAGCTCGAGGAGCCAATTCCTGACTGAGAGCCAGTATGAGAGCGAGCGTGGGAGCCAGTGGGAGTAAGAAAGTGATACTTTCGTAGAATAGCTTATTTAGGTATATTTACATATAAATTACTATGTGTGGGTACTTATGGTCGCAATTTGACAAGCGAAAAGTTGATCACGACGATTGACCTAAAAGCAGAATATTTATTTTCCCATTTATTAAACTGGAATAAACCCATTTTCAAGTATTTAAATAACTAGAGCTAACCCACTACAGCAACAGCAAAGGGATAAATACGTTTATTTCCAAAGATGAACCTATTCCCATAAACGCTAAGCTTGCCTCTATACGCTAAGCGTTCTTGGCGGGGAGATCTCGATGGCGGCAATCGGAGCGCCTTGAGTTGCGTCTCGCGCCACGCTAATGAGCACCATCCCAACATTACTGCTCATATTGACGTTGACGTGCGAAATCAGCTGTTTACTAGCAAGCCAACCTCAGCCCACCATGTAGACCCCCATCTAGGATAGACCTCCCTCCATAGTTTCACATCTCACAGTCCCTGATATATACTACTCGTAACGAAACTTTGAATAGTCGGATTATACACTTTATAACCCCAAGATAAATATGGCATGGTGTTTCGTCTCTCCTGCCTCCCGCGGGATTGGATTCGCGCTCACCCGGCACCTTCTGCAGACTACGAAGGCACCCATCTTGGCCACCTCACGTAGCAACACAGAAGATGTGCGGAACTCACTTCTAGACGGCCTGAAGAACGTAGATGTGGACCGTCTGACTGTACTGGAACTCGATTGCGTTGGTAACAGCTCCCCCTCTAGCCCAGACATCCCTTTGACCCCCTCCCCTCCGAGGAGCTATCTCTAATAGTATCCCCCATCACACAGACGAATTCACAATCTCCACCGCCGCCGACCAAGCACGCCAGATGTTCCCCCCCGAAACGCACCACCTCCGCCTCGCCTACGCCATCCCCGGCGTCCTGCACCCCGAGCGGTCCCCCGGGCAAATCGACTCCCACCACGCCCTCGAGAGCTTCAAAGTGAACACCATCGGCCCGCTCCTGATCCTCAAGCACTTCTGCGACTTCCTGCCTCGCAAGAACGCTGTCCTCGAGGGAGAAGTGGGACTTCCTGAGCGCGCGGTCTACGCTTCCATGGGTGCTAGCGTTGGGAGCACGAGCAATAATATTATGGGTGGCTGGTATACGTATCGGGCGAGCAAGGCGGGGGTTACGAGTCTGGCGAAGTCGTTTGATTTGTATCTCCAGGGCGTGTCGGGTGATAATGCTATTTCGATTGCCCAGCACCCTGGTAGTGTGAAGACGGAGCTGTCGAGGGATTATTGGGAGCATGTCGAGGAAGACAAGCTGTTCTCGCCAGAACTGGCGGCGGAGAAGTTGGTTGGTGTGGCTGGTAGTGTGGGCTTGAACGGGAGAGGCAAGTTCTGGGATTGGAGGGGGGAGGAGGTCAAGCCGTAGTCTACCTGTTTAGGAGTAATTGTATAGTTTTTGTCGTGATTAGGCCATGGGCTACCGGATATGGAATGCAATACTTATGTGCTACAATCCCAATCCTCTGGCCAATTTCGAATATCAGGAACTACTGGTCGTGTCACAAAATGCAGGTAGTAACTAATCGCAAATCTGCCCTTCACAGCAATATTAAAATGAAGGCCCTTTCACTCCCTCGGCATAACGATGCGGGAGTCCGAACTAGAATTTACGCTCCCTAACGTAGTGTCGTATGAAAAACGCCGAATGATGTTTTGAGTTTATGTCAAGCAACTATCGATATTGGTTCAACGTGTTCGAGGTTTTGCTGGCAGGAATGGGTCGGCAACAGGCCTCCTTTTCGAGATTTTAGGTCGTGGTGGGAGACCTGGGGGTGGCTTTGGACGTGAAGAACCCTAGATATGATGTTAGTTACCTGCAAGGGTGACTTGAGCTGCATACTTACAACATTGATTTCACCGCCCATCGAACTGCTGCTGTTGGGCCTTTCAACTTGTGGTGCGGGTGAGACTTTCGAGCGCGGTTCTTTCTCAGATTTGTCAGAATTCGAGATACGTGTTAGACTTGGTCTCCTCGGCAATCCTTTCGATATAGTAGGCACCTACTATCGTTAGCAATCCCACGGAAAATTAGAAAACAAAAAGATGGTGTCTGCTTACCTTCTTTGACGGGCCTGGACTGCCACTCGGGGAGGGTTCTCGTGAGCGTTTTGGCGCTTGACTCGTCTGAATCACCAAATTCTCCTTGGGGGCAGCTTTAACGGTTGGACGCACTGTTGAGGCCCCATTTCGGGGTTCTCCAGGTTTATAGAGCCTAGGACCTCCGCCAACAGCCGCCGCATTACTGACTCCTTTGCCATTAGAGACTCGTCTCTGTTCGACAATATTAGGGGCATCGGTCATCGGGACATCTGGGGGTGATGGTTGGCGACTGTCTGTATTTCCATCAAGGGTCTTGCCGGAGTCGACATCTTCCATTGGCACGTCTTCAATGGCCAACTGCTTGGGGACCTGGGGCAACTTGACAGATGCCACCCTCAGCATGCTCAGGACATCTCCGGAAGTAAATCGATCTCGCCTCTTTGCATCTTGAATCATGTTCGACCAGACCCGATCGCGCTGGAGGGTGCTGGAATCTCCAATAACCCAGAGAGAAGACTTAGCACGAGTCAAACCGACGTTCATACGTCTCACGTCTTTCAAGAAACCAACACCACCCATTGTTCGCACACATGAGAAAATGATCACCTCGGCCTCGCGACCCTGGAAGGCGTCCGTCGTATTAGTATCGATGTCATCCAGGATGTCGTCACCGTACTCCCGCTGCAAAGCGAAACGGATCTCGCGAAGTTGACCCTTATATGGTGTAATTATACCAACCTTGCCCTTGATATCGAAAAAAGGATAATCTGTCTTAAGTCTCTTATATAGCTGCAGGGCAACCTTGATCTCATCGTAATTGACCATCGAATGACCTCCCGAGCGACTCGACGTACCCTTGAGATCGAAAAATCGGTAAGGGCCAAGCAGGGCGCTTGCGTGCCACGGTTTCTGTCTCAACTTCTCTAGACCAGCACCATCAACAAGTTCGCCGTCGTAGAATTCGCCTCTCGGGAAGGAGCTGATTTCCGGATGCATACGATATTGTGTGTCCAGTAGATGGATCCGGTCCGGGTGATTCTTTTGCATGCGCTCGAACAAACTTTGGTCATAACCAAATTCTGCAGCAACGGTCGAGAGGACAGTGGGTGGGAGTTGTTTGGGATCACCGACCAATATACACTTGGTACAGTTGTACTTCAGTGGAATCAAGGCACTCATCTCGATAGATTGGGCGGCTTCGTCGATAATGACAGTCTCAAACTCAACGCTTAATTTCTTGAACATCTCATGCCCACTGCCACTGAGAGTCGCGCACAATACATGTGCTCCGTTGAGAATTTCTTGCTGTATCCGTCGACGATTGATTTCGTTATCACGAGCAACAGTATTGCCGTTATCCTTGTCCTCGTCGATCTTGGCACCAATCCTCGTCTGGTCGCGTTTTTTCCCATCAATTTCTCTCTGGAGTCTGAGCTCCACCGTCTTCTCTCCTTTTGTGCGAGCTTCTTCTTGTTTGGACCTAAGGGCGGCAAGTTCTTCCTTAATCCGCCGGGCCTCTTGATGCAATTTCTGACGCTCCGGAACGACCGCACTGCCATTTGCATTGTCCTTTTCGATTCTAGCATCCGTTAGGGCTTCAAGAGTGACGTCTTTCACATTAGAGTTGATGGCATCACTTCGTCCAAGCCGGAGGACATTGATCTTGTGACGGTTGCCTTTCAAATCTGTAACGCCTTCCTTCAACCTAGAAACTAGCTCGTCCACGGCTGCGTTACTTGGTGCGCAGACCAATAGCTTCTTCGCAAAAGTATCCTTTTTCGGATCTGGCATGCCTGTGGGCCGTGCGATTGAGACTCCCGGTCCAATGCCCAACGTTGGCGACAGTATGGCGCCTACCATCGCAACGATGGTCTTGGTTTTGCCTGATCCAGGGGGACCTTGAATCAATGTAAAGGCATCATTTTCCGTAGCGGACCAAATGGCCTTTGCTTGCGCTCTATTAACGTCATAGTTCCGTTGCACTGGGGCCAGGGCACTATCGGGGTAGTTGAGCAGCGGGGATGGTTCAGCCTGCAGGATTTCGTTGCACAGATCATAGTATTCCATGCTCTTGAGAGCGGCGTACTCTCTCTCAATTGAGGTTATGCTTGTGATCTTCACCCCACGGATCTGGGTGTTGGGTGCAAGTGCAAGCCCTCCAGGTTTATTGACAGCCATGCCATTGAGGCGGTAGGATACCTCCACCATGTCCCTCTTGCGGTTGGTACGATATACCCTGGCCAAGCAATGGGGCGCCTCCCTATTCTTCAGGGGCTCTTTGGCTCTGGAGAGCAGAACGATGTCACCCTCCCTAATCTTCGCCTCGCGGTGATCGGCCATTGTCATCGTAGTACTGACTTCGTAGAACCTATCCACTGACATTCTGGTAACGACAGCAATATCAAAAGCTTGGGAATTAGTTTCATCACGATCAGTCTTCAGTGATCGCCAGGCTTCTGCTATTAAGAGCGGATAAAACACACCCCGGTAGCTATCCGGAGTTTGGTAGGTGTTGGCTATTCTCACGCACCCAGTACCATTTGGAGGTCCATCGCCGTCCCAGAATATGTCCCATCTAAGAATGTCGAGATGGAGATCAGTCATATCTGGCGTCAATCGAGCGCGCATATCCTTCTCAGTCCGTTTGATCTTCATTTTCTTGACAGGCTCCTGCTGTTTCCTCACCAATGCCCGTCGTCGTCGCTCTTCCTCGAACTCGCTGGATTTCTTGGAGGCATCCCTCGTCTTCTTAAGCAAAGTCCTTCCGCCTTCTTCTTCCTCCTCCTCTGATTCTTCGCTTGAGGATACCATCATCTCTCCCTTCTCAGGCGCATGATCTTTGCCAATGATGCCAAGGTTTTTAAGCCCGGAGCCTTCCCCGAGAACAGTGGGCGCCCTCAATGCCTTCGCTTTGGCTATAATTGCGGCGTCACGCAGCTTTTTCTCATCCTTTTCTCTTTGCCGTGACTGCTTTATACTCTCGTTAGACCTGGCGACAATGCTAGGTTTCATCGGGACCGGTTTCACTGCCGCAATTTGTTTGGCTTGCTGGCGTGCTCTTATTTGCTCCAGTGTACCCTTGCCTTGATCCAGCGTGCGAGATAAAGAACGCACATCTTCGGCCATAGAATTGTCTGGAAGGCTTGACTTGCTCTTCCATTGCTCAACATCGATGACACCTTGCTGGCCTTTGGATGGTTTGCCTGTCGAGGAAAGTTCATATTTGACGCCATTTGCGGATTTCGACCAGGCATCAATCTTTCCCTGCGTCTTAGAAACGAGGGGCTTCTGCTCGATATATTTAACGCCGCTATGCTCCTCCTTAGCCTTCCGTAGCTCAGCTTTCTGCTGCGGAGTCAAGACTGTCTTGATTCTGTCAAATGTCACCTTGTCGATATATTCCAAAGACCTATCATCAACCTCCATATCGAATTCTCCGAGGCGGCGAAGGATCTTGCTGACGAGGCTGACCACAGTAGAGACAAGATATTGATCCTTCAGCCGAAGCCACTTAACGAGACTCGTAGTTGCTTCACAAGGTTGCTTTAAAACGACCTTCCTTGCAGTAGCCAGAGACATGACCTCCTTTGAAGCCAGCGTGGCATCTCCAGAGCCGTTGCTGAGAACATTTACCACAATGTTGTATTCTTCGAAGAGAGCTTCTGCGTATTCCATAGCGTCGCGGCAGAAATTGACCAAGATGTCGGTGTCATAATATTTGCTCCATTGTTCAACCGTCTGAAACGACGTTGCAATGGCTTGCCACTGCTCCGTCCACCAGGTTCTAAGAGATATCTGTTCTTTTAGAGAGAATGAGGCTTTGCTACGCAAGAGACCACTTTGAGGGTTGCAAAGCCCATCCAAAACATCGCGTCCTGTTTTGAGAACATTGGGGACAGCCGCAAAGGTTCGAAACTCATTGATCTTCCTTGCGGCAGATGCCAACGCCATCAACGGCGTGTCCATAAACCTTTCGAGGACGGCAGAAATAGCATCCTTTCGGCTATCTGTTTCAGTGACAGCTTTGATCAACGCAACCGCGGCATCGTAAGTAGGTGCATGTGCTGAGGTGAGGCCGGCAAACAGTGGATTGGCCGTCGGTATACTGCTACAGAGGCGCCGAAGGTTTTCCACACTGAAGTCACTGATGCGCTCAAAAACACTTGCGACAATCTCTGTTAGCTGGCCGAAGGCGCTGTTGAAACGATTCATGTTGCTGTGTAATCCCTCTGGTTGGCCCTTCAGCATAAACTTCTCGAGGCCAATCAAAGGGGTGATTCCTCGCAATATGCTATCGGCCATCTTCATATCATTGACTCGGAATGAGTCGAGGACGGATTTCCAAATTGACTCCGAGTGGCTGTTCAAACCATGGTCCACGGGCTTGCCATTTTCTAAAGCGAGGAACTCTGCATTGAGAGACCTGCAATCAAGCAACAATGCTAATCGAATGACTTGTAGACCAGCTTCCGATAATTCTGTATGCCCTTCTGTGCCCTCGGCAACTGTGGCACAGTTGACAATCATGTCTTTGAACTTATCAACCAGTCCCAAGACATTGTTGATCATTATAAATGACGTTGACGTGTTGATGGTGTATTCCTTTGAGGTAAATGTGGTCAACACTATATTCATCGTCGCCAAGCCAGCCCGACAGCACACGAGCTTGGATGAATCTGGGATGTGCTCTTTTTGATAACGACCTAGCAGGCTGACAAGCATGCTATGGCACGCATCATATTGCTGCGCGGCTGGTAGGGATTCCACAAAAGGCGTGATCCAGGACGTTGCGCTGTAGGCATACTTATCATGACCTTGGTCATTGATGTGGGATCCAGATAGAAGGCGTTCGAACGCTGGGGAATTGAAAACTTGTTCCGCAACGGTCGTTGAAGAAATAGTCCCATATGCCGACCAGAAGGAATTTGAGGATTTCCCAAGAAGCATTATAAGTGCGTGGATAATGTTGGATAGAATATCCTCAGAGTCACAGGGGAGGTGTGCTAACGCCAGATGGTAGACATCGGGAGATACCTCCAACCCGCGAAGAGAATGAGTGATAAGGTCGCTATCCAGCTTGTTGATGATGAGAACAAGCCCTTCCCAAAACCGCTGGATTTCTATCAATGAGCGGCCTGGACCGGAAATGAACTGAATTTGCTCCACTAGAGCGTCTTGAACGGCCCACTCAAACGTTTTCCTGTCGAGATCTTGGGGAGCTTTCCTCCAGCCCAAGCTGGCAAATTGACGGCGATGTTCGTCGGCATCAAAAAGAAAGCGGGTGGTCGCGGGGACAATACCGCTTATCCTAAGCACTTTCGTTGTCTGGACCAGCCGGAGGACATCGCCGAGCGGAGTCGAAAGCTTTTCCTTTGACTTGTGATATGATGGGCAGCATAACGCCTCATAGAGCGCCGTAAGACCAACCTGGTCAGAGGCCAGTGATCGCATAGTGCGTTGAGCGACAGGAAGCGAGTTCAAAAGAGCAGCTGCTTTGTCAAGGCCTTTGTCGATTCGGGAGTGATCAAACCGGTCGATAACTTCAGACAACCGCTCCATAACCTCATCTGCAAATTCCTCAGACATGTATCCCAAGAATTCCTTCCTCCCGGTATGATAGTTTCGGACACATTGGTCGCAGGTGGATAAGAACTCTGTTGCACGGCGTTCGAAGGAGTCCCCGAAACCTGCCTCCTCGACCTGTTCGGAAGAAAACCCGAGTTTTATAGAAAAGCGGTATGTAATTTTCAGTCGCTTCTCTCCGTCTTCGATGCACTTGATCTTTGTAGCGGACGACGCATCCTCCTCATCGTTTCCCGGATCGCCGTAGTTTGTATAGTCCTCGTCATTAAGTTTCGGGCAAAACCAATGTGCTTCGGGGGGGAACTCATCCATCTTCCTGCTTTCACGTTAGTGAACTGCTCAACGTCTGCCAGTGAAACTGAAATAAATTACCCCTGCAGCTCCTGAAGCTCTTCATATAATCCCTCCATGCTGTGGTCTACGTCTGAACCCAGCGACGGGCGCCAGGTGCAGAAAGAAATGGGGTATAACAAGGATAAATTGGCACTTCGAGCACTATCATTGCTCAAATAGTCATAGTAAAGAGTTGAACGGGGCAATAGCAACTAAGATGATGATGAAGTGGATTGTAGCAATTAAGTTCGTTTGCTCGGGAAAGGCTGAGGTTGTGAAATGCAGGAAGGCAAGACTCGGGCGGGCCTTGCAGTGGGTGGAGCTGGATTGGGCCAAAATGGCTAAACACAAGAGGCTGCAAAGTAAAATCGTGAAGTGGAAGTGCAAAGGAATTACCCCAAAAAAGAAATCTTAAGCAGGTCCCCCGATGGTGGGCGGATCCCTGTGAATTTGATGATTTCAAAACGGGATATATATTTGGAGCTGAGGTTGACGCGACCAGCGAAGTTGGCCGCCAAGGAATTTGGTGAGGTCTTGATAAAGTTCACCGATAAGATAAGCGGTGGCACGAACCAGTGCTTGGCGTGGTGAGAAGTGAGAGGATGGGTAACTTATATTATACGTGTGGCTTCACTGTAGAGCCAGCTGGGCCCGAGATATCAGAACGTTGAAATCTTTGTTCTGCTATCATTCCTGGGCTCGATCACTCTTTGTGATAGTGGTTATTTCCGGGTCTTATTGTTTTATGTAGCTGCTGCGAACGGTAGATTGAAGGTCTCTGGATTCCAGGGAGATATACTATACGGAAGACGTGGAATTGATATCAGGGTTCAAATAGGCAATGCCGGGTCCAGGGACATTTAATACTAAATACAAAAGAGACTGGGTTTGAGGGGGATATACTACAGTACTACAGGTCATGGGGTTGACACTAGAATGAAATTCACATTATGGACCTCAAGAAATAGTTGTTCAAACCGTATTGCACTGTTAATGTTCACACTTGTATTTACAAAGCACAATTACACTCTCTATGTGTTTTTTCAAAAAGAAAGCGACCCTTGCCCCAGCCTAGGCAAGTCCAAAGTCCCGTCCCTCCAAGCGCAGGCAAAATCCCGAACCTCAAAGCGCAACTTTATACACCACACCACACCACACCTTCCCAGGGCCGCCGTACAGCGCAAGCCCTCCCCTTCCCAGAGAATAAAAAAGGAACCATAAATCATGACCACTGATGCAACGCCGACATGCGCCAAACTGAATGCCGCAGAAACAGCGCAGAGTAGATTGCTCATCCAAATCGTGAATGCTTGGATATCCTCGGCCCCGGATGGCCGCACAAAAAAAAGAACACAAAGAAAAAGAAAACTGGAGGCATTAATGTACAAACACCGTGTCGGGGACGGCTAGAATCGTAAAAGCTGAGGCTCTCCTCAGCGCTATTTGTCGGAGAAGCGGCTCATCTTGCTGCGGATCGGTCCGAATGAGTGGCTGGACTCGACCTGAGTCAACCTGGCTGCGGTGGTGAAGTCACGGCTGGCTTCGAAACTGGGGCGGACGCGGCCCATTGAGGCGCGCATGCGGTCGAAGGACGGCCTGGGTCTATCGCTAGATAGCCGCCGATGGTTGGGGTTTTCCATCGGTGGCTCGGGGGATATTCGATGCCTGGTGTAATCTGTACCGTCGCTGTTATTTTGACTTCGAGGGTTGTGGGTTGTGATAGTTGGAGCCATTGATGGTGCTTTGAGTGGGCGTCGGTCATCGTCAAAATACGAAGGTTGCTTAAGCGGCTCTACCAGGTCCGACGAGGTTGCAGTCGAGTCTAGTGTCTTTGGCGGATGTGGTGATGATGATGATGAGGATGATTCTTCTTCAAGATAGTCGAACTTTCCTTGCCTGACTTGTTCGCGAATGATATCGACATCGTAAGGGAAGTAGACCTTCTGAACAAACTTGACGGTAAAGCGAGGCAACAAGCAAATGACCATCATAAGGAACGTAACAGCCCAGAAGGACGGTTGGGCGAAAACCTGCGCGGCTGCCTGGTAGAAAAATACCGCCGTGGTGACAGATGAACCCCATACGCCGACCCAGAAGAATACGAGCAGACAACTGATTGCCACCATAAGAACCATCAGCCAATCCCACCTGTAACAGTTGAGGAGGATATAAGCGTTGACAACGATAACGGCTCCGCATGAAACGTAAACGCCGACTCTGTTGCGGTCTCCAACATCCTGGCCGCCTGATGTGACGAAGGTGCCGGGAGCGAAAAGGAGGTATACGACGAAGAAGCAAATCACCGATTGATAGGTGCCATCAAGCATGTATAGCCTGCAAATATGTTAGTTCACAAGTACGAGAAAGTGGGTCGGTGTAACTAACCAGAACTTCCTCTGCGTCCACTCCTTCCGTTCAATACCACGGCGATACAGCTGGGGAACAGCCAAAGAGACCTTGTCGCTAACATCCTGATCCAGCACACCCATGAAGATAACCGGAAGCGAACTGAAAGCGAGATTGTACAGCAAGATAAAGGTGTAATCGTACAGGTACGCCTGGTCGAAATCCGCATAAATTTGATACCAGAAGAGGGCGAAGGTCCACACTAGATTCTTGTAGAAGAAATTCGCAATGGTATCTCCCAAACGGCGGTAGGACCAGCGACCGTGTACCAGGATAAGACGTTGAAGGAAGCGGAACTGGCCAATGGCGTAATCAGACGACATGACGGCCTGTCTTCCTTCCTCTCCAGCAATTCCAACTCCTACGTCAGCCTCTTGAATCATGGCAACGTCGTTGGCACCATCTCCAACAGACAGGGTCATGACATCAAGCCCAGTCTTCACCATCTTCACGACAGCGGCCTTTTGTGCGGGGCTGACACGGCAACAAAGAACGGATTTGCACTGTTTGCAAAGCAGGAGGAACTTCTGTCGTAGGGTTTCGTTGAGGACAAGCTTCAATGAGTCTCCGTCAATAACAATAGCGTGAGTGGGCGCAGGAGCCTCGTGGTTCTTCATTACTGCTTTAAGCTCCTCATCCGATCCAGTCATGTTGAAAGTCCGAAGATGCTGGTCGAGCTGTTCTTCAGCAGTACTTAAATTGTCATCCTCAATTTTGAAGACAATTAGTTCCATGTCGTTGTTCAATAAATTGCAGGAAAAGCCAATGTTGATGGCCGTCTCAACCTTATCACCAGTCAGAACCCACAACTTGATACCGGCCTCAGCAAGCAGAGCAATGGTATCTGGGACGCCTTCTTGTAAACGATCCTCAATGGCAGTCCCTCCAAGTAGAGTAAGCTCCTGCTCAATCATCTCGGACACGCGTTCCAACTTCTCCTCTCGGTCATTAATGGCGGCTGCGGCTAACTCGTGTTCCTTGTTCCATATTTGATATTCTTCTTCGTCCAGAGTTCTTTGCGCAATGCATAGTGTTCTTAGACCTTCCCTAGCGAACATTTCCAAATGTTCCGCCGTTGATTGACGAAGCTCCTTCTGTTCGCCAGTCTTCAAGCGAGCATAAATGATGCTGTCTGCACCCTTACAGAACAGCATAATCTTCCCATCTGGCATCCGAATAATGGCACTCATGCGCTTGCGCGTTGAGTTGAATTCTAGCGTATTCAAGACAGTATATTCTTGTTCGTCGCCAAGAACGTTGACTTTTATTCCGTGATGTGAGTTCCCGACGACTGTGAAGCCAACATCCCTTGCTGTAGCAACTAGGGCCGCCTCATCCGGAGACTGAGCCTTGAACTCCATTTTGGGTGGATCGCCTGGCGTAATTTCGGCGATGACACTGTGGCACAAAGAAAGTGCCAGCATAAACTGTCGGGTGGCTTGCTTTTGCTCTTCTCCTGACTCACCACCAAGATCAGCGATGTAGTCGGGGGCGATAAAAGTTAGATCATCATCGTGAAGATAAGGGTTATTGTGAAGCCGGCGCGTCTCTGCGATCATTTTAACGCGTGCATCGGCGATCTGCACCTGCGCTTTAGCTGCCTCCTTGACGACGTCAATGCCTTGACGACGCTGCATGCCAGCTTGGGCTTCGGTGTAAGCTTCTCCGTACGGAATTCCATTGACAGTAGCCTTCTTGAATTCCATAACGTTCTGCGTCAATGTCCCAGTCTTGTCAGAGAAAATGTATTCAATCTGACCGACGTCATCCGAAATATTCCACGACTTGGGGGTGCAGGGGTAGTCGAGTTTATCGTAGTACATGTGTATATCGCTGTAGATAAAGACCGCCTGGAGCGTTTTGATAATTTCCAAAGAGATAAAGAGGGCGATGGGGACCAAGTTCTGAAGTAAAATAACAGCAGCCCAAAACGTGATGAGCCCTGAGACAGGGGCTGCTGTGTCTGGATAGTCGAAATAATGCAGCGACTTATCAGTTCTAGCCCAAGCAAGGCCTTCAACAAGACCAGAAATGAAGCACATAAAGAAGAGAATAATGAAGTTATACACAACATTCCAGTTGAGTTCTCGTGCTATTCTTGAGCGCTTGCTAGGCGTCATTCCTGAGTTGAGCATAATTTTGGAATCGAATCCGGTGAACATGACCACACCAAGGGCCCACTCAGTATTCCGTAAATTGCAGCCTCGTAGGAGCATGTTGTTAATGGAGATCGGTTCTGCCATAGGTTGGCCCGGTCCGTGAGGGTTGCTCTTATCCTCCTGCGTCCAACGGGCGACACCGCTATATTGGTACAAGTTTGGTTGCGGCGGTTCACTCTCGATAACAAACTGGGCCTGTTCACAGTCTCTCGCATGTTTGAGCGATTGTCCGCACTGCAATGCATGGCGAAGCTTAAGATTAGTTTCGCCATCCAGATTCTTCGTTTCGACGTAGCAGGCTCCGTCGGGATCCGATGTAGCCAAAATGACAACATCGGCTGGGATCTGGTCGTCATTATAAATTCGTAGGAAATCTCCAACTTGAACGTTCTTCCAATAATCCTGATGGAACCTCGCCTTTTTAGACACAGGGAGGCGGCGGTTTACAACGTCGCCTTGGTAATGGCCGATAACCACGGCATTGTCCGCATCGAAGTCGGCTGCTGAGTCGAACGGGTTCGAGGACCCGCTGATATTCTGGCGAGGATTTGGGGACGGAACAGGGGTCATTTGAATATCCTCCCTTGCGGATGCATACGACATGCGTTGGGAGTATGCTGACTGGCGTCTAGTCGCAGTGGTTTCGAATGATGCACGCTGGGTGTCCACTGCACGCTCCCCGTATGACTTCCCCTTCCTTTCCGAGTTGCGCTTGAAGAGGGCCTTTATCGCCAAGTATATTATCTTGATGCCTCTTGTTGTGGCTTTCTTTATCCTTCGCCATAATGAGACGTCTTCGGAACTGATGTTGACATTCGTCCACTGGACGAGGCGGTGGACCGTGGAATTATTGAGTTCATTATCGAGAATAGTTCGTCGCCAATCTTCGACGGCATCCTTCACAGC